GAAAAGTATAATTTATTATTCCTTTCATTTTAAGATAGAATTAACATGCCAACTGATAAAAATGCCAAAAAAAGCTTATTCCTTTTGATAATTTCATAACTGTACAATTTCTCTTCTTCCAATTATTTTGATTATTTCATTAAGTATTCGAATATCTGAATGCATCTTTTCTCCACTTTCAAACTTTCAATATTAAAAATGAAGAGAAGATGGAAATAGCGTTCAGTAACCTTGGAAACTCTCTGTTACTAATAGTTGCTTAAAACTTTTTCGTTGTTGCTAAGTTGCGGTCAGCTGAATTTTAATATATCAACCAAATGTTTACAATCCCTTTCATCGATATTTTCTCATTCTCTTTTCTTTCTTAAAAGTCATTCTTGATTTTATTTTAGTCTGATTTGATTGTCTTTTGATTGGAAAAAGTTTGTACTTTCAATAAATGATAGAATGGCTAAAGTTTCTTCTTTCTTTTTTCAATCATAAATTTCAGAAATACAAGTTCTCTTTTGCGCCACTTCCTTTTGCTAATCCATCCGATAATCCGATTATATGGCCTTATTCATGTAGTATAGGAAACATTAAAACATGCCTATATCTAAATAAAAACCTTACAGATAATTTAGAATAAGTTGAAAGTACTAAATTCAGTATCCGATTTATATAGTAATATTATACTGAAAAATATAACTAAATGAAATGATTAGACATTAAACAATTTCCGCTTATTTTTACGTGAATTTTTTAATCAATTTTAGAAAGAGTATGGATTGAATCGATTTAATAATTTTAAACGTATTAGCTAATATCAACAAAAACAAACCAGTTCCCAAATGATTTCAGTTGAATAAATCCGATGCATGGAGAGAAACATATGTCAACAAAGGAAGCGATAAACAGCGCTTAATAAATATATTTAACAATTGGTCGTTGGTTATTCAAAGATATTCACTGAATCATATATATATATATATGTAAGTTAAAGAGTCTCTAAATGAACTATCTTTTAAGTATATTTAAAATTATTCTACTATTCGTAATATTTTGCTACTTATTGTCATAAACTTCTATCGTTATTTATACAATTGAATTAAATTATTCATAATTACAATTCCTATCATCAGCTTGATTATTTTCATTCTTTTGAACAATACAGGTCAAATATTATGAAGACTAAAGGTTAATCATTCAATTATAATTACTATTAAATTTCAATATATACACGATTCCTTTTACATGAGACTATTCCGGTATGAATATTTCTTTCTATTTGAATGCACATTATAATTTAACTTATGATTAGTCAAACTTATGATTAATTAAAAGATTAGTTGTAACTCATTATTAATTAAAAGATTAGTTACAACTTATAATTAGTTAAAAGATTAATTATAACTTACAATTAATTAAAGAGTTAGTTACTATTTATGATTAATTAAAAAGCTACATCTTTTTTTAAATTTCAAAAAACGAAAGTTACAAATAGGAAGCTAAAGATTGTTAATCGTTTAACGATAATTCTCCTTTTTTCCTTTCCACCGATTAATTTCATTTGAATGTAAGAAAGATATTTTATAGAGAGAATATTCGTTCTATTCCATATTGATTTGAGACTGTCACTATGACGATTTTTCGCAATAAATTTTTACGAAAAGAAAAAATTTTTTTCTTTAAATTATAAAATTTAAAATTAATTTTTCTCTCAATTCTTAAATTAATTCCAAAATTAAATTAAATTAATCTTAAATTAATCAATTTTCTTTAATTAATTCTTCTCATATTTCTATATTTCTTTCTTCTTCTTCTTTTAATTATAAAATTAAAAAACTTATTTTTCTTTTTAATTGTTATAAATGAAATTTTACAATTAATTTCAAACGTCTTTTTTTTCCATTCATTTTAAAATTAATTTAATCAAAATTTTAATTTCATTTTTATTATAGTGACAGATTTGTTTTCATTTTACAACAATTCAATTAATCATAACACACTTCTTTTATTGCTGCTATTTAACATTTACAAATATTCCATCTATCAAACCATAGCTTTTTTTTCAAGTCTATCAAAAGTTTTTGTAACATAGATTTGGTTTTTTCAGTATGATACGATGATACAACTAAGGAATTTGTTTTTCACCTTCTTTTTTCTCAATCATTTCCTATGTATATTTCAATATGTACTTAGTTATATTCACCTAGCTATATTTTATTGATCCATTCTTTCTAATGCTTTTCCAAAATGCCAGCTTTCTTCGTTATTGCTTAGTTTTGCAATAAGCATCGAAAATTTGCATATATTGGTCCTTTTTTTATTTTTGCTTTTATATTCATTAGAAGAAATGTAGAAATCTTTAAATATAATACTTTAAATAGTTTGGAGTAGCAATATTGACAATCGAAAGTAAACCTTAGGGAGTAAACTTTCGGTTGAGCTATTTCTGATAACTAATGGGAAAAATGCAATTAGCAATTATTAGCAAAGCGTTTCAAACATTAAGTAACAATTGCAAATAAAATATCTCTTTCTATCTATCGTAAATGAGATTTCATTGGTTTTTCTAATTAAGAAATTGCGAAATCATTTTTCACTTTTTTATTCAATGGGCCTAAGCAAGTCAAAAGTTCAATATTTTGATGGCAAATGAAATGCTGTCTATATTGGCAGTAGTTCTTCTGCCACAATGAAAAAAACTTTTGATCCCATATGTTAATTAACATGACTCATTGAAATAGCACAAAATTCTAAATACGGGGATTCTTTTCATGTATAAATTGATGTACATAAAAGGTTAAATGATATATTTTATTGATTAATTGCTCGATGCCGCGAATAATGGAAGTGCTTGTTTTTGAAATTTATAGCTCTTATGTTTACTATGAGATAATGATGACTCATCGTGCATATTTCCTTTAATGAAACCAGTATCTTACTGTTTCTTTATAAAAATTTTTCTTTAAAAAAAAATTCTAACATTAAAGGTTTTATAAGTGTTAATCATTTATCACATTCTTTGAATGTATTTACAGTGATAAGCAATAGAATGAAATAGCAATAAAGTTTGGCTGTCAAATAAATAATGTGAACTTCATCGCTTAAAGGTAAAATGTTTTCAATTATGCTCCCATGATTCATTTCACAATTTTTATTTCAAAACTTGTCAGTCATCCTATTATACCTTCGAAAGGTTCCTTCTAAAGGTCTCCTCTCATTAATAGTGCCTAAATTTTTTAGGCATACATTTTCTCTTTTATGTTTCTTATCCTTCTCTAACATTCCTTTTTGAGGAATGAAATTGATGAAATATTAAATCGATTTTGCATTAGAAATACTTTCTTCCTTCATTAAACATTGAAATTATCTTTTATTATTTTAATCAATCAATCATGCATATATTATTATACATGTTAATTATGCCAAATGAAAGGTATATCGGTACTTTCATAGAATTTACAAATGAAAGATATATCGTTGAACTAACAATTATTAAGTTGCTGTAAAATAAAGTTGCTACCAAAACTTGCCAGCAAATTGAGAACTATTCTCAAAGTTCTCTAAATTCTTTCCAATTAATCGTGCTACCAATAATTCAAAGTCTTTCAATGTATTCATTTGCTAAATCCGATGAAAAATCTTTTTCTGAAATATAAAGTGAAATTCAGAAAGCAAATTGATAAACATTAAATGATAAGTTCTACTTATCATCGTATCCGATTTTCGGTAGCGAGTCTGATCAACTTAGCATAATTAGTAATTAAGATGGCATAATTGAACTAATTGGTGATCATCATCACAATTTTCATGGATTAATAAATGAGAAATTTTCGTAAAGATTTCTCGATACGCTATTATTGATTTGCCTAACATGTAAAATATTTGCAAAATATGCAAAATTAGTTTTAAAAGTATTTTCCAACAAAGCATTTTCAGATTTATTGCTGTGCTTAAGTGGTCAGCAGTAAAGTTCTTCCGGTTTTAAAGGACAAAGTTGCTTCGAGAGTAACACGGAAGTGAATTATTCATACAACAAACATTTGGAAACCATTCATGTTTTTGCTTTAGGATTATTTGATCGCTTGAAAGGTTAGAAGTTGACAAAAATTTTTTCGAAATCTTCATATCTTTAATTATAATTTGTGTGATTTGCTAAATCAGAGATTAAGAAGGAATTCTAGTCAGCCATCGCAGTTTCATTGTTGCTAAAAAAATCTTTCTAAAAAAATTTAGGCCATACTCGAAAAAAACTAATTTAGGTTTAATATTTGATTAATTATTTTAAGTAATGAATAACATAAAAATAAATAGATGAAGAATTGAAGATGTTATCATAACAATTCCTCTCGTTCCTTTGTTTTATCAATAATATATCATATGATCATGTCATCTCCGATAATATCTTCGATACATTTTGTCCATCTTAAAATTCTATTAGATTTTCCTCTTTCTTTCAATTTCTTTGAAATATATGCAAAAAAGAAGTGAAAATAAAAATATGCAATTTGTAAAATATTTTCTGTAAAATAAAATTAAAAATTTGGTAACATTCATCTATTCGTTGTTTTATTGTGACGAGACTTTTTCAAATGTTTGCTTATCAGACATTCTTGTTAGTTTCTTTTTTTTGAAATTTTTATGCAATTTACACCTTCTGCATTAGTGTTTTCTCATTTCATCCTTCCTTTCCTTTCCTTCTTCCTTCCTTTCCTTCTTCCTTCCTTCCTTTCCTTCCTTACTTTTATTCATTCATTCTCTTTCATCTATTCCTGTTAAATAGCATGAAAGGAATTATTTCATAAAATTCATGGAAAACGGAAAAGATTCTTTTAATTTTTTATTACAGGAAGTGATCATCACCTGATTGGAGTGGAAAAAAGTCAAAGAAAAGAATTCATTTCTTGTCAAGAATTCACGGGAACAATTGACTTTGTTTCTAATTAGTCTTTCATCCTTTCTTTACTTATAGAAAGGCGAAAGAAAAAACTTTCCCAATTCTTTCTTTTGATAAGATGGCATTGAAACGTTCATTGGGTGGTATGTCCTTACAGAGTTCATTATTTCAATCACCTATTTCATCGATCTATCGAATGTTTCACGTACGTCCTATCCAAAGACGTAACATTCTTCTTAATATTTTATCCTTAATTGGAGCTTATTGGATTATTACAACATTAATATCACTTTCTAATCAAAATGTTGTAAGTTATACTATTTATCATTGCACAATATCTTATCACTCATTGGTTAATATATCATCATGTTAATAGCTGTTTTAATCATTTGAGACATAAAGATTATGACAGAGTTAAATCGTTTTATTCAAAAAATATTTTCTCAAGCAATTGATGATTGATAGAGCAAAAGGGAAAAGTCTTTTAAAAACTTCAATTGGAAAAGGTATAGCAAATTAGTCAAGCAAACTCTTAGGAAGAGTAAATCAGTATATTAATGATTCAGTTAATTATGGAAGTAAAATCATTTGCAATGATATTTGAAAATTCATGGTTGGCTTTTTGCCTCACCTATTAATGTTACTGAAATGAACAGACTATCTTTCAAAGTAATTTTTCAATATTACACAGGGCAGTCATGTACGAGAACGCCGGTTATTGCCGAGAGAACCAATTGGTCGACAGTTACAGTTACAAGAAGGTTATTCTGTAATCGATTCTAAACAACAACAAGAAATTAGTAGCAACAGCAGTAATAAAAATGGAAATTCACAAGTGCTTCGGATTTATGGGAAATCAATGTTGAAGGATTTCGAAGAAGAAATTGAAATTGCCGGAGAGGATAATGATGGATTCGAAAAGGCAAGGAGATGTTCCTTTTTTTGATTTTAAGAAAATTTTGATCAAATTTTGCATAATAGTTTAATTATAAAAAATTATTGTAAATTGTAATAATTTATATTTAATGAGAAAAATTTTCAACTTTCATTTACAGCCCAATATTCCGCAACCAAAACATTTTCTTTATATGGAAGGTAGTCCAATTTATAAAAAAGGTGATCCAAATCAACCTGGTGAATTTGGTGCTGGCATAAAAATTGACAAACAGGTATTTTACTTATACTGAAAAAAAAACAAAAGCATTCCATAATTTATTTTACGTATTAATGTAAACGTTGGGAAGTTTCATTTTGTTTACAATATGAGCCATAAAATTTGTGACTGTAAAAAGTGAAATCTTTTGGCAATACTTTTATATTAGCATTTCTATTTTTTTTACAACTTTCATTGAAATTTTTTCCTTCAATACTTTTTTGTACGATTCTATTTATAAATGAAATGGGATAAGTTAAGTTAGACATTGCTTATATAAATTATTTTTGATGTTATTTTACAGAAATTATCACCAAAAGAACGTAAAATATTTGATGAATTATTTAAACGAAATTCTTTTAATGAATATGTATCCAATATGATTTCCATACATCGATCACTTCCAAATAATACCGATGAATTGTTAGTTTAATTATGAAATATTAGCGAATAATATTTTGTTTTCTCATTAAAGTATTTTATTTTTATACCAAACAAATTGTAATCACTTACTTTTCATATTATATTTCGAGTTTTTCAATCGAATTTCTTTTAAAATTCATCATTTTGTTTATTCTTGTTTTGTAGCAATCTAAATTTCATATTACTTGATAAATAGTGCAGAAAAGAGAGAGAGAGAGAGAGAAATTGTCTGAAATATTTCTGATGGATCTTCTAAAATAAAAGCAGCATAATGATAGGAAATTGATAGTAGCAATTTAAAAAATTATTACATTTGTGAGATTAAAATCTGTGATAACTTTTTACGACATTTGTCATTCAATCAGTTTCGATAATTTAACCATCGGCTAATAATCATTCCATGTGAAATTTTGCTGGATCTTCAAATTTTTATAAATTTAAGCTTAAATGTTTATAAAATTTTCTATTCATTAAATAAAAAATTTTATAAACCTAATGGGAGAAAATTTTATGAATTTCAGATGTCATAAAGCATCTTATCGAGATGATTTACCGGATACATCGGTGATTATTTGTTTCCATAACGAAGCATGGTCAGTACTTCTGCGCACAGTGCATAGCGTACTGGAAAGAACACCCGGTCATCTGCTTAAAGAAATTATTCTAGTCGATGATTTCTCCGATTTGGAGCATTTAAAGGTGATATTCTCATCTCTCACACTTTTAAGGCACATCGAGCATCAATTCATCCTATTAAGAAATAACTTCATAATTTACTGAAATTAATCAGTAATTTTAAAAGAATGTGAAAATTATATTGAAATAATGTACTTATGGATTATGATCATCTAAGAAATAGAAACCGGATTCAGTATGATTTTGATTCAATTTCCAGAAACCATTGGAAGATTACATGAGTCAGTTTGATAAAGTTCGAATAATAAGACTGGAAAATCGAATGGGTTTGATCCGTGCTCGACTTAGAGGTGCATCAGTTGCAAGAGGCGAAGTATTGACTTATTTGGATTCACACTGTGAATGCATGAATAGTATGTAAATTTTTTTTAATTTTTTTCTCTTAATTTTTGAGTGATTTTTTCGAAGTTAGAAATTTGTGATATGGACTAATTGAATCCAAATTTAACCTATATTTATTTATTTGAATCCGTAAATGTTTGCTTGATTTCACTTCTTTCGATTGCATGTAACGCTTTTTAATTTTTGCGTATTAGTGCATATTTTTAGGATGGCTTGAACCATTGTTGGATCGAATAGCGCAAAATTCCACAAATGTAGTAACACCTGTAATTGATACAATCAGTCTGGAAACATTGCAATATAAGATGTCAAGCCATGATCGATTGAGTGTTGGCGGATTTAATTGGGGTCTTACTTTTAATTGGCATTTATTGCCGGATCGTGATTATAAAGCTATGAAATCACGGATTGATCCCGTACCGTTCGTTATTCTTATTATCTTAAGATTTTCTTGATTTGACGCCTAAATAATGAAAAATTGATGATGCTAAGAATTTTCTTTTATCATAAAATTGTTACGAAATAACAAATTTTCAGGTCACCAACGATGGCTGGTGGATTATTTTCTATTAATCGAGCTTATTTTGAGAAGCTTGGCGGTTATGATCCTGGTTTTGATATTTGGGGCAGTGAAAATCTCGAAATATCGTTCAAGGTGAGAAATTTTTTTCTTAGAAATTTTTTAATAACTAAAATAGTTTGCTTTTTTAATTTTTATTGATTTAAGCAACGAAATAATACTTGAATTGAAAATCTGGAAATCTCCTATTTCATTTTTTTAAGTAATCTGAATGGCACTTGAAAGTTTTAATAACTTCATTGTACTTTTCATAGATATGGATGTGTGGAGGTCGATTGGAGATAGTGCCCTGCAGTCATGTTGGCCATATTTTTCGTAAAAATTCACCTTATAAATGGAGAAGTGGTGTTAATGTAATACAAAGGAATAATATTAGATTAGCTGAGGTATTCTCAAATTTAAGCTAATTATAGGAGCTGCAAAGTTATCATACAACAGTTTAAGAGCTCGAATTTTGTGTTTTAATTTGCAAAAATTTTTTTGTTGATTGATTTAAATTTCGAACGATTTTTGTCTGAATGTACTAATAAATATCATATCCAACTGAAATCTCTTACTTTCTAGTATTAATTGTAAGATATTTGTTAAGAAAGATTATAGTTGTTATTCTCATTTTTAATAAATAAAAATGTTTGAGAATTTCACGATTACTTTAAATTTTTTAAATTTAATATTTTATTTTAAGGTATGGTTGGACGACTATAAAGAAATTTATTACAATCGGATTAATCATAATCTGGTATTCTTTTTGCTTATTATTTACTAGCAAAATAAAAATATATGAAATGCTTGATGCTTTTTCATTTGTGAATGAATTATCATCTCGGAAGACAAGTTTTAACATTCACCAAACGATTTGCTTATTTTCTATATTTTCATCCTTCAGAGAAAAAATTCCTATGGAAAGAAATAAGTAAAATAATTTCCACTACAAATCCAACAAAGTTGTGAGAACACTTTAATATTTCAACGATACAATAAAATAATATCGCTAATATTTTTCTGTGAAATTTATCACAGCTATCTTTCTGCTGAAAATATTTTACATTCTTACAAATCAACAAGTTTGCATATCTTTTGCAGAAAATCAAATCATTTAAGGGTGATTTTGGTGATGTAACAGAACGGAAGAAATTACGCGAACGTTTGAAGTGTCATTCATTTAAATGGTATTTGGAAAATATATTTCCAGATTTATTCCTACCATCTCAAGCAATTGCTAGTGGTGAAGTAAGATTTTCTCCTTTATTATTCATTAAAATGTATGAGTTTCATATGCTCAATTTAACACAATATTTTTGATGCAATACACTTTCGAATCTAACTAACATTTCAGATTATCCTTTCTTAATTTTATCTTTCCCAATGGTTAAAATGCATACTTTCATAAAACGTATAAATCATTAAATAGTATTGAGTGACAGGAATACTTATACATTCTTTTTTATCATTCTATAAAGAAAATATGAACGTAATAAAACATGAAAAGTACATAGATTAATTCAATTTTTTCTTTTTTTCATCTTAGTCTTGAAATATAAAAACTTTTGAAGATTCGTAATCTTGGTAATCGAAAGTATTGCGTGGATCATGAAGTTGGTCGAGATGCTGTAAACGACAGTGTTATACCATATCCATGTCATTTACAGGGCGGTAATCAGGTATTTATTCACTTAAAAAAAATTTGGAAATTTTTAAAAGATTTTAAGAGAATAACATATGAGGAAGAATTATGATGTAGAAATGCAGAGATCTACAAAAGGGAAATATAATTTGCTAATTATTTCGTTGACAGAATTTGATTGCTAACACTGTTATTAAATAAATTATAATTTCTCATAACTATCTTCTAATTCTATGATTTTTTTGTGCATAATTTCTTCACATTTTTTCTTTTTGTTGACAGTTACAGTTTGCAGTAAATGAGTCGCAAATTTTTATCAAAGCTATTATTTTAGTTCTGGATGTTAAGTAAAAATGGTGAAATACGACGTGATCAATATTGTATTGATTATACAGGTAGAGGTTCACCAGTAATTTTTGAATGTCACGGTGCCAAAGGCAATCAACTTTGGAGATACAATCATAAGGTTAATTTCATACACTTTTGGATTTAAATTTTATGAAAAATTTAATTTAAAAGATAACTATAATTGATCCTTTCTATTTTGAAACATCCAATTGTTTCTGGAGCTTTAGTAGCTCTGTTAAAACCACTATATTTGAGAAAAGAAATTTTGTTATTACTTTATTAATAACTTAATCAATCTAAACTATATAAATCGATACAGTATGAATTTATTTCACGTAAATCTACGTGAATTAATGCTTAGATTTTATATTATTTTTTCTTCTAGACTGGTCGAATGTATCACCCAATATCACGTAACTGTTTAACATTAAGTGATGATAATACAATGTTAGTGATGAGGATTTGTGATGATAAAAACGGACGACAACGATGGAGGTTTCAGAACTTCAACGAAACGGTAGCTACGTAATCAATCAACAATTTTAAGTAAAAATAATTGTAAATAAAAATTTTTAATTGTAATAAATTTTTCAAATCTAGGCCAAATACAAGATCAAAAATTACATTTGAGTTGTTAAGTTCTTATCGATCTCTGTAAGAAGTAAGACTTTGAAAATTTTTTTACTTCTCAAGAATTAAAAGCACAAATATTGTCTGATCTATAAATAATATTTTAGTTTGTTAGTGAAATGGTAACTTGTTATATACTATTATCTCCTATTTTTATTGATTAAATTATTGCTTTTGCAATTGTTGAATAATTTATTCTGTTTATCTTTTCATTCTGCGTCAATTAGTTCTATTCAAGCAGAATTTTTTCTTTTTACTTTCAAACTGTGTGTGACATTGAAAAAATGGTGACACTATGATGTGACACTAAGTTGAATGAAAAATTTATCCCTCCTCTCTTCCTAACCAATTCATACTTTAAATGTGATATTGTGCTATAAAATATTATAGACATCAATATTTTGTTGTGACTTAATTTAAAAATATCTTAAATTTTGCTCAGGAATGGTTGGAAATTTTTATTTTAATATATATTTTTGGTTACTGTTATTCTTTTTTTTGTTTCCACAATTTATACCTAATTTTAATTAAATGTTAATTGAAAAGGTTTTTTATCACATTTCATTAATGAAAATATTTAATTATTCAAAAAATTTTCAGGCAAAAATATAAATTGTAAAAAATGCTAATTTTACATTATCAAAAGTTTTTGATTTTTTATGACAATTTCTAACTATTCCTTTTATGCTATAAAAGAAATTAATGATTAGGAAGAAATATTAGCTACTCAGATGGTTGTGTAAATGTATATTGCAACTTCTTCTTCACAACTATTATATTATGTATTACTGAAATAAACAATACAATAATAATTATTAAATATGATACCTTTTTGCACATAATGTTTAATATGCAAAAATTATCCGATTATCTTCTCTATTATCAATTGTTTATAAATAAATGATTAAATGATATGAGTAAACATTGTGTGCTAAAGTGAAGTAGGGAATGAATGAATGGTATATGTATATTTGTTATTTGTTGTATACTTTTCTGAAATTATCAATAATTTGTGCATTTCATTGATTAATTTATTTATGTCTTTCTTGCTATGCTTTCTAAAAAAAGAAGAAGCAATATATTTTTTCTCAATTAAATTTAAATAAATTTGGAGTTCCATTGTTTTTCCTGTGATTTTGATTATTCCATTTATTGATTATTTCACTTTTACTTTAATTCCTTAAAATTTTATCAATTCCAAAATGATTTTACTACAATTTCAGTATTGGAAGAAATATAAATTATGCATTTCTGAAATTGAAATTTTCAGAAGAAAGAAAACATAGTATTATAATCTCATTGTAATGAAGTAACATTCATTTTAAATCTGTTTTTATTGTTGCTCAAAATGAACATAAAGAATTTGTTTGACAAGTCGTTATGTGTTGTTGTTGCAAAATATTTTTAACATAAGCTCACATAGAAGAAGAACTCAGAATAAACAGAAGCAAAAAGTCTTCTTGACGGTTGGACATGAGATTTTACCGTTAATTGTGACTAATTACCATTAAATCATCCTTTAATTAATAACACAGTAATTTATCAAAGCAGTGAACATTTAAGCAAACCTTTTATCGACAAAGTTATTCTTCCCGATTATAATGTTACCTATTCTACAAGGTGAATATTTGTTATTCCCTATGCAGAACTTGGAAGAAGATAAGGATGATGACAACTATTATAATAACTTATCTGCCCTATTATGCATAACTTATCTACCACTCTATTATACATATCTGATCTATCTATCTAAACAGCCTACCTTGTTAGAACATCATTAATAGGAACTATTTGCATTATTCATTTATCTCGGACTTCAATCAACGAGGTAATTTGCTCTTTTGATAACGAAGGCAAAGGATAAGTGGCGGTTTTTTATCAAAATATTGGGAGCTAATACTAAGTTAAATTATTTTGGTATATTGAAGTTTATAATCCATATATAGACATACACTTAAATTGATATGATAGGTACTAATTCTACCACATAAAGGTTACAATAACATCGCTATTAACCGATGACATTTTTTTCAGATTTGAAGCTAAACGATCATTTAAGAACATCACCATCTCTGTGTATTTGCTCGTGGAAAAATCAGTGAAAAAAACATGGTATATACATTTGAGAATTTTTAGGGATTTTATGGGATCATTGGAGGAAGAACTATGAAGATCTTGTCTTTTAAATATCTATTTTCATTTTCAATTCCTTCAAATTATTTAGTTAAAATTAATCTACAGCGTGAAGTAATCTCGGTTCATGTTGGACAAGCTGGCGTACAAATTGGAAATGCTGCATGGGAGTTATTTTGCTTAGAACATGGAATTCAACCGGATGGAACAATGCAAATTAAGAATAAACAGCATATTGATGATTCGTTTTCAACTTTCTTCTTTGAGACCGGTACTGGACGTCATGTTCCGCGGGCTATTTTGATCGATCTTGAACCATCCGTAATTGGTGACTATTAGATATTGTGTCAATATATTGTAAAATTTTTAACCAATTTATGTTTTTTATTTAAAAATTACTTATAATTAAATTCAAAATTTATCAGTTTTTATTTAGATGAGATTCGAACAGGACCATATAAACGTTTATTTCATCCGGAACAAATGGTTACTGGTAAAGAGGATGCAGCGAATAATTATGCACGTGGACATTACACAGTTGGTAAAGAAATAATTGATGTTGTTCTGGATCGGATCAGACGGCTAGCCGAGAACTGTACCGGTTTGCAGGGTATGTCTTATACAGACAAAATGATCATAAAATGATTTCATGAATAGTAATGATTACTCATTAAAATAAAACTTCTCGAAACCTTATGATAAACGTCAATTTTCAGGTTTTCTTGTATTTCATTCGTTTGGTGGCGGTACAGGTTCTGGTTTTACTTCATTATTAATGGAACGTTTAACAGTCGATTACGGTAAAAAAAGCAAGCTGGAATTTTCCATCTATCCGGCACCACAAGTTTCTACTGCAGTAGTGGAACCATATAATTCAATTTTAACCACACATACAACTTTAGAGCATTCTGATTGCTCATTTATGGTGGACAATGAAGCGATTTATGATATATGTCGTCGAAATTTGGATGTAGAAAGACCATCATATCCGAATCTCAATCGCTTAATTTCACAGGTTATTATAACTTTTGATTCATTATCGGTCCAGGTAAGTATGATTTTAGGACAGTATCATAGTTACAGTAGTCTTTTTTGAAAAATTGATTGCACAAAGGAGAAGATATTTTAAGATCTCATCCTGAATCACATAATATCTATTCATTTGTTCGTAATTAAAGAATTTTATTTATTAGACAAAATGGTAGTAATTGTATTTTCAGGTCGTTTCTTCGATTACAGCTTCACTTCGTTTTGATGGTGCGCTGAACGTAGATCTGACGGAATTTCAGACAAATTTGGTACCATATCCACGTATTCATTTTCCGTTAGCAACTTATGCTCCAATAATTTCAGCTGAAAAAGCCTATCATGAATCATTATCAGTAATGGATATTACTAATTCATGTTTTGAACCAGCCAATCAAATGGTTAAAGTGAGTTATAATTAATTAGTAAAAAATTGAAATCGATTTATGCTGGTGTTAATAAGCTATTACAATACTATTTACAGTGTGATCCACGCGTTGGAAAATATATGGCAGTATGTCTTTTATATCGTGGTGATGTTGTACCCAAAGATGTCAATGCCGCTATTGCGAGTATTAAAACGAAACGTACGATACAATTTGTAGATTGGTGTCCAACTGGTTTCAAAGTAATTTTAAGAAATAACATTAATTTACAATCATTTGTTCCAATTATTCTGAATATGGGATGTTCGGGATGTAAAAAAATTGTTGTTTTAGGTGGGCATCAATTATCAACCGCCGACAGTTGTTCCAGGCGGTGATGTTGCAAAGGTACCACGTGCTGTAAGTATGCTAGCCAATACGACAGCTATTGCAGAAGCTTGGGCAAGATTGGATTATAAGTTTGATTTAATGTATGCAAAACGTGCCTTCGTACATTGGTACGTTGGAGAAGGTATGGAAGAAGGCGAATTCACGGAGGCACGTGAAGATCTTGCGGCTTTGGAACGTGATTATGAAGAGGTTAATTGTTTTTCATCATGTACGATTTATTATCGTAGAAATTGAAGGTTAATTAATACATTGTGTGATTTAATCTAATTATTTTTGCTGGAGAGATTCAAGCTCATTAATACCCATATGCAAGAGCAATTAGTAAGCTTTAACTAATTTCAATAGTGCTTTATATATTCATTAAGGATAAATCTTGCTAAATCATAACAAGCATAAATTAGCATTTCAATTGTTTTGTTCAATTTCTTTCATTCATAGCATATGCTTGTTTAATTTATAAATATTCCATATAATTTTTACTATTTATAAAATTTTAATAAAATATTGTTTGATAAAAATTCAAACCTATTCATTTATTTTTCTTTATAGGTCGGTTTCGACAGTAATGATGGTAATGACATAGAAGGTATTGACAGCGGAGAATATTGAAATGTTAAATTTTGACATATTTACGAATTGTTTGAAGTGATCGTATTGTTTCAGTTGGTTGTTCTTTCATTTACAATTTCTATTTCCACCGTTGTTTAGCTTAGTTTGTTGAATTTTAATCAATTTGTTTATTTTCCTGTAAATTTATTTATTACATGAATAAAAGTTTAATTAGATCGCAGTACTGTGTGTGTGTGTGTGTGTCAAATCGAAGCATCTTAAACTGTTGCTATCTTGATAATGATACAGTTCTAATTTAAATGAAATTGAAAGCTGTCAAATAAACCTGAAATTAAAAATAATGTTTTATGTTTTTTCTTTAAATAATATGGCCATAGAATGGTTTGTTTAACTATCATGTAATGTTAGATTCTAAAGATTTATGCAGGGCATTTATGACTCATCTGATTATATCTTAATCTAAATTATCAATGAGTCATACTATTCTAGTTTTTATGCAAATTTATGGGATGTTTCATAAAATGCTGGTCAACAAATTATAAAATATACCTCCAGAAGTAATACTTATGATCAAATCTTCTCCGGAATCTTATTCGTATTCTAATTATTACGGATGTTTGGTAGGATAATAAAAAAAAGTGGTGTCAACCTTTGTTCTATTAGTTCGTTTTAATTACTGTTTTTTACTGTGGTAAAGTTAATTTATGAACAAATACATATAGCTTAGAAAGAGACAAATAGACTACTTCGTAATAGCGTAACTGATGTGACATAATGACATAGGAAAAACATAGCGATCGTAAAGTACTAATTAAATATCCAACTTTCTTTTTTATTCTCTTTTTGGTTTACTTTTTCTCATTGAACATTGAAGAAAAGACTTCGAAAAAGTTGATATATTTTCGATACTTACTAATTTACTGATAAAAATAGGTCGATAGAAATATTAGCATAATACAATGTTCTATCGAATATTGATTTAACAAAGTAAAACAATTAAGTGAATTCATTAATTGTTTTGTTTTTAATTTCACTGCATATATTTCACTTAATAATACTTTTTAGGGAGAAAAAGTGACATACTTTTCGGAATATTAAAATGGCATAGGTTCCGGAGACATAGTTTCCGGAAGATAGAAACTTTTTATTCTTTTTTTCAGTGTAATTAGGACTCTTCCTATGGATGTAATTAAGCTGTAGTTAAGCTAACACAGGGAGAAAGTAAATGAGAGTATTAATTAATTTATCCCATTGAGAATCGAAGATTGTAATATTTCTTGTGAAATTCACTTAGTAGATAAATAAGTAAAATCAGTTTGTTCTAAAAAAATATCATTGCTAGTATGAATAGCATTTACTGATATTTCAGTTGGTAATCTCTCGTAAAAACTTTTGGAATGGAATAATACCTCATTATCTCTTCTAGATGCTGAACTATTGAATTCGATAACCGAATTATAATATTCCGGAAAGATGCATTCTCTTCTATCAGACAAATTTCGACACCAATGTTGCTTAGATTTCGATTTCCTGATTTGATCATTAATTGGAGTTATTCTCGAATACAAGAAAAGCACCAATACGATAATTGCAGTCAAGGCAGTTAATGTGGAACAGAGGACAGCAAGAGTTCGTTTTGCATCTTCTACTGTTATTTCTACAGTATCCTGAAATTATTTTCCACTAAAGTATTTTCGACTTGTATTGTCGTTTTTCTGGCATCTCATTGAATTCAGTTTTAAGGATTCAAAAAATTTATCTTTGAAGAATAACAAATTTTAAATTCAGGGACTTTTAAAGCATTGATTAACTTAATAATAATCCGATCAGTTTTAGTAATGAATAAATATTTTAATATTGCCTTTCCTTTTATGTATCCATGTGCAAATGCTTACCAGTGATGAAATACTGACGTTGTGCAGTTCATGTGGAGTGGCACAAATGACATTATGAATGGAACGCAAACGCAAAACATCCGGTAGGAATGTTAACAATGTATGATCACAGTGAAGTGGATTACCATGTAAGTATAGTTCAGCCACTCTGAAATACTATTGGATTATTGCAAAAATTTGATTGCTATTGTCTTAACCTATACAATGGGACGAATTTGCATTACTTTCAATGGTACAGAAATGAATATATATGCGTATGTATTATGTGCTTATTTTATTTACTTATGCTTATATATATAAATATATATATTGTTGATATCAGTAATTAGGTAATAAATTATGCTACAGACTTACCTTTTCCAATCAAATAAAGTAGGTGAAAAAGTTTTTAGAGCGCAGAAGCTGGCATTGAAAGTGTGCAAAGCGTGGCTTACTTCAAAAGCACTCTCATCAATGTATTCTAAGAGATGGCTGTAACTTAAATCTAATACTTCCAAAGATGCCAATCCAGAAAATGCACCATTCTAAAAGCAAATGCGTTTATAATTTCAAAATATAATTTCTTTTCTCTTTTCCATTAAAATTAGTATTAGCTTTGCTAAACAAAAATTATTTCACATTTTAGGGTTTTGATATTTATGAAATTTTTTTTGAATGAAATAAATCTAACCTGAATTTCTCTAAGATAACGTTGTTCATTTAATTTGAGTTGTTGTAATCGATATAATCCATCAAATGCTAATGCAGGAAGGAAAGCGAATTCATTTTTAGTTAAATCCAATTTCAGTAATGATAAAAGCGGTCGAAAACTGTGTGGCTCAATTTTTCTTAACTAAATTACACAAAATAGAAGTTAAATTTTACTATAAAGCTTTGTGAGAATTATAAAGAATAATAAAAATTTGATATAATTTCTTACCTTATTAAAACCCATATTCAAATATTCTAAGTTTATTAAATTATTTTGACCAAAAATTGGAATCTCTTGCAAAAAATTTGCTGATAAATCAATTGTTTTAATCAAATTTAATCCGAGCAATGCATCAGATGCAATCTGAAATTAGTTGACTTTTTTTATTGACTAATTATTAATTTGAATAGTAAACATTTAAATGACAGATATTTCGTGTGAGATTTCTCGCTGAGTTTACATTTGTTTAGTTCACCTCAAAATATTTCTTCACTTTTACTACAAAACTCATTTTCTTTGCTAGAAAGAATATCAGTGTTGAAGTAAAGGAACACTATTATTGTCTAGTATTTTGTATACCGTATATCTCTAATTACAATAACACATCTAACATGTTCCTACGAGATATCAATTCACTTATCATTGTGGATCATCGGATGATTAAAAAATTTCCAAGGATAAACCTTTTTTATAAAAGATCTCTGAGATGCCTCGACATCTATTATTATACAGGTGTTTTCTTTTTCAATTTGCGAGACCGTAAAGAATCAAACTATTAATTCGTTAATGGAAATAATATGAGTTTGAAATTATAATAAATCCATACCACTGTAATCATATTATGACTCAGATCAATAGATCTCAAATTAGGTAAGGTTTTGGCTATGAAACTATCCAGATACGTAATCTGATTTCCGGCAATTGTCAATTTTTGTAAATTTGTTAGACCATTAAATATTGTGAATGATAAATTCTGAAGCGCATTGTACGATAGATCAAATTCCAGTAACTCTGCTAAATGTTCAAGTGCATTCGATTCAATCACTTGCAATCTACCGGATGATAAATCGAGATACTGAAATTGTAGAAGAAACGAAGAATTATTTTTAGAAATTCCAAAACTCTGGAATCAACGAATGTCGCAGATAGTGGAATTGGTGAATAGTAAACTCGAAATGCTAATCTACCATACAAATATAAAAAATTGCCTTAGAAAGTTAAGTAAGGAAACAAATCTTTGAGTTGTGCCAATTTTCCAAAAATTTACCTGTAGTTTATTTAGTCCATGAAAGCTATTACGGAATATAGCCGGAAAATTATTATTACTTAAATTTAAAAGTTGTGTTTTGCCTTGATATCGAAAAACGCCATTTTCAATCACCGAAATATTGTTACTGGACAGATCCAAACGTATTATATCTATAAAATGAATTTAGGTATCAAACCGGGAAATGTGAAATAGAAGAAATTCAAAAAGATATTTTTAGCTATGATATGATACATGATGATATAATTTAAACATAAGAACTATGAAGTTTCACATTAGTCTAATTAACTAGTTTATACATAACTTTTACATTAAAATATATAAACTAGTATCACCAACCTGGATATAATTCCATGATATCGGGATCAAGCTGATTAATTTGGCAATTGGATAATCTTAGAGACTGAGTACCGGGGTGTAGCAAAGATGGAAGATATTGTAACTTAACATTATTACAATTCACGGTTAACTGATACTCATTTTCACAAGTGCAATTCTGGGGACAGAGGCCCAAAATAGAGCTAACAGACAATAATAATAAAGCAGTCGTGAGTGGAATAATCATTTAACTCTTTTCATGAGTCAACCGGTTTTCAGGATTTCACTACCAGTGAAACCAGTGATTTCACTACTTTCAGGATTTCACTAACTTCAGTATCCTTCTCTTGCGTAAGAAGAAATTCGGGTCATTAGAAAGCGCGTTGTAAGAGCCAAACTAAATTAAATGAAATTATAAATTTGATTGTTGTAGGTTTAATTAAATTATTAAATGCATTGAATTATTAAACGAAATACTTTTATGAAATGAAATACTAATTGAATTAATAAATGAATTTAACTATTAAATGTATAATACAAACATTAAAATCGATGAAATTGCAATAAGAAATTAGCTGATATTTTGAAGATATTCAAGAATTTCTATGAAAAAATATCTAATAGCATTGCTTATTTTCAAACATATGAAATTAATATATTGAAATGATCCTTGGCTGTTACATAAAAGATTTCCAACAAAAATGAAATTAACAAACGAATCAGCTATTTCTGACATTTGTTTAATTTATTCCTTTTGATATGCAAACTTGGCCAATATGGCCTAGAAGCTTTGGCTAATCTAGTTATTTGTAATGACTATGGGACAAAAAAGATGCAATAGACTGATATGAAATTTAGATTAGGAATGACTCATTCCTCTAATTCAAGAATGTAGCATTTAGTCAATTCAATTCAAATTTGAAAAATTTGCACATAAAATTTTTTCCGTAGAATTTCAAAGAAAATTAGAATTGAATATTAAGTAGAGAGATTGTTAAAGAAATTTTGATAATTAAGAATTAATGAAATATAAAAGTTCGAAGAATATTTGTTTTTCAGAAGTGAATGTGATATTACTGTGTAAACCTTTAGAAGGTTGTGAAATTGAAAACTTCTAAAGAAATTAAATGGCAAAAAGGTATCAAAGGAAGATGAAAAGGATTAGCTCGACAGGTGAAAAGAAGGTAACAACTAAAAAAGCGAAAGGGTCATAGTGGACGGCGAAACGGTTATCATCATGCCTCATCTTCCTCTCATCGTTCTTTTATGGGCAGATAATTCGACTATGGCTCAAAGGTCATCCTTATGAATGACTCATAAATGGCATGGACAGATGGGCAATCATTTATTAAGGAACATAACAAAGCAAACCGGAATGTATATACTAGACAATCAATTTAAATGTTTATAGTTGACAGTAAAAATTTAGAATTCGAAGTTGCCAAATTGAGAAGTCCTGAAAGATATATTTTGATATTGCAATTTCAATTTGAAATATTAGACTAAATGACAGTTACTTTGACCGATGAACTAAAAGATCACTAAAACTTCGAGTAAAACTCTGTGGATAACCTTTCAATCAACGTTTTAATAATTTACCCCTATCCAAAATTACCCAAAATTGATCGTATTAGCTTTCGAAAATTAATTCGGAAAGAAAGAAAGGATTTGATTGATCATTAGTGGCCCTCTTTAAACAATTGAAAGACGGCGTCAATTTGTAGAACAGCAATTTTTTGTAAATGTTGAAAGAAGGAAGAAAGGTACAAGGTTATGATTATGATTTGTATAATTACTTTGACCAGCGTTGACAATCTCGACCTTTCTATTTATGCAAATATAGTGACATTTGTCCACTAACCGCTTATTATCAATTTACCATTAATACCTAACAAATCAAGAAAATTAGACATTTTCTGTATGTACATTCTAAGAATTGATTATTTCCTTTGAGTCACAACTGTTTTTCGAAGGTTAATATTTACTATCATAAAACTTCAATTAAAACATCTGGCACTTATATCTATCATATTTAGCTATCGTTGCAAATTCTTCTATTAAAAAGAAGAGAAAGAGAATGATGATTGAATTTTAGAATTTTAATAATAAGTGATACAAATTTAAAATTAACAAAAATCATAAAACTTCGAAAAACAATAAAAATTGCCTGAAATGGAAATTTCAAAAAACAGCTGTAAACAAATATAAACAATAGATAAAAGAATATAAGTTAATTTCGAAAATATTGCTAACTTGGATTAAAAATGATAAATTTAATTAAAAATTTTTATAAAAGTTATCAATTCTCGAATCCAACTATTCTCATATATTTATTTCATTGATATCATAATATTATTGAAATAGTAAATTTATGCGATCAATGCAATCTTTAACTTCATTTTCTTTTGCTTTGTTATATTTTCAAAGATAGTTTGCATGACATTTTATTTTTCATCGTTCAACATATATTATTGAATTTAATCGTAAAGTGGTAGTTCAACTTTCGATAATCATTTAAGCAAACGAATTGTGTAGCCTTACACTTCCCGGTACATTAACCAATTACTCATTTAGTACTATATGGTATTATTGTGGTAAAACGAGTTAATTGTTGCATTCGTTAAATTTCATTACCATCCCATCTTTATAATACCTTTACTCAATGGTAGTGTTTTATTTGTTAGACAACATTGAATCATTGGTATCTAAGATTTGTAAAACGATGCCATCAGTATTTATAATCTTAATAATACCTTTACTCTATATATATCTAAGATTTGTAAAACGATGTCATCAGTATTTATAATCTTAATCAGAATATTTAAATTAAATTTCAGAGGTAAAATTTAATTGTTGAAATTAATTAATAATCAAAATTTTGCCATATTTGACCTTTTTAATTTCAATTTTAGCAAACAAAGTTGTATGAATTTTAGAGAAAATTAAAAAGTATTATTGATAAGTTTGCTTCTTTCTAATGATATTAATCTAATTTTGTCAAAAATTTCGAAGAATTTTAACAGAACAGAAAATTGGACACAAATTTTTATTGAAATTATACAAAAATTTTCGTTAAATCATTTTATATTCGTTATATTTTCGTTATTATTACTATCTTAAATAGTTAGTAAAGTCAATTCCTTAAAAAAAATTGTTGAAAAATTTAGGTTACTGTAATATTAACCTAAATGTTTTGTGATAATGCTAGTTAGTTGCAATAGTTTATTGTCAGTATTATTTTTTTGAAAAATAATTTTAAAATAAATTATTTTTCACTTCAAAAACAATTTCATATTAGGCATTTATGATATCCTCTCTAATCAGTTTATCAATATAAATAAAACCAATATCAATGATTGTGTAATATTCTATGTTTTATTTCATATCTTACAAGAAAAGAAATCACTCCTTCATCTTTGTTTTAATCTCATAATTAAAAAAAAATTTTAAATCAATCAATCAATCAATCAATCAATGTTAGTTTTAGGATATCACCAGAATATAAATAATATATCATAGAATAGATTAATCGAAATTATTTGATAGACTTCTAATTTTTGTTCGATTTGTCAATGTTTTTTTTGTCAAATAATTTTTACTATTTAAAAATTGAAATTACAGAATTGAAAAGAAAAAGGAACAGATATTCTTTTAATGCTTGCACAATGCGTTTTAATTTTGCGCAAGAATATATTTCTCAATTCTTCGGATATTATATTACGCTAATTATTCGTTATCCATGGCTATTTATTTCAATACCAATACTATTGACAGTCATACTTAGCACGGGATTGCAATATCAGGAGGATGCTTTCGTAAAAGATGAGCTTGGCCAATATGTTCCAATTAATGCCCAGGCTGGAAGAGAGTTACAACAACTAGATGAACTATTTCATATCGATGACATGGATCCATTCTATGCTACCAGAAGGTTGTTAGTTCATTACTTCTCTCAAATTACTTACCTTAAATCTTATTACATCATTTCATTTCATTTTCCAGATATGATATTAAACGAACCGGCTATATTATCGTAAGAAGTATTGTTAATGATCAAGATGTGCTGAAGCCAGCTGTTTTGGATGCGGTATTAAAATTATGGAATGTAATACAAGGGATTAGAGTTGAAGGAAGAAATGATACTACTTTTGATTATCCATCTATTTGTGTCAAATTTCCAATTTCATCTGAATTTGATGAAATTATTGCAAATATTTTAATGCATAAACCATCAAGGTCATTTCTTTACTGCAACTTTTCATTCACAATTTTTTCATTTAACTCATTTAGTTTTGAAATTTGTTGAATAAGAAGAAATTGCTCGAAAAATTTAATTTTATTATATGTACTCAGTGCATTTCCTTTCTGAAAAATCTAATCAAGTGGAAGTAAATTTTTCTGGTTTTTTTGAAAATTTTTTTTCCATACATTTTTGTTCTACTTAAATAGCATTATTAGGGAGAGGACTTTAATAATTGCTTATGACCAGTTTTGATTATTGTTCAGATTAATTACAGCCTTCAAAGATCTAAGAAATATTCTCAAAATTAAGAATAAATTTCAGGCTACAAGAAGAATGTGTATCAAATCCATTAATAACTGCATTCAAAATGTTCCTAAATGGTGATTTAAATCCGAAAAATGATACAATTGACCAGGCTCTCTTGAAATTACTCGCCAATTCTTTCTCATCCGATCTATTAAATAGTTTTTACAGCTTACTGGGTGGTATTACATTTGACGAGAAACATCGAATTTCCGGTCGTACCAAAAAATTTCTACTTATTAGCTTTTTTCAATAATTTCTTTCACTTCTTTTTCTAATCTCTTAATTTCCTTTCAAAATTTTGAATACATCTCATGCTGAAATTTTAGCTCATTATGTTAAGATTCAAATTGTAATAAAATTTCAAAACAAAGAAATGAAGAAAATAAGCAAACAACCATAAGTGTCTTTCTAAGTTTTTCTTATTTGTTTGCTTAAAGTTATTTATAACTTATAAGAAGTATAACGAAAAGCGCAATATACAAATACGATTAGATAAAATATTTTCTGTAGCATTAAAAAAAGTTTTCAGGTGCGAAAGCGATAATGTTACCTTATGCATTGCGACATTCAACAGTTTTCCAGGATAGTTTAGCTGAGAAGTGGGAGTTAAAGTTAACTGATTTTTTATTGCAATATACATCAAATATCATCAAAACTTCTTTGTGGACTTATGAAACGATAGCTGTAGAAAGCGCTAATGGCCGTGAGCAATTGATGAAGTAAGTAATAATTTATCTTAAAATTAAATGGTTTTCATTCCTTGTCATTTTTCTATTTGGCTGAAAATATAATCTGAACATATCGGTACTTCATAAACAGATTTTTGACCAAATGCGCCATAGCAAATTTTATCTAGTGCTTTACGAACACATTCATTACTATCATCTCATTTGTACGCTATTAAAGAAGCGATCCATATAACAAATTAGCCATAGATGTTTTTAGAATGCTACTTCCAAGTTTCTTAACATTATTACTGTATACAACATTATGTTGCTGTCTACCATCCTGGATTTATTCTCGACCATGGCTAGCTGCTGGCGGAGTTGTAAGTGCTGCAGCTGCCGTTATCAGTGGTATCGGCTTATTGCTGCTATTAGGCTATCATATTACCAGTGTTGCATATTTGATGCCATTCATTGTTTTCTGTAAGTTAGTATTATCTTAGAATCTTATCAATCTAAGATCTGAAAAGACCGACTATCAGATGATATCATCATTATGTCATCAAATCATGCGCTATTGCGAGACCCTGTCGAAAGCACATCGCGCATTGACAGAGGTTCATAATATTAAGTCCGTATTATGAGCGAACTTTTTAGCTGATTTACAAATGTTAACATTCTCTCAATGTTAACATTCTTATCTATTTAATATTATTTCTGCGAAGATTATAGATCTCATTTTTAATGAATGCATTCCATTGCTAATTTGTAGCAGTTGGAGTGGACAATGTATTTATCACACTGTCAGCGTGGCGATCGACTTCTTCTATCGCTCCATTTGATTCACGGATGAAAAAGGCATTCACGGATGCATCCTTCTCAATTACTGTAACTTCCCTTACCGATCTCATTTCCTTTACTGTTGGTTACTTTGCACCTTTTCAATCCGTACGAGTAAGCATAAATTTTACTATAATTTCACAAAAATTAAACTTATAAAAGTTCATTTCATTTGGTTGAAAACAATTTAGCTAGTTTCATGCTTAAATGGTGTTATAGTTTAGTTGATATCTCCGCTCATAAATTTCTATTAGCTTATTTTTTTAGAGTGATAAGAGTATAAATATGAGGAAGTACGTGATCAATGAAACTATCTAACATAAATAAAAGATTTGAATGAATATTTATAATATTTAAATTTAATTTTTCGTATCATTTCAGACATTTTGTATGTATGCAGCATCGGCTATTTTTTTCACATATATTTATCAGATAACATTCTTCTCGGGTAAGTTGTATAATTTTTAAAAGCATATTATGAGGAAAAACAACGCCTCTATTAATTTAATTGTATGTTGAGATTGATAAAGGATATAATTCGACTAACAGACTACACTAGATCAATGACACTTTATTGTCAACTGTTGATGGCACAGAATTTTCAGCTATACTAGTCTTGACGAGCAAACGTGAAGCTGCCGAGCGACATTGCTTAACGTTCCAGAAATGCAGGAAAAAGGGATATTCCAGATCGCATACTTTTCCTAAAAGTTAGTTTAATTATCTCATAAATTAAAAAATATTTTTTAGTGAATATTTTTGTACAATTTTCGGGCTAGGAATTCTTATAGCACGGATAAATCTAAACAAATAAATAAATAAAGTAATGATTGAAATTAATTATTAAAGAAAATTCTTTTATTTAAAGCTTTCCAATTTATGGGTTTAATTCGTTTTTGAACTAAATATTCACATTTTGAATTTAGGTGTCAAATTTTGAATTTCACTATTGCTTAGTACTTAGGATAAACTATAAGATAAACTAATCAAAAAGGAAGCAAAAAATAATGCTTGAAGTTGATAAAAAAAATTTTGCATAAAAAATTTTATTTTCAATTGCGTCACATAAAGGTCATACGCTTTATTGGTCAACGATCAAAGAGAAACAGAAAATGACACCACATCGCAATCATTTCCTTGCGAACTTTTTCCGTACAACTTACTCAGATTGGTTATTCGAACCAACTGCTCGATTAATTATACTCGTACTTTTCGTCCTCTACCTCGTAAGTTCCATCAATTTATTTGCAAACATTTCACGTCTTCAAATTAATCCTTTCTGACTACATACATTTAAATTATATTATCCTTAATTAATATATATTGAACTTCAGTTGGAAAGGTGAGATTTTTTCCTTATTGTAGATAACATCAATTTGGGGTTGTATGCATGTAAAATTGGGTCTTCAACCGAATGAATTACTTTCAATAGATTCATATGGTCGTGAAGCTTTATCTGTTATGGAGAAATACTTTTCCGGTCAGTTTTTCTTCATTTTTTCTACTTTACTTAAAAGTGCAAATATATATGAAGTATGGACTAATTAAAATCATTTTAAAATGAAAATTAAAATTTTTTCTAATTTTTAAATTTTTGAAATTTAAAAGATATTAAATGTTAGCGATAGTACCTTGATGGCATTTATTTGTTTAACTTATCTTCTATTTGAAGAATAAATTAATTTATCTATTTACAAACAATCTTTTTCTTTTCGAGACAATTCACATTATTATTAGCCTTACATAACGTCTTATTTACGTCCTGGAAAAAGACAGAATCTTTGATGGAGCCATAGGTAAAAGTTCATATTGAGGAGTGAAAATTTTGCCTGTGATGGCTAATTACCTGATCTGCCTGAAATTCTTGTTCGAATTCTACTTGATCATCATTCCTTTCAAGCTTTTTTTCGACTGTCGTGGTCTCTTTTTAAATGCTACTCTCTAGTTAGCTTAAAAGAGATATTAGACTGACCTATATGTACACTTGCTCGAAGCTAAGAAAGAACTTGAACTCCGTCATGTTTTGCTTTCACCTTAATATGACAGTAATTGTAAAGGTATGATGTCCAACTTTTTAGAGATTAAGTGATGCATGCGTGTGTTGATGAAATCTTTTTAGATTATGGGTCATATTTGCACGTATGGATGTATAATTTGTCAGAATTCAATTTTTCAAATGGCCGAATTTGGACGGTGTTGGAAAGTGAAATAGCGCTGTACGAATATACTGAATACACGGGGAGCAGTGATTCGTGGTTCATTTCGGATACATACCAAATTTTTATTTAAAGCAATTTTAGACTATTTCATCTATTTAGTATTAGGACATTCCTAGAAATCTAATTCTTTTCCAAAAACAGTCAGAAGATATTTGTAGTGCATGACGAATGCTTTACAATCTTATTTATTTGACTCAATTTATTTTTGTTTAGCACTCAAGAATTTAAAATAAAAACTTTCATGAAAAACTGAAGAATTTTTTCAAATATTGGTTCCTGAAGATCCTGAAAAGTTTTGCAAAAATTTTTAATTTCTAATGATGACTAGAAGAATGCAAAAATTTGCGAGGATGTTTCATAACTTCTGGAAGAACGATACAATTTTAGGTTACGCGCAATGATGCAATACTTTCAAAAAAGTAACATCGAAATAACACCCAACAATTTTGTATATATTTTGAAGAATATTTTCCTTTCTCAACCACAATTTGCTCGTTATAAACGGTATGCTTAATTGTTCAGTTCGTTGAAATCCGATGAAATGTTAATTATATCACACAGCAGACATTCTCTTAAACTTTAAATTCCAATTTATTCTATTATCAGTGATATTTTGTTTGATGCTACCGGTAATTTCCTGGAAGTTTCACGTGTCCTTGTGCGGTTACGTCATGTTGGAGCAAGTAATCAATCTCGTGCTATGCAGGTTTTAAGAAATATTGCAAAATCGCGAATCATTAAGACTGGAGTATATGCTGACTTCTTCCAGGTCATTTTATACGAATATTTTTATTGAATTCATGCAGTCATAGCAATTGATTTGTAATTCCGAACTTTGACGTAATTCAAATTATCATGAAATTGCAGTTTGCGGAACAATACGACGCAATACTTCCGGGTACGCTATCAACGATAGCAGTTGCTAGTTTTGCTTTAATTATTGTTTCCTTATTGTTAATACCGAAAAGAATCACATCATTTTGGATTTCATTAAGTATCATTACGGTAAATGTCGGCATCCTTGGCTTCATGACCTTTTGGAATGTTCGGTTGGATTTCGTTTCAATGATAACAATTGTTATGAGTGTTGGCTTTTGTATTGATTTCGCTTCACATTTGGCGTTTAATTTTTCTAAGGTTTTTTTAATTTTCAAGTTCTTCTTTAGATTTTATTTGAAAATTCATAAATACTTATTTCACAAATTTTTTACCCAATCAATAACCATATTTGATACTGCTTACTTTTCAACTGATAACGAATGACAATATGTTTTGGCTTTGATAACTTCTTCCTTTTCTATCCATTATGATTACTATGATACTGAGAACATATATTGAAAAGCAATACTATGAAAAATTATTTTATGTTAAAGCCGCCGGTATCAAGACATGAACTAAGTACATGACTTTTGGCTCACCTTTTTTGTAGGACGATGGCATAGGCTCTTCTGAGCGAATGCGTAATGCTTTATACAATGTTGGCGTTCCAATAATACAATCTGCCAGCAGTACAATTATCGGTAAGTATTCAAAGTTTTTGCGTATTTTAGACTGCAATAGGATGATAAGGAAGAAATATCACAGATGATGACAAATTTGAATGAATGTTTCCATCTCATTAGCACTGCACTATCAATTAACGATATGATATCTCTGATTACAGGAGTTTCATTCTTAGCAACAATTGATAGCTATGTATTTCGTTCATTTCTAAAAACAATCATCTTAGTGATAACAATTGGTACACTGCATGGTTTGTTGATACTTCCAATCCTACTTACGCTATTCACTTGTGATGAAGAACCTACGTAAGTTTTATTCTTTACTTTTCAAAATTTTTTAAGGTTGTTGTGGTTTTCTTTTCTACTTTAGGCAATCATTTTTTTCCACTGCAAATGGCTGTCAAACGATTACAAAATGAATCTGAGACAGATTGTCGAAGTTATCATGATCATCAATATCCCATTGCACCTTACTACTTCATGCCAAAAATTAAGCAAAACGTTGGTGACGAGTAACAATTGCTACTTAGGAGGATAAATATGAGTATTAAATATATAAAAAAGGAAGATAATACAGATAATCTGCAATATCTGAACATCAATATTTTGAAAATATTGACTACTCGAAATATTACATCGCAAAAAGGAATTAAAAATTATATGTCGATATTTTCCAGTTTTATATCAAGGAAGCATAAATTAAACGTAAGAACAGGAAGAAAAACATTAGAATCAACATCTATCGCTCCTATTTCTATGTGTTATGAATCTCCTATTGCAATTGGAATAAACCAAAGTTCCCAATACATCAACAATCGTAGAAATCGCATGCCAGTAAATTTCCTTCAGTTTGTAATATAAAAAGTTGCAATATAAAACAAACAAAATTTATTCTAGAAGCAATTTTTTTAGAAGCAATTCAAAAGCAATTTTAAATTCCGAAAAAAACAATAATGTCTACTAGTTCATCCTTTATTAGAATTCTCCTAAATCTCGTGATGAAAAAAGTAACGTAGCATTTCCAGTTTGTGATGGTACCATATCTCGATGTCACCGCATTGCAGTCATACTGGAACGACCGATACTACTACTGTAATGTATACGAGAAATATTGGGATAAAGAATTGACGAGCACACAGCAGGAAGAATTTATACGACAAAGTCATCCAAATTTTTACACTCCTTTTATGGATTCTAGATACGGTTATGTTTTTCATTCACTATAATTTCAAAAACGAAATAAAATATTTAAATGCAGTAGCAGCAGCAAGATAATGATCGACTTCAACTTCTGTTATTTCCACAACTTATTCTATCTATTTACTCAAGAGTGTTACCCCATCACTCTGTAATCGATATTTGCAATCTGATTTCTTCATCATGCAGCATGAAGTATCGATTTGTAAAATATTTTTATGAAAAACTGAAGGACTCTTTATCTCAAAAAAACAGATAACTAAACAATAAAATTGATGCGAAATCAATGCGATTTAAACGCAACAAAAGAACCACAAGTAATGGAATACTAGGCGATAAATATTGTTCACTCCTTCCTCAGAAATCTATCCACTTTCTTTGTTTGTTGTAATTTTTTTGGGAGATCATTAAAAACATATGTGAATACTCTTTTATTGAGCTGCAAAAGCAAGTTTTATATTTCATGAAAATTTTTTAGTAAAAACTCTCATAACAAATACCATAGCTAGAAATGACATAACTATAGCACAAACACCAACAATGTACAAACAATCACACCACGAACGATATGCACGCTCTTCAAGTCGTTTACTTTCTTTTAACAAACTCCCTTTATGACTATTTGCCGCTTGCTGCAATCGAGATAACATCTGAAATACATAAACTTTATATCGTTTATCTCTTAAAAGTTTAAGAGATAAACATTATTTTAAAAGTTTATCTCGTTCACATAAGTTCTATTTTTCAAACGATTTTTATATCAAACATTCTTTTAGTTCTCATGTTAATGAGGAAAGAACTCCTGTTGTATAACTACTATAGGACCGTTATATCATTCTGAACCCTATCATTCATCGAAAACGCCACACTACTGCATACAAGTTACTCATTCCATTTTCTTAAATATATTTTTAAGACAAAATTCCAAGACGAACCGCATTATCTTCTTTGATAACTGCACTAGCTGTTGAATATGTTTGTTTCATTAGGCGTGTCATACCAAATAATTCGTCCATCAAATTTTCCTGCTTTTCAGCTTCACGCCGAGAAATTTGTTCCGCATCCAAATCAAGATCAGAAGATGATGACCTCAATAATTAAATGTTGCAAAAGCAACAAAGTTGACAAAAAAAATGTGAGAGGAATAAGATTTTGTTCGTCAATACAATAAAGTGTAGTGAAATTTATGGTATATTTAAACTTTTCCGGTGCTCCAAGTAACTGCAAGCGCAAATCAGCCTGTTGTGCGGCCTTCTTTTTGGCTTTCATAAAAACATCTTTATTCGGATCTTCAGCAGCGGTTTCGAAATCTGTTGCTAAGTCCTGTTCATCGTCAACTGCGGTAGATTTCTGAAATTTGTTTAAAATTTTAACAAATTGCAAATGCCTTTAAGAACTTTGACAGATAAATAAAAAACCTTACTTTTTGCTCTGCCTCAATCTGAAGACGTAGTGCTTGCAAATCTCGTCCATAATGCTTTAAAACATCCCCATCAATGTTCCTGAAACTTTTGTGAGTACTATTGATCGTCGATTTTTTCCTTTATATTAAAGCCTTAAATATAAATGAAAAAATCGACGATCAGTAATATTTCCTTCATAAATATTTCATAACTTATATTTCCGGTGTGTAAAGTGAAAATGGTATCTTAGAGTACAATTTTTCATAAATGACAATGCTTGCAACTGACCAATAATAGCAACTGAATTTAGAATAAGACATAGGTAATAACGCAATATTATATATCTATGTTCAAACACAAAGAAACTAGAACGCTCACCTGTTCCTTTTTAGTCGATCGTATAATTCCCCCAGCTCTTTTAGAGCTGCATGAATTTTAAATATATTGGAAGAAATATTTTCCGCAAGAAGTCTCTCACTACGGTCCAATAACTGCTGGAAGTTAACTTCATCTACTGTAACGGTTCCCATTACGATTGCTTAAAATAATTGAAAAATTAAGTTGGCATAGAAAATGTTTTAGTAAGACAGAGATAACTAATTATATCATCCTATATCCAAACTGCCATAGCACTGAAACCACTGATTGATTTGTAGGCAACTAAATATTGTGCAGCATCTTCTTGAGGACCTTTTCCGCAGATGTAAGTCCAAAACTATCATTATAATACCACGTAATTTCTAATCTGTTATCACGCATTACATAAATGGAGGTTTTGCAGAAGAGAACAAAGAAACAATGCTTTTTTGTAATTACAAAAAGCTACTTATGACACTACTGAATTTCAGGGGAAATATGAATCCAGTAAGTTGTAGCTCTGTAAATACAATGACGGAGAATTTCTTTAAAAAGCAAAAGTGTACATAAAGTAACAATGGTTTATTGCAGTTAGTGATTATAATATAGTCAAAAACATCACTTACAAATAAAGTAATGTAACAATGAAAAAGCAAGTCAGTTATGTTTCAATCCTATGGAAAGATTCGAAAATTTATGACACCAAGGGTTTATTATAGAGTTGAGAGACTTTTAAAGATTTTTGACCATTCTCACATCGAAAGCCATGAAGAAAATCTTTGTCTTATAAATTCAAAACAATGCCAAATGAATTATACCTTTGTTTACCCCTTCCAATATCCTCACATTTCACGATTCAAAAAAGTTAAACATAACAAACACAGGACTTCTTATTTAAAAATTAAACAAGCTGCTGCGCTTCCTGTTCTTTTTCTTTTTCTTCATGTTCTTTAATCAGTTGTGAGACCTCAGCACTAGTAAGATTTTCCACCACTGTTTTATCATTGCGTCGTGTCAGTGTTGCCATCTCAACTGTAAAACTATTAGAATAAAAGATCATGATATGCGGAAAATTCGAAATCAGAGATTTAGAATATTTCAGCAGCTACAGGTATAAGTAAAATCTTGGTAGTCGAAAGGAATACAGAATTGACTAATATATTAGCGTAGCATGTCTAACAGTGAAAAAGTGATTAAGATTTGGAAGATAAGTAAAAAGAGACTGTGTAACAAGCCTTCTAGTCTCATTTTAGGTCAGCATTCAGCCATTTCATTAATTTATTATAAGCATTACAAAAATAGTGTGTAATGAAAAGTAAAAAGAGATTCTAGACATTTTAAACTATTGAATTAAAATTTAGTTTTACAAATAAGAAAAACATTATACTTTTTTCCGCCGATAATTTTACGTCTAAAGTTTTCGATAAGACCTTCATGGCTAATTTCTTAGCTTCAATTAGATCGGGTGATTTGTACTCCTGCTTCAGCAATGATACAGCAGCCTGAAAACGATTAGACATTAAAATGACCAGCAGATATAATCAAACTAGACATGTGCCAATACCCACTAGTTTAGAGCTCCCAAATTTACCGGAATCTTAAAGACATCCAAAGTCAGCGTGACTAGGACATTTACAGCACCAAAATAATATTGAAGTCTTCATAAAGAAAAAACATTAAAAGGCAGAAGTGATAGACCAAGACAGCTATAGCAATAAATGCACTATAAGCACCTGATGATTATTCCCTATGCATGTTGCTTTCCAACCAGTGTAGTTGCCACTCGGATCAGATTGATAAAGCTGATAACCAAAATGCTGGTCCCATCCCATATATAGCAATGAAACGCCAAATGGTCGTTTTCCTATATTTGAAACCGTTGGCCGAACATTTGAAAATTTCACGTTTATATGAAGTGAGAACAGGCAAATTATTTTTATGTGTGATAGTATTTGCTCATTTGCAGAAACCTATTCAACATAACAAATTGGTATCGTTGAAATTCTATAATCTCCTTGACTATGTTAGACTCCCAAATTTGCAAATGGTAAAATGATGTACAAGCTAGCTGCTGAAGAAAACTACATCATAATTTATCATTACTCTCTGGAAGAATTGATAAAAATATAATGTAACCTACCTCCAACTTGTGTATAGCGTTGCTTCTCGTTACAAAGCATCTGCACCAGTTGCTCAACTGGGATATGCTCACCATAACTATACTTGTAATCTGCTGCCCAAAATCTTAGATGGTTGATCAAAATGTTGGCATCGGCCGTAATCCCCGCAACTGTACAAGCAATATTATCCGCCAATCGATAAATTTTTTCAGTTAAAACCTGAAATTTAGTACGTTATGATTTATTTAAATCTCAACTAATACCACCACAGGTTGTCTAGTCATTCGGCGCAGTACTTAGTAACTATTTTTAGACAAAACACTATATGGATTTTTTTTAAAGAACAACTTAAAATTTATGCGATGAAAAATAGAAAACTTTTCTTCCAAACATCTATTCCTCTAACAATCGCCTTTTACTCTTCATTTTCCAACACACCGGAAGACTTTTTCATTTTTTATTAAATCTACTTAGTGATTAAACAAGTATTTAAAGAAAAAGCAACTGCTTCAACATATAAGAATTAAGAGATATCGAAAATGCATACTTCATCGTCAAGCAACTTATGCACGTTCCGTTTCTCGGCAGCAATAAGGATACCATCAGAGGCTAAAATACCAAGACAAGTACCCGCATGAGATATAGCCTCCATTGCATACTCCACTTGATAAAGTCGACCTTCTGGTGAGAAGATTGTTGTGCGAGTATCATAGCGTCGAGCCTAAAGACTGAGTTCACTAATTTCTTACAAGAACGAGCTGTAGTTAAGAAGTTTAAAACAGTTATTGAAACTAATTTTCTCACTATTGCACTATGTATGTTGACCATGCATTTAAAGCTTTGAATGCATATAGCGTGATGTAAAATGACTAGCACACTATATTTATGCAGTTGGCGACTCAATCTTTGTAATGGTTCGTATTCACGTAATAGTGGCTAGAATGAGGCACTTTTTTCTTTTTATTTGTCTTCTTTTCCTTATTTTCCTCTTTCTATTTTGAAAATGATGTGGCTGATTGATCCAAGGGTATATGTAAAAGTTTATGAAGACTTAAGCTCCATCCATCATAATCTTTATTTTAACAGAGACTTGCCATAACTTCGAGATGTTATAGTTGATTCCCAAGCGATGATTCTACCTGAAACTAAACGAGCAGTTAACGATCGCGTAAAACTACATCTATAAACATCTCATCGTATGCAATGAAGACAACGACATTGCGTGTTACCAAGTTAAAACTTCAGAAATAATATCCAACACCGCCTCCAACCACTTATAATCACAGACCATGCCACCTCTATTCCGTCTCCCTGGTCCAACCATCTCTCGTTCCACTGTGTGATGTCACACAATAGCTTTGACACGGACTTTGTGCAAAAATTCGCTTCCACCGTTCGAATGGCAATATGTCATGAGGTTGTTAAGAATATTAGTCATGAGGTTGTTAAGAATATTAGTCATTCTTTGAATAGCGAAGTTTCTGCAAGACTGGTAGCAGGAATGGAACTGCTTCATTCATGGAAATAGTTCATTGAACTTTTTTTTACAGCTTCAAAAAGAAAAAGCAATATTAGTATACATTTGTAGTACGATGCAAGCCCGTTCAAAAATATAAAAAGTACTTTATTTCGATGACAAATACTTAAGGTATAAACGTCGGAGGACGCTATCATAACCGGTAAATACATCAATATCCATAGCATAAAGAGAAATATCAGTATATACTAGAGCTCGCGGTGGTTCACCTCGTCGTAATTGCTTGCAATCCGTTCCATGGGAGAGCACACCAAGTAGTGACCACTGACCGGTTGATCCGAGCACAGCTAAACCTCCTCCACTATCACCCTGAAAAGTGAGATAATCTATATTTAAAATTAGTTACAATTTTTCTTGCTTGGATAGGAAAGGAAATATTATAAGATTCATATTCAACTGAAAGTATCAATAATTTTAAGATTAATATTTAAACTTGATGATTTGCATAATTGAATTTTAAGATTAATATTTAAACTTGATAATTTGCATAATTGGACAGAATGGATTAATCTGTAATCGTCACCACATATTTTCATTATATCCTTTCTGAAAGTACTTAGTGGTTGTTATCATCTCAAAGTGAAATGGGAACAGGGCAAAACTTGCAAATGGGTCGCAATAGTTTAAATTAAAATAAGCGTCAAACTACGAATGCTTCTAGAAGACGATGCCCAAAGCAACGAAAGAATTCGCTGATCATAAGAAATGTTGTGAAAGAAAATTTGATGAGAGAATTCATCGAAGCAAACAATCTACGTCACAAGCGAATGATGCAATGAACTTCACGTATTGCTTCGAAGAAGAGAAGATTGAAAACGAACACGTATATTTCAGTTTCTTTTATTTCAAATGCATCAGCATCTTGACCGTACATAAATACAGTACGGTACATAATAAGTACATATAGACTATACAGTACATAAATTTACAGGTGCAATTCGAAGCCAGCATTTTGAATTTCTTGCAAGAAGTCATCATCATCATCTGTTGTTAGAAAATACTCTATACTAAATGATATTGAAGAATCATAATGATTCTTTATATTATTTATAAGTTATAGTCATGTGATGAAGAAGAGTGTATGACTGGAGAAGATCAAGAATATCTGATAGAACATGTACAAATTTTGTTGGATTCTTATCCGAAATGCAATTTCATCCAGCAAATATTGCAGAAATTATGCAATGATGGAACGGTATATTAACAAAAATTTATAATATACATATAGATGAGAAAGGTCATTGGTGACCAGGTTAATTAACACATAGATGAGAAAAGTTATTAATGACGAGGTTATTGTAATTCTAAGTAACATTAGTTATAGGTCCATTTTTTTGGAGATAAAAATGTTGTCTCAAAAATGACAATTACAGTTGACTGAGGAAATAATAGCACATCTCATCGATAGATCGATTCAGAAGCGAAGAGAGATTCAAAAACAACTTAACATTCTAAAAAGCAATCAAATTAAAAAATCAAACGCTAAAGATGAGCAATGCTAAGGTACTGAATTTCTTCAGTTCAAATTCATTTCAACAATCATAATAAAATAAAGATTGATTCATAAACAAGTTGGTTGACAGTCGAAAACTTTCAAGACTTTCAGAGAAAACTAAAGATTATCTTAGATGAAAGGCAGTTGAATGTTACTGGTTGCAAAAATTCATAGAGCTTAAAATATAAAATTTTAAATCCGAAATTATTTTATTGCTGCTACTATGCTAAATTTTATGCTTCAATGGCGTATGTTGGTGTATGTTGCAGAGCTGTTGAAAAGTAGTTTTTTTCCACAATTAAAATAATGATTTAAGCGTCCATGCAATAACTAAATATAATAATTGGGATTTGAAATATTCAAAACTTAAAAATGTAAGATTAATTAACCTGACATGTACTTGCTTCGCTACTTTCCACTGCACATATCGCATCTTTTGTTTTTGATATTTGCAAACATCTCAGTCGATTCATTGTTTTTGGAAAATTGACTAATTGTAAATTGTTTGCTGGTTTTTCTTCATCATATGTTACTGAAATTATGAGCTCTCAGTCTAAATAATCATAGTATTTCTTAAAATTAGATTTAAATTGATGAACTCACGAATTGAACCCCAACCATAACCAGTTAATCTTATTTGATCGACTTCTCTGACAATATTTCGATGCCACAGGCAAATATAATTAGTTAGCGGTTCTTCAATTATTTCATCCAATTCTAGTAGTGCAAAATCTGCCATTCGGCATTCCTCATTAAAAAATCGTCCATATTGCGCTCTAAAATATATGACATAATTATAATTATATAATTCAATTACATAAGTGATATATTGATAAGAGATATAAAATATCAATCAACTTATTTAGCTTAGCATATAGAGTGTCAACTTTTGAATATTAATGTCCTGACGTGGCGAATGAACAACAGAACAATTTGTAGGACAACACTTTTTCGTGTTATTAAAAAATGTGATGAAAGCGTTCTAAATTATTTCATATGTTGAAGTTTTCAGCATGCCCTCATGTCGACAAAGTTCACAAAAGCTATGATATTCGTCAAATCATTCCGTGTGAACCGTCTATTGATTGATTGATTAGTATTTTCATAATGATTGTCTTTTATTTATATTAGCTTAGAAAACAGCGATCATAAAGCAATATGATAAAATCTAGCAAACCAAATTGCTGTAATACTTAATGTTTTTAAATTTTAATTTAAAATCTCGAAAGTAGAAATTATAATTTAACCTAATGATTTTTCTCGTTTTCATTTCTGGCGCATCGTTACAAAAATTTTCATCCCTTTGTTGTATACAGTTACTGCCATATAAAATACTATACTTTTTAAGAGCTTCTTCTTGGTGATAACCAAAAGATATGCTGGAAACTGTAGGTGATTATGTTTATAATTGAACTGTGTTATTTAATTGTCGAATGAAATTAATTAAACTATGCGTGCATATGTAAGGACGAACGTATAACGTTGTAATTTTGTAAAGGTCAGCATTAACAGAAACTTTTCTGTCCATCTTCGATATTCGTCTTGGTCAAGCATAATCTTTAACATTGCTCCGATATTTCTGCCTCAAACTACAACTCTAAGTTTTGAAGGATGAAGCAATCAATCATTGTTAGCTGGCATTATGTATAATTGAATTTAATTTAACTATTTTATTAGAAGGTATGAAAATTAGTGATAAATGTGCATAACTTTTTATAAAATAGTAAGTGGAAGTCCCTTGCTTTTGAACACTTCTCGAATATAAACTACTGGTATGAAAAATTTCAAACTTTCAATTTTTCTTAGTATCGTTGGAAGCTTTAAACATCTAATGGTAGGGATACTTGCTGTGACAAAAAAGAAGTCAACTGCTTGCATCCTTCAAATAACAGAGCTAAAAAGAAAAAAAACAGCTAAAATTTTTCCGGAATTGGCATATCCTGGTTTCTTCTACTATCTCTATCACTGCTAATTATTTACTATATTTTAAACTCCTAGCTTATGGATGAGGCCTGTAATTTTTATCACTAATTGAAGAGTTAAATATTTACATGTACCCTAGCAATTATTGTATTTCATTTAAAACTTATTCGTTAGTTTATATGGCCTGACCATACAATCATTTAGCTAATGACATCATTAGATTCTCTGGGAAGGTCCAAACTGAAACAATAACATTTTACGAGGTCTGTTATCATTTCTCATGAAATCACTGAAAATTCTTTATACCCCAATTAAAAAAATTGACGAACTTGCATGGCTTCGTAATGAAAAGCTTTTTAAAACAATGCGCAGCTGTGATAACGTGCTTTCGTGATATCAATGTTCCCGTACACAAATATACTATAACATAAGCAAAGTTTATTTCCGGCAAACGAGACTGTGAGAGTATTTTTCAAAAACTGAATATTTTAGTGTAATTTGGAAGCAGTTATTAAACATTGTTTACTTTATGATCTAGTGTCTTTAGATAAATGATATTTTAATGAATGTATTAATGCAGTAGATAATGAATGAAAAAACTATGCCAATCAAAACGTCATCCAGTTTACTGTTGATGAATCATGCAAAAGAGCCGATATCATCGTTTCATTCAATTTACGCTTTAGATAGTTAAAATTTTCATCGTTCAGTCATTTTCGATCATAATTTAAGAGTTTGTAAATTATTTGCTCAATGTCATGAATCTCTCTTGGGCTATTGTCCCTTAACTTTCCTTTGACAAAAATGACCAATATATTTTAAAGAAAGTTAAATGGAATAAAAAAAGTGGACATGATGAAATTTTCCAGATGTAGTCAAAACACAACCTCGACCATGAAATAATGCTACAGCCCATGACATCTCTCCTGGTGAGGCATTTTCTCCGCCCATTATTTTAAATTGAATTTTTCCGGTCATATTGGAGCTAGTGCCACATTCTTCCGGATCTGTAATCATTTATAACTTTTTGTAGTTTGTTAAATATATAAATTTCTCAATGAGTTTTCAGCAAATGATATGTTAACTCAATCTTTCGAATTCCTAAGAGCATTGCATCTGATCATGAATTTTTGTTAATCAATTAAAATTTTAATTGTTAACTTGATCTAATTTTATGGAAAAAATGAAGAAATGAATAACTCAAACCATAATATTTGTCCGATGGGATGAATATATCTTTGAAAACTGAAATAGTGTTAAAATTCAATTCTTTTTTTTCAATCATACTTTAACTCGAATTTAATAAAACTTGATAGATAGAAATTGAAAATGTAGTATGGATTAAACTAAACTTCTATCTGAATCATTAAGAAATTGCTGTCTCAAATATGTTATTTTTGATGAAATAAAGATATCTTTAGCAACCATAAATAAAGGTATTAAGATGAACTAACATTCCGAACTTACAATACCATCAAGTAATAAAATCATTATCATACATTTCTCAATCATATTCCTCTTTCTCATCCAGTTAATTTATCTATCTTCAATTACGACTATTTCTCTGAAACAGACAAACAAAGACTATACCACATATTTATGTGTCTTTGTATTTTTAGATATCGGTAAAAAGTGGAGGGGAAAATTTTACATATTGTAAGCTTGAATTAATGAATTTTCAATAACTGAAATAAATTTCAAGTAAATGTAAATCATTTATGGTATGTAAATTATTTATGGGACTAAGCAAAAATTTTATACACAAATTCCCTTAATATTTCATAGTAGCATGATGAAAAATCGCACTTCGAAATGAAAAGCTAAGGGTATTACGGGAGCAGGCTCAGTTCAAACATCCGTCGCTAAAGGATTACACTTTTAAGACAGTCCTAAAGGTTTCAATAATTTTTTCATTGATTGTTTCAAAAGTCATGTGATGATCATAACGAGAATCAAATCTTCAAGCCATGTATGTAAGTTATGCTTTTATCATTTACCCTGAAAATTTCTGTCCAACTCAAAATTTCGATCCTAGGCCTGGTTCTTGACAATATTTATGAGATAATATGAGAGAAAAATGTAGGAGAAATGCTAGGAACACAACGAAATTATCTATTTCTAAAATTTCATGTAGGAGAAATGCTAGGAACACAACGAAATTATCTATTTCTAAAATTTCAACGATTTGAACGATGGGACACCTAACCTGCCTATGAATAAAGTCTACTGTTACCAACTTAGCTAACTCAAAAGCATTGGATTATTGGGATATTGGAACGCAAAGGATTATGGCTATATTTAAAAATGAGATGACTCCAATTTCAGACCTCTATCCTAAGTCTATTTAAATATTTGAGTACTATAGGTAGTTAACATTTTAAATTCAAAATTAGTAATAAAAAGACTTGAATTCCTTTAAAGTTGAATATATGATAATCTTGTTCATTGATGTGTCAACGAATTAGCACAACTATTAAATATCGTTACAAAACATGATAACGATTTCAAGAAAAATCTCCCAAAATTCATACTCGAAACCCTGCTTTGATTTTCTATGATCCCAAATTAAACAATATTTTAAATAGCAAAATTATATAAATAGAAGAAGAATGTAATTTAAATTAAAAGAAGCGAAAATTTCATTGATAAAATAATAGCAAAAATAAGAATAAAAAGTACAGAATAACACCTCAAGAAAAGCAAAGTAAATGACTTGCCATAAAATGCAACTGAAACAGAAATATCGATCTTGTGAATATTGAAAATTAACATTAAATGAATTTAAAATGTAAAAAAGTAAATTGAAATCTTTTTCCAGATGCAATTCTTGGAAATTTGAAAATGGTTGAAATAACATGCACAAGTCATTAGCTTCATTCCTGAATTTACTGTGACTAAATTGAAACATCAAATCAATCTATTCGAAGTTCTCGTCAATTAGTTCGACTTTAATATAAATATAAACTGTTTCTATTCCCAACCTCTATTTACCCCTACAAACAATTGTTTGACTGATAAATGGTGTAACTGCCAACTAATTTTCATGCAAAAATATAACGCTAAACTACATTTTGAATCAAAACTCACCGAAAATTTTGATACTTTTTAAAAACTGATGAAGCATGGGGCGAAAACTAAATTTAAAATGGAAACACTGCCAAATACACCAATGAAATTGAAGAAGATCAAACTCAATAAGGTTGAATAATATCGAAAGATTAATCGGGCTGATTTACCTTCATTTTCTGCATTTTTTAAACATAACTGTAAAAAATACACTCAGAATAAGACGTTGAATATTCACAATAAGTTATAAACCCATATAACAGATTACGCAGCACAATACCACTTTTAATTGGATTGTTTGAAACTTTTTAGATCAAAGGAAAAAAGAGCATTCAATTATTGGAAAAATAAGCAAGATATGCTTCTACGAACTTTATCATCAGTGAATTCTTATTGAATTTTATATTTTATTTTTATTCAAACTTGCAAAAACTTAGTGCTGCTCTACCAAGAACTAGACAGATTGCAATTGGAAAAATACTGAATAAGATTTTGCACTAAGATGATTTAGAACGGTTGGTCCTCTAGGCATCATATTTTGACAATGGCACAGTCAAAAATTGGAATTTTAATCTGTTAAGAATACCCATATGAAATACGGCTCCATAAGTATACACGAAGGCCTTGTCCTTGCTCTATGACCTGAACAAACCTTGACTATTGACGTAGAACAAAGAATCATAAACAAGGACATCCCTTAAGGTCCAGAAATACTAATCTATGACCTAAATTTCAATAGGATTAAGATGTACATAAAGTTCTCAATTGAATGAGTTTCACATAAAATCAAGTTCTAGTTTGTGGTTATTCAACATAATCTCCAATTCCTCTCTTGCAATATTTTAAAATTGCTAAAAGTATAGCAAAATTAGAAAATATATAGACATATAACTGGTCAGTAATTACCCCTCTCAACTTACAATATCTCTATGAAAAGAAAAAATAAATCGATAACATATAAACGAAAGAAGTGATTATAGCAAATGAAGCTTTTTATTTATCAAAATTAATCACAATCTGGTTCGATTTTTGTCGAGAAATGCGAATATGTCTTTATTTAATAAATGAAAATTGGAAGAGAATATTAAAAGCGTTCATGAAGAAAATATAAGTTTTTTAAAGTACCATCAATAAGATCTACAGATAAACAAATTATTGCCAATTACTATATATTTGATGATCCTGTGAAACATTCATTTGATTCTGTTGTTGTTCACCATACAAATTCTTTTGCCGTTCTTGTTGCTGCTGCTGTAACAAAAACTGCTGCTGTTGATAATTGTATGCTGACTGATGGGCCACTAACTGCTGCTGCCGAGTAGGTGGTTGTGGTAAAGGTGAAAAAGCTGATGAGGAACCCGCTGAAGATACAGAGCGCTGCGGATACATAACCTTTTGAGATGAAAGCACAGTGTTGTAAACACGTGAAGCATTATGAGAAATATTGCAAGTTGGAAGGGCAGTCTTTTGGACAGTCGTCGTGCTGTTGTAAATAGATGAAGGATAATTATATGGATGTTGTATGGAACTATATTGACGTTGACGTGTTTGCTCCTGAATAGGTTGTTGAGAAGCTTGAGAAACATGACGTATGGTTGACGTATGCTGATATTGGAGGTTTTTACAGGAGACTTGACGCTGCTGAACCGAATAAGGAGAACAATTCATCTGTGATGCAGTAAAAGTGTCGCTTGCATAAGTAGAAGCTGGATGGCACGATGAAGTGGAATGTAGTGTTGGCGGTAGATGGTCTTTAGGTAAAGAAGGAGGGGAAGAAATAGGAAGTTGCTTAGCATTCCAGGAAGGTTGTCGCTGTGTACAGGATGTTTGATAATTGCTAGTAACTTGAGGATCTGGGCTTGTTGCAGGTGCAACTCCCAGCATGGCTTGTTCGGGAGGTGAAGATTGCCGTTGCGAAGAATTTGAATACTGGCACATTTCCCAGAATCTATTTCTTAAACAACCATTTTTTAATAATTTTTTGGGAAAAACTTCATTTAAATTCCACTTTCAAACTTTTATGAGCCTAAAACAACTTACGACGAAAAGTTAGAAGTAATGGCACATGCGGATGCACTTGGAAGCTTCTGAGAAGAAGTCACTGTTATCGGCGACGACTGTTTGTATGAAGGTGAAAACGAAGACGTAAAATGCACAACATTCGCTTGCCGGCTGTTTTGTGAGTGAGCAATTCGTAGCACTGAAGATGAATGAACTGACTGCACACTGTTTGTTGTAGCAGGATCTTGAGGTGAGCTTTGTTCAGACAGACCATTACTGCATGATTCTATTTTCTGGAATTAATGACTTAAAAAAGTAAAAATTGATGAAACAACTGTTTAAAAATTTCAAATTCATAACAGGAAGAATATTTCAACCGTTGATTTCCACAAGCTTTACATTATATAATAACATCTCTTCTAAATGATTACAAAGAAACTTTCCAGTTTGGACATAAATTAAAATTATAATGTGAAAATTTTTGTCAGGAGATAGTGGAAACTCTGACAGAAAAAAGAACAGAAAAAGAAGAAATAGTACTTTCAGTAATTCAAAAACTGAAAATCTCATAATCTTCTACTGAAATCGGTTAACATTTCAAAAATCGTTAATTTAAAAAAAAATACCTTAACTATATGCTGTTCCGCTTCAGTGCTGCTACATGCCTGTTCACTCTCTGAATTGCACATCTGATTCCCATTCTTTTGATCTATATTCACCTAAAATGTATGAGTTTGGCAAAGTGCAACAATTTGTTGCCATTCGTGGAATGAAAAAAATTTCTTCAAGTTGATGATAACTAACTCATTAAGTTAAGGATCTGACAAACAATCATCTGTAAATTAACATACGTCTTCTTCGGTATTCATATCAAGTTCAGTATCAGCGCCTAATTCCACTTCCTCAATTTCTTGCAAGTCTGAATCCTGTAACTGATGAAAGAGTGGAACGGAAAACGGAAAAAACACATTTTTTTTTAAAATATAATTACGACAAGCTAAGAAGTAAGAATAAAAGGTTCCATAATGTGAAGCAGAAATTTGAAGTCATAAAAAATAATTTATTGAATGCTGAAAGAAAATTATTTCGAGAGCATGTTTTATCATGTAAACGATGTAATATCGCTAATAATGCTGACTATCATCTGATGAAAATAAAACTTCAAGATGCCCAATAGAAATAATGAATGAATTTCTTTTTCATTTCTTTTTCTGCATCTATAATATTGAATGGAAAACCCAAAAAAAATCAGCAAAAGAGAAGAACTTTAAATGTGATTTGAGTCATTTCTAAACTATTCTCTTTTTATACTACGATATATTTTTATTTCATTTGTTCCAACATATATTTGGATAATAGGTGTTCTGCTAATTTTTTTTCTTCAAATGAAAACTGCCTAAATTGGTAAAAGATACTTTTGGCCGTATTATAAAATCCACCGACTCAACAGCACCCAATTCTTCATCTTCATCTCTGCTTGCTTCCAATTGGTCAGCTTCCTGAAAAACATGAACCAATAAAATCAAAGTGAATTTGTATCTTATTAGCAAGGTTTTCCTGAGGAATATAGCTAAGTTTCCAAATTTTTTCTACTTGCCTCTCGTTCCCATTTCTTGATAACTTCATCTCGCTTTCTGTTTTCAATTACTTCACGTTCTTTCCGTTCCTAAAAAGCGAATTCCATGCAATCAATAAAATATCGATATGGAAATTATTCTTTTATCATGAAATTTAAGCGGAAAACATTAATCACAATATGTTATGTTACGTATTCGAAAATATGGCGCAGAACTGTAACTTCCGCTCAACCTCCTCGTGCTCTTTGGGTGCTGTTTGAAATCAGAATTTGAAAATTGGCTTCCATCTCAGAAAAACCAAAGCTTTTTGACTATTCACCTACCTCAAAACCTTGATCTAAAAATTTCAACCGACTTAGAATTTATCCAAAACTTTGCAAAACAACCCTACTTCAGCTAAAGCTTTTTCAGCCAATAATTTTTCTCGTTCCTTATTCTCTCGAACTAACATGATCTTCTGTCCAGAAGTTAACTTTGGCGTGAGAAGTATGGGCGGACGACTTGAGCTAGCCTGAAAGTAACGCCACTGATTATCAATGACTCAAACATTCAGAAGAATTACCATACAAATCATAGATCTCATCTTTTGCAAATCAAGAATGCAAAACATCTAAAAATGACGGAATTAGGACCAGAAAATGAACTTTCACCGCAGTCTACACGTCTACACCTCTCGGGTGCAGCAGGTTCCGAGAGCCGATTTATCCGAAAGATGATGATCCATCTCTTTCTTTTGATGATCTTTTGGCCTAAATATTTTTTATACTGTCTGCATAAAATATGGATAATAAAATCATTTACACAGCTCTTCTGAAAGTATTTCAAAATAGTAATATATAGCAACACCGTTTAGTCTGATTTCATACTGGCTACAATTTAAAGTACAGTGTATTTGTATATTCCCCAACTTCGGCAATTTCTATTTTTGAGCTATTATCCTGTTCAGTAACCCTGATCTGTCCACTGCAGTCACAAAAATGACTGAAATTGGGAGTGAAATGAGATTAAGATCTTCAAGCTTTAAACCAGATCAATTTGAATAAAGGTTCTTTATTTTACTGTTATTAAAACTCTCAGACGATTGCGTGCTTCATGTCAGCAAAAAACCCTATGAATAAATTATGTTATTAACAACTCAGCCTACCACAATTTGAACTTCTACTCCATTGCTATACTTTACAGAACGGTTTTCCTTTTTGCCGAGAGCATCCGATGAACGGAGATCCACAACATTAGTAGCTGATGTTTGTCGGAGTTCAGCATTTGATATGTTCTTATTCGGAGAAATTTTGGAGGATAGTATATCGGTTCTTGAAGTTTTCAGGGTTTTCGATCCTACTTGAGATATTCCACTAAAAAATAAAATTAATTGATTAATTACACGTAAATTAAATCTAGTGTGATACAAAGTTCACTGATTTAACCGATGTCGCTAATTTTATTTTCCCTCGTTTTTCATAAAATTTCTATCATATCACTAGACTTACTACGGGAAAATGGTAAATCACCAATATCACAATAGCCACATGATCACTAAAATTAGCGAATTTTCGGACGGTAAAATTACCGCACATCTGACAAATATGTATCTGACATTATACAATTCACCTGAATTAAGCTAGGAAATAAGCAGCAATCGATAATATATTTAAAAGCATAAATTTATTTCGTACTTTTATTCAGATATTGCCCAATTTCATTGTAATTGAAAATTGGAATCTAAAATTCAACTAGGATCCCGCAAACTACTATAAGAAAATCTAATCATTCGGAAATGAATAACTAACGGCTGTGTCTTAGAGGCATCACTTAATTCAATGAATGCTTTCATCTCAGGAATAAGAACCAGCTGCCGTCTTTCCGGACACAATCGCAATATTTCCAGCACCAAATCTCTGCAAGGATAAAAATAATTTTGTTTGTTATGTTTTCCCAACCGATTAGGATGATACCAGCTTTCTAAAACTGAAAATTCAAGTCACCATCAAAGTTCCCAAGGTAGTCACTGTGCAAATGTATTAAAAGTATTATCACTGAATAATTCACTTCGCATCTGTTACAAATTACTGTTATTTCACATTTCTGATACATGTGAAGGAGAACAAAGTCCACCGAAATGCCAAAATAACATTGTAAATTACCTAAATTTAACGTAGTCCTTGAAAAGCGGTCTAACAGTATAGTACAAATATTGCACAATTGTAGTATTAACAACATGGTTAGGATCACCATGTTGCTCCAGACTAGTAAATAGCAAAGTTACTTGTTTTTTTAGTGCTGCCCTGCAAAGAATATTTAATATTATTTACAAGAGATTAGCAAATATTTTAATTTAATATAAAGTATTGAGTGTGAAAAAATCTAATACAACATCCATGATATACCGCAATCTTGAAAGAATTTCAACTAAGTGGAATAAAAATAAAGGTAACAAGGAGTTAACAAAAAAAAGTACCTTAGTGAATCAGTCCAAACGAACCGTTTCGGTGGCGCAATTTTACCATCTTTTTCAGTTCTAAATAATTCTTTCGTAATTTTTTTTCGATATGACAATCTCAAAAATATGAAGACATTTAACAACTTCATACTTTTATATGCTTAACTACAGGTACGAACGAGTGATTTGAAGTCCATCTAAATGTTTCGTTATAAATTTCAGATTTACCTCGCCTTCTCCTTTACATATTCGTTTTCGGTATGAATAAGAGCCTTTTCCACTTCTAAAAATCAAATCAATTAATTAACTGCCGCAAATATCACAACTTTAGCATCAAATTATGCACTAGGCTCTTTCATATGTCGTTACCTGAAACAACCTGAGCCAATGCATTGTTGATTTCTTTTAATGCACGTGAAGCTTTCTCATTTGCTGGTTGTTTTAGTCCCTAAAAATACAACATCTTGAAACATACAACACATAAAGTAATTAAAATCGCTATCAAATTATGAATACTCAAGAAGTAATACCGTCCTTAACAAATGTTCATGAACAATGCATGATCATTCATCGGAGAAAGTATATGTATTTTGCACATAATTTTTGAGGACTTACCTTTACTGGATTTGAATTAGAACTGTTAATAGAAAGCACTCGATTTAGTTTTGGTTGAGATTTTGGCGGCTGGAGATCGCTTTTAGAAGTAGTAGGCTTTGGTGATGCAGAAATTTTCACAGAGCTAGTTGGTGTTACTGTACACATCCTAGGAATAGGTCAAATATCAGATATGAAAAAAAACATTGAGATCATCTGTCATTCACTTTGCCGAATCACATTCCAGCCCTATGTAAAAATACAAATGAGTCAGAAACTATCATCACTGTATTAGAAATAGATATTGTTCAATGATACATCTTAATGTAAATTTAAGCAGAAATTTACGAAAATGTGATATCAGTGAGATTTAACATAATTAGTTCTTTAAACTTTGCTGAAAATGCATTAAATCACTGAATGATCATGCCACAAAATTCTAATCGGTAGGTATGAAAATGAATGCTTAAGAAACATTATTAAATAATTTAACAGTAGGCAGATTACGTAGCATGCGTATTAGGAGATTGCTGCCAAAAAATAAATGTGTATCACTAATGCAAAACAGCTGTAGTTTCGCCATGGCTGAGTTTATTTTAAAAAGTTCTCATCAAGTAAATAAAGATAGTTTTCGACGTCAGAAGCTCAATCTGATTAAATGAAAAACTTCAAAGAAATAAGTAACAAATGATAAATTACTGGTCCAGAAAACTAAATCGGACATATGAGACTCACTTTGCAAGATTACTGAGAGTCAACTGGTATTGCAACAAATGTTCCGGCTGCTGTTTACTGCTTAGAAGATTAGCATTCATTTGGGCTGTTAAACTATCGGCGACACGTTGTTGTTGACGGATGGAATCACCACGAGTTTGTTGCATCATTGTCGCAAACACAGATAACAACTGAGTGTCATTCAATGCATTAGTGACGTTTGTTGCAAGTGGTGCTTTCGACTGATTGGAAGCCTACAAAGGTAGTGATTTTCAGTAGTGTTTTTCAAAGTAATGAAAAAAGTGATATTTCACCAGACACAGTTCCTTTTCTTGGTAACTTTTGGCAACTAATTCAAAGTCTTAATCACGAAAAATTTCATACAAGACATTACTCAAGATTTTATATCATAAAAATCGGCTAAAATTTAATAAACGATCTATTAACGCATCTGATGACATTTAATTAACGATCTATTAACGCATCTGATGCTGCAAGAGAATAAATGGAGATAAAAAATTTCCTGACAAAAGGACTTACTGTTTTTGAAGGGGTCGAAGAATCCCAATATTTTGTTACAGATATGGATGGAGGGGTAGTATCTGATGTGGTTCCCATCTTTTCAGTGCCTTCCTTTATTGCTGGAGTATGTTTGGTATCTGATGATCTAGAAGCATCGCTGCTTGTCGTATTCTTAACTCCAATAAGCTGTTCCTTCTTCTCCGACATCAGTGTTTCGGGAGGGGATCTCGGTGACGAATCAGAAATAATGGGTGATGAAGATATTGTAACGATAGAAGAAGATGAATCGTTTGAACTGGGCAGTTTTTCATCATTCATAGAGCGCGGTGCTTCTTTTGTTTCACTAATTGATTCATCTGCATGAATAACCGAATCCGAGGCAGCGTTTGGCTGAAAACATTAAAAATTAATCGAAATAAAATAACTTTGCACAAATAACTAATGTAATAAATAACGTGAAGTTATTCTAAAAATAAAATTAATATGCACAGTGGTTTCAGATGATCAATAAATTTCCTGCATTATAAATAATTTACTTCCCTGTTACAAATATACTATATAAAGTCCTTGATTAAAATACTTTTTTAAAAATTCTACTTTTTTTAAAAATTTTACCCAAAACCTGATTGTTGGTTACAGCAGAAAAATCTCGTACATCGTGGAGTAATTAAACGCGAAACAAGATTTCGTACTTACTTATGCTGCACCTCATCAAACAGTAAGATACGATCATGAAACTATATAGTTATTACCAGTAATTGTCAGCTCATTTCAACTAACTTCATGACGATCTCGATAAGCTTTCATACGAATATACAGAGAATTTCGCTGCACACACACCCAGTTGGCTAATGAATCAAAAACTCGTGTTTTTTGCTGATGATTAAAATGCTCCAGCGTGCACTGCTCTTCAATCCTGCAAATTAAAGCATTATTCATATGTAAGATATTGACTAATAAAGGCATTGATTACTAAGATTCTATTATCTGCAGTAAACGCAGATCAACAAAAAGAGCGAAAGTTTTTAACCATATTAGAAAATACTTCATTTTACTTATTGACTGCATCCTTAGTATTATATTACTTGCGCCAAATTTTAAATACACAAATTAAGAAATCTAATCTGACTAATATAAGTTTTCTCCTTCTTTGCGATGAACTTTTCATTGAGTATTTTCTTTGTAACAACTACTTAAGATAGCATTCGTGCACATCGAACGATATTCACTTCAATTTGATGGATCCAAACCTTATACAAAGAGCAACCAAACTCGGTGGAAGACGAATTTTTTTATCGGGCGCACCATATTGTCTGGTTCTTTCTTGATATGTATCGATCATTGCTCGCAATTTATCCGACATTACTGGCATTTGTTTGCGCTAAGATAGTAAAATGTAAGCAAAACTCAAAAAACTATGACTGAACTTGATACTCAAAAATTCTAATGGACGAGATGTTTCAGATTTTCAAGATTTAACGTATGATTAAAGTCTGATAAAGTGACACTCCAGTTAGTAATCTAACCTGTATTGTTGAACCAGGAGGCCGCCCAGGTGAGCGTTTCGGAATGGCTACAGTGGATGAAGGCGCAGTTAAACCTGAACTAGAAGCTACCTGTGATTGTGGTACTTTCTCAGCGGGAGGTGTTACCGATTTATCGACATCAGCGTCATGTTCGACGGATATGCTTGTTGTTTTCTGACAGATCTGCTGGAAAAAATAAGTAATTACCACTGAATTACACATTTTGGCAGAAATTATGATTCAAAAAATCACACTTCTTTCGACGCATAAATTACGTTCTCCATTTCTTCTACGGCTTCTATTTCACCACCTGCCATATCTTTCAAAAATCCAGCTAAATCCTCATCGGTCACTCCAACAGTTGCCCTTTTCACCTGTGGCTTCAGCCTAAAATAATAAAGAACAATAGTTTCTGAAATGATAAAACTATTTCAAAATCTAAAAACCATGACAACTGAAACTAATTGCTCATACTGGCGTAGTGACATGTGAAATTTACTCGCTACATCATACTTCACTTAACAATAACGATAAAACAGGAGTTGAAAATCTAAAGCAACTAATCTAAAATATCAACACTCGAGTACAAAATCTGTATTTTTTAATGAAATATTTACTTCTTTTTTACACCCAAAGCAGCTTTTACAGCTGGTGACTGAATTTTTGCCATTGGTGGTTGCCCCAAAAGACGTCGCTTTTTAATATACTGTTGTGTAAGCAAACGATTGCGAGGTGGGTCGCTTGGTTTTGCCGTAGGAGCAGCACCGGACGAAGACAATCTGACCGGTAATTGAAAACTTGATCCTCTTACAGATTCCATTAAAGATGAACTATTATCCACAGATGGTTTTGCAGGTGGAAAAATGCATGCACGTTTGCTATCACTTTCTTCTTCATCGCTAGAGATTTTGCGTTTCTGAAATGCATATTGTCAGAATATTTTATAGCACTAACTAAGGACGTTTAATGCAATAACTAAAATCAACAATAAGATACTGGATATGGTGGAATAATACAATAATCTAGATATTTGCAACATAATCCCCTAATTTTTCTTAAGTGAGTGAAAAATAAATGTAAATCAGGACCAAAAATGGAATAATAATTTGCCTAAATTTGTGACATCTTTTATCAAAGAGTAACTGCTGATGATGAAGTCAATCTTATCTATAAGTCCTGCACCCTACCTTTTCCACCGTCTTCTTCTTGGTGACCGTATCTTCAACATCACTGCCTTCGTCACCTTCAGTATACTTCGATTTAAATTCCAATTTTCCTTTATTAACATAGAAACCTCCGCGTGCCGTATCCAAAGCAGAGGGTACGTGTTCGTCATACTGAAATAATTATCATTTAAGTTGCCATACAAATAAAAAGAAAGAAATTGTCCAGACCAACAACGAAATAAATCTTAAAAAAATTACAGCTTCTGTATCATCAATAAATGGATCTGTGAGATCATAACCAGCAGTCTTATCCATGTAATCATCAGCACAACCAAAGCGAATTTTATGGCCATGTTTGTCTCTCTTACCGCCCTGAAAACTAATTCAGATTCTGAATAAATAACACTATACTTGATGGAACATTTTTTCACATGCTTACAACTTCCACGTAAGCATACGAATTGCGCAAATTCTAAAAGTGAAGTGAAATCAATTCATTCAAATAATTGAGATAAACGTAATAATCAAAACTCACATATTTTTGTTCCAACCTTCTCACTATCTCCTCTGCTTCACGATCATGGAAACGTTCATCCTCACCGCTTGATTCATCTTCTTTCTAGAATTAGATATTTTTATCCACCATCGAATAAAAATATCAAGAGAAATTTTGAAAGATTAAAATGAACAAATAAACATGATGCACTAATGGATAGGGTTTATTGTATAAAATTAAACTGAGCACATTAAGAAATGAAACTTATGATTAATTGATTTACGCATTTTACTTAAAAGATTTTCCTGACAAAGCATGTTATCCACACTCTCCTGATGAAAATTAGCCATTAGGACTAATTTCTGCGTTTCTGATTTTCAAAGTTAATCCTTTTAAGGAGTGATCCAGCAATCGCTAATATAAAGAACTTCACTCAATAAAGGATGTTTCAGAAAAAAATGTTAGTGATCTTGTTTGGAAAACATATAATAGGAAAATTAAACAGGATAAAAATAAGGGTGAACTGATTACCAGATATTCTTTGCAAATTTTTTCATAATCGAATTCAGGATATGATTTCTTTGTAGGCTTAAATAAATCCAACGTAATGATGCTGTACTTTTTCCGAACATGATGTTGTTTTTTCTTGCTTCCGCCAAGGTTCAGATTCATACCACCTGTAACAGCCTCTATTTACTTACTTAGCCTATAAACATGGAATTTACCACTGCACTTATAACAGACGCAAATAATTTTTAGAATACCATTCTCCTTGTACTCTTCGAATGAACCGAATTTAAAAGGGAAATTCGCGATGTTATCACCAATACATCGCATTATCAAGCATTCTTCAGTATTCAATTCCAGTCACAAGTTATTGTTAGCGAAATGAAGCAATTTTACTGCTTACATGAATGATTTAAAATCTGATCGAGATAAGCGGTCGAAATTTTGACATTTCTGTCGATCAAAAAAGATATTAGTTCAACGGAATGGCTAATCTCACTTATCTCGAAATCATGTAGTTTAGATGTAAGTATCTGCACTCTTTCATTGCGTCTAATCAAACTCCTACTTCATCCTTTGGTCATTCCATCAGAGCTCTTCGTGAAATACCCAAAAACACAAAACTAACTCCCCACAACACCAAGAAACATAGAACTAACTCCCCACAATACTTTATCATGTACTATGTGCTATGCAAATTTCACAATGCACGGTCATAGTCACACACTACGACCAAATTCGTGTTCTGCTCTAATTAAGAATCTGCCTAGGCACTCTTGCTCATGGTCGTTGTGTACCCAATCGGGGGGAAGCGAAGTGGGTTGGTGTATTACAGCTGGTCTTGTATCTTTCTGCAATGGATTATTCTTGCTGTGTGAAGCCTCTTGGGTTTTTTTTTGTGGTATTATATCGGGAGAAATGATTTCCAAAAGCTTGTTTTGTCGGTGGAAGGTTTCAAATCATTGAGTATTTGAAATAGGAGTTTATCTTACAATGAAGCATGGAGATGTACTACTTTCTAGTATGTTGAAGTTTCTAAAGCTGAGAAGTTCGCAAATTTCGCTTGGTAACTAAGATGAATAGTGGGCAAATTGATTTCGGTTAGCCTCTAAACTTTATTTCATCTCATTGATTTAAGAAGGAGAACAAAACATGTTCCGAACCCTAATGAGATGTGAAACTTATTAATCATTCTTCATTAGATGATAGAATGAACAGAAAAGTCGGTGTAAAAATAAGCTTCCCTCAGTAATAATGGAATGCTTCTACTGATTTAATACTGTTTAACACGAATTCAAATTTCAGAGATTTATCGCTGGAAGGGACCGACTAGACACTATCTACTAAGCGAAATATTAACAAGTCTTGAGCTAATTGGACAAAACGAAATAGTTCTTAATTCTCTCCTTAGAACAGTATAAACAGAATTAATTCTGAAAGAGAAGCAGATAGATTGGTAATAAATCGGATTTCAGAGATAATTCTTGAGATTGGTAAGGGTTCTGCATGTTGTCGAGGTTTGTTACTATTTTTATAATTGCTGCAAGTGATGATTTCATCTAACCAGCACAGGCAAATTTATGTGTCGTACTTTCTGCAATTTTTTAAGAGCTGACGTAGGAACACGAGTTCCCCAGGAATTTCAACAATCAACAGTATATTACCAACAGCTGAAGCGAAACATCAGTGTCCTTGTTTGCCCTTATCTTTTTCAATTTCTTCCAGAAAGAATGGTAATAAGGAAATCTCAAATTAAATTTTGAATTCGCTTCATCAGATGGTGAATTAGAAAAGCTTGCAGTGGTCGTTAGAAGCTTTTGAGTATTTGCTTTTTGTGATGATAAAGAATGATAAATCCTTACTTAGCCCGAAAGTACAAACTTTTAATCATTCCTGCGGTTGAACTTTCTTGTAATACCGTTAGCACTGAATGCGATCGTAACTCTTATGGGTACTAGAAGTGGGTAGCCCTGCAGTGAAGTTTGGCTGTCAAGTGCAAATCAAAGTTTAAGATATTTGAGTCCTTATTGGATGAGTGGGTACCATTGCAATGTAGCCATCAAATTATCGCACATTTTACTTAAATTTAAATCAAACGTGAATATCAAAAAAGGTAGAAAATAAAGAACGAAAAACTGAGATTATATTCGTAGACAGTAGTGCTGCTAATAAAAATAACATGCAGAAATTGTAATCGAAAATGTATAAATCAAGTACTTTCCTTCTTTTCACAACAGTGTGGGACAACGAATAAGAAAATGAGAAAATATGGACGAGTAAATTTACATAATCAAATATACTGGTAAACCTCAAACGCTAGTGTCCTTGAGAAATATCATATCGCTGTGAAAATTACATAAAAATCGCCAAACAAATATTAAGATATTTCCTTCATCAAATTACAACATAGGGAATGGAAGCTCTTAAACAAAAGAGGTCCATTGAAATCAGCCAAATACAGTTGAATCCGAAATTACATATGAGTTTAGTCTGGGATTGCTCGCTCAACCACAGCATCTCCAGTAATCGGACCGCACATTCACTGACCAAATGAACTTTGAAGTTTGATAAAGGTATATTGTTTTCTAGTTCCCCCACCATTACCAAATTATTTTGGAAAGCATTTTAGAAACTTCTAAAGGTTTTTCATCTCGCAGGACTACGTCAGCAAACTTAAAGAAATCATTAGCTTAAAAATGAAATTAAAATGATTAATGATTTAGAAACAACCGGATTTTAAAACAGCTGAAATAGCTGAAGACTCAAGACCCAAGTTCCAAATTTCCCGGTTAAGTCGGAAGAAACAATCAATAATTTTAAAAATAAGATGACAATATTTTGTACAAGTCAAAACAAGAGCGGTGAATTGCAACAAAACATAGCATGGAAAGTAGGAGGAAGTACGAGGAATGCAGCACGGTAACAACCAAAATCCATGGGACAGGATCAAGAATAACTTATAGGTAACGTCAAAAAGTACGAATAGGAACCAGAATTTTAAAAGGATTTCATTCTATTAATCAATTCACCAGATTAGTTGAACTATTCTTATTACTGCTCCTCTTATTGCTCCTCTAGCTTTGGCATTATTGAGAGATGACGAAATCAACTGCATACCTGTAAAGAATTGCAAGTGCCATTTCTTGATGGGTATTTAACTAATTTCGTCTTTACTTAAAAAATTAGCACCTCAACAAATGAATAGATATCCGTTCATTTTCATGGAGGCGAAAAACCCAGGCAGATAGGTATCTAATAGCAAATACCTAATAACCACCATCTAATAGCCAATATATGACTGGTAGATGATAGCATTCCATTTGAACAGATGGTGGCTGAACCCCTAGTACTGCCAAGAAGTAGACTGCAAAAACAACTGAGTATTCAGAAACAAGCCTTTCAAAGTTCAATACTATACAATATTATACATATACATACAAACCGCTCTGAGAAACAAACAAATAATTTACACGAGAAGGCCAAAAATGAAATAGTGATTTGTACGAACAAAGTAGCAGTTCAAATAATAAAAGGCTAAAATGGTTCAAAAAAGCCATGATACCGTACCTGCGACCATAAACATTAAGCATTTTAAATATAAAAGAAATCGATAAAAATTCATTAACTGCACTTCGATAAGGTTATAGAAATTTGTCTACTTTCTTCAAGAGTTGTAACTCCAGAATCTGATGCACGGATTTCAAAATTCTAACTTTTGAAGAACTATGCTGATGCACTGAAACATAATATGATATAACTTGTATGACTCTCTTCGGAATGCAAATGATACTACATTTTTAAACGCAAATAAACAGAAAACGATACCACACCACAGTTGGAATCGGACTTCGGACCAGATGTTCTAAAATGAGCTACATTCAGTTACGAGTACCCACCGTGAAACTACACCTTAAATAAAATCTGAAACATTACTAAAACAATAAAAATGCATGAAATAAGAAACAAGAAAAGAAAAACGAGAAAAATGCTAGGAAGTCATTCCTCTTAGTAATTCAGTGCATCAGCATCATAATACGCCATAATGGAATGCTTTATGAAGAATCAACAGCGAATGCTGCGCTAAAAACTTAATATCATGCAAAATAAAGAAGCAACAGAAATGGAAATATCAACAAAATATTATCTAAATGTAACAATGATCGGTAAAGTAGATAAAAATTATGGAAGTATGATCCTGACGTTATGAATTTGTTATTCAAAAATATTGTTATTCAAAAATATTGGCGAGTTTTACAAGCAAGTGTACAAAAAATTCTATAGATATTTCAAAGTTTTCAAAAAGCTCAAAAAACCCGCATAAAACGTCAGTTCCCGTAACTGGTTCATTTTCCATTCTCTTTTGAAAAACAAAGGAATAAGTCATTAATTATATTTCTTAACATAGAAAAAGTACCTGAATCGTAACATTTAACAACTATGCATTGTTGAAACGAACTCGTTTCTTTCCATTACCGTTTATATTATTGTTATTACTGTTTTCAATATCGCTCTTATTACTATGATTCGGTACAATTAATGCACTTTTGATGCAAGTAGACAATTTGCCATCGTTTAACAATGGTTCTTTCGGTATGCTACCAGTGTTACATGTAAGCAACGGTTCTATGCCATTTTCATATGGCAACGACATAGTTGAACCGTTCGGTATAAGCTGCAGAAGATCTAAGGGTACTCGTCGTAATGGATAAGATAGTTTTTTCATACGTCTTCCTGAAAGAAAAAGAATGAAATAACTGTATGATGGAGAGCAAAAAAGGAACTTACAGCAAGGCTAGTGAGATCAAACGACCGTAAGAAAATGCATCGACAATCAAAGAAGATAATGTTTCCAAAATTCTTAAAACATTTGATGAATTACATTAATATAATAGATGAAATGAAACTTACCGTCTTCGACATATAGCAAGGCTATTGCAATCAGAATGAACAATGAAACGACAGCAAGTATACTAGCAATAACCGTTATCCAGACACTATGCTCATCCTCATTTGTATGTTCTGTGGCGCAAACTCGTGATCCAATGCATCCCATGCTGCCATCAACCACGTTTCGATCGCCAATTGATGATAACCAATCTGCTAACCATTCTTCACCGCAAACGCATTGCCAGAGATTATCTATAATAGAAAAAGTTTCTTATTTGAAAATGAAAACAAAAATCAGGACAGCAAAAAGAAACGGGTAGTAATGAGAAAGCATGAAAGAAATTCAGAAGAGAATCAAAAAATAAAAATCGTTGCTTTCATTATCAAAAAATAAAATGGTCCAACGAAAAGCGAAGGATAACTGCGGACAAATTAGTATCCATGCTTTTTTTCCCTCATACGCAACAGCGAGATTAATGGCAAAAGAAAGGATGGCAAACCTGAAAAATCGACGACGCTGAGTTGCTCAACATTGAGATTATCGAGTAACCGTTTGGGTAAATACACAAGGCGATTATGATTGAGGTACAAACGTTTTAAAGGCAAACCAGTAAGCGCTTTGCCATGTATCTAAACTTTTTTAAAAAAATATGAAGATGTCTGCAAAAGTAGAAAACTTCCAGACGGCAATAATGGTGTAACAACTCCGGAATGATACAACATCAGCCAGTTTATTTTATATCTTAATATATTATGAAAGTATACAACACTGTGCACTCAATTTTCGGCGTTATGATTTTAGTCTTCACATGCTAAATTTAATGTTTTACTATGATAAACCTGCAAAACTAATATCAAAAATATAATTATGTTAAATTGTTGAGTAACACTGGTGGAAAAAATCTACTAACCTCTTCAATTTGATTATTGTCAAGAGCTAATAGTTTCAATGAGTTTAATGTGCTGAAATCGTGTTCTCCCACGCGCAACAAATTATTATTGGACAAATATAGTTTAGTGAGCTTCTTCAGTGGTCGCAGAAAAGATATATCTGCTGCAGTAAAACTAATGGTAAAAAACTACAATGCAAATTGTAATAAATTATAAAAGAAACTATTGTTATCATCCAACTTCTATTCCTATTTTTATACAACACAAAAATTTGATGAGATGTTTTAAATGTATAGGACAAGGAATTCCAAGACTATCTTTTCGGAATATATTTTGCTAATAAATCGAAAAAATAAAACAAAATATTAGAAAAAAAGACCAGTTCCATCACTACTTGTCACAGAAGTGAGCTGATTGTTTTGAAGTGACAGTGCTGTAATTTGATGTATTGGTTCCAAAGCCCGAGCCTCAATTTTAGCGATATTATTCGCTGCTATCGAAAACGTACTGAGTCTAAAAGTATCAAGTGAAATATTTGGAGAAAATTTGATTCTCTTTATCTTTGTTAATCAATACTAATCATCATCTTATCCTCCTCATTTGTTACTTATTATCGTCCTTACAATAAAAATATTATCAAATGAAGAAGGGTACCTTATTTATAGAGGATCAACTTTACTTTTAGGTTAAGATTTTCGCATATATTTCAATAAACATCCTATACTACCAGAATACAGCAATTCGGTATTGCTCTTTAAAATATGGCGCAAATATGTCAAAACAAATTCGTACCTGCCGCTTTCACCTAACGAATGCAAATCACCATTAAGTATTTCGGTAATCGAATTCCTATCCAGACTTAACAAAGCCAGACTGCGCAGATCACGCAATGTAATATTTTTCATTGATTGGATGCTATTATTGTTGACAAACAATTTTTTTAGCGACTTTAATCCACGAAGATCTATCCGCGATATATAATTATTTCCTACAATTGACAAATTATTTTAATTGCATTGTTAATATAATCTGCAGTCTTCTATTAAATAGACAGATGTAATACAAATTTCAAAATCTCCTTAAATTATCTTTCTTCAGACTGATCAGTTTCTGCTTAAACATTTTTATATATATTAAAATCCATGGTTCATTTTAAATATTTCTATATATTAAAAATCTCTAATTCCGTGTGATATCTTGACAGACATATCATTTACACACCAATTTCTGACAACTCCTTCTCTCTACTTCGAAATTTAAAACTTCATACAAAAATTCATGAAAAACAGGAGCTTTATTGAAAAAAATGCCTACCAAGATTAAGATATTTCAAATTTTTTAACTGCGCGAAGGCATCCCAGTTAACATATAAAATATTGTTGCTTTGCAAATTCAGAGTTTCTAGGCTGTTAAGACCACGGAAGGTACCACTGAAAATGGATCAGAATGTCTGAACAGAGCGATATAATGTGTCGTTTGAACAAAAATTTTTATATAAAAATTTTAATAGCTATGATGGTACTTTTTATCTATCGGTGATGAAAACTTAAAAAGTAAAGAGAAGGATGAACTTTGGAAAGTTGATATTTCCATGCATCGCTTAGTTACATTATGATAAACAATCCAATGTACTCGATAATTTTTTTGCCTTTCACAGCAACCAAAGGAATATTAAGCAATAAGATAACTACAAAAACTGAAAAAATGGAATTCTTATAAATCAAGAAAGTAAAGTATGTTGAAAACATAACTCCAACTTACACGGATATATTCATTAGCTTGTTGCTTGCTAGATTTAATGTTCTTAGATTGCTTAACGATGCAAAAGCACCATTTTCGATACTCGATATTTGATTATCACTTAAGATTAACGTGTCTAAATCTTTCAACAGATCCAATTCACCTTAAAAAGAAATTCATTTTTAAGGCAAGAGAATGCATAAACGATTATAATAGTATTACTCTTATATTTTTTATTTCTAATTGCAATAAAGCCAATTTCCTATAATTTTAAAAACTATCTCTTCTAATCCTTTTGAAATATTTTTATAAATAAATTGATTTAATATCATGATCCTAATCTTCAACTGTCTTTATCAAGATCAGGTGGCATTGTCTTCAAACACTTCGTCACCTCACTTTTCTCTTGATAACGAAGATTAAGAAAGCTTAATAAAAATTATCTCTATTTCTTCATTACCAAACACTCTAATGTTTTAATTGCCTTTCAGTCCGCTTTTTACTAAAAAGCTGTAATTTTAAGAAAAATCAGCTCGAGATAAACAACACTTCATCGAGTGAGCTAAATTTTAAACAAGAAGTTTGGAAACTAATCAGTATTTGCACTGAACCTGCGACAATAGAGCTAATTTTGTTGCCTCCTAGATCGAGTACTTGAAGACGATCCAGGTCTTTGAACATAACAGGCTCAATGCGTTTGATAATGTTGTTCCTCAACTGCAACATTTGCAACCTCCGTCCTATTTTACTAAATGCACCGGGCCGAAACAGACTTAATCCTGACCTCTCTATTGATAAAATTCGAGGACGAACCTGAAATTACTCAAAAATATAACAAATACTCTAGATATATGTTAAATCTAAAACTATGTTAAATCACCCTCGCATAGAGTTGAATGCTTTTTTATGATTATATAGGAATTTATCATCAACGAAGGGTAGAAAATATACTGCTTAATAAAACACGTGAAGTGATAATTGAACAAAATTTAGATTTAAATCTTTGATAAATATTGATGCTTCTCACTGGCGAAAACTAGCGATGAAAAGCGAAAGATGAAAAAAATTGTAAAACATGAATTGCTAAAAATATCACTTCACACACATATATATATATGCTGTCATAAACATTCCAGTTACCAGCTTTTTTGCAGTTATAACACTTATTAAGATTATCCAGCACTAAGTTAGTGATTAGAAAGTATGAAATCCTGGAGCGTAAAAAACTCCGAAATTCTAATCAGGACATCACTGGAAAGAAGATTCCATTTTGCTATATTTAAATACCTGCGAATATTACCTGAGCAAACATATCAGTTGGAATAATATTAATTAATGAATCCCAAATCCACAATTTGGATATCATCGTTTCGTTAAGTGCATTTAAAGCACTGAACACTTGCGGCATTTTCTGTCTTGTACAACCGATCCAGAGACCTTCCCTACTTGACAGCAATGGTTCGCGTCCCCTTGACACTGTTTCAGGAAAGCAATGACATGCTTTCTGAAAAATAGAAATAAAAAAGTGAAAAATTATAAATTACATATTACTAATAAGGAACAAGTGGCATTCCTATTTTCAAATATAAAGAGATTTCAATAAACAGCTCATCTTCTTACTATCTTAACCACGAATGCGAAAATTACAAAGACAGTTCACATATATTTCATTATATCGTAAGATTTCGATTAAATGATAAAAGTGAATAATTGGAGTTTCAAATTTCAGATGATACTGAACCTTTCTAAACCATTAAATTCGAGTTTTCTGATTGCGAAAAAAATAGGAGAGAAGAAATTTAAAACTCAGCAAAAAAAAATGAAAGCCAATAATTTCGAAAGCAATAAATTTCGAAGAATTTTGGATAATCTCTTTCAATAAACGTCCTTGCAAGCTATCGGTTGTGTAAATAATCCATAAAAAGAACCATTATTTTTCCTAATCACAAGAAAAAATTGACAGAACGTATAAAATTTATGTCGTTGGATAGCACTGGGGTGGTCTACATACATATATATATATATATATATATATATATGAGGATATGATACGATCCTTTCATTTTCTTTAGCTTTTAGTCAAATTATAGCTTTGCGGTCCTTTTTAGCTTCTCATACATATCATTACAAATCAAGTATATCATTATAGTTAAACTGCTTTCCCTTTTCTTTCCAAAAGTAACCGGAAATCATAACTGTACCATAAGCTTTCTGAAAGAGGATGTTCTAGCTAGCTATACGGTGACTGCAATCAATCCGAAAGACCCGTCTTCGTTGATAGCTATCAAATAACTCACGATTCATTCACTTTAGCCGTAATTCTTATTTATGAACCTCAACCACAAGTTACCAGGGCCACCGAAATCCTTTATTTTAATAAATCAAGCACTGGAACCTAGTTTCCCGGAGATTCTGGGATATGCATTTAAAAAGAATTTGTTTCACTACTACAAACCCTAAAAACTTTTGTAATATTTCTTAATCCAAAAACTTACTCTAAATTTTTCTCTGTAAAAAAGTTCAAATATTCCCAAAGAAAAAAAACCCGAGTGAGGAAAGAAAAAAGTATTTTTAAATGATGCATGTGTACATTTTCGCCATTAGCTGTTGGTACATAACGCAAGAATGATATATATCTCAAATTCAAAAATACAACAATCTGACATACTTCATAACTTCGTTCTTCACTTTAATATAAAAAATTTCCTATAAAAATTTGGAATATAGATTATTCCACCACCAACAGTTTTACTTACACTTCTAGAATATCTCACTACTAAAAGTTATTTACTTTCATATCTAACTGTATAGCAATCAAAGTTTACTACCCTCCAACTTTCAATACATTAAATTAAATTTTGAATTTGTTTCCATCATATTCAATATAAAATCAATTTAAAAATTAAAACAGCTTGTATGAAGACAACAAAATATACATTAGGACCGACAGAATACCCAGCAGATGAATTAAACGAAGGATCAATCAACCTTGCAAGAAAAAATAGTTCATTCTGATCTTATACTCTCTGCGACCACGACTTCTAATCTTAAGCGCTAAAACTAAAATCGCAATAACAAGAACTTTCTGTCATACAATCCGGTCCAGATATCAAGAACAGGGAAAGAGAAAGACCAAAATTTAGACACTGTAAAGCTTAGTAAAAATAACAGGAAACAAATCAAAAATTCAACCTCTGAAAAAAGAATTCATTGAAGAAAAAAGTGTCGCTTAGATAGTCCAAACAATTCAAAAGGCTTTGAAATTAAATCCTGAGTTCCTCTTAAACAGCTACAAAAGTTCTGAAGAACATACTATGAATAATTAGGTTCTTCAGAACATAAGAATTCATGAAAGAGACGGAAGAATTATAATTATGTTTGTTTTGATTACCAAAGACTCAATTATTACATTATTGGCAGTAGTAAATCATTTTTTAACCTCTGTGAGTAAATACATCTCAAATACCTTCGCTTTTTCCTTTCTCACATTGAATATAGGATAATCCATCTTAAGCTAAACTCTTAAAGTAAACTTGAAAGTTAAGAATATTTCTGAAGTGATTCTCAGATAAACAAACAGCTGAAATGTAAACGTTATTGACATAAGTCTCAAACTAAGTTAGGAACTGTAACTGAACATACCTCTACAGTGACAAGCTAGATAAAATTATATTTTATATTAAATTATATTATGGTAATATATTATGGTAATCATCAATTCTTAGCACAGAAACTGAGTTAACCGGTGATGATAATTCTCACACACTTAGTAATTAAAACTAATGCAACAGTGAATCTACTGATTAAGTGAGAAAATTTACATTGAAATAAGAGCAGGAATGATAAAAGAAACTTACTGGTTCATTGATTTCAGCTGCTCGTTTAAATACCCCATTACAGTGAGAATTAGTGACGGTAGTAGTGGTAGTAGTTGTTGATACTGTACTAGTTTGTACGGTAGATAAATGCAATAATGCATACAGGAAGATAGAGTAACCCCGTGCTGACCGCATTACTTAGTAATAGTAATTATATAGTAGCAGTAATGAATTAAATATTTTAAAGCAGGAAAAATAGTAGCGAAGGCTCGAACCGTTCGCCACTTTGACCTCCGTTGATTCCTCGCTTTCGGCTCTCTCCTTCTTTCTCTTTTTATCTGTTTCTTTGTTATCCTTTGTTATCAAACTGAAAAAAGGGAGAAACCTGGAAAGTTATTTGATTGTTTATTCATACACAAAATGAGTACGCTTTTTCCCCATTGCTCAAAACTTGTTTTTACTATTAACGGCAGTGAAAAAATGACAATACATTCCTAACGTTTCGGCAAATTCAATTCAGGTAGATGAACTATATATCATTCATCATTTTACATATAAATTTCACTTAAATAAAACTTCCGCATTAAAAAAAGCGACTAGGTTGATGAAGAATTAAAGTGGAATTTATAATGCATGAAAGTCGCAATCGAATGGGATTTATAGTGCACGACGATCGCATACGTCAAACGTTGATGAATTCAATCAACTTTGTAGAAAGATTCACATTACGATAGTAACTCTTTTACTTCCACTAACTTCAATATAGCTACTCAGCTTTTAATAAAAACAGAAGAATACATTTGTTGGAAATGATGAGAGCGTTATACGCCCTCAGTACTTCTCTTCAACATTTCAGCTGGTCATTAAATCATAGAACGCTTACAGGTGGATTAAAATACTCCAATATACGGTCTCTATATACTGGAACTCTTCAAATCGATGTTAATAACCTTTGCAAATTGAGGTCAAACAAAAATATCGTCTGCTTGTGCGCAAAACATTATGGCATCATTTAATCTTACTTCATCAATATAATGAAATATTTCTCGATAAAAGAATGCTTGCTTTTCACACCATCCAAAAAAACACATTATACACATTATACGATGAATGGATCACTCTACTTTCAGATAAGTGTGAGGTACTTATAAGTTAAAGAGTAAGCCCAGAGGATAGATACAATGGAAAAATTGCGAAACAGATGTACTAAAATGACAACAAAAAAGGAGGTGAGCAGAATTTGTTAGGTCAAGGCCACTGACGCATTTTGGAACTTCTTTCTTTCTTGATTTTCAAATTATAATGTTGAGAGTGTAAGGTGTTATCAAACTTCCTCCTTTAATTTATGCGTTCTTTTCTTGCTCTAGCAAATGTCTGATAGTTATAAAACAAAAAATGAAATAATCAACACTTATTCATCCATGCCTTCAAAAAATATCCTATATTCTGCAGCTGAAAGGATGTTCAAGGATTGAGTGAGATACTAAGAAGCTAATACGTTTATCCTTTTTCTGTTACAAATTTCTAGAAGTTATTAGCATCTTAAGAATTTATTACCTAACGATCAAATAGATAAAGTAAATTTGATAAAAAAGAACACGCTAAATCACAAAAGAAATAATGGCAAAGGAAAAACATGCATAGCCTTCAACAGATTTGATTCATGATCAGAAGGCAAAAGGGATTGAAGGAGTGAAACAAGATGGACATAATTTGTCCAACTTATGAAAAAACTATTGAAAGTATTGCCAACTGTCAACAAAAGCAAGCCAAATTGAAGTGATGACGATTTCGTATACAAAATATTACTATAATTGGTTACTAGAAAATTTTAAACTTTTCCATTTCAGACATTTAAAAAAAACCAAAACATTCCTCTTCACTTTTAAAACCTAAAACAAACAAAGAAGTTGAAACGAATTTGAAGGCTATATCGAATTCAAAAGAGAAACAGCTAGAATGTATACAATGTCCTTATCTTTCTCACCGTACCAACCAATACCATTTCATTATTATTGATTCCACTTCATACTTCCTTTGGGAAGAAGTTGAATATGTTTCAAAAAAACGAATTATTGAATAAAGTCAGGACTTTTGAGATGAAAATTCAGAATACGATGAAGTCAAGAAAAAGAAGCTAATTTGAGACACGACAGAAATTGAGAGGAAAAAGAAAATACGACGAGAAAATACAAAAATTTCCTCCTAGTTGCACATCTACCGTTTTTATTGATCCTATCGAGCTTCTCTAAAGTGGTGGTATATTTTTTCTTTTTGAGAATATTACAGTCATCAATTTTAGCTACCCTCTATTTCATTTAAGTCTATTTTCTCCCGCTGAAAGTAAGCTATTTCCACAGTGTTGTGTTATTCAAAAAACTCACTTCAGCAAGTTTTGGTTTGGACGAAGATCAAAAATGCTACGAATTGAAAAAGAGATTTGCAAGGATCTTTAGTCTTAAGAAATTAGGAAGACAAACTGACAGACAAAGTGTTCTTTTTCGATTCTAACGAAATTTTTTTTGCAAAAATGTCCAGTTATTATTGTTCCAACTGAGTGATTGACATTTTTATCTTTCAAGATACCTTCTCAACTCTACATCGTGAATTTCATGACAGAAGTTTCTGCTTTATCTTTTAAATTCTTAGACTTTTCCACTTCTCGAACTTCTTTCTCTATTGAGAAATCGACGAGATCAGGTAATATTTACCGTCTCAAAAATCAATCCAAAACGTAACTCAAATGAAAACAGCGCAGAAAGCAATGATTAATTCCGAAACGCTGAACCTTACTTCCTTTCCTTCCCTGCATTACCATCTGCTAATTGATAAGTGCTAACTGATAAGTGCAGGTTATGACAGCTGTTACGGCAAGATAGATGTAACGATGAAAGGTTGCGGTATTATGCGTTAATAAGCTGATTAGCACAATTTCTAAACATATATTCATCTGCTTGCAATAATCAAAAAAGCATCTAAAACTATATTGGTTCTTAAGAAGAGTTATGCGTCAAATTTCCACTTACGTATAAAGGATGACTGACATATGATGATTGACATGCTAACAACGAATAACCGTCTTAATTTAAAAACAAAAAAAGAAATATTGAATATTATATAGATAAAATATTAGATTTCAGTAGAAATGCCAGACGATGCAACCCTATCTGCGATAAAATTGGATGTGATGCAGGCATTCCGCTAATTCAATGATATGTGTAAGTCCAGAAACAAACCAAACATCCTGCGAGTTACCATTGAGTAATGATTTCATTTTAATCTGAAATTACTCTGAAGCGATCATTTTAGACAATTCCGCTTCATTAAATTCACCAGATCTGATCAGCTGTCACATTAACTTTAAATGTGCAAGTTATATCTTTCACATGACGTTCAAAAGGAATAAAAGAGTGCAGGGGTCAATACAATGCAATCAACAACATGCAATACTTCCCCTAGCAGTTCATTGTGACATGAAGATAAAAGATATCCAACAGTGATTTCTTCCTTCCTTTTTTCCTTCCATTCTTACCTTTTTCCAAGTTTATACCTTACGCCAATTAGCATAGATCAACTATAGTGACCTGCATGGCAATGCTCACTTTATTTCTTATCTACCAACAAATTCCTCAATCTCTTTCTTCTCTTTTTCCCCTCCCTCTCTGTCTCCTCATATCATTTATATCTATAAAAAAATGTTTAAAGCTACAAAAAAAACTAATCTTTTATCAAACAAGCGCCCTTTAATTCATAGTAGTGGTAACATAAAAGAAAATTAGGAAGGACAGGATAATGTACTTTGATATGAGACGAAAATGAGAGAAAGGGAGAGAGAGCAAATCCCAGATGGTATGTCCTTCCCGAGATAAGCGACCTCGGGAAGAGATAAGAGATTGCCTTACGATCCATCGAATACGACAGTAATATAGACTCCTAAGTGATAATGAGAGAAATAGAAAGAGAGAGTTATATCATGATAGACGGATGGATGGATGGATGGGTCGATTACCACTACCGAAAGGAAATGCTCCCCGCAAGAACCGTTGCAGATCCGCGCATTGGTGTCACCCCGTACCAGGCGGCCGCAGCTACACATATCGCTTCGATCGCCAAATCTCTCTCCTATACTCTTTTCGACCTTTCTAATGTACATCTTTCTGTTCCCTTTTCCCTAATGTCTCCCAATTATTTGTGCATATGTATATCTCCCGCAATAAGTAGACCAACCGAGAATTCTCTTAGCTTTCATCCTCTTTTTCTCTCACCTTCCTTCTCGCTCCTTCAGCTTTGACCTGTCAATAATTAGTAACGGTCTGTTGCATTCATCGTTCCCTCTATCGTGGCCTCTTTGATATCGCTATATTTGAACGTTCCTCGCTTTTGATAATAAATTAAATGATAAATTATGCAACAGCGCACTCCTACATAGCATCTTATAGTTTCCAAATATTGATTGATAGCACATTATAATTTCTAATACTAGCACTTGCAATTGCAACTGCAATAATTCGAATAGCAGTTGCAATTGTAATAGCGTCAGTAAGCCTACAACATCTGAAGTAGAAGTAATTAGTAGTGCTGCACGCAATGGCTATTCCATTCCTCCCTTATTAGCAAATCATTTCGTGCCTACTGCACAACTAAGTCTTTCCCTTTTAGTGTTGATTTTTGGTCGGTCGAAGATTATTGAAAAGAATGAATGAGCAGAAGTAAATCCCATGTCTTTTATCACTTTAATGATGAAAAATTCCAAAAAAGAAACCAACAAACTAAAAATATTTGCATTCATTTAAAAGAAAAGAAAAAGGAGGAAAGAAATGATTTAGGACACGTTGACTTATACATTCAGTACAGATGATACAATCACTTGTCTACTGAATATATAGGTCAATGATAGCTCTATTGCATTGAATGAATGAATGAATACCTTATACATCGTTTTCAATATAAATACATTTGATGACAGTTCTGGATAAGGAAATGTGATATCATTTATCATGTATGTATGTATCAATGTATCAGTATACGTTCTAGAAGTGAAACTTATGCAATAAAATGTGGGAATTATTCCTGCTGTAGGAATTTTACGTAATCAAAATTTTCAGTGAATCGATTGGGGGTTTCTGGATGTATCGAAATTAAATTATTCCGAAAAAATTCCCTAACATCTGGGAAATTTCGGAATTTTCTAAATTTTTTTTGCTAAAGCTGTAGCACATAACAACTAAGAAATATCTCTTTTTCAAATATTCAATTATCGGAACACTTGAAAAAGAAATATATAATTTGACTAATATGCGAAAAACATATCCCGTTAGAAAAGATTTACGACTCTTATTTCTCCTTGTTAAATCGCCTTTTATACTGCCTGGTATATGTATATCCTAAGTTTTTGCTTCACAGGAGTCTGTTCATTATCTATTCGAGAAACAAGCCCAATTTTCCTTTGAAATTCATAAAAGATATCAAAATGGGTGGGAAAGTAACTTCATTAGTAACGACAAAGTAGGCAATAATATCCAATAATAATTTAGAAATAATTTTATTTTCAGTTTCACTTAGCTCCTTTCAGTATATTTGAGAAAGAAAAAAGCAAATTTTAAGTGAAAGAAATTTGAAAGAGATTTCAAATCTGCAAATGTCAAATAATTTTAGATTTAGTCGACAGACAGGTATCAATTGTGCGTCGCAAAACCGCTGCTTAGTAACCTTCAAATCAATAATTATCGTTGTGAAAATAGTTTTAAATTGTGATTTATCCTTGAAAATTTCGTCAGTGCCATTCACAAGCAACCGACAGATACATTGAACATACACATTTATATGTGCAAAACCCTACTGACAATCATCTATTGGAAAAACAACAATGCTAATAATGGCGCCAGAATTGCTTATTTCTCTTTTTCAACATTCTAAACTTTTCTAGAATGATAAATGGTACTGTACGAAGAGGGCCATTAAGGTAAGCATATATTCAGACAACAGTAATAACCATCATCGAGAATAAACGATTCGTAGTATATGAGAATGCGTTTGAAACTAATTTAAGCTTCACAGACAGTTCCAGTTTCTTTATTATAACCAAAGAGTGAAAAATGAACGATATTTCTCTATTTACGAGGTATTCGAATATAAAAGATCTGCTCGGTCATTTCCTCTATTTTCCTCCAAACAACGATTAACCGATTCAAATTGGTGGTGATATTATCATTTTTTATGTTCAATAATGGAAGAATCAGCCTAATAATACCACTGTCTTTTCACCATCTATTTATCCTACCTATCTAGTTAGCATTTTATTTATCCTAACTTCAAACCAATGTTAACTAGATTCCAATTTACGACTGCTAACATTCCAACAAACGGCACCAAAACATCCAGTTAGAACATCCGTTATCCCATATAAATCAACAACAATATGATATGCTTTGCCGAAGCAAGGTGTTGATATTTCATTCCTACAAGCATCACGCATAATGTGGTACTTTAAAATAAAATGGTTTTACATTGTTTTTCACAGAACACATACGGCATCAGTATAGACATGAAAATAAGTTTTAAGCGAATAATTGAATAAAAATGAAAGTGCAGAGAAAAAAGGAACAATAAGTGACACAGTCACAGGTAGCAAAAAGTGCTGGGAAACGCGGAGAACAATTTGCACTTTTTACACAGCATCAAACACTTCTAAAAACTTCTTTAATTTTCAAGTTTCTATACAGTTTAGGAAATATCAATTTTTCGAAAAATAATGCCGAAGTAAAAATAGTTGTCACTTTGAACTAATATTTACAAGTAGCAACCTCCGCATTATGATAGAGAACCGAAAGGTACCTATTCCTACATTTGTTGAAGTTTAGGGTACTTTTCCAAACTTCTGGCACATCCAGAAAAAATCTGTATTTTTTCCAGAGGTACTCATCATCAGTATCATAATATGAACAAAAACCTTAATTGAATAAGAAAAAAGTGCATTTCATGTGTTGTATAACGAAGGATGATCTGTAAAATTTCCAGGAATAAGGCGAAATTGAAACTCCTGACAAGAAAATAAATTTAAAAAAATCTCTAAACAGGGAAGTTTGGACCATGAAATCACCATTATCAACCTCAAATTATTTTTTAATAACATTCTCAGTAAAAACTTTTCTCATATTGCGGAGATTCTACTGTTGATTACAGCTTCAACAATGGGACAATTTTAGAGTAGTAGGCTGAGTCCCTAATAATTCCCTCGATTCCGGTAACAAGCAGTATCCTCGTCCATAAGTTCTGTTGTTTCGGACTGTTCCGTCATTGCTATCATATCATGCGACAGATGGGTAACAATGGGTAATCCATATGCAACAACAGCACCACCAGTCAGATATTTCAGCTTGCATGCTGTACGAGCGTATGCAATTCCATCTATCAGTAGTCGATATGACGAGCTGAAATATATTTTAAACAAGAGCTTTATTTGCAGCTTTTTCAAAGAATTTAATGCACGAAAGCATTCAAATGATTTTTCCAATTAAAATATAATTTGATAAATATGTGCACAAATATCGCAGAATTAAATTTATGAAGAGATAAAATACAAAACAATTTCAATTGTCCCCGCTAAATATTTTTGCTAGTCCAACAAAGAAGCATTTTTTTGTTCTCTAGAAATGAAATATTGCTTAAAAACTTACTTCGGCTTAATATTATCACCGTTTGGTTTTTGAATTTCCGAGAAACAGAAATTCAGAAGAGCCAAGAGCACTCGATCAATTTCACCATCAGTAACCTTAGGAAAGAGATATCAAAATTTCCGAATTACTTTAAACATATAATCAAAAAATGATTTTGTACTGACCGGAATCAATCATCAACATGTGCATTCTGTCTTTTTTGCACGAACACTAATTTACGTGCAAAAAAGACTTCTTACAAGATGATTCCTTGATTTGAAATCTAATTTTGTCTTTCTAAATACCAACTCACCATCCAAAGACAACCGACAACACAAGGACATTTTGCTATAATATAATCGTAAATTGCACCCCTTCCATCGAATCCTTCGCCCTCATAAGTTATGCGAACACTAAAAATTTAATTCGGTTTTAAATTCTAAACGTTAGAAATAAATATGGTCATTAACACTTTCATCCGAAATTTTAATTTCATGAAATCATGTAAAGAAACACATAAAACCTGGAACAACCCATAAGAAGTGATACGGCGCGAATATTGCTCCGCAATACTGTTGATCTTCCAAAATATCTACCACCACTCCCATGGCCCATATAACTTAAAAAAAAAACTTGAATAATGATAGAAACTGAAATGCTGCTATAAAAATTTTAGGATAATTGAAAACAACACAACCAAGAACGGACGGAAGATTTTTAAATGCCTTAGAAAAATATTACAAGTAATCTAACTATAAATCATTAAATGATGATGGCGCTACAAAACAAACATGATGAGTAAAAATTAGTTTTGTGATTCGTACTCCTAGCAAGAAATTATCAAAAATTCAGGAATCTAGAATTTTTTGAGATTAGCTAAATTTCTTCGTAAAACACCTAAAAACCTTAAAACAGATAAAAATTTGTTAAACTTACAAGAATAGATCACTGGTTTCTAATGAGTTGCGCAATTCTTCCGGTTTTGGTGCAGCTCCAACTGTCCCCTTCCAAGAAGTATATTTTTCCAATTCTTTCGAGAGTCTTTTCTGTGTATCGGTTAAATCACCCCCAGGATCGAGCACGTAAAAAGAATTCTTTCCATCAACTGTTTTTGGTATCTAAAATTACAATGAAAAAACGAAAATTTTCACAAAACCTTGACAAGAAAAAAAAATACGAAAAACCAAAAAAAAACAGAAAGAAAAACCTTTTTCGAAAGACATAAAAGTTCCTCGAACATGTGGAATGATGATATTCTGCAAATACGCTTATGCGACTCCATTACTGGCAAAAGTTCGAAAGGAAATGAAGCTAATTCCTGAAAGAAATCAATGAAGATGTTACAGTCAACTAATATCTTCGTGAAGAGCTGAAGTAATGATGATTTTTACTTGATCAATAAGACCAAACTAGTTAACAGAATCAGAAAAACTACATTTAGGTGCAACAAAGACAGAAAAACTTGGAGGAATCAAAAAAAATTTTCGAAGTGTCTTTAAGATACATAATCTTAAAAAAATTAAACTTACCGGTGAGACGCAAAGTAAGACATAACTTTTTGAGAAGTCACGACGGAATGATTGCTTTCCGAACTTCGATATCCAACGACTTCGACAATCAGCAATATAGGTAGCAACATTTTCATCAAAATTTTCTAAACTTGAAAACCGTTGTGCTAACTGCTGCCAACCGGCTGTCGATAAGTCCAAATTCTCGGCTAAGGCCTAAAAAAAAGTCTAAAATTAATTTCAGAAGAACTGCACTGTACTGATCAACTTTTAGAGCTTATAATAGAAGAAAGGTCCGATTACCAAATATTATTTTCATAAAGTTATTAGGTACCGTGTTCAAAATTTTCTTCCTTATATTATTACGCTTCTCATACTTCAAAATTATACCGCATTTTCGTAACGAAAAAAAAACAGCAAATGAAAAAATGGAACATTCAGGTAGTAATAAAGTATAAAAACTATGTTTACTCATACACTTGCAAAGCTTCTTGAAAGCCCATTGCTCATTAATTCATCGATAAGTGAGATACGAGCATCATTCACGTTGACGGAAGGTAAAAGCAGAACGGAAAAAATTCCAAACCATCCTGTTTGCACCTCACTAATCAAAATCTGTAAAAATCTGATAACCTTCACAATTTTTTGCTTCTGCTGCAAAGAAATTTTCAGTTTTTAGCCTTTTATTTTTCTATTTCCCAGTGTACCTTGTATTAATGAATGCTCCAAAATTTAGTTAATCAAAAAAAACATTAAAAGCAGAGTCATGTGCTTAAGAAAAGATTTCCTTTTTGCTCAGTTTACTATCTCTCAATCCTTATTATTAAGTATATAGTAACAATTTTTCGAAAAAAAATTTAACAAATGTAATTCAACCTTCAGTTTCTTGTCCAGTCTTCTTCTTATCTGCCAATATTCTTTTGGATCTGTGCATGTTTTACTAAGATTTCCTGATGCATCATTTTCTGTTAACAAGGTTAAGAAACGTTTCAGAAGCATGTCATCCTTAAAGCAATTTTTCTATATTTGCTTTAAAAAAACAAACAACGGCAAATATTTTTTATTCTTCTTCACTACTGATTTTATTTGATTTTTAACTTAAGTTTATCATTTTTTTCGAAAGTCAAAATTTATCTTTTGAAGACCATCAGACTCCAATACTGTTAATTAGTAGAGATGTTAAACCATCTTATACTATAGGTCGCATACCTTCGTTACACTTGTAATCATTAAAAAATCGTGATCAATCATCACCTGTGGAACGAATGAAACAGGTACGACTAATGGTGGTCTGCCATTGTATAATTTGATTAACCAAAGTATTCGCCTAGAATCCAGAAAAAGTTGCACCACCGTTAAATCTGAAAATTCAGTGCTTAAAAAATGCTATATAATTCGTAAGGTCCTGCAACCTTTACTATGAAATCTAGAGAATGTTATCAAAAAAACACGGTTGTTAAGCCTATAAAAAGCATGAATACTGCTTGATTAGAGAATTTCATTACTTTTGCTATTAGTGAAGCTAAAATCTTGCATACAGGAACTATGATTTTTCTTTATCAAGTAAAAGATCACATGGATTTCCTAGAATCATTATATTCAGTTGCAAGAAAAACTTTAAAACCTACCATGTGGCAAACATTGAACGGCCTTTTTAAACTTTTCAATGTTTTCGAAATAAAAATTCTGACTCTTCTCAGATTTTTTGGAAATCATGCGGGCCAACTGACGAGTACCCATAAACATTGCTTCATTAAAGTAATAAGCAGCACTCCAACCTGGTTCAATCCAATCGGCTTTATATTGGAAAGCACATACTTGTCCCAAATAAGAACATGTTTGGAACCGCCACTCCCTGAAATCCACTTCGAACTATGAGTTATATGAAGTTTTAGAAAAACAACTGAAAAATTAATTCATTTGTTCGTTGCATATCGCAACTGGGATTTTCATGCGAAAATGAGACTTCTATGTTCATGAAATGAAAATAGTGAACAAGGAATTTAAACCTATAGAAAAGATGGGAAAAGGAATCGAAATCCTTCCGAGCTTCTTCCATCTCCGCGTTTACATAACTGGGAATGACATTAGTGACAATCTTGTGATTTGTTTTTGAGGTCGGTTTATATTTCTCGAAGTTCGAAATGGAGGGTGGTCTTGGTGAACAAAGTGTCCTGAAAAAATGGATGCTTTAATGGTAATGATGCCAAATAATAAACAACGATGTCAAATGTCTCGAAACTAAACTAATATATATAAGCAACCTCGTACATTAAAAAGCTCTACAGATTTGGAGTTTATTTTTTGGCAGTTCTGGTTGACGCATAAAGCAATAGGTATTGTTTCCACTAATATTATATCATTTCTCATTACTGATTAAGGAAATTCTCACGAACAATGTATTCAGTTCTGAAGCAAGATTAATGACAATAGATTTCAGTGGTGAACGCAACCCTGCTTTCACATGCAATCGCATCCATTCCAACTTTGGAATTTTCAGTGGCGTTCGCGCTAACTGCCGTATTGTCAACCATTGCCAACGAAAGTGTACGGGATCCGTTGAGCATATCTATAAATTTTGAAAGTCGTGTATTGAAATTATCAAAAAAAAACTTCAAAAAATCCAAAGATATTTGCGCTGGAGAAATTTATTACCGACTATGTTAACACTGCCATATTCTATCTAAAAAAAAATCAAAAACACACTTTCAACGATTCCTTTATCAAATCCTGTATAATCTCCGGTTTTTCTTCTTCACCAACTTTTCGGAGCCATCGAATTGCTGCCAGCAGAAAACGATCTAACGCTTCCAGTGGATATCGTCGTTCTTCAATTGCCTGAAATATATCCAAAACCCCTCTGCAAACCGGCAAGATTAAACGAAGAAAAGTTACGGAAAAGAGAATTATGGCGAAAAATCTAATAAATTTGAAGAATCACCTTTTCCGTTGCTTCTTTTTGAAGTGCCGAATAAATCGAAATCACATCTAATGAAGTCTCCTGAGGCAATTTCAAAATCCTATAATGTACACATTTCATACGGTCATTTCAAATTGTTTACTGATATCAATATATGTATCTACTACAGTGACAAGTTGACAATGTTAGTTCAATCGAACATGATGAAAATGGGAAAGATTACCTTTCGGAAAGCATACGAAACATTCTTGACGAATATCGATAAAATAACATCTTTGAAAAAATAGCTTCTATGTGCATCTGTGAATTTATGTCACAAAGCGTGCATATTACGCAATCGCAAAATTCAACATGCTCGTCCAATATTAATTTATTCGTTGTATTTTCTTTATTTGTTTGTGGTAAGCTGAAATTTGAAAACAGATATTGTTGAACTCAATTCTATTAAAACAATTATAATCATTAATCAACCAAAAATCCAAATTAAAAATATCCTTGAACTAATTACGATTATCAACAAAAAATGTTAAAAACTACTGATCTCATACTAAGTAATAGATGATAGAACTTACCTGTTTGGTTCATCTTCGGTGAGATTTATTATTTCTTGACCTCTAGACGATAAATTTAGTTCTTTGTTCTGCCCTGCTGTATAATTGCTTTGCGATCTCTTAAAAAACAATAATTACTTACAAAATAGGGACAATACCACCGATAAGAATGATGTTCAGCAAATAGTATTTTTTAAAAGACTAGAAACTAACAGAAAAAATTGGGCTAAAACTAAATTTAAAAAGCACAACTTACATTCCACAGAGAAGCAATAAGTGGTCGAAATGGATCTGGGCGAACATTCACACTGAATTCGCGAGCAAGCATCGATGTCAGAAATAAAACGTTCAGCACTGCCAAACACCTAATCAAAAGTTAACTAAGAAGCATCGTTTTATACATTACTTTACACAAGGCATTATCGAGAATGCTCACAAAAATCAAGATTTGAAAAAGTACAATTAAAGATTTGACAGTTTTCACACACTTATTAAAACTTGATCATCGTGTAGCACTCAGCTAATAACATTACACTAAGCACAAACCTAACCTTTGCAAATTCGTTGTTCTCAGAACCTGATACAGTAGTTTCAACCCTTCACTTTCACTCTCCCGAAGGATTCCTAACTCAACATATTTAAAACACAGCTGCAGTACCACTTTGAAATGCTCTGCCAGGACTGCACTTAATTTCACTAAAAAAAGAAATATTTATTTTCAGGACACTATACTATCATGAATGACAGTCCTTACTACCAATGCTTGAAAACTAGATAATCTTTCAACCAAAAATTATCATTAAATCATTAAATGCCGAGATTAATAATATGAATCCTTGATCAGAAATTGTTCTGCTTCTCATTCCTTCACAAAAAACAGATACTTTCAAACTTGCTATTTCAATTAAATGATATTGAGATCTTCCGAACTTACAATACTCATCAATTTTTGTTTCCTCAAATTCAACGCCAGCAAATGCAGCGCAAGCGGCATCCTCTTCTTTCATATCATTCCCATAATATATGCTACTTCGACATTTCACTAAAGTTTCGTAACGAGCCTTTATAATATCCATATTTTGTAATGGATCGCCAATCTACAGTAAAGCTTATACAGTTTAGGTAATTGTGACTGATTTCGCAAATAATTCTATTTTGCTGCGAAAATTTACAAAACTATTTGATCCTAATAATTTAGTTAAAAAGTTGTGATTTCTCAAAACAATTTATATTGTTCAGTTATTTCAGATATGGAGAATTCCAGTCAAAGATAATCAAACTAGTAAAAGCAAATGACGAAACAGCTTGACAACTAGTATTTAAAACTTCGTTTATAAATGTCATATATTTGGGTATGTATAGTGTGCAGTCAGCAGAAAACAATAATGCACTGTTTGGATGAAGAATTTTTATGACCTTAGTGAAATTTTATATCTTTATAACGTGTTCTAAAATTAATTATTAGATATATTTTTAACCAATAATTATCTAATTATCCCAACAGTTACTGCATGTATTCTTGAATACCACTTAGCAAAATTCAAAAAGGTTATACTCACCAGTGTTAAGTCAGCGTACGGGAAATGATTAGCAGCTATCAAAACTTGTTTAATAAGAATTTGTGCTTCGTATTGTTGGAAGGTTTTTGCTTTCGATTTCGTAAGAATAGATTCGAAATACTGCATAGTTTTAATAATATGGTTTTGCACTGGCAATGCATCGCCAGAGTGATGACTCTAGATGAAATGGATTCAATTAATAAACTGTCCGTTATTCAAAGTCTTGCATTTTTTAACTGAACCTACTTCTAAATAATTAAATAAGCAATTCCAGAGTATAACTTTAACTCTCCTTTATGAGATATCTGATAAAACTAATTTAACTTCAAGCAAACAGGAGCGCATAATCATACCATTGTTTTTCCCATATGTAAATGAATGATGTCACTAATAACTTCGTTAATGATTTCTTTGTGAATAGAGTACATGCGTTTTACTTCTTCTTCATGAAGCACCTGAGTTTTGGCTAATGACCAGTATCCTAGAAGGCATAACCAGTATGTGAGCAATAATTTTGAATGGACGTCGCCATCATGTAACCGCACGACGTGTCCCAAGCAAATAATGGCTTTTGTGTACTGGAAACAATCTTTTTAAGATGCGAAATACAATAAGGAACAAGCATGATACCGAACTGATCTTTTCAAAACTTTGCAAGCACAAAATGCGCTTTGTAGTCTTACCAAGAAATAGCATGATGAAAAAAAAAACAGCTTTAAATCTATGATGATCATACTATCGATCAAATGATCACTAAATCTCAATCTAATAGTCACATTATTCAGTGTGCATAACTCATTAGCAATTATACAAATTTTATTTTCCCATCAAAAGAGAAATTCTCAAGGTTTAAAGAAAAACAAGCCTCATCGGAATCAAGCAGGCAAGCAGCAAGTAATTTCGCATGTCTACTGTATTTACGCTGTTCCACCGGATCAGAAAGTGAGAATACTACAGGGGCTAAACGTGAATTCCATACAGAGAAAGCATCCTTGAAACACAAAAATATAAAGTTTAAAGTAATTCAATAGTCATCAATAAAGCAACAATTTTCATTTCAGAAATTTGACTATAAAATGCCATAAATTGGAGCAAAATCCTCTAAATCAAGGAAAATTAATTACAGCAAATGCATCTAACAACATGAGCATGAACCATAACCGCCTATCTTATATAGCTGCTTTACGTCCAATAACATTTCAAGAAATCAGGTTAATTAAACAGAAAAACCAATATCCTCTAATATGTTTTGTAATTTAATTTTTTGTAATTTACAGTTTGTAACTTACATACTTGCAAATGTTGATGGGGTTTATATTTTTCCAAGCTTGTTACTAGCAATCGAATTATCCTTACGTGTTTCACAGTGGAAGAAAGATTGTAAAAATCCGCACTGCTGCTATCAAACAATTCTTTCATTGCATTGTAGATCTTAAAATAAATTCTCAGTTAAGACACGTAATATTTCAGGTAATATTTCAGTAACCTGTTAAATATTTCTGAGGTGCTGAAGAATTTATGTTTTTTGGCCAAATAATCTGGTATGGTACTCAGTCTAACAATTATCACGAATTCAGCTCTACAAGATAATTTCGATATAATTAATGAATTCAATTTTCAGACTAATTCTATAATTACATCTTAATCTGAAGTAATTTTAGTGCGCTAAATTCATTTCGTAATTGAATTATATGATAGAAACGTGCGACTTCGAACTTAAAATCTTAAAATTTATAAGAAGTGTCTTTTTTTAGTAATTTGACAGAAATACACTTCTTTTCTTGCACTTATTGTCCCAACGATATGATTTTTCATGTGTAACAATAATTCCTTTTTCATTGATTCTAATTGAAGTTTATCTTCCCGAACCATTCTGAAATTCTTTGAAAGTAATTTTGAATAGAGTAGGTGTGAGACGACACAACAGGCGACTTTATATCCGGCATATTCATAGCTTTTACAATCTTTAGTTCATTTATAAAATGGAAGTTTTAAAATTCTGAAAGTTAAACTAATTCAACTAAACTTGGACAAAGTTCCTTTGCAATTTCGCGATTTAGTCCTGAAATTTGAGACTAACTTTCCCATTACTTACTTTTGTAGACTTGCATTAGCTTATATCGGGTTTTCAAGTAGGATGCTAAGACAGGACATCAATAACAAATATTAGTGACATAAACAATCTAAATATAAGCGATCTCAACAGTCTCGCTAAAGTAATGGGTGTGAAGAGACAGTGAGAACTGAAAGCAAAATGATGAATCAGAGGAAACATTGGTGTTATTAAATGCTAACTGAAAGTTGTTAATTGGTTTTAATTTTCTTTTTCCAATCAATTAAAACTCATTTCTTCCTAACGGTGACACAAGAGTATTACACTTTCATTCACTCAGCCAATCCTCTCGGGTAAATTCATGCACAGTATGTGTAGGTTATAAAATCATAGAGCATGTGATGTAATATTATAATTTTAAACAGCAGAGTGAAGCACAAATGGAATACTATTGTTGGATTAAAAACGAAACAAGAATTTCGATTAGGTTTGCTTAGGATTACTATTTTCAGTCAGTGCTCGTCTAAGAAGCTTTAAAATTTAAAATTAAATAGGTCCCAACTCGGCCAAAACAGCACGCCTAAAGTACATGAGTAGTCGTGTTCTAAGCGTAACTGAAAACGTAAATGATGGAACGAATGAAAATTCGAAATTTGAAATTTGAAATGTGAAATGGGGCCGACCTCAGGAACCTTTCCACTGTTGCAGCTCAAGTTGGGTTAGCTGTTCGTCACATGTTCTTTCCGATTGGGCATATGGACCATGAGGCGAACTTGTTTTGTGGATGTGGCGATGGGTAGCTTGGAAGTGATGCGTTGCCCTAACCGATTTCGCACATAACGTTTCCTCCGATGACTTTGTCACATATACTTCTCTTCCGGTTGACCTTGCCACACATCGCTTCTTTTCCTGATCCTGTAGCATGTCACTAACATTTGCCAAATGACCCTATGACACATAACATTCCTTCCGGATTCATATACCACTTCTCTTCCGGATGCCCATATCACGCATTATCTCTTTTCTGGATGATCTTTTCAATTTTTGTTGAAAATTTGCTCACTAGCATAAATTTATTGCATTAATTACATCTTGTTTGTCTAAATAATTCAGAAATCTAATCGTCCGTGTGTAATATTAGGGTTGTGGAGGACATTTGCTTCTTAGTGGTCCTAAACTAGCGACTCGCTTCAGGATAGCAGTTAAGATTAAGGTAGAAGTTTCAATTTCAATCAAACTACGTAATTTGAAGTTTAGAGTGAGAATGGCGCAAGCAGCAGCTGTTGCGAAGCAAGGATTAACGTTGATGAAACAAATTGCTGAGCAGATGGCTCATTTATATGGTCAAACAGTACATACAATGAAGACCAATATAATCTTACGACCTATCTATAAGTGGTGGGAAGGAAGATTTTGGCTCAAAGAAGAATCGTGTAAGTTCCTTGCTTGTTAGATGAAGCATGTAGCTCTAGCAAATAATGTGTCAGTCATGTGGTTCATGTGATTATATTTACAGTACCATTTTTTGAATTGTCGAAAATAGCGTGTAATAGGTGACACGTTTTAAAAGTGTTAGTAAAAATCTTTCTTAATTTTTTCCAAATTCTCATGGTACAAAACATTTGGTGACTTACTAGAAGAATGAGGTTATCCACTTAATGTAGTCGTAACATCGTGATTATTTTTAAACTAAAGATTCAAGCTTAGGACATTCTTAAGATTATGAGATTAGAAGAGGTGATATGCTTTTTGTTCATGGAAGCCATATGCATCACTAGAATATACATTACATTGTGTTACAAAAGTCACTCATATTAGTTTTCACTTTTTGTGACATTCTGGTCAACTGATAGCTTTCTTTCTAAACATATCTTCATATTCTGAAAAGAAAGAGCGAATAGAGCTTAAAGAGAAAGAACAAGAAAGTTACAGCTGTACATTCACCCATTCAGCCAAGAAGGGTTTATTTCAGTACATTTTTAGAGTTATTAATTATTGATCAAGCTTTATATTGTATTTCACGTAAAATTTTTCTTCCAACACACAAAAAACGTTTTCTGAAGTTGTCCGGAATTGTTGGGAAATATTTGACCATATTTACTAATCCTTTTCAATCAAATTTCGGAAACTGCATTTAATGTAAGCGTACAATCATCATATAGTTGTGTTCATAGGGGCAGATCTATTAAGGGTTTTTATTTTGATTCGTGAAATTTTCACATCTAATTTTTCAGGTTTTGTAAACCGCGGTCGTGCCAGACTGTATACGTATTTACTTCTATACTTGCTCATTCGTTCGCGAAGTGCAAAGAATGCAGCTGAAACAGAAGCGCTGAAAACGAAAAGCAAGGAACAAATCGTTGCAACAGCTTTGCGATGTAGCGGACGATCGTAATGGATGTCTATTATTTTTGGTAGATGTTCTTTAGGTGATTAATTTTGCTGTATTTGATTTGATTGTGTGCTAGTATAAAATTCGAATCTTTATTCTTGATGAATGAAACACCTATATGAACTGCTCGTAGACGAAAGATTCCGTATTGTCAGTGAATGACTAGGGCGTGCATCAATCATCTGAGGATTCTGGACCATCTGATCTTTTGAAAGTTTTTTTATTTTTCAAAGCTGTCCTATTCCACCATTTCTCTTATTACTGGAAAAATTTCTTGAGAGATAGTGTAAAACTCATCTGTACTGAAATCTATTAAAAAACTCTAGTTTAAATTAGTCAAGCTAGTTTTGAAGCAAAAATGTGATTCAATTTTATCGGGAAGTGGAATGGAAAGTTTACAATAAGGTCATGTACGTAATTTCTTGCTTTACCAGAAAACAAACATGTACTACTCATAACGATCCTGTTTTAAATAGATATCAATGGATCATGAGTAATTTTGTTGAATTTACTTCCCGATTACTGATTTCTTTTGTCCGATCCAGGAATAATTTCATTAGTTTTCTGCAATGCTGACTAATATCCTCCACTCTTCATTCATGTCGTGTTAGACATTTATCCTTTCACAATTAGTTCTTAGTAAATCATTAAATCTCCGCATAGCAAAATAGCTCAATTTTTTAGTTGCATCTTCATTATATTCCGAAGTAATAAAATAAAATTATCTGAAGCAGTTTAAATCGATCTAAAGAAATAAGTAATTGAATCATGACTGGTTCAGTTATTTTGTTTGAATTATTCCGTCTTATCACATCTATGCAAATGCTTATCGTATTTTTAAACACAGCGCTTCGAGATAGATATAACTTACATAATGGTTCTGAAAGAGATTTTGTTATTCTAAACACTAAGCCGTTTGGTTTTCCTCATATTCTAATATAGTTTAGTTGCAATTTTTTTCTAATGAAATATATAAAAACGAAATAAATAATGATGCATAGATCCCATTTATTTCTATGTGATGACGAATAATGTAATTGTAGCATAGTGATAGTATATATGCGGACGGAAAATGGTATATGAGCATGTGATAATATTATAAAACAAATATGTTCAAATCTGTCAACTTAACATTAACATTCCAATTTTTCAAATGCTTATATGCAAATTTTATTGAACAAAAAAGAAATCACCGAAATAATTTGCTGAGATTTCATAGAGTTTTTATCTGCTATTTCTTGAATATTTTTATATTACAAGAAAAAAATGTTTCACTAACTTACAGAGTTAGAAGTACTACGGGACGCGTTAAATAATGATAGAGCTGAAATAGGAAAGATTTTAAAAATTATCAAATTATATTCATTAATTTACAATACGGAAAATTGTAAAAAGGATCAAATTATTAACAAGCTTTTCTCTAGATTTAAAATTTTTTAAATTCTCAATTTCCGATTTCATTCCATTTGTTAGAACGGTTTGTTTTAACTTTATTCAAATCAAAGAAATACAAATGGATAGAATTAATTTAATTTTAGTTGAAATTTTTGAAATGAAAATTAGAGAATGATGGAGTTAACTAAGGAGCAGAAAGAAAAAATTTGATTTTCTTTGTGTTTGCTGTTTGTTGGAGTTCCTTCCGTTATCGTTATCCATTCTTCAGTCATCCGGAAATGGTCCAGCCAGTACCTTCTTGACAAATGCTGAAATGGATATCAGTGAATATATATCCTAATATGAATGACTAATCATTTAGATTCAAATTGATATTATCACCTTCATAAGAAACCATTCCTTCTCCATCTTCTGAACCTTTCATTATTTCATCCGCTTCTTCAGCTGTCAGACGTTCGCCTAAAGCCATCAAGACATGCCTTAATTCTGCTGCCATAATCTGAAAAATGATATGTGGATTATATAGACGGATTATCGATCCATCCTTTCCAATTGTTGTCTTTTTCAAATATTTTTGGATATACTTTGATAAACTTTGTTGATTTTCATAAAATTTCAATTTGATCCACTAATTTTAGCATCATAAAATTTCAATTTGATCCACTAATTTTAGCATGAAATATGTATAAATGGAAAAATTTATGAAAATCAATTTATTAAATTAAAAAAAAAGTAATTTTTCCATTTATGCATCTGCTGAAAAAAAGGAAGGCTAATTATTTTTCTATTAATTTATTAAGTAATTTAAAGGTTTGTCATTAATAATTTATTAAGTAAGTTAAAAATCTTTCATCAAAAGAACTTTCGAAAAAATCGGACACATCTTTCTTTTTTCACAATATTTTAATAATGTTTGACCGTATGGATTTAAAATTTAAATGACAAAGGATAACAGAACTACCTTTCCTGTTTCTTCTTTATCAAAAACTTTCAATCCTTCAACGAAATCCTGGAATGTTCCTTGTTCCTAAAAAAATATAATTGATGCCAGCCTCTAAAATACAATTTAATAAACAATCCTTATCAATAATTAATTTATTAAAAATTAATAAATTCTCATAAACAACATATACGAGATAAAATGAAAAGTATTAATCAAACCTTTTCTTTGCTCAATTGCTCATAAATTGGCATCCACTCTTCGAAAGTTATACGTTTTTCACCTTTTCGTTTGTATTCATTTCCACTTGCTTTAACAACCATAGCATTGGTTGGCTTAAGACCCGCAGCTCGTACAACATCACCGATCTGAGTACCATCAATCTTACCGTCCAATTCCTCGTCGTACAATAGAAATATTTCCTTGAGCTCTGTAATCGATAATTACTATTACTGGTGGATAACTTATGGTAAATATTCTTAAGATTCAGGAAAGAACAACGGCGCTTGATATTTGGAAATTATCTTCCGAAATGAAAATTTCTTCCCGAATGATTCATTTATTAGTCATGATGATTTCTCTCTTGTGAATGAAATGTTAAACTTGAAATTCTTATACGTTATCTATTAAAAATGCATAAATTGGGACACATAACATTGATTGATTTCAACTCTTAATATTTCTCTCATACTGTCTGGAAATAGAATGATGGATCATAATAACCGGAACAGTCTTTAATAATAATAAAATGCTAGCAGATAATAAAAATATGATAATATGGATGGAATAGGTTGTATACCTAAGAAAAATAAGTAGTTCCAAATGAATGGTTTAGCAAATTGTGTTTGCAATATCGCGGAAAAATCAATTATTCATCAACTATTATCGATCAATTTTGTTCATTTATTAATTGCACTGTCAATAACTTTTTTAAATGTAGTAATGTAAACAAATGATAAAATAATGCAAAAAAGGTTTCAAACTGAGAACTAACTAATTTATTGCTATTGAAATAATTTTTTCAAATCTCAATTGAAGTTCAAATTTTTCAATAGCTTTTTATATGTAAACAATCAATAAATGCAAATTTACTTTATACCATTTGTATGTTATTTGCTGTAAAATGTGAGGATTTTATAAAGCATACCATTTAAAGAAAGCTGTCACATATTACTTAATGGACAAAGGAACAAAAAAAGTATAAACTCATATTTATGGATAATTTGTAAAATTCTGAAAAGCGACCATTGTTGAGAGTATTTTAGAAATTTCAAAGGATTAAAGTGTTACCTAAACAGGCAGGTAATATTTATAAAGCACTTAAAAGAGAATAATTAATGTACATTTTTCAAAGTAATAATAAAATGTCAAAAGTTTTTCAACGTTTCGAAAATATACTTAATATTTGTAAATGAAATATAATTTATAAATAAAAAAATCTTTTGGATTTTATGACCAATGGATTGGTTAATTTTTTGATAGTTTGATAAATGATCCAACAATAAGAGAAAATTTTTTTTATAACTAAATAAGAAGTTGAAACGAATTAAGAAGAATTGAAATTTGAAATTCAAAATTTATTATTTTTACTAAAGTGATTTCAGGATCCTGAATTCCTGCTTTAAAATTTTGGTATCTTTAAATTTCCGGTTATTAAATGGGATGTAATTTGTTTGGAATAGAACAAATCTATTTGCTAAACAATGAGAGTAACAATAAAAAGTAAATTTAGAAAAATATAAAATCACAAAGATTTCATTCGTTCAATTTCCACCATAACTTATATTATCTATTTGCAAAATATTAGATTCATAGTGTTCTAAGATAATCTAAAATAGTAAACTTGTTAAAAATTTTATATTCTATTGAATTTTATATTCTATCGAGCTGTTCTTCATTTCTTCAAATTAAAATTGGATGTTTAATATGTAAGAAGCAAAAATATATTTATCGCAGAAAACTATGATACATGGAAATTACCAAGGAATACTGTGGAAAATTATGTATTTCAAAGAGTGATTACTGTCCGGATAGACATTTATGGTACAAAAAAGTAAATTTAGTAACAAAATGAAATTTCCTTTTTCATTCAATCATTGGAATTTACTTGTTTAACTGTGATATATAATCATTTCTTTCTTTTTGCAGATTATGAATCGATCAAACTTTTACCTCACAAATATTCCATAATTCGATGAAATTTATAAAGACCAATGTCACTTGCAGCTATAAATTTATTTCTGATCAACAAGATGAAGCGGGAATGGTATAAAATTTGGTACCATTGTGAGAAGGTACGTTGTTATTTAATAAAACTTAACATTTTATAGATTAAAATTGAAATTGCTTAGACAGATATAGCGAAAATCCGAGAAGTACCGGGAAAAATTGTCCACTATTCCTTTTTCTTTTTTTGCTTTTTAATGCAACAAATTTTATTGATAAAGTTTTAGGCGCAATATTTTGCATCTTTTCCAAATAACTTTTCAGAGAATGATTGAGCAGAAAACTATGATAACATTCTACGATTTAAAGATTATGCTATTATAGATTTATTGTAATTTATTACTGTATGAAACTACAGCATGTGACAAATTTTCAACACCTATATCATTATGATCCGTTACTCTCGTAACTTTAAATACCGTAATATACAATAACCTGTGTTGTTTATTTGACTTTATATGTAGCAATTGTTTACTTGTTATCTACGATACTGATGTTACTACCATGAATTTCAGTAAATAGAAACTGTCCTTCAATCATATTATTTGTTGTTTTACTCTTTTTTTTGAAGTCGTTTACAATAAAACTATCACTTTTAAATTATATCTTTATTGAAATTTCAAATTAAAGAAGAAAAAAATTAAATGAAAATTTACCAGCTTGTGAAGGCATTCCTGCTATTTGTTGTTATTGTATGGATAATACTGAGGAGAAGGTAAACAAATCAGGATAAGGAGAAGTTAGCTGATGATAATATGATATTACTACTGCAGAAGATTCAGTATGAGAAGGTAGAAGAATTGACACTAACTAGCTAACAGCAATCTTAGCTTAGACGAGAGATTGGATGGTAAAGATTTATTCTTATCTATCTTTGCTATTGGTACGTATGTCTATGTGACAGAGTGAGTTTAGCAGAAGTTGTTGTTAAAAAAGCTCGAGAGCTATGTGTTTCACAATTGGTAGCACATTACCATTCGAAAAGCACAGCTACATCTCTCCCTATGTTCATTCATTCATTCGAGAGTAGTAATAGCTTGTAGCTAAACAGATAACAGAAATGTCAGGTGTTCTATATTCTATCCTCTCATTTTAACTTCAAGATATCTCACTAAAACTATTGCTATTCTAAAACTTCGTTTTAAAATAAACTATGAAAGTTAGAATGAGATAGAATGGAAATGATAGAGTAGCAGAATGATAATTGAAGCAGCACTTTGTTGAAATATTTCAGTTATTCGAAAATGAAAAATGTAACTTACAAATTTTCTTCTCTTTGTAAACATAATGCATGTTTACTCTAAACTTTTATTTTTTACTCTTTCTTTTTTATCTCTTATCATCAATATTATCATCAATATCTCTCTCCTTCTTTCCCTCTTTCTCTCTCTCATAATCGCTGAATCATTTCAATTTTTCTATTAAAGAAAAACAATGAAATATGCAAAAAAAAAATCTCTGATAATCGATAATATCACTTAAAAGAATCATTTTGTTTATACATAACATTTTTTGAATTTATAAAATTGTTCATTTAATCCATTCATTTCTATCTTTTCACTTTACAATTCAAAAATAATTTTAAAAGAAAAGATTATGCAAACATTGGAAGGAAAAAGAAAAACATTAAGTCATAGGAAAATTTTCAACGATATATTTTCAATGTTACCAATGGTTCACAGTGTTTTTTTAATTGATTGATTTGCGTAGGCAATAATTTCAATATCTTCTAAAGTTGAATAGCCCTATTGATTCATCATCTATCGCTATTACCACAGCGATCACGACTACTACAACAATGTAGTATAACTGAAGATTATTTCACTCTTTATTCTCACACTTTTATATTATTCTTACTATATCAACTTTTATGATACAATCAATTCAATAAGTGTAATCGAAGAATGTTTCAAAGAATTTCAAATAAAATATATTATATTCAATTTAACACAATATTTATATATATCACTTATAGTAGAAATAATTTATAAGTTAAATAAAGCATAATTTCAGCAAATTTTCTATGAGATAAATCTTATCGAATCTTTTAAGTAAACTTAAAAAACTGTAATAGATTCATTATATGTAAATTAATTATTATTGTAATGCCGTGTTAATTACATCGAACCTACCTGTGATACGAAATTTTATTTTGAAATAAAACATAAGCAGAGATTATTTGATAAACAAAGTGTAATATTTCGATTTGAATTGATATGATTATCATAAATTGGCATCAGTGAAAATAACTTTTTTAAAATATATCAAACAATAACATTGACATTATTTCTGTTGTTATCGAATGAATATTTTATAATTTCTGTGGAATATAAATATTTTCGATTAAAAAAGTGTCAATTGAATTGATATTTCGATAATATAAAAAAAGAATGTCAAATGAAAGGGAACGTTATAATATTGACATTATAATATGGAGCATTATAATATGACATTATAATATATTATAATATTTTAATATAGGACATTATAATATAGGGCATTATAATATTGTTTATTGCTTATTGAAAATATTATAAAATTCTTCTCCAAATATATTCCACTCTGTTTAATGCTAATTTCTAGTACAATTCAGATCGATGTTTGAACTAAGTTTCCGACCAATTTAAAGATTTGAAATCAGTGAAGTTATCATACAAAAATATATTTGCTGAAAATCGACATGTATGAAAATAGCAAGTGGATTAATTAAGAATTTGATCATAGTATTTTGGCTATCTTAGCCAAACCATACATTGCAAGCAACTATTACTATTACCATTGATAATTAATTACTATTACTATTGATCTCTGAGACATTTTTTTCTTGAGGTCTAATTCGAACGATCATCACTCATAGCATAGTACGTTCTTAAAAGTGCTTAATTGGAAAATTCCCATTAAGATTGTTTGAGTTCAATTAGCAGATTGAAGATTTCTTATAGTTTTAAAGTCCTAGAGTTAGCTTAATCTATCTTTTTTTCTGACTTAATCCGCTCAAATGGAAGCTAAGTTCCACAACAGAATAAATGTGTATATAAGATAAAGAATGAATTTCAAATTAGTTTTTCTGCTATTGCATAAAATAACTAAAAGCTTGTCATTTCAAAAACGTCAAAGTTTATTAAAATTTCTGTTTACTTAATAATTAAAAATAAATGAAATAAATGAACCGAAGGAATCTATTTCGTTTTTCCCAAAAATAAAATACTTATAATAAATATCATTTCATTTCCTTCCTAAAAATTTTATTCGAATTCATAAAGTTATTTGAAAATCTATACCCTTTAAATGCACAGCCATTTAAAACACTTTAAGACCTAATTAACTTTCTATGATTTCTTTCTTAATCTTTTCTCTTCTGTTAAATATATCTTATCGATAACTTCGACTATGTTCAATCCTATAAAGCAACAATTTATTAATTTATGAAGAACAAAAATTTGAAATCAAATTACACTTTGAATATTCGTTGTCACACAAAGGTAAAATCAATCGATCATTATTGATTCAATTGTTTTATAAACATTAAATAAAAGACTAATTTTATTACAATAAATAATTCGAAATGAATTGAGAACAAAAAAAAAGATTTAAATAGAAATTAGCTTTTATGAAATTTGCATTGAAGTTAAATATTCTACAAAGTGGATACATACGTCCATTATGTTACGTCCGTCGAATTCTGACCCTATCGTTATGTCATTGCAAGAAGTTTTAATTTATTAAATATACTATTAAATCCTTACAACAATCAAATATCATCAGATTGGATTTTATCAGAAAACAATGGCAAGAAGTATTAAGTGCTAAGAGATATTACAGACAAGTTGTAAATTCTCAAAATGTTCAACTTATACAGGGAAACTACATAGCGTATGATAATACTTCAGATAACCGGAAGTATATAACAATATTATACAGATATTATGATTTTCCGGTATATGATGGCATAAAATTTATTAGCCAGAATCTTCTATTTCATATTTAAAATTATTAAATCTTTACAGTAATTTTTTTGAATATTATCATAAGCTCGTTTTGCTTTCAAAATAGAAAGTGGTAAGATATTATACAGGTGTACTGTGGCATCTAGGATGTTCAGAAAATAATGATGGCCTAAGAGTTGAGGTAGTATTCATAATTCTGCTAAAGACGCAATTCCTACACTTGCAACCACTCCGCGATTCTCCATTGTATAAACTCATTTCCTTTGGAATAATCCATCGATCATTAATTAAAGTGGATCCTGAAAATTTGGAAAATACATAAAAGGTAAACTTGCTTACTTACATTCTACTAGTTTAATATTAGGAAAGTTGAAAAGAATAATAATGATTATGATAGTAATTAACATGATAGCATATTAATTCTAATTAACATATTAATTAGAAAGAGTTATCTCAAATATTTTCAAGTTTTTAAATAATGAAATTTAGGAATTTCTAATTTAACTATACAGATTAGATTAGATATTTGCCAAAAAATTTTGCAAGAATATTTATTTAAATGGACAATATGATTGTTTAGTCAAAGGGAAGAAAAGTAAAGATTGAAATAAAATTAAAAGATATAAAATAATTTTGAATTATATAAAATAATATATTATATAAAATAATATATTATATAAACATATTTCATCGATGGAAAGTTATCGAAATATAATTCTTTTAAGAAAATCAAATAATTTTATAAGTCAATTCTTGTATTCATTTTTTTCTAAACAATTAATTATGATGATTATAATGAGATAATTCTTATTTTTCCACAAAGGTTTTAAGTGACACATAAATAGAATAGTTATTTGTTTTGATCACATTTGAATTGTAATTTGCAGAATTACACAAGTGAATTTTAATAGTAAACAGAATTTTCAAACAAATCACAATGTCTTGCATATGAAATGGTTGAAATGAGAAAAAGAAATGACTGTCACTAAATGAACAATTAAATGAATACAATAAATAAGCGAAAACAACAATAACAAATATAATAAAAAGTAATAAAGAAGAACTTGTTGTTTATACGTTTAAAAAATTTACTTGGAAAAGAGTCGATAGCATAATTTTCATTAATTGTTGAAAGTGAAATTGGATGATTTTTTTTCTTACGTCGTCTATGTTCACGTTGTTTGATAGAAGTTTGTTTGCAGCATTTGTCAGGTAATAGTTGCATATTGTGAATATATTTTGGATGTGCAAATTTATTCTGAAATTTAGAAATGAAAAAGAATTATAATATTATTATCACATAAGTAAATCTTTATGTAATCTAAAACTATTCAAGTAATTATTTCATTTTTTAGTAAAAAATGGAATTTTAGAAAAAAAAGTTGCATGATATCTAAAGAATATGTGTGATACATCAATTGATCTGATTCAGATGTCAGATTCACAGTTACAAAGAATCCGTTGAATTCTGTGCAACAATGAATTCATATCAAAAATTTCCTTTTGTCAAGAGATATAAACTAATTAATACTTTTTCTATTCTGGTCAAAAAAAGTGTAAAATATAAATTCTATGCAAAATATAAATCACTTGGGAATCATATTGTTCGAGCAAAGTTGCCGACGATATTTGCTGTTTCGTTTCTGCAATGAATTTTTCGAAAATTATTCACAAAGAAGAAATATAAAGGCCGGAGAAAGAGAGAGAGATAACAAAATTTCAATTTAATCAGTTACACTACGAGGGAATTTCGGTTTGTTAAAATGAAAAAGCCTAAAATCATATGGCCTTAATCATTTATAGGCTTTGTAGAAATTATTTTTGTTCGGAAATAAAAATAAAGATAAAAATTAGGTAGAAATCAAAACTAACCATTGTGTTGTTGTTTCAAGCAATATTTATGAGCATCATTAAGAGGTTTGAAGTATGCTAAATAAAAGAGTGCAAAAATCAGTAGGAAAACTCCGAGACATACAAAAATTGTGCACAATATTGCAATCGTCATGTAACATTCATTTTTGACAATTGGTGGTGAATCGATAAACATCACAAAGTTCCAAATGGAATTTCAAATGAATTAAGCGGATAACGATTGCTTGCAACTTCTGGCTTTATCAAAAATATAATAAACAAATTTGGATTAAAATAAAAATGTCATATTATAAAAATTAATGATTTGAAAGTTCGAGAAGAAGTGATAATACTGAGAAGATTATCATAGGTATTCTGAGTGGGAGATTTTTGACCTCAATTATCACTTATCATTAAGCATTAATTGATTTGCATGTATTTAATGACAGTACTTTTCTTCATTTTTAACTCAAATGCCTTATGAGTTGTTATTGAGTAAAGATATTAATGGCTATTCAAGTATTAATCTCGTATATGAATCAATCATTGATTGTATTTTAATATTTTGCCGAAATATTTTCACGAAACATATTCAAATATTTGCGTAGTACTATTTAGATAACTGATAATGATAGGAAGTAGGAAAACGGAATTGAAGTAGGGGTGAGATAAATGAATGATTCCTATCTGTTTATTCATATAGCACCTAGTAGTAGATGAAGGTAACAATTTAATATTGAATTTGATAATAGATTCAACCGATGCTATTTGCAGCTGTCACCATAACAACGCAAGGCTTTCTCATGCACTATTGGGCATACCGTTATCAATTTAATTTTGAAATGAATACAAATTAGTGAGTTGTCATTATTTAAGATATTTTGTGGTGTTTATTATTCTAATTAAATTATGGTTATCAAATTTGTAAACAACAAACAAATAAAAATTTATTATAAAATTACAAAATTGAAATTGCAAAATCTGAAACATAGAAATATCTTCTACATAATGAAACTACGAAATTTTAATAATTACAAAGAATTGCCAATTTATTTGCAAATATATTATGATTTTGGCATTAATTGGCTGACTTCATTATAGCAACACTTCACAGCTTTATGTGTAATTCGTACATAAAAATTCATTACCATAAGAGGGATAATAGATGAATTGTAATCAGGGACTTTCGTTTTGGATAGGATTTAATTTTTAGTGTTGTGATACTTTATAGCAAGAACAGTAAAATTTAACGATACGGTGTAAAATCATAATTTTATATAATTCCATGGAATCAGTTTTTCCGCCACTGAGAATATCATTTAATGAATCAATTGTTATGAAAATTAATTAAAATTTTGAAATTGTTTACGTTTTTCCTTTTAACATTCAAAGTTTAAAACATTTTTTTAATCATAAATAATTTCAAACTTTGATTAGCAACTATTTCGTTTTTATGTATTTTGATAGCTTGCAAAATTCTGTATTATCACTTAAAATGATATTGTTTATTCAAAGAGAACTGAAGAAGCTAAATGACACTGATATCATCTTCATTGAAAGATCAGATAATTCCGATAATTATCTTTATTCGCTCGTTTGAAATAACTCGGATTAGAAATCGAATAGGAAAATAAGAAATTTATAATATTTACAAATCTGAGTACTATCTAATTTTGATCAATAAAAATTGTGTCATCCAAAAATATCGTGAAATTGATTAATATCGTTATTGGATTTCTGTACGGATTGATGTTGGACGGAATGATTTAATCTTTCAACAATTATATCCAATATTTTATTAAGATAATAATTAGAAGAAAAGCTTAGTATAAGCGAAGCAAAACTACAGGGAAATCCTAATTGATTAGTATAAGCGAAGCAAAACTACAGGGAAATCCTGGAACATCTTCTAAAACATTGTGGGAGCAATCCAGCTATCAAAACAAACGGAATATTGTGGATCATATTTTTTCATTCCGATCTTATTTGATTTCTTTATTAAATTGGTTTTGTTGGTTCGAGTTCATCTTAAATTTGTTTCACTCATTTGTTTTATAGTGTGAAGATTTTTTTTGTATAAGATAGAATTTCATGGCAAAAGCTATTTGAAGTAATTAATACAATTTAATTTAAGAAATTTTTGCAACATATTGGGAGAAAAACTTGGTTAACATTTTACAGTTCATAATAGTTTCTTTTTCCAAAATTTTCGGATTCTTTTACTCCTGTGGCTCATTTTTCTTCTTATTAATAGTATGAATGTTAACTTATTGATAGTATGAAATGTTAACTTGTTTATCTTTTGGTTTTCACGTCAGGAAGCGGAATATCTATCGTTAGCTAAGATATTCTATTGAAATAGATATCCTTATAGACATGACTGTATTATCAATCAATTATTGGTTAAATGAAGAATGAACAATCTTTCGTAAAAGTTATTCTCTCCTTTAGCAATGATTTCAAACAATGGGTCATTCATTGGGCCATCGTCATATGAGCAGTTTGACATTTCACAGTATCGAAAATTTCTGAATAAATTACAAAATCGTGCAAGCGAATTATGGGAGGCAGCACTGTGTCGTGTTCCTACTTCGAATACAATCGAATTGCTAACAGAGCATATGATGATTCGAGAATCCCTGCTGGAAATCGAAATGATGCAAAAAACATTTGCAGGCAGCTTAGAAATTGATTCAACGTGAGTTTGTTTTAATTGGAATGGATAGAGACATCAACTATGATGTTTTTCCTAGTTAGATTTAGAATTGACGTTAATGAGACTTCACAGAAAGGTCTGCTGACTTTCTCCCATTTGTAAAATTGTTAGCAAATTAGCGTTTCTACTGGTACAAAGTCTCCAGTTGATTGCAAACGAACTTGTTTAATTGATGTTTGAAATTTAGAAAAAAACCATACCTTACAAAACGAAAATACAAAATTAGCGAAACACACTGCAATTGTCCATTATTATATGAGAAAATCAGAAAGCCGGAAGAAATGAATACACCAATATATGTAATGTTTTAGTATAACTTTTTAGCGCGAATTGTTCGGACTGAAGCTTTTTTTTCTTTGGCGTCAATATTTAATTTTTTTGAATTAATTTTGCTGCAGATATTCGGAACAGCGTAAAGCAGCCCTAACAGATTTTGTGCAATGGGCTGATTCGGTTGGAATCTCTCATTGTTTCGTAGAAATTGCATATGACGAAGATATGGATGGATTTGGTTTGATAAGCTCGGATTACGTTACAGTTGGAGCAGATTTGTTAAGAGTGCCTCGAAAGGCCATCTTTTCATGGGACCAGGCTCGGAGATCATCTTTCTTAAAGTAATTTCTTCACTTTTGGTAATAAGTTGTTGGGTGCTCTAAATTTAGCGTAGATTTAAAAGATATCTTTTCAACTCGAATCAAATTTTCGGCGTGCATTCGATCGAGATATAATAATACGTTCAATGGAAAATGTTGCTTTGGCAATGATGTTGTGCTGTCAGAAAGTGGTACCTGAGTCACATTGGCAGCAATATATTAAAGTACTTCCTGAAAGTTTCGATACTCCTCTCTTCTTCACTGTTGAACAGTTGCAGGTTGGTGAACTCATGCATAGGCACGGATATCTTTGCGTAGATAAAGTCAGTAAAGTCTTCTGTTGCTTTTTAAATAGGGATGACAAGGACTAAGATTCTACTCTCTTTCAATTGAAAGGGTGAATGACCGCAACAATCCTTCTTCATCTACAATTCATACGACTGAAGTGAAAATTAAAAAAAATTTTGTTCTTTTGGTTTTATCTATTCTATATTTTTCTACTGTATATGCTGCTTCTGATTTTAAAGTCCGACTAGCCACTTTTTGCGATAAGGAAATCATAGTGATTGAATTATAAGTCTTTTATGTGGAAGACCGACGTGATGTTTTTCTATATGCGTCATGCAAACCTGAGCGATCCGAATTATCTGCTACCTTGCTGGCGAATGGATGAATCAAAAAGAGTAATTTGTCGACCGTTATCGTGAAGCTCTTTCTAGAAGCTTTCTCTCGCACTTTTCATGTTCTTAACAGAAAAAATTGGTTGCATTTAATAACCATCCAGCAATGATCCAAATGGTAATTACTTTCATTTTTCAGTTTTTACGTCCATCTCCATTATTCGAAGAATCATTGTTGCTGTATCGAAATGTTTCCAGACAATTTATTCATTTTTTATTGGAAATCATACGTAGTGATGAATTTCGTCATAGAAAGAAGGTAATATTATTTGAAGTGAAAAATTTTTTTAAGTAAGTGCCCTGCTATATACTCATTGTATTATTCGATGTTACGAAAAAAACTTTTGGGCGATGTTTTTGTTTTATCTTCGTCCAATTTTGGAATAACACTTTATTTGTTTAATCCATAACCTCTTATTCCCAAGAAAGGTACCAAAATCTCCTTTTGTTCCATTTGTCCCATAGTTATTGAATAATACCCTAAATAAACTTTTATATTAGTTGAAATCAGTTTTGTTTCGAAATTAGATTTCAAAGTTTATCTGAAAAGTTGGTGTTATTTCCAGTCATAACGTATATTATCATTTCATTTTGATGATAAAATGATTCAGCAGTATGTTTTAGAAATCCAAAGAAGAAATGTCAAAGCTAGAGCCAATATATGTTAATTCTCCTCTTACTGCATCAAATTTCACATTCAATCTATACCGGTGGTCCGTTGCCTGCATTTCAACACGTATTAATATGATACCGAGCGAAATATTGAAAGATTCCACAGGTCAACCACGGATGGTATGTTTCTTAAATTACTGAAATTCCACTTTTTAGATTTTTGGATTTAATGTCACGAAGACTTTAATTGTATGTTCAAAATTTATTCATTGAACACATATCATAAATCCGATTACTGTGCATTTAACGTATGTTAAATCAAGCAGTACCATGTCAAATCTCCGATATATTTGTGACATAAACAATGTGGGAATTTTCTCTACAGAATACAGACATTTCTTGGTATTTCGGCTTAAATTTCTGAAATTTGGAACGAAATCTAGGACTCAAACAACATCATTTGTTATCAAATGATAATCGGCACCGTAATTGCATCTTTTTTTAAAATTAGATACCTGGATTGATACCATTTCTGGATATGGCAAATCACAGTTACACTGATGATGCTTTCCGTGAAGCAGTACACTTTTCGGATGAATTTGATTGTGCAGAAATCATTGCTATTCGAGATTACAAACCTTTAGAATCCGTGAATATTTTCTATGGTTGGCGAAGTAATCGTGATTTTCTGTTGCATAATGGTTTTGTACCTCTCGAGAAAAACGTTCGAGATACTTACAAATTGAAAATTGGTAGGTTGCGAATTGTTTGGATATATTTATAAAAAATTTTATCCAGAAGCTGTGCATCACTAAATCAATCTTTAACATCTATCAGAAAGGTTGTTCTTACTTTTCCTCACCCCTCCCACATTCTACAAAGTGCTTAAGTGATTGCTGCAATGAAATGTTAGGCCGTTTGGTGATTTCGCATTTGTTTCTTCTGTTATTTGTAAAAAACAAAATTTTATTAGTAAATAAATTGAATTTGTATTTGATGCACTGTTTTCATCAATATATTTTGAATACTGAAAGATGAGGCATTTCTGCTGCAAAATGTTGAAAAACATGAGTTATTTGGCATCGGGTTTTCAGAAATAGAATCAACCGAAAGAAAATAATAGTTTTTTAAAATAATGTTTATTAAATAATAGTTTAGAAATAGCACTTTTTTTCCTTTAAGAACATTGCTTTCAGGACTTCCAAAATCGAAACGTGAAGATGCACGCATGTGTCTGTTTCATGTCCTTGGTTTCGTTGCTGAATCGACAATTTTTGCTTTCGAACTAAGCATATATGAGCCACACTTCCACGACTCATTATTCCGTTTTGCTCAAATATATGTTTTAGATAAAATCCCTTCAGAACCTGAACAAGTGGAGGAGGCGTTAAGCTCTTCAGATAACATCCGAAAAGCTTGGAGCTTTCTCCATGATCGTTTCTGCCTTATTCTCAGAGGATATGGCAGAGTAATCGATCCAGTCGAAGTAAAGCGCCCAGAATTTAGCACCTCCTCTGATACAATTCGAAAATCTATGATTGTAAGGTTAAAATTATCAGAAATAGAAATTTTGCAAAAAGTGGAAAATTTTTGCGAAAAACAATTACGAAAAATAGCTTAGTCGATAAAAATTTTGTAAGATGAGTAAAATTGTGCTATATTTAAACTGAGATTTCTGTCTGTCATGTATTAAAGTTGTTGTTGTACTCCTAATATTCTTATTGAAATAGCAGCTGCTTTCAAATTATGCTTTAAATTCAAATTCAAACTAACTTTCAAATTATTGTGCTTTCAAATTACGGATTGGTGAGTGCATGATGAATGAAATCCCAATGCCGTTGGAATCCCCACAGATGAAATCTGTCATTTTTGCCATGTTGTTAAACGGTGAAGATAACTTATATATTAATAGTATTATTATTTGTTTTATATGTTTTGCATAACCGTTATGAAAATAGCATCATTTTTATGTGGAAAAATAATAAATGCTAAGTAAAAGAAATTTACAAAAAAATTCTCTAACAAAGCACTCACGAGACATTTCTGGTAGAATTAGAATATTTTAAGCCGAGAATATTGTGAGGCTGATTAAAAGATTGTGAGTACGTTAAGTTTTATTTGTTATTAATTAGAGTAGAAATATAGCTTGAAATATGCTTAGGACTCAACAATGATTGCGAATGAAATAAATCTTTCGTAACATCATAATTTCAAGTTTATTTCGGTAAAGCAGCTAAAAGACCTATCAAGCAAACGAGAGCTCTATCAAGCAAACGAGAGTGTATATAGAATATATCCTCAGGATAAACCAAGAGAACATCTAAGCAGTAAGGACATTTTGCCTGCATACAAGAGCATGTTTAGAATAAATCATCATATACCATGCATTCTATTATCTTGAGAGCCAGTATAAGATGCTAAAAACTGCATAGATGAACAGTATCTTACAAAAGAGACGATTTTCGTGTTGAGTAGAATGAACTGATAAAGAATTATGTGATTCATAATTTTGTATTTGTAAGATTAAAGCAATTAAGAAATTTTCCTTAGATATAATGAATGCAAAACTTATCAAGTGAAATTAATGGTTTGGAAATTTACCTTACTAAAGCAATTCATACTAGTCTCTGTTTGATCAAAGTTTACAAGAGGAAGTGAAATGTTGAAGGAATGATTAAATGATTTTGACGTGATGGTTAAAGAATGTGGTATAGATTTTTAGTCTAATGATAACTTGCTTCTTGAAATAGAATGAGATGACAATTATTAAATGAAGACGAAGTTGTGCAACTTCTTTTGGATGAGATGATGACAAAAGCGCCTGAATATGCAAACATGAAAGATATTCCTATACAAGAAATTCCAGACATTTTATCTAATTTGAAAATGTTTACTGTAGCAGAAAGGTGAATATGCGTCATATCCGTGAATAATGAATGAATGCTCTTTTAATACTATAAAATACAGAAGAAATTATGAAATAGAGAAGGACAGGGAAGGGATGAATAAATTAGAAAAATTTGGAAAATGTAAAGGGGTTCAAGTAAGAAATTGGTGTTGCGAAATAAATGATGCATGATTATTCTTGAAAAAATGTTCTCCGATATTTGGGAAAGGTTTCATTTACTTCCGGGTCAATTGAACTCCATCTATTTTCTGGATCACTTAAAATAACAACGTCATTCGATCATTCGCTGGTTTGCTGATGTCAACAATTTTATATTTTCAAGCATTACAATTGTTTAGTCATTTGATGTTGTGCAGTATGCCATCATACAGTACCATTGCGTCTCCGGAATGATTTTAATTGAGTTTTCAAAAATGAGCCTATTGATAAGATGGATTATTGGTCACATTTTAGACAGTTTTTTAAAGCCATCATCCATCCAACATTGGTTTAATAAATATTTATCGTTATGATAGAATTTACTGTAAGATAAAATCTGATGAATAATATAACTTAAATTACGATTTAATATTTGTTGGATGTAATATAGATCGCATTATACTCTTATCTACTTTTGTGTCAAATATTTGTCGTCAAAAGAGTTCAAAGATACGAAAAAGTTTTTTAAATTTAGTTCGAATTTTTGATTACAGTAACTTAGACGATGCGTAATATTTTACTATCAACTATTTGGCTTAATATTCTCGAAATGATACATCGATGTAATGGATGTTTAGCAACCAGTGCAGTTGTACCACCAAAATTACGTCCAACCACTTATAATCCACGAACTCCAACAACAACCGTTGCACCAAATGTTCAATGTTTCCCAATTGCCAGGTAAAACGTTCTGAATCGTTATGATTAAAAATGTTGAATCAGTGAGCAAATCACTGATATGATCATTGAACGATGAGATTGCAAATATTTGTTATAATATTATCTGATAAAAGAAATGTGAGGATTAAGACTGTTCAGTTGCTTAGTATAGAATAGCTTTGATTTGGTTTGATAAATAATGCTGTGATGATTATTATATTCTTCTTAATTTACTATTATTATATTCTTCTTAATTTACTATTATTATATTCTTCTTAATTTATTCTTCTTAACACTTGAACATTCGATAATTTAGACCCCTTCAATTTAGCTAATAAAAATAATGCATTTATTTAAGTATTCAAATGATAAGGTTTCAATTTCATGCTAAGCAAATTTTATAGGCAGAAACGTGATTCTTCCTCTTCCGCTTCCTCATATACAGAGAGCTTGTCGAATTTGCCAATGAATTGCTTGCCAATTGATTATCTGAAAAATGCAATCGTTGAAATGAAAGCAGGTCTGATACAAAATGACTCACCCAATTCTGAATCAAAAATGGAAGAAAGCGCACATTTTCCTCCACCAATCTCGAAACATCCAGCAATTGCTATTGAACATCGCACTGTCAATGATCATAGTGATAAGGACAAACTTATATCTTTGAATCATTCAGCTAGAAAATGTTAGTTAACATTTACTCTTCCAACTGATTGCAATTATATAGTTTAATTTTCTTCATAAATATTATCTGCTAAAAAAGATCCGAAAAAGTTTTTTCAGTATGTCAAGATTTTGAATGGGATGGACCGATTTATTTCTATAATCAATCACTGAAAATGAAAGTACCATATTGCTATAAGGTTTGACACTTTTCTTAATTGATATTTCGGATAATTTATTCATAATATTCGTAAGCAATAATCATTATAGCATGGAGAGGAATTTGGGAGAAGAAATCTCGAAGTAACCGAAATGGAATGTTATTAAATGAAATAAACAGAAATGCTATTAACCCATAGGTGTTTATTTTCTAGTATGTTGCAAGTATTGATGAAGAAACGGATGAATTAACCAGATTGATACAGAAAAATGCACGTGACAAATGTCGTTCATATAGTAGTAGTCAAAGTGGTGGACCATCTGATTTAGTGTCTATTCATTCTAATGATGAAAATTATGAATTGCAAAGTATGATTTAAGATTTAAATTACTTTTAAATTTAAGGAATATTATTAATAATTCTGTGAAATTTACATTTGGGTGGTTAATGACAGCAATTACCTTTTTTTTATAATAAATTTTTGTTCCCATTTTTCTTTTCCGTCTTCATTTCTCTCCAATCACTTTTTTCCTAATTTAGTTTTCGAGTAAAAATAGTGGCTGGATAATTCTATCTTGACAAACAACAAGCAAATAATTCACTTTCTGCTTCTCATGACATTCAGAATTTCTTGATCAAAATTCATTTATTCCAGGTATATTATCATTTTTTGGCTGGGAATCAGCATGGATTGGTCTTGCTTACGATGATGTACGCACTACGTGGCATTGGATAGATGGTACAACTTTATCATTTTCAAAACTTTCACTTCGTAATCCAGCTCAGCATTGCGCAATAATACTAACCAATGGTTCCTGGGTATCGGAAGATTGCAAAAGCAACAGTGTGTCACATTTTATCTGTAAAAAACGAGCAATTGTATAAAATATTAATTTTGAAAAATATTGAGGAGCATAATTAAACAACGAATATTTCTATTTGTATTTGTTATTTCAATATTCATTCTGATAGTGTCATCATTAATAATGGCATTATTGATCGATTCACTGAGTAAAACACAAAAATTAATATTTCTTGGATCGATCAAACTAAACCATCCTTACTTTTTTTTCAATATTTGAAAGCTCTAATGAAAAGGCAATGTTCCGACATAATTATATTTAGAAAAGAGAAAATTATATGTACCACTAAAATTCTTCCCCTTTTTCGTAATCGTAAAAAAGGAAAATTAAACTCATCGAATTCATCCCACGTGCAGTTCGCATTTATCGTATCATTGCATTTAACACAGAAAATAGTAATTCATCGATGTCACTTTTCTTATCCGATCTATTAATTTTATTTGTTAATTTTTGGATAAATTTAAATATATGCTACATTTCGAAGCTAATCGTTATTGCCTATTTTTGAAAATGTTTTTAATATTGTTAATGAGAAGTGTTAACTTTTTTTGAATTAAAATATTCCTTTTTAACTTATTTTGATAACTAAGTATGCCAAGGACAATAAATAAAATCCCTTCACATGGCTATAATTTAAAAAGTTTACGATTGCATATTTCATGATTGATTGATAATGCTTTTGTAAACTCTCAAATTAATGCCAAGAATTACAGTGGATACTGTTAGACAAAATTTAAATAACATTTTGTAAGAAAAAAGATAATTTCAGTCGAATGAGCTAAAGTTTTTTAGAAGCACCAATTATCTTCTATACTCATTCAAAGATTACTTCGCAGTTTATCTCTGAAATATAAACTTCATCCATATATCTAATGTTGATTAAATTAATTGAAACTTTATGCCTCAACTAATCTTTCTTATTTACAAGGGACTCGTAATATACACCTAACTGATATTTGAAATATAATTGCAATCTTTGATTACTCCATTAATAATTTCATGCTTGGTAATGGAAACAATCCTTTAATTCGGATAACCTTAGTGCTTGTTTCAAATTATGATGGGAAATTGATTCGTTAAAAGAATTGGCTTGATCAGATTTTTTTTTCGAGACAACTCTTGTAGAAATTAAGAATTTGATAAATGCATAAGTATTAAGATACTAATGAGACTAAGCAGCAAGAAATGATTATGGAGAATGCAATATCTGAAATGATTGAATAGTTGGAGAGTAATTTTCTGCAAGTACAAAAAATTTCAGTGCTTTTAATAACATTTAATTCCTGGAACAAAATAGAAATCACTTTGAACATTTAATTAATATTATTGAAACACTGTAATAACATAATTTCAAAGTTCAGAAGGTTTCGGGTTTTTTGAAATATATTTCGCGGATACAAAATGAACGCAATATTGAAAGAATTTCTAAGGTGAAAGGTTCAACGTCGATTTTAGCTCGAAACTACCAAAATTCGGCGATAGTTTCTCGAACATCGTGAGATGTCATGAGACATATAAACTTATGCAATAGTAACCGACGAGAACAATTACTTTTCTTTAGTTTTAATATATTCAGTTGTACGTAATTCCTATTTCTGAATGCTAATTTGCCAGCAATTACTGAGAAGTATGTCTTGAAAAAATTCTTCCTTTGCATAAAGTAATCAGTAAACTTAGCAAACTTTAGGAACCAAATGAGAATGTCGGGATTTCTTGCAAAACATAATTTAAAAAATAAAATCTATTTTGCTAAGCAAATAATGTACGTCGTCCTTTTGTTCATTTATGCTATTTGAACTTTAATTAATTTCGCAACGAAAATCTAATGAGCGCCATTACGGTATTTGGCGCTATTAGAAGATATTCAAATTTGTGATGCGGGAATTGCATAGTTTGTATGCGGAGAGGAGGAGATTCGTGCATGAGATACCGCTATGCTGTCAGGTAGGGTATCTCACGTATGTTTGGGCGTTTCACTTTTTACATTTTTGGTTCTATATGAAGGGAGGAAGGAAGAAATTATTTGCATTATGAAGTTCAGTCTGGTATGGTAGTTCTTTTAAATTGAAATTCATAAAAAGTATTGCTTTTTCTATTTTATAGAATATTTAAATGGAAATCACATGAAATGTTTAAATATATATATTCTTAGTAGGAAGTTTTCATTTATATCTTTTTGGAAGGAATGATGTTGTGTGGAAGTTATCACGATGATTGCAGTAAAGACGTATGGTATGGTACTTATCAAAGGCTCGATAAATATTCTAATAATGAAATATTACTGTAGGATTATACAACTGCGGTTTTTGTTTCATTTAATAAAGAAAAAGTAGTATTCGAATATGCTCTTTTCAGGTACTTTCTCTTCATACATCTAACATACTGTCGAAAATTCTCGGACTAAATGTCAAATACACGGAAGTACGTTCTTGTTTATTTATTGAAGTTCCAAATTTTAATTTCACTTCAACTGGGTTATTTTCAAGAAACTTTGATAAGGAGGGGAAGCTCTCAACTGAGTATTTGTTCATTATAACCAATCAGTTCGACGTTATAGACGTGCTGGCACGCCGTCACGGCGAGGTGGTAAACGGACGGATAACAAAGAAAATGTAGAAGTAGTTTGCCGTTTATGTCCGTATAAGGGCAACGATCCCTGCGTGATACCAATCGACGATGAGCATGTTCGATTTGTACAACCTACCACCATGCAGTCCAGGAACGGAATGCCGGTAATAAAAAGTTTTTTTTCTACTTTGTTATTAATCGGTCAGTTGTTGGAATGAGAAGGATGTGGTTTCTTTCTTATAAGCTGTAGCATATATAGGCCACTAAGTTTTTTATTTATCGGCAATGGCGAAATTGCTTGTTTGATCAAAATTTTAGTTTTTCAGATCATTTGTTTTCTATTCACAAATTATATAGGCATGTCATATCATTGAACTTCATCCAGATAATTAATTAAGTTGCAGCTGGAAACTATTTACGAATTTTCATACGTCTTTGACGACAGTGACAGTCAGCGCGTCGTGTTTGAGCGTACTGCCCTGGATTTGATCGAAAATCTGATCCGTGGGAAGAATTCATTACTTTTTACGTATGGAGTAACTGGAAGTGGTAAAACTTACACAATGACAGGAAACACCGAGGTGAATAGTTTGCTTAAACTTTTTGGTCCAGTACAAAGACCGAATCCTCACTGTATTGTTTATTGTGTTACTGATACATTAATGCATGTTGAGTTCTGCCATCTTAATACTTTGTGTGACTTTATTTTAAATATTAGTTGAATAACTTTTTCGGACGCGTATTTCGTTTCATTTCTTAAAAATCATGTAATATTTCGTTTCACTGAAGCGTTTCAAAGTAGCTTTTACAGGAAGAGTCGATTGGGATTCTTCCACGTACTCTCGATGTTATATTCAATTCGCTGATCAACCGCGTGGATAAATGCGTTTTCAAACCGGATGGACGTAATGGCTTTATTGTGCGTGACGAGTTTGAATCGGCACTTGCACGACGACGCTTAGAGCTCGAACGATCCGATAATGGAGTCGAATTAGCAAATCGCTACATTGAACGTCGAAGGGTGATTTTTGATCTTATGTGACACTGTCTTTTAAAGTTTTTAATTGTTCTGCGCCAACGATTTTTAAGAAATAAATTTTAAAGAAAGATATATTTTAGTCGAGGAGTGATTTAATACTATTATTCAAATTGTAAATATATAAAATATTTTAATATGCTTTTGTTATCATTGGATCAAATCAAATAAGAAATTTAGGTAAGCGGTGCTAATCCGGATTTGGCTTGTGCAGTTTTTGTTTCTTATATCGAAATTTATAATGAAGTTTGTTATGATCTTCTTGAAGAACCCCTCCTCAGAGCAGATGGTACTAGGTAAGTTTCGCTTTAATTTTTTGCAGATTTACAGGTAGGTAAGCATGCTTCTCTTGTTGCTATTTTTCAATGGAAAGAAAGAAAATAACGTTTTGTATGTAAATGTCAAAAAATAAATAACATTGCTTATCAGGATCTGGGAACTTTAAGTGAGCTAAGCACTGTTTATCATGATCGGTCAGTTATTGATAAATTTTAGACTATCAATTTTCAGGACACTCTCTGGTAAAGATATTAGACTAGGTGCCAATAATATGTTTTACGTGGGTAATGCAACTGAAGTTGAAGTGGATTCAAGTGACGAAGCATTGGAACAATTCTATCGGGGTAACTAGATCATATTTTTATGTTGTCATTGCCCAATTTGATAGAGGAGTTGTTAGAGATATCGAATTCAATACTCTCTTGAAAATTCTCTGACACCTCAGATTTAAATTATATCGAAGACAAAAGTACATATGTTTCGACATTACATTAGATTGCATTGTAGATAGTTTGGTTATTATGTGACTTAAGTGGAATATTGTATCAGAGAGAGAGAGAGTGATTAATGGCGTTAATTAACGTCTGAAATTTTATTGCGTTATAATCTAGAGGTGTGTTTCATTGAATGATAAAGTAATTTTAATACTGTTTTCTTCTTTCAGGACAAGAGAGACGACGTGTCGGTGATACGTTATTGAATAAGCAGAGCAGTCGTTCACACTCCATATTTAATATTCGCGTGGTAATGGCACCTTGTCTTCTAGATACATGTTACCCTGATGCTGATCCTACAAAGGTACTCAATCCATTTAATTGCTAATCTGTGTATATAAAACACTTGGCGTCTTGACTATTATTAGGAAAAATCCAATGTTTATTATAGATGCATATCAGCCAGTTATCTCTAGTTGACTTAGCTGGATCAGAACGGACAAAAAGAACGGGTAACGAAGGAGCACGCCTTATTGAAAGCGGCAAAATAAATCAAGGACTTTCAGTTCTTCGTCAGTGTTTTGAGAAATTGCGGTAAGTAACAAATTTCTACGAAAAAATGTTTTAGTAAACGATATTTTCGGAACAATCCCTTACTGTTCTGACATTTACATTAGCTTGAATCAAAGTCTAAAATAAATGTGTTAAAAAAATAGATGTATTAAAAAATCATTCTCAGTTGGATGTATAAAACATGCTCGCATATACGCTTCAAAAGTTTTGTATAAATCAATGACCAAACTCTTCATAATACCTCAATAATATTAGGATTTTTTTAATAATGCTCGAGGTCATATACTGATTAAAGTACGAGAAATAAAGAAATGTAAGCATGTTTGAATACAAAAAATATGATTATAGAGATAATCAGTTACGTGATAAGGCAGCTGCGATTTCATATAGAGAATCGAAAATAACACATCTGTTTAAAAACTCTTTCGAAGGAAGTGGAAAAGTGCGTATGATTATTTGTCTGAATCCAAGACCGGAAGATTTCAGTGAGAATCAGGTAAGCAACTTATTATACTTTGCCTTCTTACCTACCCTTCTCATGTTTAACATTTATCTACTTTTCTCACGTTAACAACCTTGAAAACTGTTACAATTTGTTACAATTTTGATTACAATGTCAACTTTGCTTGTATTAAATTCGTATTTAGGGTGTATTAAATTTTGCGCAGCTGTCAAAGGATATTGTAATTCCGGAAGGGAGTGAGGTTGTACCACCATCACAATCCGGTTTTCCAGTCAGTCGTCGTGATTTCTTGAAATGGTTAAACGAATTAGGATCTGTACATATATCGGTTGGCTTGTTTGCTTTTATTTGTTTTTTAAATCGTATGTTGAAAAATTTCCGAATTGCATGCTTTATCTCCTGTTTTCAGAACAAGGAGGTACTATCTTTTCCATTGCCACCATCGTTCAGTGTTTCCGGTTCGGAAGATGCAGAATCGATATCACGATTACGTGATTATTATCAACACAGTGCACAGGAATATAATTCTTTGTATCTAATATTTGAACGTAAAAGTAAGTTTCCACCTTGTTTTATAGAATTTGATTCTTATCTTTTTTTCTTTCAAGAAAAAAAATTTGACCAAAAAAATTGACCTAAACCATCAGTATTATGTCGAAATAATACTTAAATCGCTGTCAATAGCAGGGCATCTGAGAAGAGTATCTATAGTTACATTAGTGCGAGCTCTTCCAATATCGTGCTTAAATATTGTACTTTCGCTCACTTAAGAGAATCTGCCTTTTGCAATTTAGTGTTCTTTTTGCGAAAAATTTATGTGCTTAATTCTATGTTTAATTCCTACAGCGGCTGAAATGGAGCAACAGTTACAGCGAGCTTTGTGTACTGTTGATCTGCAAGAAGTGCGCATTCATGAACTTGAAGCTGAGAGAGATGAAACGGAACGACTTTTGTCAACACTAACATATAAACTAAAGCAAATGCGGGTGAACTCCTTTTTCTATTTGCAATAATTCGTTGTAATTTTGTCTTAGAATAAGATTGAGTTTACGAAGCCACTTCAACACAAAAAGAAAAAGTCATTTGCAGCGTGAAAACTTGGCCTTACGTCAACGCTTGGAGCGTTGTGAATCGGAAGAGAACGAGAAGTTAAATCAAGAGGCGGAGCATAGACGACGTGAAAGACTGTACCAGGAACAGCTTCGTAAAAAGGAAAAAACGCTTCATCAGGTTAATGGGTTTTACGTGAAAGTGAAATTAATTGTTGGTAAGGATAATTCTCACTGTTTCATGTCGATTCCCAGTATCAGCTGTTAAAATTTCAAGGTACGTGAAATATGTGAAAGGCCGCTTGTCTCATCAACTAAACGTTTCAAAAGCATTGAAAATATTCACAATACGGCCACAGCAGATGATGGCGTTCTGACTAGTGATGGGAAGGTTGGTTTTTGATTGCATAAATTGAATTTCAAAATTTTGTTCTATAAACAAATTAGTGGCAGACTATAGCTTACTAATTATCAAGAAAATTAAAATTTCTATTTTCTAAAACTAAAACCTAACCGTTGATCAAAGAAAACATTTTTCTAAAAATTTTGCAAGTAGGAAGATTTATAGTGGAATTGCTATAGCTAAATATTCAGCTATTCAAATTCAGAACTTTTTGTGCCCTTTAAAGCGATGATATTGTTCAAGATGTATTTTTTAAGAATGAAGAATTGTCAACACCTCATCGTGTTGCGCTTGCAAGACAGAAGTGGGAAGCACGAACTGCTAATGAAAATGTAAGTTTATCGAAAAATGGAATTCGATAATATGAATAATTGACGGGACAAGTTCAAGATAAAATGTAACAGTGATTAAAATATGGTATAAAATTGGATGTTCTGTTTCCAGGCTTTAACAAGAACTCGCACCGGCTATTACAACGCGCGATTTCACAGACGATCCAAGAGTGCGAACTGTAGAGTAATTGATCATCAGCCTCGAAATCGCATTCCGGAAGGCACGATCTTGCAGCCTCGTATGCCGAAATTTTCTAAAACTACGAATAAATTAAGTGCAGAAAAACTGAAAAAGTGCTCTGATTATGTACTGACACATCAGGAGGTTGATCGAGAAGGTTATCTCACAACACAGGTTGTTAAGGTATTGTTTAAAATTCGCATATTTTAAAGGAAGATATCGAAAAGTTTTTTGCTCATTCTTAGAAAGTATTCAGAAGTTCTGATTACAAAAATTCATAAATATAGGATAAGTGGTTCAGAATTTTTAAGACTGTACAAGGTAGACATTAAACTTTGCTTACGGGCTGACGATTTCAGTCGTGAAATCTTTAGAAGTAATAATTACCACCATATATGCATTATTTATTTGTGAGATAATGAAAAAAATTTTTCATAATTTTCAAAAAATAAATAATCGCAGTAGTAATAAAAGCTGATCAAAGAAGTTCTTCCTTGTAGGGTGAATGTATCCCAACTGCTGGAGGAGGTACAGCGGTACGTTTCAATGATGTCGAAAGATTGTCACACGAGTCACCAAAAGTTTAAGTGCATTAAATACTGCGGGGAAAGTTGCTGAGGCGATCAACTTTTTTGAAACTTTTAGTTCGAATTTCTTCTGCTTTAAATTCCACTTTGTTTACAAATCCGTGGTGTTAGCTGTTATAAATTCTGCTTGGACTCAGTTGCTTTTAAATGTTTTGTATTTTTCTTTTGAATTTAAATCTTGTATTTCACTTCAAAGATCTAACGATAGGAAATTTTGCTATAAAGCATAGTCCTGAATAAGTTTAAAATATGTTATCCATGTATGGTAAATAGGCTCTTAAGCTTTTGAGCTGTATGTAACAATTGGTTCAGTGATCATCGAAAATACTTTTCCTTTAGAATTCAATTGTTTTTCAAGTATTTTCTTTAAGATTTGCATTGAAAATCTATTAATTCCTTTTTATTATGCGAAAATTGAAATATAGTACGGTGCGAATTTTCGTTAATTACTATTGAATTGGATCAAATATTTCTAATAGCTGTTTTTTCATGACTATTTATCTTCAATTCTAAATTAACCTCATCGCACAAATAAATCCATTTAGCTCTTCTTTCATCTTGCTGTATATATTTCTTTTCATGTAAGTTCCATAAGAATCAGATGCAGAGAAATTTTCGATTGCTATTGAAATCAGTGAGTGAGATTGTTACAGATATCTCCTCAATCATATTCCTGAAATTTTGTAATATCAAATTTTTTTGCCAACAGATGATACTAATTATTTCATATTATATTTCGTGATTGCCGTTTAATGCATTTCTCTAGTTTATCATATATCAGCTTATAAAGCTGCATTAAACAAGATAAATCATATGGATAAAGGATATCCATGTACGAGTCTGACATTATGGCATCTGATTTGCTTTCCAGAAAAAAGATGTTACTGCATTTGACGCTACCCTAAAAAGGCAAAGATAAATTACTTCATTATCAGGCTTTTGATATCCATCACAAATCAATTATATGGTGTAAATACGAAGGTTTTTCTATTTGAGTGACCAAATAGCATGATGTGTCTTGGAGTTCAATACTACTTTACATATAACTGCGTACTAGATGCAAGTTATGGAGATGTTGTAATCTCCCAAGCATATTATCCTGTTAGAAAAGTCGTAATCTATCTATACTCCGCAGGTGATACGTGTACAAACTGTGTTGAGTAATTTACGTACGCAACGTTCCGAACAATATTCCGTAGTTCTATTCGATGTGATATACATAAATATTCCTATAGCATTTGACACAACATAAAACAGCATTAAATAGTACGCGTTTCTACTCACTCATAATAGCAGAATTTCAAAATTAAAATTAAGAAACACTTTTGACTTTTCATTCTATTGTTTATTCCTCGCTATTCTATTTTATGCGGTAATCACTCCCTAATAGCATACAGCATTTCTGCGTAATCACTTAATTCTTTTCATTGCTCCGCTGTTCTTATTTGTTGGATGGTATTATTGCTCTGTTCCTATAGATTGCCAGATATATCTCAGGGCACTATTTAAACATCTTAGCAAAACATTAAATGAAATCATTTGTTGATATAACCATAACATCACAGCTAAACAAATATTCTACATCTGAATGATGATGATCTCCAAACTCTCTGAATGCTTTGGAAATTTGAAAAAAATTTTAAGAGGAACAATTTTGATGTTGTCAATTGGAGAATTTAATTAAAAGAGATAATTTCGCGGTTGACTTCATAAATCCTTTTATGAGTCTTTTTTGAATGTCAAATATCGTCACAATTGTAAAAGGTTGTTAATTAGTGAATGAGAAAAAATAATGGTTGATAATGAACAAAAAAAATACAATTATTTTGCAACTTACTCTGAAAACATTCGAAGAATTAGAAGGTGAAGATGGTAGAGGTAGCGGAAATGATACTGTTATTGGTGCGAATTCAATATTTTCTGCATTCAATGATTGTTGATCGAATTGCATCGTGGAAACTATGGGCTGAGTGTAACAGTATGTTTCAGTTGTGAACGTTATGGGATATCGAGAAGTACCAATCAGCGGTATATGCGATTCACTATATTTATCTGGTGGAAAACTAAATATACTATTAAAGAGATATATGAATGATAATGTCGGAAAGCAAAATTTATCACGATATCCATATAGTTGTGTCAGGACTGGATCACCTGAAACGAATAACTGTAACTTTGTAAAGAAGATAGAATCACCAGAATAAGCGCTTTCATTTTACATTAAAATCGAAAAATCTTAATTGGCTTTGCGTCTTTGAAAAACAGATTCATCATTCATTCAATGATTTGTTTTGGGTATAAAAATACAAGAAAAGAATAAAAGAAATAAACTTGGAATATCTCCTCATTCTCAGTTGATTTCTAAATTTAGAACCAGAAGTATCATGATGTGCCATATTTTGAAGCACATTCAAATGTTTTTGAAATGGGTGATAGTTTATCTTATCTTAAACCTCAAAATATTCAAATATTTATTTTTATACTGTAAATATCTTTCAAAATTGAATAAAATATTGCTTACGATATATTACTTGCTCTTCTCGATGTAGAAAAAATGCCTGATCCCTTAAGTATTCTGGTGACATTTCGATAATTTTTTCAGATTTGAATTCGCCAGCAGGTGTATTTATAAAATGGTAAATTAACATTATGCGCTTGTAAAAATATCTGAAACAATTCATTTTAGATATTATATAGTTAAACCTTAAACTTCTAGTTATAAAATAATAAATAAAACCTATTGGTTTGACAGATGCCATCATCAAATACGGTATTTCATCCCGTTTATGTTAAATAAGTTGATCATTTTTCATTACTTAAAAAATAGTGAAATGTGAACGAAACATTCGAGCTGTTGAGATAGCATGTACAAGTAAAATATAATGATCTGTTTGCCTTTTTTGTCCTCCGAAAAAGATCATGATCATAAAGGTGTATCAAGAAATATCGAGATGATTGTTGTTAAGCTTAAAGGCTATCATGGCCTTTCTCTATTAGGTGTGGATTACATTGAAAGAAGTATTGAAGCTAATTTTAACTACTCACAAAAATGGATTCCAAAATTTTCTCGACTGACCAGTTCCATAATATTTTTTTATTCTAGAACTGAATTGAGGATGTTGCAGAAGTGGAAGTATTCTGGAATTAAGAAATTGAAATATACTAGAATTGAAAATATTTTGGAACTGGATTTTAGAATATTTCCACATCTAGAACAATCTCAGTTTCAAAATATTTCTGGAGTTTCAAAATACTCCTACTCCTAAAACATTCTCAATTTCAGGATATTTGTACTTCCAGATCATTTTCAATTCCAGAGCATTCTACTTCTATAATGCTCTGAACTCCAGAATCTTCCCAGTTCGAGAATATTTTTAATTTCAAAATATTCTGACTTCTAAAAAATAACCAAATTCCGGAAATTTCTCAAATTCCCACGGAATAATGATTATAATTAGATCATGTCGTTGATAGCGATTCGATGAAAATATTACAAATTAACTTTCCAACTGAGGCTCCGGTACATCTTTAGAATCGTATTTGAGCAGCGCAAATTCATTGAATACAATTTTCACTATCACTAATTTTTCGGCTTATAAAGATCCATTATCATTCAGAGAACTCAAAAGTCGGAATTGTTGAAAAAGTTAAAAATTTCATGGTAGAACTTTCGAATGATTACTCTCTTGTGATGAGAATCATCTGGATGATATTTGTTACGTTTGGGCAATGATACTTCTTGCGGATGATTCGTTTAGCAAGTTTTATGACAAAATATCACTGATTGGCATATAAGAAAATAGAAATTTCATAATTAAGATTAATGAGAAGAGGTGTTGAAGTAGTTATGACGTATTTACACTTCATAATCACTGAATTACCCTTCAATTAAATTTGTCAGCAATATCTGATCGATTCTCTTTAGTGCAATTTCCTGAGTCTTTCAGCATATGTTAATTACATATTACGGATTACGTATTTAGAGCAAAATTTGCATTTCATTCAAAATGTTGATAACGTAAGAAGGATTGATGATTTTAATTAAAACTATTATGACATTCGATGAAAAATCGAAATCGTTATTAAACAAATTTTTTTTTAAAAGCGATTAAAATTTTTTCCAAAGTCATTATCATACAATGAATTAATTATACAATCATTCATTGCTCTTATTGTTTTTATTATAATTTGTTATAGGTGGAATAAATTCCGTTTTTTTAGAATTTTCTAAATGGACCGATCAAATTTTCGAAATCTAAATTGAACAGAAAGTTCAATGTATGATCACTTTTTAGACCTTTTGGTCAGTTAATTATTTTCTTATAAATTACAGTATTCACTGTGAAGTAAAAAATAATATTTGTAAATTTCAGCACCAAAATTGTTTTAAAATTTTTAAAATAAATCCAAGTGCTGTTATATTTATAATAACCGCAAATCTGTGTTATTGATTTATTGCCTGGGAATCACTTAACATACAATTTACTTGTTCATTCTTTTCACTTGAAACCTGATATTAATAAAGAGCATAAATGAGGGATAAAAGATTTGATCCGATCAAATCAATTTTTTTTATTCTGAAGACTGCATATTCGAATGTCTCTTATGATCTTAAATAAGATAAGTTTGAAAATAACCAACGAATAAGTTGATGCTATTCTCCACAACGATACAATTAAAACTATACCAACGAATTGTTTTCAAAATTCATAATTTTATTGGCAAGAATGTATTTCAAGAATATGAACTGCAGGATTTGATCTTTTTTCTTCTCATAAACAGATGATACCTTTCTATTTAAGCTACCGCTTAATATCTTTTTAAATAAAAACGTAAAAAGATTTATAATATTGAAATTGCCTTTCTACAAATTTTTTCCAAATGAATAATGCAGAATTTGCAAATCAAAATCCGGTAAACCGGTTTTTCTGGAAGCAGTTAGAATGAAATTATGAGTAACAAACAATTTCGTTTAATCCCTTAAAAATGTCCTATTTTTGATTAATTTTTCAAATTAACCTTCAACATAGAGAAAGTTATTTGTGCCATTTCAACTGACTCAGGTGGCCATAAATGTTAATCGTCCAATAGGTCTTCGTAATTATACATCAGATAGGGCCTATCGATATATATATATGTATGTGATGACAATAGTAAAGGTCAAATCGTTTTTCCAATCTGACATATCTCTGAACTGAAGACTTTTTTAACTTATTTGATATATCCAAAAGCTTACATATTGATAAGATTAATGTAAAACATGTAGCATTTGTAACCAAATTAAAAAAAAATTATCGTTGATATATTTTGTAAAGGTTACCATTATGTTATCAAGTGTTATCAATAATTAGTGAGACATTTGAGAAATAAAATTGCACGATTGTTCAAAAATTTCAGGTCTAATTAATTGGAAAATTTCTGAAAAAGAAATATATACGAAAATTGTAAGAACGATAAAAAGAATTCATAAGAAAGAAAAACTTGTATTGATATATGTTAGAAACTTACTGTGACATCTTCATGGCATCGATCTAATTTTATTTTCAGAAACTTATGAAAGATATAAGCATTGGAAGAAAACTTTAAGTAAAAAAAGAGTAAGTAAATTGTTCTTAGCTGAAAATATTTTATTGGTTCGCTTATGTATGTTTGGAAATGAAATTTGAAAGTTTTTGTGTCTTAATTTTTAATTACTTTTGTGTTTTAATTTTAATCGAAATTTGTATTTTAATTTTTGTGTCTGAAAAAGTTCATTTATCTCTTTCTAATTCATTCAGATTCCTTTCATAAATGTTTTATTTCGAAATCTGATTCAAAAAGAGATTTAATAATAGGTTATTTGAATGTGCCAGCGATTCTCGATCTATGTTTATATTTCTGTCATTATTAAAACTTAAAACGTATAATGCTTAAAATAGGTTTGATAGAATACACACAAACAAACTTCCTGTTATTCAAATGTTCCAAATGTATTTGTGTTTCTTATGAATTATGAATGAGTGTCCAAAAACAGTTGATCTTACAAGAAAAATTTCAACCAATTAATTAATAAGAATTATGATATAGAAATTAGGCGCAACATCAAGATGTTTTAAAGCTTTTTTGAATGATTCATCTAACGAATTCACGAAAATATTAAACTTTTATGTTAAGATTTTGTGCTTTCTTTTTGGTAGCGAAATTTGAAAAGAATTCGTATTGGAATAATTCTGATGAAGAAATTCCACCAAACTAACAACATTTCAATTATTGTCATAATTTAGTTATTTATCCTAAAATATTTTAATATCTTTTATTAGTTGAAAATTTTTTGCACTTTGAAAAAATTAATTAAAATAAAATTAATTCTTTTTCAGTAAATAAAATTTCTTCGCTTTGAGAAGTAACTTCGAAATATATTTTTGAATTCTCATACAAATTATTACGAGAATAAAATGCAGCATCGTGCCTTTTTTGCATATCCTCTCATATTTTCTTCACTTATTCAACGGCAATATTTTATCTATTTCAAATTTCAATTCCAATATTTTTCACAAATTCAACTTCAATGATTTTAAAACAGAAAGTTATTTACACATAAAAGAATGCATGAAAATATCATTTGTGAATTTTAATTAATTTTTTTAATCTATCAACAGAAAAGTTGCTGAAGATTGTCATCTATACTTTGGCCTCGAAACAATACGATACAAAAAGTTCAACGTTCCAGAGAGTTGTTGAAAACGAGTCACATTTGGGTCAAATTCATTTTCCACATTACAAATTTGCATATATTTTCTTTAACTGAGTGACAACGAATTTTTAAGAATTCTTTTAATGAAGAAAGAATGCAAAGTTTTTTCTACAAATTTTTAAAAAATTTATACTATTCAAATATTATTTAAAAATTTTTCACGATATATAAAATTTGTTTTCAATTTTTAATAAAAAATAAACAATGAAATATAATAGTCTTAATTGTATTGTTAGTATAATTTAGCAAAAGGTAAAATTTAATTAATTATCTTTAATTAAGTTTAAACTTTTGCTTTTTGTTTTTTATTTTTAATATCACAATCATATTTGATGATGAAACTATATGTCTATAACTGACTGATAAGGCAATTCCTCAAATAACAACAATATTATCAATAATGAATCTTATATTATCTAATATCATATAATCACAATCATTTCATTCTTTTATTCATTTTTCACTTTGCCTTTTTCAAATGTTTTTTTTAATTGTTTTAGAAATAATTTCATTTAAGTTATATATTGAAAAGTAATAATGAATTGAAATGAATCAAACTAAACTTTTTATGGATCATCTTTTATTGTTATTTAAATTCAGCTCACGCCTCATTCACATATATATTACATTTAATCATTCCAAACTATTTCCTTCTCATTTTTCGTCAATTTTATTTCGAAAGAAATTATCTTCTATTATCGTTATGTCAACGCTTACATATAGCTTATCATTTATTTACTGTACATTATAATTGTTTACGCAAATTATCAGTACATTTTTACTTTTCACATTGGGTGTCAATTGGTAGATGCGAAGGTTAGTTGAACATCACTTAATTCAAATTTTAATTTTTTGTGATCGATTAATTGTTCAATTTCAAGAGATCACAAATATAACATATTCTAATTCCTTATGATCTCTTCTTTTATCATACTACACATATCTTTCTTTTTTAAAGTTAACTTTAACCATAATCATTCCATTACCCACTATCATCACATTCTTCTTTTTCCTATATTGAATAATTTAATATTTATAGCGATTTGGTTCTGTATAATTATAATAATAACGAATAACAGTTTATAGTAAATAGTACAATCCGATTATAATAAATCTTTCTTTTATCGTACAATCTCATCCATATAAACTATTTTCTCTTTTCACTCTGTATAAATCGAACAATAATTCTGAAAGTGATAAATAAAAACTAGAAATGTAATCGTTGCTGCAATTTTTGCGGATATTTGTCTATTTTCATACTAACTATACTTATTATATGTTATAGCTATCGTTTTATTCATTTCTTTCTTAACTGTCAACATCCTTTTTTTTCTTTAAACTCTTATCCTAAATTTAAACAATTGAAATAATTCTTTTTCTCTCTTTTTAATCATTCCATTTTATTAAAACTTTATGATTAATCTGATATGTTCCCATACATCAACGTGGGAACTGAAAATTGTTTTACTTGAATACATTTTATCGAATAATTGCTATTTTCCGTTCTTTCAAAATGAACGCATTCATGACAGCTCATCACAAATTCTTATAAAAAAAATTTCGAAAATTATAGTATGCTAAATTTACTTCTCTTAAAAAGAATTTAAGAAGAATGAAAAGGTTTAATTTTAAAAGAATGAAAAGATTAACATTGTTTTTGAGATTATTTTAATCAATTTTAATTTCTGAGAAATTTTTATCGATTATTTGGATGTGCAAAATATGGCAATAAATTGATTGAATGAGTAATTTATATGAGTAAGTTATAAATCTGTCAAAGGTTATTAGGTTGAAGACATTTCATCATCATTATATTACACTCTATTAGACAATAAACGTCCTTTCCGTTTTTTTTTAATGCCTTCCATTTTTTCGTTTAGCAAAATCGGTGCTTCTCAGAAATTGATTTTTCTGATCCATCGATATTTCTTTTTATAAATCATTTTCACGGCGATAAATTAGAAGTTTATTGTTTTAGAAATTATTTAGAAAGTAAATGCCTCACACTTTTTAAAGGATGAATTCAAAAAATGAAAACATTTATTTCATTAATGTTTGGAGAAAATAAATTTAAAAATTTCTAATTACTAAATTTATGAATAAATTTTGTTAAAAGAAATTAATTCATTTAATTTTCTTTTATTATAAATTCAAAAAAACCATAAAACTAAAAAGCATTGAATTCTGAAATTGAGCAATTTTGCTTGAAAATTCAATTAATTCTAAAAAATCAGTTAATTCTAAAACAAATGAAAAAGTTGAAAAAATTCGTTGAAAATTTTCGCAATTAAAATTATTTTTAAAATGAAAATGACTAATTTCTTTAATGGAATACTAAATTTTGAAGATTGATCGGCGAAGAATTAGAGAATTTTAATTTTAATAATATGAATTAAAGAAATCCGGTTACCGGCTTCAACAGAATTGATCTGAAAAGAAAAGGAATTATAAGAAGATGGCACAAATTGGGCAATTCGACAGTGATCTGTCAAACATAGAACGAAAAGCGCCAGCGGAAAGTACATCAGGAATGAATAATGATAAGCAACATGTGACTGTTGCAGATATAAATTGTAAGAATGAAATAAATGTTGCTGATTGTTTCACAATGAATCCTAAAAGGTCAATTTTCTTTCGAAAATAATTCAAATTTACAATTTTAATTTTAAATTACAACTGATAGAAATGTAATGAAGCAGATTATCTATAATGTATGATAAAATTTAGCAAAAATCAGAAGGCGCTGTCGTGGTTTCTAAAGCAGAAAATATTTTTTCAAATGGTATGTTGCCACCTATTTTATTCCATTTATAAAACTTTTCAAACTTAAATTATTATTGTTTCAAAAATGGGACACTTAGAAATGAAAGTTGTCTGAGAATAATTGTAAATCTGTTTGAATTAGTAAATAATGTTACCTTTTCTTGGTGGTATTTAATGTTTACTTCAAAAATAAAGCAATAATATCATATAAGATACGATTTTCGCAACAACAATACATCATTATCATTAGGCCTATCTCTAAAGATGATTGTATATAGGCCAACTGATCGGATAATATATAACTTTTGTTAACTGTAAACTTTTCAGATCTGTGATACTAAATCAAGCGGTATTATTTTTTTGATTGGTCTATTATTTGCGATACTTAGTGGTTGTAGCATTTCACTTATGATAGTATTTCTTGGCCGAATTAAACATATTCTCTTGACAAATGAACCGACAGCTATAATTTTCCTTAATGGAATTTATGAACAAATAATTATTCTGATGTTTGTTATTGCATTAGCTGTTATTACCCATTTTGGCATGGTAAATTTTTATTTTATTTCATCAAATTTAACAACAAAATGTTTGAATGGTACTGCTAATTAATTGGGAATGTTTAGCATTTAGCGCCCGGCGCTAATTTCTCATTCAGAAAGAGAAAATAGAGACAAATAAGTTTTTGAATATTAGAGATAGATTAATTATCATACTTTAGATAGTTTAATCATAGGTTAGTAGTAGTTTCTTACAAAGATCATTCAATTTTCTCATATAATGCGATATACTTTTTTCATTCTTTGAGATTTAATTTTCTTCATCCTTCATCTCATTTAATTAATTCTAATTACTTTTAATTATAAACAATGCAACAGATTTTACGAGAACTATTTATGAATTGAAATTTTTATCAATTTTGTCAAATTTTTTATAAATTCATTTTTTAATTTCACATTTTAAATAACAGTAGTTGAAATTAAGCATATGTCAAGCACAGTTCTTAGCGACAAAATTAGAATTCGTTTGAAACAACGCTATGATATAATGCACAGATATAAATATTTAAACGAAGAAATTATTGCAAAAATAATTGAGTAAGTTCATTCCTTTCAAATAACAATGATCTTTTATAATTTTGCATGAAATAATAAAATTGAAAACTTTCTATTATCGAAGAATTTTCCCTCAGTAATTAACAAAAATTGAAAAGCATTAAATTAAAATTAATATTCTCTCATAAATTTGATGTCCTTCGAAAGAGAGAACGCTGCAATTATTTACAGTAACATATAAAAATGCAATTGTTAAAAATTTCAAAAGAAAAATTGCAGGAATGTTGAATTAGTAGAAAAGGGTTTGGAAACTTTTGAGATGCAATGTCGAAATGCTGCAATTATCATATCATCTATAATTATTTGTTTTTATCATGAAGCTCATCTATCACTGATTATAATGAGTGTTGTACCATTGGCTATAATGTTGAATATGCTTTCAAATAAGGTAAATTGGGGAAATTTGTTGAAATTAGATAGAAAATTTTCCTAAATAATGAAAAAAAATTTATTAAAAAATTTATTAAGATTTTCAATTTTGAAGAATTGTAAAATATAAAAGAAATAGCTACAATTTATTATTTATGAAAAAGATTTTTCATCCTTTGCTAATATCTTCGCTCATAATATCAAAATTTGATTAAACTGATAACAAAGATTAAGCTGATATTTGGAAATTACACTATTTCAACAATAAATAGGTTATTTTTTAATGCAAAATTTGCAGCTTACGACGAAATCTGATGTCATTTTATCCGACAAAATTTCCCAAACAATTCAATTAGAGAAAGAGTTACTGTTGAAAAAAAATTTCAATGACAAAATAGCAAACGATGAACATTTGATGAGATTATCATCAGAAGTAAGAAACTGTACCCGATATGCTATCCTACATCAAGTTTGGAAAAGTTCCCATTGCGGAATTCTATCTTTTACAATCTTCACATTTATCGGCTGTGGAATGCTGTTAGCTTTTCAAATTCTTTTTTTATCGGCATCTTTTCAGTTTACCTTGTTCATATAATTAATTACATGAAAAAGTCCAACTGGTGGAATAATAGTATTTCTAGAATATCCCTTATTTTCCTAAACCTTAACTTTTATAAACTTTTGATCGAGTGTAAATTTTTGACTTTTTTTGTTAGATTGAATTACATTTTTATGAAATTATAGTTATGGCGGTTATCTTCTTGATGCTAACCCAACAATGAAGGAAGGCGATGTATTCATTATTGTATTATTGATGGCACTCACTGTAGATAGTATTTCAACCACCATCACATATCACTACCTCATCAAGAACGGTGTCCGTGCTGCATTGTATATTTGGAATCTTCAACAATTTGATTATGAATTCATGGTAAGGATTCTGATTGTTATCAGAGTTGCTTAAAGAAATACTTTTTCTGGTCCTACTAAATACTGGTCCTACTTTTTCATTTATAATTTTTTTTACTTTAATTAACTTGTTGCAAAATTTTTTCTTTCAAGTTAATTCCATACGGAAATCGACATTGTTCGATGGATGAAATAATCGTAAAACTAATCACCGTCCCAGAATTCAAGAAGTCAGTGATTTCTCCAGAAAAAAATTCTATCATTCGATTTATAAGTGGCACCAGAAGTGTTTTGCGCAATTATCATAATCATAAATTGTTTCTTGTAAGTTAACCATAAATTATATTTCTAAGCTTCACTCATTTGCTATGTAACAAATATGGAGTATAGTCGTCTGCTGTCCACTCAAAAAATCATTAGACTAAACTTATGGATCGCTAAATAAATCTACATCAATCATAAAATAATATCATTTAAATTATTATCAGTTGAGTTTTATCAGTTAGCTTTCATGATAATTAAAAATCAAGAAATTAAAATATTGAAATTTGTAATGTTATTATAAATTCTGATAAATTTTGAATTTCATCTATGAACTTCATGAAATGGCGTGAAAAATTAATTTAAATGCAAATTACGAAACTACCATTTTAGCTTTTCGGTTTCATCTTGGCTATTATACATGGGTTCGAACAAGCGGCATATAACATAGTTATTGGACAAATTTTCATAGCAATGCTTGGTGGCACCCCAAACATTCATCTCTTAACTGTTTGCGCTATTCAGTTATCCGCTATTGGTTTTGCTGTTTTCATATCACGAACCACATCGGTTAATATTTTATTCATTTGTTTTCTTTTCTTAAAAAGCTTATTATGCCTTCAGGCAATTTCAGAATCAGAGTGAAAGGATGATAGCAATCACAATTTCATGGATAAGATTATATTTTGAAAGAGTAGAGTAGAGTTTATGCAACGAATACATCAATATGCTAAGTACTCAATCACTTTTATGATCACAATAAAGTAGCAGAATTAGTCTAAGCAAAAATATCTCTCAAATGCTTAAACTCCTTTCACACTATGATGAATATCTTGTCCATGAAAATGTGATTAATATTGCAAATGCTATAAATACTTTATCAGCTTATAAATTCTGATAAATTTTTGATTTCATCTATGAACTTCATGAAATGGCATGAAAAATTAATTCAAATGCAAACTACGAAATTACCATTTTAGCTTTTCAGTTTCATTTTGGCTATTATAGATGGGTTCGAACAAGCGGCATATAACATAGTTATTGATAGTTATGAACATAAATGCAGATAAGATTAAATCAAACTCGAGTTGTGATTAATTTAGGTGAAAAAAAATTTTTTTAGACTGTATTGGCAGCTGTGGCTTCTGAACATATGGCTGTATCATTTCGGGTTATTCTTTTTCGTCAGTTGTTAAAAATGGCTGATAAAGAACCATTTAATAAATCAAAAATTAATACTTTGGTAGATGAAAATATTTCACTGACATCTGAAGCAAAATCGGTAAGATACTTTTGAAGAAATAAAAATATCTCATAGATAATGTAGTAAATAAACAAGAAAAAAATTAAGATAATTTATTCGATCATTCAATAACTATATTTCTCCCGAAAAGTATGATTATACTTTTAGACTATATGATATCGTGGTATTTCATAATTCCTTCGGATATCTCATGTAACTTTAATATCAATAGTTTCTGTTTCCGATATATGCTGCCAACTAAAATGTTGAAATGAATTTCATGTAGAAAATAATATCAATGAGTTTTGCAATGATTAAAATATTTATGTTGTAGCTCTATCATCCACATTTATCAGAATTAATGACACGGATAACCTCAATGATAATAAATATCATTCTTGGTTTCATTTATAGTTGGGAAGTAAGTTTCCTTTTGCTCTTTAATTTAATTTATACTTTTAATAATTTAAAAAATGATATGTTTATATATTGACAGATAGCCTTGCTTGGACTTATTTTCATTGTTTTATGCTTTTTGGTGCAAATCGAAATGGAATTCGAAGTATTAACTTATTGTAACAAACGTACAAATAATCAACGTATTCAGGTCAGCCGTAAATTTCGCATCAGCAACGAAGATAATATGTTCTATCATATATTTATCATTAATAGCAATAAATAAATTTAATGAACTTAACTCCAACTAAACATAAACATAAAATATGTGTTTATTGTATGAATGAATTTGACGATAAAAATAAATTTAAGTCTTCTTTTAGAAAAAAATGAAAGTACTGAAATCATGTAAACATTCTGCGCTTCGAGCGGTAAATTTTTCAATTGTGCAAACATTTGGATTTGCGCTGAAAGCTATTTGCTATGCATTGACTGCATTTATTTGCTACAACGAATATAAGCATCAAGCACAAGCATTTGTGTAATGTTTTATTTAAATTTATCCTAAAATCAATTATTGATAAGATTCTAAATAAGCCTTGATGTTGGCTCATTCCTAATTTATTCGATTAATAAAAAATTGACAAGAAAAAATTTTTTTTAGGAGTGTAATTACACTATTTGCTACAAGTCAAGAAGTTGTACAATTGCCAAACCTTATCAGAAAACTTTGTAAATCATGGCGAGCAGTTGATCAAATATTTGCTTACATGGATGGTAAATCATCCAGAAACTGTATGTCTTCCATTCCAAGAAGTATTAGGTTAGAGTACTGAATTTGATTTAGTTCAGTTATCATAAACATCAGTTTTTTTTCTCACATGCAACTTCGGCCCATATGTTTCGTATATTTTGAATGAGAAATGATGTTGCTTTAAGGCTGCCAGGTACTCCAAGTGTAATTTAAGATCAAAATTGTTGAAATCATTTGCTCTACCAGAGCTAGATGACGCCAAGAATAAAAGCGTATATGTTGAGGTGAGCACAAATCACTAATAGTTCCATATTCAATGAAATTGGGGAAATTGGAATCCAAAATAATAGGGCTTGACCTGCCTGATCTAAACGAAACGAAGCATGCCACGATAACTATATCCAGGCTAACCCTAACTGTCTTATTAGAAACTATATATTAATCCTACTTATGCATTCTACATTAAAAACTTCTTTTCGCAAACTTACGAAATAAGACTTGTAAAAAACGAAAGAATTAATATAGTCTCTATTAATAAAACAAAATTGGATTTTGATTACTTTGCGCATTAATTTCTGTCGCGTAATAAACATGTTCTCTACTTATTGATTTTCGCTGCACCAAAAAAAGACTTTAAGTCGAACGATTCCTTCCCTACCAGATGCACCGAAAATCATCAAATATTCTCGACACCAGTAATCACTTCTCACAGACGTATTTATCTCCCCTCCTCTGCCACTTCGTTCTCCGTTTTTTTAGGGATTTCTGGATTAAAAGGATTTGAACTGGACGCTGGAAAATATATGGAAACCGGAGTGATATTACACCATCATAAAAACCACCCCTAAAAATGCTTGCAACCAACAGTAATCATGATTACGTATGAAATCAGCTTAATAAACAGAGCTTTCATTATTCAAGCCAAAAATATTTTAGCAACCAAAAGACTTAAAATAAATCAATTACGATTTCTCCTCTCCCTTCAATACTTCCAAGTTGTAAATCTGCAATAGCCACGTCATTTAAATTATCTTAAACAATACAAACAAATCAGAGATCAATAGTTACACAGTAAAATAACAAATGTTGAAAAAAAAAACAGTATCAAAAACTCATCCAAGGAAGGATAAGCTTTTGTCCAAAAATATAAGACTCACGAGCTTCGTATTATTCCCAAATTTAAGCATATTTGTACTACGTGTAACTGGAAATGATGCATCCTAGTTCTGTAATATAATTACGGTTCGTAACTAATTTGCATCTTTTCATTGCAACAAAAAGATCAAATTCAAAATTAGAACATAACGTTCTGAGTCCGAACTCAACATAATCATAAATAGTTGCTTGCTATAAGATTTTTTGCGTTCCTCTCACAACGTGTCAAAAAACATATCTTTATTATCAATGTACAAAATGCACTAAATAGTTACTGAACATATGCCTCAAGAATTAATGCCATCGTGATCTCTTCTTGCTACCAAAAGTTGGGCCATCACTGGCGCTAGTATTTTTTTTGCAACTTCCTGAAAAAGAAAAAGTAAGAATTCAAAAATGAAGAGATCTTGAACACTTCAAAACTGCTGGTGACAAACATAAAAAAGAAGAAAAAAGGAATACTACATTGTTTAATTGCTATAAGATACCTTCATGAGTAGCAAAACTACTATTAATCGAAGCTGCAACTTGTCGGTTTACAGCTTCGGCAGCTTCTTCAAGCTTTCTTTTCCATTCTGGGGTTGGATCAGTTGCTGGAGCTCTACTTGCTGCCCATTCATCGCTAGATGATGGTCGAAACGTGCTGCTAAACGAAGACTGCAATGCTACTTATTATTCAAAATTTTTCAAGTTTTTTAGCTTTTTAAAACAAATGGTCCTAAATACGAGTTGGATACTTCGCGTTAACCAGATAAATAGAATCACTAGATATAACGCATTCCGGAAATACATGATAGCAGCCGGATACGGCTTTTAGCAAGCTTTCTAAAAAGAAATCGGGATGCCAGCCATGAACTATCAGTTGATAAAGATTCAAATTGAACAGAAACATATGGTCTACATTGCTTCAGCGTTATTCAGCTGTTATTACTACCACACTTTGAATGAAAATCAGATAATTCCTCTTTCCTCTCCCAATTCTACCAACTTCTCCTTTTCCTGAATGGACCAGCTAACTCATTTACAAAGAAACAAGATGTGATTTGAAAGCGTAATGTTAGCATCAACCTTGAAGGCAGCTTTCACAGCCTGCAACCGATTTGTAGATCCATCAGTAGCTTTTGCCATGTCGAGCACATTCTTCACCTTTTTCTGACCTTCCTCAAAATTCAAAGCTCTAGATATGCTAGTAGTAGCTGTGTCTGTGCGCGGACCTACAAGCATCATACATTAGCCCCATGTTTTTTAAATTAGCTAGTATCTGAGACTTTCGAAAAAACTTCAATTTTAGTTTCAAAATACCCAATCTTCATAAGTTAACATTTAGCTTTCTATTCTTCTATGTGGATATAAAAATCCTTATATCATATTTCAATCTTGCAAATCTCAATATATACGTATATACATAATATATAAAATCTTTATATCACATCTGAACATTGTTAAAAAAATTGCCAACCCTTTGCTTTCGGCTTATATCCTAATCCAAGCCTTTGTTGTGGGCGACTTGCTCCTCTTTCTCGAGAATTACGGAACCATGCTGATTTCATTGCCAGCTGGAGCAATGACTCAGGCACGATCTGATTGACACTCTCTAGATTCCTTACTAAATGTCCAGCCATTTCTTTGTCGCTCTCCTGCACCAAAGTATATGCCCATCCTTTCTGACCTGCAAAATCATTAAAAGAATCTCGTAAATCATCCAGGAGAAAACAATTGGATAAACCACAGTGAATTGAAAGTAAAACGAAAACAAAAAACGCAACAATAACAACATACCCGCACGTCCAGTCCTACCAATTCGATGTACATGAGTATCAATATCGCGCGCCAGGTCGAAATTTACTACTGTTCTGATTTCCGAAATATCCAGACCACGGGCTGAAAAAAAGGAAGAAAATAGCGACGAATTCAAAAAAAATTCAGGCTTTTTATAATATTTTAGACATCAACGTCAATAAAGAGAAAAAAATGAAATAATCAGATGAATTTAAAATCGATAAGATTCTCTAAGCTTTTAATTAAATAGTTTTTGTACAAAATCTAATAAAAAATTTTTCTTACCAGCGACATCTGTAGCAACCAAGATGTTTGCATCTTTCCGAAAGGCTTGCAGTTTCTCATTACGCTCCGCTTGCAACATATCACCATGTAGCAATATTGGTTTGAAATCTTTCGCACGTAAACGATTCGCCACATCTTCCGCGTTCATTTTCTTCGTGACAAAAATCAGAACTTTTCCCACTATAAGATATAAAAGCTAACTCGTCTAAAGTTGTAACAGTACCGTTTTCATTTGCAATATGGAGATGGATATATAAAACTTTCTAAAGAAGCAATGATTAGATAAAAGTATTAAGCATTCGATTAAAATAAGGTAGCGAAAAGGACTGTATACAAGATTTTACTCGATATCTGCAATAAATTCAAAAAACCGAATCTGAGATACAAATCAATTGATTCAACAGGGACTTACTCGATGAAAATTTTACAAGATGATTTAACAACCACTGCCATTTCGCATCTGCATTTTCCAACACTTCAATCGTTTGTATGACGTCAGAATTTGCCTGAATCCAAATCATGTTTTAAATTTTAAATCAAATAACATTTTGAAGAAATGATTTAAAAACAAATTTTATTAAAAACGCATATGTAGAAACGGATATTGAAAAACATCACCTATATCACTCCTTAAACTAAACATGAAAGAAGTGGTAATTAGAGAAATGAGACAAGGCAAAAACGTGCCTCTGACTAATAAATTAAAGTGGAATTATGATACCTCATTCTACTTACAAGGCTTCTAGAAAATTATCCATAAAAGCAGTAATTACAATGACCAATTAATTAAAAGAGAAGATTGTTGTGTATATGAAAATGAATTATTATCTTCTAAGACTTTGTGCTTTTATAAACTGTACAACTGAAAACCATAACTTTCAATAACTTTCCTATAAAATTTACCTCTCCAACTTCTCCTTGCACAATACGAACTGGGTCAGTAAGTGCCTCTCGGGCCAATTTTTCTACTTTACTTTTAAATGTCGCACTAAACATTAGGCACTGTCGATCAGGACGTATGTGGTCCGATATAGATTGCACTTGCGCCTCTGAAAAATGCACTGATTTTTTTATTACAAAAATTTCTAAAAGTATAAAGCTTTTTGTTGCAGTAAATTAACAATTAAATTTTAAAGCTAGCTACTCAACAATTGTTTTTAAAACTTACCTATCGCGGGATCTATTACTAACAGTCTACTTTCACGATTATCCAAAATTTTATTGGAAAAACTATATATCAAATTGATGACAACGCACCGAAACCCATATCAAACATTCGATCAGCTTCATCAAACACGAGAAAAGTTACACGAGTAAAATTTGTTGCATTAATTTTTACTAAATCGATTATACGACCCTGCAAAAAAACTCACAGTATTCATGAACCGAAGAAAAGTATGTTGAAGACATGCTTAAATTAGAGGCACTACTCGGCACTGTACTCGCCCCTAAACTTTACAAAAAAAGACTTTTCAAGCTCCCTAAGTCGCATATCATACCGATAAAGCCCGAATCAATTAAAAGTAATACAGCGAAAATCGGGATCAACTAAAAGTAATAAAAAAAAGATCATCTTCTAACATATAAAATAAAGGGATGAACTAAAAACTATTGCTAATAATATGGAATAAGTTTGAACAGTACAGGTGTTGCAATGACTAATTCAGCCCCTTCGGTAAGCGCATTCTGTTGCTCCCACTTGTTTCCACCACCATAAGCACAAACAACATTGATGTTGTACACTCGGCAGTAACGTTTAGCTTCTTGGTATACCTATAAACATAAAAGTTGACGAAAATTAAGCCAAACAAATGTAAGATAATGAAGTTGTCTATATTAAAAAGGAATCAAAAAACATTATACTTGCAATGCTAATTCTCGAGTTGGCACAATAACTAGAGAAATTGGCCCATCACCCTCCTTCAGATCTGGCTGATCCATGATATGGATGATAGCTGGCCACAGATAAGCCACTGTTTTGCCGCTGCCTGTTTTGGCTATCCCCAAAACATCCCGTCCACTCAACGCTGCCGGTATGGACTGAAATGTTCTGTAATTTAATCTAACCGTTTAATTAGCAAATCAATTAAGTGTTTTTAACCGTTCACATTTGTTTACCATTTAAAAAGGGAAATGGAAAATAAATGTTCTAGCAGTGCATCAAGATCAACGGTGAAAAAATATCACTCCGTGATTTCTGCCACACTGCAAAATAATTTTATCATATAAGATGCTTATTTATAATTACTACGCTCAATTAAAAAATTATGGCGGATCCAATGGAGTATATTATTCAGTTCCTATAAATATGTTGCCACGACAACAGTAATATAACTTTACTGTTACATCATAATACTAAATAAAGGATAAGAAGGATGAAAACTGCCAACTGCTTGCATAACACACTTGAGATTGGATTGGAGTAGGATGTTCGTATTCTGATTTTCGAATTGCATTCATGAGTGCCTCATCAAAGCCAAAATGTGCAAATGCAGTGACCGGCTTCGGTGGATTAAAACCAGCTACTTTCAGATTCAGACTGCTTCGCAATTCAAAAACTTTTATCGTTGTCATCGACCTGGAATTTTTCGAATTTTGATAAAATATTAAGTATACCATTTCCATCTATCCTGCTAATCATGATGGATTAGAACATAATTTGAATATTTCAGACAATTCCAAATGTTTTTATACATTGTAAATTCACTAACGGTAATAAAAGATCCAACATTACTTTATTTGTTCATGTTCATGATAAAAATTTTTGTTAAATGGTGCATATTCTATTGTTGTATGGTCAATCGATTGAAGTGGATCGATCACTTTTTTCCATGTCCAAATAATATTACCATCTTCATCGTATTCATATATTTCATCCTCAAGTGTACTTGTTTTATATTCTTCCATAAATCTGGAACATTGCTTTTTTGCTTTCTCGTAACCGATTATTTTAAATTATAGTAGCAATGAAATGCTTGATCTGCAACAATCCATTGTTTACTGTTACATTTCTTATTATATTTATTTATATAATTCATCAGATTTCTAGAAGATTAAAACTGTTAAGTTATCAAATTAGTCCAGCACATAAAAAAAGTTCCAACAACTTACTTGAAATACGATTCTTGCATATCCTCATCATCAATGTCCGCCCGACCAAGTCCCTTATCTTTATCTTCTTCTAAATCAGCACCCTTTTCTATTTTTAAGCATCGTTCTTTATCTTTTCTTTCACTTTCTGCCTTATCTTGTTTAGCCTGAAACAATATAATCCCAGTTTTTAAAGCCAACTTAGAAGGTTAAGAGAACTATGGAATTCTTTGGTAATCGCGGCGCTTAAAAAGGACATAATGAAAGCATAAATATGCTGTACATGATCGATTAAAAAAAGAGAATTACTGGAGAATCTATAAGTAGCTTTTCCTTTTTGCCTTTTCAGCATGATCAAATAAGCAAACATTTATTCAAAGTGATGAGAAATTTTGCTGCAAACAAAACGAAGTAAAAATAGTTCGGTAATTGAGGCACCTGTTTATCAACATCCGCCATAAAAGCATCCAATGGATCTTCCTCTTCATCGTCGTTAACAACATCATCAGCAGATGCTACATTTGTCCCAGGACTTCCAGGCACGGGCTGATATTCCAATTCATCGTCTGAATCTTTCTCCAAATATCTGTAAGCATGCAAAGAAATAAATCTGGAAGCTTCATAATGACAGCATTTATCAGCTTTAAGCTAAGCAAGTATTACTGTGAATCTGACTACCAGATTTGTAATGCGCTTGCAAACAAATTCAAATTGTAAAATTACTGTAGTCAAATTCTACTGGCGTTATAGAAATTTAATCGAATTTCTTATATATAATGTGCTGATTTAACCTAGAAATAGGCAATGCCTATTCAGAACAATGCCGAAAAGTGGAGAAAATACAGAACACGCCTGTATAAAGAGAGTTAAGACAAAATAAAAGCTTCGAAATAGAGTACAATAACCAGTCTAAAATATTTTGGGACGGCCACATTACTTGGGCTTAAAATTTTCTTTTTAATAAAAAACGCTGCACCATCAATTTGCTTAGTGCTAACTTACTCGTCATCGTAGATTTTCTTCTTACGCGGTTCAGGTTTGCCAGTTGTGGATTTCCCACCGTTCGACATCAGAGCATCGTACTAACAACAAAAACACAAATCAAAATGCTCCATGGAAACCTAACTACCCATGAAATTGAAAGTAGTTATTCGAGAATCTCAAGTAATTCAATGTAACTTAAGGAGTAAAATGAAAATATTTCAACAATATACCTGTTCCTCCTTCTTGCGTTCGAGATCTTTGGTCACAGCATCACTCACAACAGCAGCAGCATTTGGAATTGTCAACTGAGCTGGTGGTGGTACAGCACCCATAAAGCCCGAGGAAGTTGGAAAACGAATGGTTGGCTCGAAATCGGAAGGCCTCGAATATGCAAATCCTCTACGCATGTCCTTTAAACGATATTTTACAAACTTCAGTGTAAAATGTTTCAAAAAGTGTAATAGCCAAATTGTAAGAGATACATCTCGAATGGTGATATAACTACTTCAAATATATGGCTTCCTTAATCATAACGCTAGCCATCAAATCCCCTTATTTATCCCTCGTGAAATTATTTTGCAAACTATTTTAAGTTTCTGAATATACCATCCAATCACACTTAAAAGAATGTTTCAATTATATTTCCGCCTAAATTCTAGGCGATTAGGGTAAGCAAACCGCGATCGAATCAAATCCATCTATAAACTGCAAAATTTATATAACTCAATCTTTGTTGTGACACCTAAAAATACTAATAAATTTCACTGACCTCCGTCAACTTCTCAGAAAACATAAGTCCTATGGTATTTTATACACCCTTACAACAACGGTACATGGATCTTCGGAAAATATTTGCAACTATTCCACTCCGTTATTCCAGTTCCCTCGCATTTCCAGCGACCCTTCCGCTTGGCTATCACCCCTCATCTACGGACCACACCACCCTGCTTGTCACTGAAAGCACCACCTGGCTCAACGATACTAATCACAACAACGTGATGGTCGCGGTCTGTGAAATTTTGATTCCAATGGATAAGAATGCTTATTGGTGTCAAGTGTTTGTTAAGGTGGATTGAGAAACTGGGGTATTCTAAGGGCAGGAATAGGAATATTCTGAGATATTCTGAGACAGACGAACAGAAAGGTCGGGTGATCTAAGGGACATGAGAAATTCTTAGAATTTGCTTAATTGTTTTAAGTAGTCGATTTAAGTAGATTCATGTGAATCTGGTTGAACTCTTGATTTCGTGAGAATTTAATTGATGCAATAATTTATGCGTTACTATTCCGAGAGCTTTTTACCTTTGTTTCTTTATGTTTTTTTCTGCATCAACCTTATTGACTGCTATTTGGGAAATAATCAACAAACTGTTCTATTTAGGTTTTTTGTACTAATTTTTCCAAAATATTCTATTTGGTTTTAGCTTTGCGTTTATATTTTTCACGATTTAAAAACAATAATCATGATATGCTAATGCAGAGGCAGCTTAAAACTGGAGCATAGTGAGGCATATTTTTGAAAGTTGAAGTCAGCAAATATTTTAACTTGCGAGATCTTGCAAATTGATAACATTAGTGTTAAACGAATGATTTAAAGAATGCTTTACTGTTAAGAGATTTCTTAATTGTCTTATCTGGACACTATAACTTAATTCATCTAGTAATTAGGGAGTTTTCATAAATGATTTCAATACCGACTAATAGAATTATATAACATATATAATGTATAATATAACATATATAATAGAATTATGTAACGTATATGAAGTGTAGACCTATCCGCCTCCTGCTACCAGATAGTAGCGCTGGATGATAAAAATTGCCTGTTTTCTCAATATGTTAATGTATTAAAATAGACAAATTTTTTAAATCATATCCCTCTTCTCTTGCTGCCACCGTTCTATCCTATTTGAGTCTGCGGGTTAAAAACATTACTTAATTGAATTGTTCCACCTCTAGCTAATTAGGTGAATGTATCAAGATATAAAATTAAAACTACTCGAATCATCAAATTGATTCAATCGCTTTGATGTAATTTTGCTTCGTAGTGGAAAAGAATGAAAGCTTTTGTGGGTGTATTAGCAAAGGAAATTGTAACTATTGTTCAGATGAACAATATTTTTAAATTATAGAATTAGTTAGCTAAGGAAATAGTTAATCTAGACCAGTTACTTTTGTGTTTGGGTTTCCAAAATAAGATTTTGCAAAATATTTAATTTTTTGGATTTCTAGTCAAAAGATAACAGGAAAGAAGGAATGATAACGGGGAAATATATGACAAGAAAATTTTATGCTTTCAGAATATTGTTCATTTTTTGACTGTTCCATGGAATTTTCAACTGTCTTTAAACAAACTTCCATCAATTTTAATGTGACATTTATTGACTATGTATAGGCAATAACTTTCTCTCCGATGTCCTTTTATTTTCATAAGCTGCTGAAAAATTTTTTAATTTATTAAATTTAATAAGACTATAATTATAAAAAATGCAGTAATTCGCCTTTGCTGCCAAAATCAATTCACAGTATACTGTAACTCATACGCTGTACCCGGAAAATACTTTTAAATAACTGATTACGTCGATAGCATCAGAATTCAGCGGACACTAGCAATATTTTAGCTACAAACACTAATTTTTTTTTGCCGCTCCTCATGCCTTCGTGCTATGTGTTTTTCGTTGACAGATTGAGACTGAAGAACGCTGCTGAAGCTTATTCCAGTTGGATTGTTATGCTTTAAAAAATGATCACTTATTAATGAAATATTTTATACAGTTTGTTACGAGAAAAGGCGAATGTAGGCTAAATTTGAACTTTAAACAGGATCATTGCAAATTTTTAGATGTCAACCGAGCCAGGATCAAAAACGGACGAAGAAGCTAAATCAGAACCAGGAGGTAGTACCTCTACTGCAGCAATTTCTCGACGACGGATCATTTATCGACCATTTTCTATAAATTCGCAAACTTCAGCAACTACCGTTACAGCAACCATAAGGGATACTTTAATAGCCGTTCGAGATGCAGTCGCTGCTTCAATCATGGCTACTTCCTCACCCACTCTTCCTAAAATATCTACTAGTACCGCTAATGCTATCACTGACACAGCAACCATCAATACTCACTCCTCTATTTCTAATGTTTCGCAACAGCATACTGTTTGTTTGGCCAATCCAGAAACGAATGCAGTCACACCTGTCATTGGTACCATTAACAAAGTACCCCGTCGATGGGAACAGTGGAATAGCTCGGAAATCAACGCATTTTTCGAGGGTATCAAACTGGTTAGTAAAAATTTTGTGAAAAGATATCTCTTGCCTTTAATCTGTATTAAGTTTCAATCATTTGACTATTTGGGCCTTTCAGCATAGTGCGCATTTTGGCACTGCACGCCGAGCTAATGGATCGGTAATTCTCAACGCATCAAACGGGATAGCAATTGTGAACTATCCTGTTTAGTAGATTCTTAGCGGTTCGGAACACTTAACTAGCAGACAAGAGTACTTTACCGACCTATTTTGGAGTTTTTGGAACATGTTAATATTTTCCGCTGTGCTGCAATACTACTTGAGCTCAACCGCTGTGGTCCGTCATTATGTTAAGACACTTTTGGGGGTAGTTTATGGAGCTTAGATTTTTAAGTAATTTATTTAAGCATAAATTTTTTTTGATTCGGATAAACAAGAGTTGCTCATGAATCGGCTTTTCCTCAAATAAAAAACCATCTCCGATAATAACTATGCCGTGGTACTCCCCTAACACATCAACTTCCGAAGCAACAGTAGTTGTTGAATAGTTATGATAGATTTCAAAAATTTCCAGTACGGAAAGGATTTCGAACAAATGGCAAAATTGATGGCACGAAGAAAGTTGAACAAGGACAAAGATCAAGTTCGTAATTACTATTTCAATTCGCTCAAACTGCTGAGATCTTCAACACACATTGATGAAAGTTTGTTTTTCCTTAATTTTAATTTTTTCTATTCCGATAAATTAGATTATGCTACAAAGTTTAGAAATCCTTGGCAGTTTTATTGTTTTTGACACCAAATATTGCGGTGAAGAACACTAATATAGTTGACGGTGCTAGACTTTCTTTTCAACGTTTTCCGTCACGATGTATTTTTCATAGCAGCAAAAAATTATTTAAATCAATAAATTAGATATTTACCCGAGAAGTCAGTAGTAAATAATAGATCCTTACTACATCTTTAATGTTTTGGAAACTTCAGCTTTGATGGCAGGTATACCACGAGATGTCAAGGAGTTGTTTATTTTGATTAATGGATTTGAGTGGAAAAGAAGAGTTTGTGGCAAGTTTGATCAAGCCAAGTTTCAGCAGCTCGTCATGGAAGGGTTCTATACCTTATTTTAATTTTCAGATTTCGATCTGAATTAGAAGTCCACTCTGCTCATACTTTTGCATTGTGGTCTAACAGTCCTATGTATTCATGTAAACCTTGCAACCCTTCTATTCTCTCTATTAAGCTCAAATAGAATACTGGGCCTCGTAGCTCCCTTTGCTATTTTGTTACACTTCGTTTATCTGAGAATGAGATTTTTATCGAATTTCTTCTCAAATTATGATAAAGAGCTTGTAAATAATCGCTAGAATTATAAAAAATTTTATGAATTAAATTGCTTATTTACAGATCAACGTATGAGAAGAAAAGAAAAAAAAAGCAACTAGTGCTGGTACGTACACCACTCTGTCCTTCTCTGCAGAAATTTTTTCCAAGTATGTTGAAGTTTTTTCATGATTTTTCATCATTTCATCATTCATCATTTTTCACGATTTTTTCATCATTTTTCATCATTTAAATCGAAGCCACTAAGAAAGAGAGAAGTATGTAAATCAAAAGTCAAATTTCTATGAAATTAGAATTAAGTTCCAATTTCCCAACTCAGTTTCATTTTATTGTTATTGAGAATAAGTACATATTATATCTGATATATCCTGTCTCTTTCCAGGCTGCAGCTCATCACCATTGCCATCGCATATTTTTATATGTCTTACGCCGAAAACCGAAGCTGATCGTTACTTTGTTGAGCAACGTGGACAAAATCCCTTGATTAGGATCAGGGTCGCTATTGGCGATCAGCTTAATCGCATTTTCTCATTTCTCAAAATAAAATGGAATTTACGAGTGCAGAAATTGGTATCATTCAGTTCCATATTCAGTTTATAACTGTTTCTCATGAAATTCGAGAGAACTTGGTTGAAGTTTCTTTGTGTTTCCACTGGATGCATTATGGTGAAAATTATTTAGCTTGGAACCATATCGAAAGAGGAAGAGCAAATAAGGGTAGTGTTGTATCCGGACAAGACAACCCGCGTGGGCAAGATAATTGTAAATCTGTATGAGGCTACGCCGACGATATTTTCTATAAACAGGCAAGTCTTGGTTGGAACATAAAGAAAATGATTGAAACGAAAATATATGCTAAAATTTAGTTTCAGACGCACATATATAATTGTTCATTTGGAAAAAATTCTCCTTTTTCGTTCGCTACTTGTGTGACTCTAAGGGACTTTTCAACTTCAGTCTTCTTTGGATATGTTGAATGGCATGTTTTGCTAGCGAAAAATAAATTTAGTTGAGCATAATATGTAGACGCAATGCTCTTTTAGGTTTGTAAGTTGCTCCCAAAGCAATCTTTATTGTTCGTGTTTCTATTGCTAATATTTTTCATGCCAAAGTTAAGTATGATTTTAGGTTGATAAGAGAACTTCAGCGAACAGGAACCATTGAACAAAACAATGAGCCCTCAAAACGTAGGGGTGCAAATATTGGCGAAGAAACATCCGAAGATATAGAGATGTCCAGCTCCACAGAGGATGATGATGATGGACCATTTACAATTAACGGAAACAAGTTGCGTAATGGACTTACTGAAAAAAACGTTCTCAAAGCTACTGTTACTGAACTATATTATTTGGTATACCGTTACTAATTGTTGTCATTTTGCAGAAGAATTCAAACACTTGTTTTCATTTCACTTCAAGTCATGCATAGAAATAATGAACTGTTCTCGTAATTTATGATCATTTTTTAGCATTACAAAATTTTTTAATTATTAATTCAGAAACTTTGTGACTTAATTATGATGGTTACAATTTAAGTGTGGCAAAGAGTCTGAAATCAAGCTTGTTTACTCAACGGGAATGAAGCGAATGGGCGACCCCGAGCCATGGCGTATTTTTCTTCATCTCCTAGATCGTGGTTACGGTGACAGTCTTTGTAAGGTAAATTGAAAATCCTGTTGATTTTGGTATGTCTAGGATATGCAACTTAGCATATGGGATTACTTTTTTTGGTGACTTCTGCGCTATTTATAACCGTTCAAATCTATCTTTTTTTCATTTCTTGAATAGAAGTTGTACTTTTTAAGGAATTTATTTTTTATGCTCATCGTTTTAAGGAATTTTATTTCTGTCAACTAACTCCTCATAATGAAAGGCGGTGGTCCAAATTTTCACTGAGTAAAAATGGCAAGCCTATATCTTGAGACACATTCCCAACGTAGAGAAATAGGAATGAAGTTTCCCATCAAGCGTTTTTCTATGAAGCAAAAAAAGACGCTTCTGTTGAATTGGGGTGCATCCATTCATCTTTCCTTCAAATAAGAATTATAACATTTTATTGAATTTCTTAGTTGGTGCATTACATTTTTCGTAGACTATTGAAATTTAATAGCGTTGCAAACACATAGAATTTCTTATCTTTTGACTCATTTTTTGAGAAAAATAGATATCACATCAGTATTTTGATATTTTTGCAGTCTCTTGCTGATCCGCAAAGAATAGCAGAGTCGGATGAATTTATTGAACAAAAATGGCAAGAAAGGATTAGAAAAAGGTGCAAGCCAGCAAATAACTGTACGGAACAATCATCTGGATGTCTGACTACATCGACTGAGGTGATGGAAACAACTGAAGCTGCTGCACATGAAATGGTGGAAGCAGAGAATAGTGCTTTCATGCAACAGCTTGAAAGTTTAAGAGTGAAAAAACGTGCTCGCCCTTTTCATCAGCGTTTTCCTGGCAAGGTGAATTTTCCACATTTCATTTCATTTGAATAATTATTTGAAATGCTAGGAGTTTATTGAAGTGTACGAATTTTGGTTTCATTAATATTTTGCTTAGATTACTTATCGTTAAAGTAAATGCTTCCCTAATCTAGGGGACATTCGCACAAATCACTGACTTATAAAAAAGCAACATATTAAGTCATATAATAACTGGTATAAATCCGCTTAACCTTAATAAAATGCCTTTTAATGGTCTGTTTAAATATTTTATTTTTTTTGAATTGATGAACTTTTTTGCAGAACAATGGGATCATACAAGCGGTTGCGTTGAATCCGCCATCAGTTCATCAACCTATAGCAACTGCAGGTTATCAGTTAGCTGATCCTGTTTTTGGATCTCAGAACGAACGATCAAGTGATCAGTTTGTTTTTTCTGCTAGTGATGTAGCGGGATCCAGCGCCGTTGCTGGTAAAATAAGATCCTGTAATGGTACTGGTAGAATGTGGTCTGATGTGGGGATTTCTGGTGGATTTAAGTCGGATGATAATTCAGATGGAATGAGGTCAGGAAGTGGTTACTTTCTGCAGGAAACTAATGTTTCTTCGCATCCAACACAAGTCCATCGTGTGACGGAAACAAGATACCAATTGGTTAATCCTGTATTTGTGGCTCACAAAGTAGCAACATCAACATCATCAGTGCAGTTTATTCCTTCATCTGGCGGTAACGTTAGTGGAATTGGACAAAATGTTAGTAATTTCATACAAGAGACCAGTGTTCCGATGTGTCCTACACAAGAAATGGCAACAGTACGATATCAGATTGCTGGGTCTGTATTCATGTCCCAAAATGCTCAGCCGACGTCAGGGCAATTTGTGCTTCCTGTTTCTAATACAGTTAATTCCGATAATGAGCATTTTATTCGAGGCGACAACGTAGTTCAGAAGATTCTGACACCAGCAGTAGATACTATGGAACCAAGTGGAGACTGTAGTGCCAGTGATCGTAGCAACATTCCTTCGTCACCAGTCAAGGAGAGCAGTCTTCTGAGAGAATTGCATAGTGCACCGTCAATGGACAAGTCGATAGAAGTGATGCTACAGGAAAATAGCACTGAATGTTATCGTTTTGTTGAGCAATTTGCTTCAACTATGAATTCTCGATCGAATGTCGTTAGCAATGCAATTAATGCGGAAAACGAAATAACCCGCATCGCACAACAGCTTGCCCAGTCTGCGGATGATGCACTAAGATCTGTCGATGGTAATAATGGTAGAATGAGGTCCAGTGACAGTAATGGTTCAGCAGTCTCTGTTGGTGGTACAAGTGTAACGAAGTGCGTTGACACTGATACTGCCGAAATTAGGTCCAGTGATGATAAAGAAGAAACTCAATGACTTCGATGCTTTCTGTATATGCTTTGATTTCCAATGTTTATACGCTTAGGATAGCTTTAAAATATTCCTTTGGGTCAGTAAATATCGTGAAGATACAATAAATAACTAGCCCTCACTTTTTACCATTTTATTATCTCCGAAGAAGCTTAGATCTCGAAACTTTCAGCTTGTGTTTTCATTTCTTGTTTCGGTTTTTTTCTTGTTTTTTTTAGTTTAGAGAAAAGTGAAATGTTACAAACGGTTTTTAACTTCGAAACTGGATTTCTGTAAAAACTTTGTAGAATGCCGAAGATTTTATTAGAATTCAATAGAATTTTAAGGGTTGTCAGAATTGTAATTGTAATAATTCGGTGAAAAATCGGTGGTTGCTTTAGTGTATTATTTTTTTTGTCTGTTTGCAAAACTTAGTAGGATACTGAAGATCTTAAATGATTGTCTTTGAAAAATGCGTTTGTGCCCTGTATATGTCTTTTAGTAAAATAAGAGAAATTGAATTTCAAGTTAAAATTCTTTCAGAGAACATTCCTCAAAGATAGTTTGGTTGTTTTTTAGAATTTCTTTTCCAATTTTGAAGAGATTTCTTTCTAATTCTTCATTAAACTGCCAAACTTTTATTTCTTATTTGTTCGCTGTAGAGGCCGCTTAGTATCGCAATCTTTTAGTGTTCACTAATTGTAAGTAAAAGAGAATTTAAATACTTCGCAATGATGTTTAAGAGACGAGGTAACAAAGTCACACAACTTGATTTGAAAATTTCGGTTTAGTTTACTTTATGTTTACGTTTATATTTCGTCCCTATCCAGTTGTGAAATTTCTCAACATTTCGTTTGTTACGCAGATGCGACTTTTTGCGTTTAATACATATTTCGTATCTGCGTTACAACATTTGGAATCCAAAAGGCAGTCAAGAAAAAGAAATAGGAAACAGTTTCATTAATCAATGCAAATTCATATAATCAATATTCAGATTCTTTGATATTTCTAATTGTTTGTTTTTATTTTCATGTTTGTACTTGTCTTTTTGTATTTTGCTGTTTATTGTGTCATGCCAATAAAATTAGTTAAAAAGATTTGAATGATTACATTCTATTGATGGGTAAAATCTGTCGAATTTATTTAAAAAATTGCCAACAATACATTTTGAAAGTTTGGTTCAGGATGGTTGGACACTGCTTCATGTTTAGTTTTTAGGATCCCACTTAGGATTATTATTATCAGTTTAACAAGTGAAGTGAGATGTTCATATAGCTAATATTGAGATATTTAGTGCATCAGCATGTCTAGCGTGCAATTACATCACTACTCATCATTGTTCTGAATTACCTACACTCTGTTCTTCAGCTCAAAAGGATCTTTTTTTTTTGAAAAGTGTGAGAAGTACGATGACATTTCATTTTTCGAATTGTTCAGATATTACTCAAATCCCGAAACAAACTTAGATTTGACGTAATTTTCAGGTAAATGGCATCTCGAAGAGGTATAATAGTGTTATTACGCTCTTTACATCGTCGTCCGTATCTCATGCCATCACCATGCAATATTGCTTCTACGGCTCATTTTTTTCGTACAACTCGATCAGCTAGCAAACCGACGATGGCTGAAAGTTTCGAATTTCAGGCAGAAACAAAGAATTTGTTGGATATCGTTGCAAAATCACTTTATTCGGATCAAGAGGTTAATTGTTTGCTATTAAGTAATCAGTCATTGTATTCTTTCTAAACAATTAAGCCTCGGTCTATATTTCGATTTGAATAGACTTGAATTCCCTCCTTTCTTCTGATGCAACCGACTAGTTCCTTATGTTAGTTTTCAAGGTTTTTATTCGGGAATTGATATCAAACGCTAGTGATGCTCTGGAGAAGAGACGGTGCAAACATTTAGAAACTAATGAAGATACGAATATTGCTTATGAAATCAAAATAACCACAGATGAAGATGCACGGTTGATTATTTTCGAAGATAATGGAATTGGAATGGACAAGAAAGATTTGGTGAACTTTCTGGGGACTATAGCTAAATCAGGTGAATTGTTAGGGTTCCTCTGTATCCTTTCGGACTACTGTAACCGATTTATCCATAATATTCTAGCTTCTGCAGTTGTTTATATCTTTCTGGAAGTTATTAGAAATACAAAAGATTTCTTAATATCCTGAAAATGCATTAATGACCTTATTGGAACGTTGGCGCTTTTACTTTTTTACTTTTTTACTTTTAAACTTTTTACTTTTACTTTTTTTCACTTTTACTCTTACGAATTTTACTAATAACTTACAAACTTCCTAACAGTTCTGTAATTTAATGTGAATATTATAATTTGAGAAGTTGCTGAGAAGTATTTCTTTGTACTTCCTGGACATAGGTGAGAGGAACGATGAGTATTATTATTATTTCAACATGATATTCATATAAGTTAAGTTTTCCAAGTTACATTTTGCCTAATAATACCTTAATGATATTATTTTGTTGAAGCTTATTTATATCAGATGAAATAGTTTCAGTCTTATCAATAAATAAAATTATGTGATAGAGTTATTTATATTAGATGAAAAAGTTCCATCTTTCCATGTCAACTTCATTTTTTTCTGTTCAGATTCAAAAAAATTCGTGGAAGAGCAATCTACGCAAAACCGTGTATCCACAGAAAATATAATTGGGCAATTCGGTGTCGGTTTCTATTCGGCATTCATGGTTGCAAATAATGTTGTAGTGAAAACGCGAAAAGAAGGTAGCGATAAAGGTTATTTGTGGAAGTGGAATGGGTATGTTTAAATAACTCTAAAAATTATTTTGCATTGTCGTATCGTGTTCAAAAGCTCGCTTCTAAAACAAAATAATATAATTCGGGTTATTTTGCTAATTCGTTTGTGATATGAGCTGTTTAGTCATATATTAGGGAGTTCAAAAATAGATAAAAGTAAATTTTCTAGAGGAACTGCCTATTCAGTGGAAGAAACCGATTCGTTACCTGTAGGTTCACGTATAGAAGTGACTCTTCGCGCGGGTAATGCAGCGGAATTTGCGAAAAAAGACAAAGTTGTGGAAGTGATTAACAAATATTCCTACTTCACCACTTTACCGATCACGGTGAATGGAGAACGGGTGAATACTGTGGATGCTATTTGGACAATGAATCCAAAAGAGGTGACTTCCGAAATGCATGACACTTTTTTCCGACAACTCGCCAAGACGCATTCACCTCATTTAGTAAATGATCGACCGCAATATACTATTCATTACAAGGTTACTCGAATTTATTTAATTTCAAATTTAAGTTATTTTTCATTTAATCTCTATGTACAACATTTGCTTGATTGGCAGACTTTTTTGAAATAATGCTGTATGCTAATGTTGTTTCGTCACTGCACATAAAAGTTATATCAGTGAATTGGGCACGTACATAGCATATTGAATTACGGATTGAAATATATTGTAAATTTTTTGTTGAAATCAGAATGCAAACATGTATATTTAATTTCAAATTATAGGCAGATGCTCCGATAAATGTCAGATCTTTATTATACGTCCCATCTCATAATGTATCGCAACTTGAGTTTGCTAGTTCAGCCGAGCAGTCAAGAGTATCTCTGTATGCGCGAAGAGTCCTTATAAAGGTTTTTTTACTACCATGATATGATTGACATATGGACTTAACCAGTTTATTTGATGCCAGCAGTTGCAAGTAACAATATGAATGTCCCGTCGTTGTGCTATCTATACATGTATCAAATAAGTCCATATGGAAAGTTTAAAAATTTCAGCAATTTCAAATATAAATTGTCAAGTTATTTTATGCTGGCAAAAAGTAATGGGGAATTTACTAACTGAATGAATTCTTAATTCATGTGCCATGCGTTCTTCATTTCAGTCAAATGCCAAAGATCTTTTACCGCGATATTTTCGTTTTCTAGTTGGCGTAATCGATTCGGAAGATATTCCATTGAATTTAAGTCGCGAAATGCTGCAGATGGATGCTGTTCTTGTGTAATATTTCTTTTTCATTTGTCGAAATTTCTGGTCCTAGCCCATGATCCTCTTAACAATGGAGATCGATTTATATTTAGACTTTTTGCATATTTTGAAAATGCTACTTTTTGGCAGAAGTTAACACATAAAATCAAAGCACAACATTTATTTCAAAGCATCTACAGATGGCACTTTTTAGGTAATAACAAGATAGGTATATGTGTTAAGCTGAGGGTAGAATAATTCGACTGTACGTTTTAAATAACACTTTAGAAGAGCTTTTGAAATAAATCTTGAAACTGTTCAGGAAGTTGCGTCAAATTTTAACCGACAAAGTGGTGTCATATTTTGTAAACGAAATGAAGAAAGATCGAATAAAATATAAAGAATTCTACAACGGTTATTCTTTATATTTCAAAGAAGGTGTTTGTACCGAGAATGACCAAAACGTTAAGGTTAGTTTAAATTCGTTCGAAGAGGGCGCATTTCTATTTATTCTCATGGGGCATTTATGTTTGATTTAGTCTACTTTGAAAGTTATGGTTGAGCATTATGTTTCGAAAAAGACAGATTAGTTTCTTAACTAGGTTGCCCAAACATAAGTTTTGCATGTAAATCGAATTCTTGTTTTTTTGCACAATACAATTAGTTCCACAATAAAATATTTAAGATTAAAGTATTTGCTGTTGCGCGTTTTAATTTCGTAAAAATTTTTTTTGGTTTTTAGTTTTCCTTTTTTCTTAATAGGTTCATCTGCCCTTTGAAGAAAAACCAAAAACTTTTTGAAGGAAGCTGTCGCAGGAGAATGAAAAGCAAATGAAATTATGTCAGTTTTCACCAAGTGTTCATTTTCTGCTTTTCAAACCTTTTGAATTAGTTAAATGCAGAGTTTTAGGAACAGATTGGTTCGCTTTTGTTGTTTGAATCATCAAATCTCAAAGCAGGAACTTTGACTAGCTTAGATGAATATGTGGACCGAATGCAAAAGGATCAGAATGAAATTTATTATTTATTTTCTCCAAGGTGAGATCTTTATCCAGTTGTGCTATCTGTTGCAGTTTCGGAGTGTGCAGAAAACTTGAAGATATGATTTGTACAAAAATATTCCTATGCAAGTTGAAGTATGCAAATGAAATGCTGAAGTGCAGTATGAATGAAGTGATGTTCTTTATTCAAATAAACTCACTGTCAAACCTCACTTCTTTGAAGTATTCAAGTTGATGAAGAATAAGATTTGATCATTCATAATTCATGTCTTTTTTTTCAGCCGTCAGCTTGCGGAGCATTCCCCTTATTATGAAATGTTCAAATCAGAAAACAAGGAAGTTCTTTTTGCATACGATGCTGCTGATGAAGTTTGCTTACTGGCTATGCAACAGTTCCGGATGAAGTCAATCAAATCAGCTGAAAATTGGACTCGTATTGAAGCCGGTGGTGACTCTCAGACTGCAAGTTAGCAGTATAATTTAAATGCATCCGAAGAAAAAAGTTAAAAGACTGAGACGCTTCTTTATTCTTTCATAATTCGCATAATTCTAGCGTTATACTTTTATTACTACGAAGCTTCAAACTTACTCTATATGTTTCTTTATAAATTTTACGTTGATAATAAAACTTCAATTTGCCACTGATAGAAGTTTCTCTCCTTAATGATGTGGCGAAATTTTTTATTTTAAAGCGATATAAATTTTGTTGCAGCAATAACAATACGTGACGCTGATAAGAAAGAGTTACTCGACTGGTTGAAAACTACATTAGGAAGCGTGAAAGTGAATGACATAAAGGTATCTTGGATATAAATCGTCGAAAATTTTGCCAATTGGAATAGATTGAATGGTTTTTCTTCTACAAATTATTTCTTGATGTCTGATATGTAGCTATACATGGCTTATGTAGTGAATGATAGTGATTAATGTAGTTATAGTGAATAATGATAAAAGCTCTACCTTCTTCAATTTGTCATCACAAACAAAAAAATTCTTAGAGAAGTCTTTTTATTCCTATATTCAGAGCTTGGGTACAACTAGCGAACATCCATGTATGATCACAGTTGGTGCTGAAATGGGTGCTGCTCGTCATTTTCTTCGCGTTGGACAGGTCAAGGATACCGAGCATTTGGCTTTTCTGAAACCAACTCTTCATATTAACTTGAGTCATCCAATTATCAGTGCACTAATCAAGTTGCACAAATCAGAACCGGCACTAGCTACTCTTGTTGCTGAACAGGTATCAATATGTTTTTCATTTGCATTGTATTTTCAGTAAGAAGTGAGCTTCGCAATTTTCGAAACTGAGATATTTTAAAGAGGCAAATAAGGATTCAGTTGGTGATAAACTGGTTTTGAATTTTGAAATTTAGTAAGGATTATTGAACTTTTTTGATTTGTTGCAACTGCATGTTCGCCGTTGCTTCGGATACAAAAAAACTTCAAATCGAATTATATAATGAGGATTTTTTGCGACGATCCGCTTAATGTGAATTGGGTATATGAGTTCTAACTTGTTAGTAAAGTTATCTCACAATTTCTTCGAAAAAAAGATTCTGTAACATTGGTCACGTGTATTATGCAGCTCTGCTACCAAACAAAAGATAATGTACGGAATATCTTACATCTAATATTCGGTAACTCAATTTCATACTTAAAAAGATTTATAATTGGCAAATGTGAGTTGGGTAAGGACTTTAGAGTTTCACCATCTGAAAGAAATAAATAAACTCATGCTTTTCCGTCTTCAGATCTACGACAATGCCCTGATAACTTGTGGGTTGATGAAAGATTCATCAAAAATGGTTGACCGGGTTAATCGAGTGCTAAGTGAACTTCTGAAGCCGAAGTCATCAATACTTACACCCTAATTTTTTTCACTGTTATTGTTACTTCTTGCTACGTCGTATTGAACGTATGAACAGTTTTTAACATGAGACATTTCTAATTTTGTTTCTTTTTGCATTATGTTACTTATAATGATGTCATGTTTCACTTATGAACTGAATAAAAATTGTTGAAAATAGAAAGATTGCATATATGTGGAGGATTGCAGATTCCAGTCGATATTCTTTTGCTGCCTTCCTGGAATATTGATCAGTTCCCTTTAATCTTGTTAATGCTTTACTTTATCCATTCCTAGTCTAGTCAATTTACTGACAGATTGCTGGAGATGCAAGCTCTACTGCAAGCATACGAGGATATGCCTCCTGTAACGAGGATTTATACGACCGCATGTGTCTTAACTACGCTTGCAGTGGTAAGTGTATAAATTATTGAATTCAATATTTTATTAACCGTAACGTTTTCTGACAAAAAATTTCCTTACCCATTTCAAAGTTGACTCAAATCCCTTATTTATGTTCACTTTTAACGAAGTTGATATAGTAGTTCCTGCTACTAACCTTTCTCACTAAATTGTAATATTCTTTATACTTCTGTTTTTCCTTATGTAGCTCTCTTTTTCAAATTTATTAATGTCGCATTATCTAATCGTGGACCTCATTTTTGGTTTTAAATACGAAAAGGGGTACCATGTTTAAACGGCGTAACATCTCTTATACTGTGTGATTCAAAAATCACGAAAGGATTTTCTTATGGTTTTATTGAATTAACTCAAGCGGTAATGAATTAAAGTTGCCTTCATTTCAGCAGCTGGATTTTGTTACGCCATTTCATTTATATTTTAACTGGAATTTAATTATTTATAATTACCAGGCAAGTTGATTTTTTTCCACCAGGTTTTTTTATTAAAGGTTGTGATTTACCAGGTTGCCAGATAAATGTTATGGAGGCGGTTAAAAAAATAATTTTTGCATTGAAATTTATACTGTAAAACACCGTTGAAATAGATCCGAACAAATATTTTTTAATTAGAAGTTGTTTAGCATCAGTGAGGAATAGTGTGGATTTACTGGCAGATTATTATTTGTTGCCGTATTTAATATCAACTTAGTTAATGCAATGTTTAGCTAACTTTTGATTTCTGTTTCTTATAAATTTAAATGAATTTATTTCCAGTTTTGGCGACTGTTAACATCATTTTGTTTCTTTGGTTCATTTGGGTTTAGTTTCTTATTCAATATGATTTTTACATATCGATATTGTATGATGCTCGAAGAAGGTTCGTTTCGCGGACGACGTGCTGACTTCGCTTTTATGTTCATCTTTGGAGCAGTTTTTATGGTAACATATTTTTTACACTGCCTCTTTATTCTTGGCTCATATTTTTTTTAATACAGAATAATTTACCATTCTTAACGTCTTTCGAAAAAATTGTATGTTTTAAATACATTTATGTCTAAATTTAGTGACGAGTTAGTGATATTTTGTTCTTTCGGCTAGATGTCATGAAGACTTACGTGGTTTTATGAGCCTCACATTACATATTTCAAAGGAATTTTCGTAATAATAAAAGTTCGAGGTGTTAATGAGGTGCAAAGTGTATTATTTATATTGGATGGTCCAGGTAATTGGTCCGAGATATTACTCAGTAATCAATAGGTATTGCAAGGTGTTCCAGAATTACTTGTTAAGAATAAGTAGCTTGTTGTCTTTTTCATTTTTTTATGGTAACATATATTTTACACTGCCCTCTTTACATAATTTTGGGGAGTTTGATTATTTTGTTGATGTTTTCAAGTTCTTAGTATGGACTAAGTTGACGAAAACTGTTTAAAATAATCACTCGGAAAGTGTGAGCAAGGCAGCATTTGACCTGCTTTGCTTTACATGCGTAAATTCAGCTCTGAAGATCAATTTTTTATTAGTTTAGATGAGAGTTTAGATGAGTAGGCATTTGTATTATGAAAGTGAAAATATTCTGCAGGAAAATTTCACTAATCATTAATAACGGATTCAAATCTCTGTGCTGCAGTTTATTAATGTTTTAGATCATTTGTGGTACTTTTGTGCACATGGTATTTCTTGGACAGGCTTTTACTATTATGCTTGTTTATGTCTGGAGTAGACGGAATCCATATGTACGCATGAATTTTTTTGGTGTCCTCAGTTTTAATGCCCCTTACTTACCATGGGTGCTGCTTTTATTCTCGCTGCTCCTCGGTAACAATGCTATCATTGATTTCATGGGTGAGTTAAATTCAAGTAATTTGATATCTTTTTCTTTAACTCCGAAAATTCTTTCAAGAAATATCTATTTAATTCTAATTCATTTTGGTTCTTAACAAACGTTGAAGCCCTGATCAGTTCGAAATGTTAATTCATATTTATTTGTTCTACTATTTGATTTGTTCTACTATTGACAGTGGCGCCCAATTCTAATAAATGAATTGTTCACCATGGGCAATTTAGATCAGCATTTTTGAAATAAGAGAAGTCTTTTTGATTCAGTCGTTTTTTTGAAACATATCTTTGGAATCCTAATCTCGTTTTACTAGAGCTACTTGCTTAAATTAACCTGTGGTAGTAAAATTTACGATTATCTATACTGATTTGATATTTTGATTTCAAAGCAATACTTTCAGGAATAGCATGTGGTCATTTCTATTTCTTCCTGGAAGACGTTTTTCCGTTGCAACAGAACGGCTTTCGTGTTTTGCAAACACCTCATCTATTGAAGTGGCTGCTAGATCCGGTTCCTGTTGAACCCGTTGATATAGATGAACGACCTGGTGGTTTCAACTGGGGTGAACAGCCGCCTAGAGCTGAATAGGCCCACAATCTGTTCTGTTATCGTTGTTTTATATTCATTGCCTTTCTCTTGAAAGAATTCGTAGGTATTTGAAGGTTTCTACGAATGTAGCCTGAGATGTTTACGTGTGTTCTTGTTTGTATTTTTCACGTTTTTTAAAAGGTCATTCTGTTGTTGGCTACGACATTTGTGCCTTTTTGATTGGATATATCAATTGAGTATGTATTTTTGATTGCCATTATCTTCCAAAAAAGAAAACAAAGTGAGACGCAAACATGGAATATCATTTAACCAGTGCAAACGAAGGTCATTGTTAAATCTACTTATTACGACACATCTCTTGAATTGCCTAGCAGAAACATAAAACTATTTTCTTTCCATCGCTTTTTTCTGTGCTGTGATATGGCTTGAAATTTAAACATATATTTATTTGCTGCATATTTTTCCTTCGGAACACAGTTGCACAGGTGATGTGTAATAAGTTCTTTTAGATTTGTTGCATTCTGTTTATGGTGAACATCTTGTACGATACATTTTTCTTTATTTTGGTATAAATTGATGATTCCGATTAAAACGCTTCATTACATCATATAATGGATAAAATGCCACACAAGTAACCACTGGTTTTTTTTCTAATTGAAGTCAACGAATTTAATACATAACATGCAAAACTTATGGTAGATATTAAAAACAGGTAATATTTCAAAATGCGAAATTTGATGAAGAGAAATAGCTACCTTCATAAAAGGACATTACAAGTGATTGTATTGATAAGCGGGAAGTGTAACAGGTTTGTGGAAGGAATACAGTGAATTAGATAAAACACTGCTAATTTTCACGCATCCTTTGGAATTTAATCCTAAGTATACCTCCGATCGCATACATCTCTGGTCATTAGACAGCGCAGCACTATACACTGCTAGTTTTAATTTATTTCGTAACTTCACCCAATCTGTCTGTAATCGCGAATCAATCACTATCTGTTCTACGCATGTTCATTCAACCGCTGTGTCACTAATTATGCGTCATTCAAATGACAGCAATGAATGACATTTTGTCTGATCAGTCGTATTGGGTAATATCACTTTAATTTCACCCATTCTCTAATTCTTCCGGAATCAGAGCCGAAGTTCTCATTGTGCTTAAATCTGGGCTTAGCTTGGACTTAACGAAGTATTTCCTGAGTATTTCCCTTGATGTATACCCTTATTTTCATGGACCGGTTTAGTATGTGATACGGTTGGTGTATTATTGCGATTGGTGTGGCGTTCCGAGTAATTTTTTACACTGCGACATTGGCGCTATAAGTTGGAAGTACATTTGAAGTGGTGCTCTCATGCAGCTACACTGATGTTAAGTAGTAATTTTCTCAGTTGTGGAATAAGTGATTACTTAAACAGTTCTTGGGAATAGAATAACATCTTCAGTTTTATGCTGAGGAAGCAGCAGCTTTGCCCTGTAGCTGGACAAAATATGTATTTCAGGTAATAAAATAATGAGTGTTGTGACTTGAGCATTTGTTATCCAAAGATATGATGCTAAATGTGTTAACACATCAAAAGGATATTCTCTCCGCTTACGATATTGTTCTCAAATCACCGGGCTGTGACAACTGGTCTGTCTAATTCATTTCGTTCGCTTATTTACATGCGTTCAGCTTCAATGAATATTTGTTCTACATATTTTTAAAATCTATAAAGTCATGCTTAAATTTGGAGTTCATGTAAAAATTTCTAAATTTAGATCCAAATTTATATGAATAAACAACGTATAATATGTCTTGTCATATATTGTATCGCACCTTTTCAATTTTTCTACATAGTAGCACACACTTCCCAATGTAATTCATATAGACGGGATTGACATTATCGATGTTCTTGAAAGATCGACGAATTATTCTAATAACTTTTGAAAATATATAAAGCTTATGGAGGCAATCTTTGATTTTTTGTTGTAATAACTCTTTAAAAGTCAAATTTCAGGATAATTCTGGAATATGAAAGCAATTCGAATATCATTAAGGTGGCAGATACTGGAGGTAGTGTTTGCTACGATAAGCTTTAAGCAATAGTTAATAGTGGTGATTGTCTGACGAATCGCTATAATGATTTTCTTAATGTAACTGAGGAAACCAGTTGTACATAGTTGTACATACAAATATGTGCTGTGGCATTAAAATAAGAAGCAAAAATTAATATCTGTTTTTGGAAGTAATGTTTTAAACAGATGGTGGTATGGAAGAATTGTCGAGGAGCTTTGCAGCCGGAAAATTGCAGTACGGTATCGGTGCTGTCAAATTGAGTGCTTCAGCAAGTGCAAAAGTCGTCCTTATTCAATGGGTAAGATTTTTCACTTGTATAACTTAACCTCACGTCTTGAATGCTTTATCGTAGTTTTCTGTGATGTAAAAAAAAAACTTTATGATTTAGCTTGTGCTTTTAATACCTAGACTATATCATATGTTGGAAAACCAGTATGAGATGAGTTCTCGGCTTTCAGCACTCCTAAGTTTTCAACTATTTTTATCATTTTCAGTTCTTCAGCAACTTTCAGGATTTAAAGTTTATGCTTACTGAGAGAAGTTGAATACAAAAGAATGTTTTAGCAGGGTGAGGGTGTCCCGTCGTCGCGTTTGGTTGCAACAACGAATCATGGCACTGAATTGAAACGTTTTTTGCGCGGCGTACATGTGGTATGTTTTCATGGAAAAAGGGGTTTTGGCGGAAAATACAAAGGGTGTTTTCTCATGACAGGTCTTGTCACAATTTAAGTGACGCTGAGAATATATTAACATGCAGAATAGTTATTGAGTTTCATATATTTTATTCTTTATGAGTCGCTTTGTTTGAAAGTGCTTCAGATTTTAATTGCTCGAAATGAAGAAGACGTTGACATGGAAAGCATATTGCGTGTAGTCAGCAGATTGCCAGGTGTAAGTGAAGCGGTACCAACTTTGACTGAAATTTCGGAGTTTTCACATTCAGAGGCAATTGGGACTACCTATCATCCGGTGAAACCAAAAAAGTCCGTTCAAATTTCTCCTTCATATTAATTTTTTTTCTATACATATAAAGTTTTTGCATGAAGGTTTTCCACAAAAAGATCTATTTATGATTCACTGCTCTAATAAGCATGCAAAATCCTCATTTCTCTTTAATTCAGTGGTATTGCATGGCGATAGTTGTTAATAAGTTAATTAGATTGATCATCGTTTTTTTAACGAGATTTGTAATGCTACCTGCTATTTTGATCAGGAAAATTATTCCGTCTGTATTTCATCGGTTAACTTTCTACTAAGAATGCATATAAAAATTCGCGATATTTGTACTCTTGCAGTGAAATTGATACAAATAGCCGAGAAAATTTCTGGAAAGAAGTAAGAGCGCAGGAGATTAGTCGAATTGCTGAAGAACGAAAGCGAGAAAAGGAAAAGAATGAAATAGCTCTTCGTGAAAGAAATGAATTAAGTGAAAAGATATGTGCCCAGCTATGTTCAGAAGAAGAAACTAAAAAAGCCAATGAATCTTCAAGTACAACAGCATGTTAGTTCAGTTCAGTAAAATTTTAAGCAATTTGAATATTAAAATTTTTCAAGTAGTTTAGATACAAAAAAAATATGAAAATTATCTTTAAAAATCTTTGCTAATATTCGAATTTCATCAATCTTTCTTAGTTTAAAATGGTCCAGTTAAGATAGGGTCATTTCAGTTTTCAACACACTAGGATATGTTAGGAAAATTCTGAGTATATTTGATTTTGTGTCCTTGCACCATGAAGATGAAATTATTCTAAAATCATTTGATTTTAAAGCTGAGTTTCAGATGGAAAAATAATTCGAGCAAATGATTTACTGCGGGTTAAAAAGGCCTTATTCGAAGAGTCTGATAAACCACAGCAGTGTATCACAGAATACCATAAGATGCAACCGATGACTATAGAACGAACAACAAAAAAGCAATCTTCAGGATGCATTTCAACTAATGAAGACAACGCTGATATTCGTCAACAGGAAATTGAAGTAAACGGTTCTATTACTTATCAAACGAATAGAATTTTCACCCAGGAGGATACTTTGAAGAAAGCTGAAAGTGAAGTAACTCCAGCAATGAAAGATGCAAAGCCATCACATGGAGTGCGTGTTATAGCTCTGTGGGACTATCAAGCTGGTAAGTTGGAGTTCTATGTTAATCTCTTTGACCTTCTTAATAAATTGGTAATATAATAAAAGCTTGCATCACTGATTCACTGCGTTGCAAATTTTTACTTGATGAGTAAATACATACTCTGAACGATTCATGCGTTCTTTCTCAGTTTCTCGTTTGGAAAATACTGTCATTGAATTTCATGAGCTGTAAACTTATGAAGTTGAAATTTAAAGGAGAAAAATATTACATACCAATTCTTGTTTTTAGCTGACGAAACTGAAATTTCATTCAATCCAGATGATGTTATCACGGAAGTGGATCAAATTGATGAAGGTTGGTGGCGGGGTCGAGCTCCGGATGGTCATTATGGGCTCTTTCCCTCTAATTACGTCAGTTTGTTGTAAGCAAATAAGAAGGAAAATTTCCTTGTATCTAGTAAGACTTTTATTATTTCTAAAGAACTTTTAACCACGATCAAAATGTATGCGAAGTTAAAAGTCAAAATATGATATATCTCATTTATTAGTTCCTCATATGTTATGCAATTCTATAATGTTATTATGTTCTTACAATTCATCGCTATAAAGGTTCTACAGATGAGTACTTGCAGTCAGTTTAAGAGGTCGATTAGAAATTGATTTCAAAAGTGAAGATTTCGCGGAAATGATTCTTTAAAGTTTTCTGCCCTGTCATACCAATATTGATTTATCAAATTATATGATTTCAAACAAGTTTTTTTCTTTTAAAATTCTTTTTCCATGCCTTTGGATTATTAACTTTTTTACTCAATTCTTTTTTGGAAACACTTAGGCAGTTTCTTCTCTTTGTTTTAACTTTTAAACTTTTAATTTTATCACTTTGAACATTTTTTCAGTTATGTCCAATATTTAGGTATTTTTAGTGGTTTCTTTTTCTCTCTGTTCATTAATCATATATGTTATTGCTTCTGAGATTTTCCGTTCTTTCATATCTGATCACGTTTATATGATGCCGATACCATAGGAGTGGGATATTTCCAGTAAAATGTCTCGATTTGCAAGACTCGTCCAGGAAATCATCTTGAATGAGTACGTTCTGCTCATCGCATTTCTGAAACCAGTATTATTTTTGCACTGGGTCTTGGATTCATGTTATCAAGTCCTCGGCTTACTTAGTTTTAATTGCTCCTCCGTTCTTTGATGCGATGAAATAGGAGTACCTTCATATCTTCCAGCTCTGTACAGTGCAGCATTATCAATGTTTCTGTAAATTCTTTGTTTTCATTCTTACTCCTCATTTTAAAATTTACTGGTTTCCTGTTTGGCAATTTAATAAATGTAATTTGTGTTTTTGACCAGACTCTGCATTTATTATGTCAGCATTGCAGCTCAGCATTTTCGTCATTCCCATAAGAATGCTGAGCTGATAACCTGTTGGCGAAAACTGTAAATAAAAAGGATTTAATCATATGTGTAGGTGGGGTACTCTTGTTTGTTTGTTTCCCGTTTCGTCCACTTGAAGAATATTCCTAGAATGCAAATTCAGTTTGACTTTGGTTCGAGTTTTTATTAAATCAGTCTTCTTGTCTGTAATTTTCTTTTTGCCTTTTGTAGAAAACCTCTCAATATTATGAGAACTTAAATCTTGATGCGCTGAGTGCGCTTTTATAATTTAAAACCTTAAACTATTCCATTCTTAGTAAAAGGCAGCTGAAACAATGCTTAGGATTACTGAACAAGCTGAACTACTAGATTATCCAACTTTTCTTATTTAATTCCGGTAATGTCAATGGAATGATATGAAACGGAGGAAGTGCTTAGGTTATACCGGATTCTGAATGTTTACTGGTGAGATTAATTCTGTAAATATTCTTGGAATGCGAAGGAAACTGATGATAAATGTTGGTGCAGTCATTATCGGTAACAGCAGTATAACAAATACTATTGTAGTGGCTATTTGTAATATATTTTGAAACGATAGAAGAAGGAATGGGACATGAACGATCAATTTAATAATTGTTAAAGGCAGAAGTAGTGGTGAAACACACACAACACCCCGATCATTGCCTTGTCGATCCCATTGGTGCATTCACCTACGTTCGATGTCCTTTTATTATCATAGGGAACGTTTGTAGATGTATATTTACATATTTAGAATAGAACAAGAAAACTGAAATTGTGAATGTAAAGTCGGTAAGAACAACGACGACCCAAAAAGGCTACGACGAAGTTCAGTTCATCAAATGACAGCAGACATTTTGTTTGTCACCGTATTTGGAGCAGTGGTATTACAGCGTAAGCACTACCATTCTCACTTTTATCAAAATTATTCATTGTATATATAATGTTGATCCATAAAGAAATTTTTCAATTAATCATTTTTTTTTCATTTTCAGTTCCCTTCTCGAGTACTTGAAAACTGAAGATGGAAAGAAAAAATGATTAATTAAAAAAGAAGATATAACAATTAGTTTATATGGTAATGCTGTAGGCAAATTCTTATCAGTTCTTTGATGAAATTATTCCACTCATTTTAATCCAGATATATTCTATTTATCTAATGATGGCTTTGTATGCGCTAGCTTTGTATGCGTTTAGCTATAGATATAGATATAAAGAAAAGTTGTTAATTAGAATTTTGAAGACGAATTTTCGGTGGTAATCAATAATCATATTAATGCAACTCAACCAATTAAAGAGTCTATTAATTTAGACTACTGCACTTTTTCAACGCTACATCGTCTTCATGATTTGAGATATTAGACCATCTACAATAGTGAAACTTTATTAAAACCTGAAGATTTTTAAGAAATCTGGTAATCCAGCAAATCTTTATTGATTTCTTTTTTGATTTCGTTTCTAATTTATCATTACTACTCAATTTTTAGTGAATAATGTTATCGGGGATTACACAGATCTAAATTCATGTTTTGTTTACAAGAAAGGCTACAGATTAGAACTGAGCGCAAACGATATCGAAAGTACGGAAAGCGTGGAATTTAAGGATGACTGCCTCAGATCCTGTCTTCGGTCACTACTTTCCGGTGGATTCATATGTCGCTCACTAATGCATATGCCGAAAGATGAAGTCAGTTTTTATTAAGTCGATTTAGATGAAGCATAAGAGAACGATTCTAGTCTAATTTTTATTACATATGATAACTGAATTAAATTTACATCGAATTATTCAGACGAAATGGATGAGTGAATTACTTAATGATTTTAAGTCTTATATTAGAATCCGACCAATATTGCTCGATGACCCGAGTAAATGACTTCTTTTATGTCTCAGTTTCTAAAATTTGAGCATAACTCACAAATTCAGATTTAAAGTGAAAAAACATTCTCGAAAAGCCATTTCAAGAAGCAAATTTAATTCCAAACTCAATGAATTTATGAGCACGTGTGTATTAAACTGGAAAATTTTCAGGATTGTGTACTTACTGAACTTGACGGACAAAAAGCTATTCGCGTAGAACAAAAACCATCCCAAATACCTGTGAATTTCTACGAAAATTTATGTGCCAAACTTCCAGTACAAGGTCAATTTTACAGCACCTTTAATATTTTGCATCTTATAAGATACTTATCGTTTGTAAGATATCAATAATGACCTAATCATTCTTCTTCATAAAAGAACTGCAGGAGGCGTTGTTGAAGGACTGTTGAGAGGTTTCCGTGGTGGTGATGGTGTGATTATCCTGGTGCAAATTCGAGGATCTAAACCGTCGGCACTCATAATTCTTGATGGTGTTCATGAAAAAAAGGTCCGATTTCTAGTTTCGCACTGTGCTTCTTAATATTGAAACACTCTTATAAGATGTGGTAGGTAGTGGAAATTTTTTAGGATCTTCAGTGCTTCTCGCTAGTACAGTATAATTTAGGGATATGTCGTTTTCTTCAGGACTTTGATATCACTTACCATGAGGATGAAATCATTGATTGTTTCAAAATGACTACGGATGAGAAACATAATGGGAAGAAGTTGGTAACTTTAGATTCCGATGGTGTTGGAATGGCTGTTCAGGTAATTGAATTTACACTTAACATTTTGAAAAGGCCTCTGAACTGACGAATTGGAAGACATATTTGGCAAACTGAGATTACGAAGAATCGTGGACAAAAATCTGGAGCTTTACAAATACGATGACTATTTTCCATCTTTCTCCAAAATTTCCTTATATTTTCAAAAAATTCAAATTAAAGCCATGGACGGAAATCGAATTTGACATACTCAACGATTCAGTTCTCAATAAGACGATTACTGTTGCGGAGACAAGCACCGGTGAGGTGATTCTTTGTGGAAAATTAAAAGTGAAAGGAAATAGAGAGGAATGGGAAAAGGCCAAAAATAATGCAAGAATACCCTGTAAATTTTGTTTAATCGCTATAATTTGTATTCTGGTGAATGTTTTCAAACAAATTCATGACCTAGTTTCGATTTAAAATTGCATATGAAACTTTATACAAAAGTTTGAGTTTGATAAATCACATAATGAAGTAAATATTATCATTACAAACAATAACATCAACAGTAAAAAAGATCGTTAAAAAAAAGATGTCATACATTATACCATTTAAAAAGGGATATAGGATGGGTATCTAAACTAAAAGGCATCTAAACTGAGCCTTGGTATATGACAAGTTCTGTTTAATGCATGATTGATAACAAGCATGTCTCATGTCAATGTAGGCCCTCGGCAACAAAGCTTGATAGATCCGCAACAACTAAACTCTAAAAGTAACCTTTTCAACCAGTATCTTATGAGTATCTCATGCTACCATAACTAAATAATAAATTTAGACCGATGTAAAACAATATTAATGAATCATTAGAAGCGATTCGTTGCACTATCTCGAACGATCATGGTTTACTGCTGTTCTAAAATAAAAAAGACAAACCACTATAAAATAAGTTTCTGTATAAATTAGTCTGCATTATGTTCTTGTTATAAAGTAAAAATAAAATTAATTGAACCATACTTGAACGACTTACGTCCGATGTGGATCACGTCTGTGCCGCGTTGTACGAGTGGATGGCGACATTTCGGAGGATTTCGTACCTGAAATTTAGTGAAAGTATAAAGAATATTAAGCTGCTAAGATCTTCCACAGCTATTCCATAGGATATACTTCCAAGCTACTACTAGCTACAAAAGAATTGCATCAGTATATGTAATGAGACTGCATAAATAAAGTTAATTTCTTACTCTTCGATTCCGCACTCCTGTCTGGGCCACTGCTACCCTCATTCCGCGCTACTTTTGCATTTCCGTCGCTGAAAACAGTTTCTGTCGGCTATGAAGCAATTTATTTTTAAATTCTAAAGTTATTGATGGATTTCCTACCTATCCATCGATTCTGCAGGTCGCTTCCATGCTCTCTCCCGCGTTTTTAGATGATCCTCCGGAGTCTTAACCTTTCCACGGGTCTGTAAAGCATGACAGCAATCAAATCGATATTTACAGTCGATAAACATATGAATTAAGCAGAATTACCAAAGCCGATGTGACAGATTCTCGCTTACGTTCCCTTTTCTCTTCTGTTCTCGTCCTCTCTTTCTCTCTCCTCGGTGCTTCGTCTTCCACTCCTTTATTACTTCGAGTCTGTAAAAAAATTAACTGAAGAAAGATGCAGAGTAATGAGTGCCAAAAAAAGAACACAGAACAATGAAAAATGAGCAAGAAGAATGAGTCGTTCAACCAACAAATATGTCGATTATGAAGGCTGGACAAAAGGAGAAACAAAAATATACAAGAAGAAATAGTAATTATCAGCATTTACATTTTTTGTGACAAACAAAATTATGAAAGGCAGAAACATGTAAACATAATCTAAGCGGTTTAAGCAAAAAAAAAACCGAAATGTCCAGCTGCACGTATTAACTGAATTCTTTTCAGAAAATTAGGGTAGTACTCACTTTCTTGTGAGATGAAAGAATTTCAGAATGCGAATTTGGAGATGGTGAACCCACTTCACCCTCTTCCATTTTCAGCTCTTCCTTTTCACGGTGTCCTTCCTTTCTAGTTTCACTACGACGTAATTGCGGTTCCTCGTTGCCTCTTTGAGTTTGAATTTGAGGTCGATCCTCTCCATCGGGAATTTCTAGAATAGTTTAAAGCTTTCATGAATTATATGATCGAGAACGAATAGCTGCAAGAATGGACGATCAAGGAATCAAACTATATCAATTACTTAGTTTTTTCTTTGCTATGAATTCAGCAGCCGGTGGTTCCGAGAATTTCCGTTTTTCATCGCCTGTAACTGGGACTTTACGTAGCTCCGCTCCTACGTTAGCCGGCCTTCGAGGTTCAACAGCATTTCCTTCAGCCGAATTTTTCTGCTTACTTAAGTCAGTGATTTCTATGGCTGAACTTTTTGTTCCAACTTTTACATTTGTAGTTCCATTTACATTCTTCGTTGCACCTGCACGTGTTGTCTTTTTTGTCACATCAGTCAGCCGCTGAAAATCTGAGTATTCATAAAGATGGCAACATAAACAAAGTTTCACAATTCTAAAACAAACTTCAAAATTCTAAAAACAATTTATAAAAATGATTTTGTTTTTTCAGATTTGGTCCCTAGATTTTGTTGTTTCGTATGATGTCATAACTAAGTGAGGGTAGGATGTGTGTAAACGAAGTTCCAAAGGTAGTTTTAATCTATCTAGTGATCAGAATGTTACAATTTATAACTCCAGCCAAACCTGGACATAACTCATAGTATCCGATAAATTTATTTAAGTTGGCCAATGAAACAAATTGACCTGACAAAAAATAGATTTATTTTCTAAGTTTTATATTCTAAATCAAGCTTTTAAACTGTTTCAACTTAAAGACTAGTAAAAACAATAAAAGACGATTACATTATGGAATTGTGATTCGGTGTATGTATGTGTTTTGCGCATTCGTAAATGACCTGCATATGAGGCGGCCATCAAAGAAAGGTCGTCTCTACGACCTTTCTCCATATCATGCACTTTGTTCACGGTCCTTTCAATGTTTGCGATATGATTTTCGATTAGCGGGAAATATGCCAACATCTAAAATAATCCATTCATAATCTTATTAAATGTGAAACCGCAAAAATTCGTCAATCACTATCAACTATAAAAGCAAATATACAAATTAACTCTCCAAATGTCTACATATGTTAAATCTCTCGAGGCTTGACAGGTAAATAAGAATATTTTAACCTTAATCATGACAATTAAACAATTCCTCATCATTACATAATTTGAACCATCCAAAATTCCGAGACATGATCGAGTCATCCTGTACTGCCATTTGTGACACAGAGTTCTGAAAATTTAGTTTTAAAAACTCTAAAAATTATCAATAACTTTGACAAAATATGGTTTCTGTCAAATTGTAAAAAATAGCCTTCCGTATGAGCTTATCAAAATCAATGCATGGTACCTGTATGATTCGTAGTTCATCCCATCACTAATACTCTCGGTACTTGTTGCTTCGGGATTTCTCATATGCAATTTGGTCATGAAGCCGGGGAAGCGATAACATTCCTAAGATTTCATTTTTTGAAAAATTTCCAAATTACTCAGTCCTTATTTCAAAAAATGCTGCATACACTTTCGATAATCCCTTTTTTCCTTTTATTTTTCACCTTATCGAAAACTGCTTTGTCGCCATGCCAATGTTGTACAGTCTCAAGCACAAGTGCCAGAAATCGTCCCAAACAATTTGCCTCATTCTCGGTTAGCGTAGCCAGTATAGCACCAATGTCATTGAATAGCTAGAAAAGAAATGAAAGTAGAAAGAAATCCCAAACAATGAAATGAAATGCACGGATTTATAACCTTATCAAAGAAAAAGACAGTTTGGAAGAAGCCAGTTCGCTGCTGATGAAGCAAAAGAATGAAGTGAGCGCAGAATGCAGCATCCATATCAGTGAAGACCGCACGCGGCAAAATACAATGTTGAAGAAAGCGTGCCATTTGCGTACCGCGAAGCTCTGAAATTTTACGACTAAAAGTTTGGAAGTTCCAATATAAATTGATATGTATTGGCTCATATCACCGCCTGCTATATATCTTAAATGTTATAGACTATAAGCATCAAGCTTTTTTCCTAAAGCTTGATCGCTTATAGTCTATAACTAGCTTGAAAAACCAGTCGATAAAAGATGATGCATCAATCCGCCAATGATGAAGCAATGCTCCTAGTTATGCCTTGAAATTACATTAAATCCTGAAATAATCAACTCAGATTTCAGTAAAGTAAGATGAAATAGAAAATTACTTGGGCTACAATCAGCAAATAATAACTCCTTGTCGTGCCTCAAAATATTTAAGATGCGTTCTACATGATCACTTTGTTTCTTCAACTCATCGGTTAACTTTTTCTCCACGTTACGCAACTGTTCTTCTTCTTTTGCTCTTTTTGTTTTACTCTAAATATAAAAACATTGATTAAAACTCATTCTTCGGACTGAAATTATATAAATTAACGAAGAAACACGATCTGAATATATTCATACAAGGAATTACTGGAAAAAATCGGTTGAGATTATTTCATACAATTCATTTTAATTGCACTTAAAACAAATAATTGGGCCTTAACTTAGTGGCAAATTCTTTCACTGCTAACAGTATTTTCTACTAACTATTCGCATGCAGTAATGAAACAGGTTTGACCATCACCAAATTTTAATTCCTTACAATTTCAGTATTCTCAGCAACAAGAGCCAAAGATCTGCGAACACGCTGCAATTCTCGTTCATACGTGGTTTTCGGAACAGAAATATCGTACATGGATAGAACCCAGAAAATTGTAAATATCCTAAAGACCAAATCTCTTTCATTTATAAGAAAAATCAACAAGCAATTTCAGGAATTTATTTTCTTCACTAGTACTCTTGTGTTTTACTCATAGACAAACAAACAAAGAAAGTATTTTACTCATAGACAGACACACAAAAAAAAAAATATACGTCGATATTTTATTACCACTGCTATTTTTGCTCTGGTAATTTCCTATTTTATAAACAGTTTTATAAAAATAGAACGGTTAAAGATCAAGTAAAGTTTACTAACTTGGATGAAATGTCTGCCCAAATAAAATCAGGTAAGAGAGATCGAAGACTTGACTCCAACTCTTCAATCATTTCATCGAAAGCATTTCGAAACAAGGCTGACTTGCGGCTAGAGTCCAATTTCATTTTGCTTCCATCTGATTCACGAAGTGACTTGCGGCTTTTGTCAAAATTACTCTGTAACTTTTATTGTGCACAAATTTAAATATGGAAAGGGAACAACAAGAAATGTCTTCAGTTCGTTTCAGACCGTTACAAATGCTATTACAACATTAACTTATCAAAATAAGGCATTAATTTTTAGAGGTCTTTTAAAAAGATTTATAAAAAAATTTACAATCTATTTTTCAAATAACACAATTGTTGGGAAAACGAACATAGACGCGATGCATGAATGTTGGTCTCGAGATAAAAAAGGCTGCATCTACAGGAAGATGAAAACGACCGATGAGTTCCCAAACAGAGGGCATCCGATTACAGTAATCTTCTTGTCGTACATTTGTACGCAGGAAAGAACCAAATTGAATCAAAGTTTCTTGGCACTAAAAATTTCAAATTAATCTGAAAGACAAAGAAGATAAAAATCACTCAAAATGATCAAAAGAAGTCTAACAATACCTGGTCGAGCATTTGACCAGCAAGCTTTAGGGGTATGTCTGGTGATTCAGAATACACTATACACTGACGCTGTTGAGCAGTCAGTATGGATAGACCCACGATGAGATGTTCTTTGAACAGTGCATCACGAAGGCGTAATATAGCACGTCTGTTTGTGCGAAACGTTGAGAAAGAGCCTGCCTAAAATGAAAAAAATTTTTTAACTTAGTTAATTCTACAAATTTACATAATTAATAATTTACACAACGAACAAGACACTGAACTACATCGAAAAACAAATGAATATAGAAATTTACCTCCTGCCTCAGCGTATCACCTCCAGCAAGTGCTTCCAATTGATCTGCTGTTAATCCCGTCGTAGATTCAATGCCGGACATGTTTTGTATAATTTCTCGCAGGACCAGTAAATCAAAGCTTCAAAAATAGAAACTAGACACTCTAATTATGTTATGACCAAAATCAGAATCAATAATAACAATACGCTACAGTTTAAATTTAAAGAATAATCATACCTTTTATTATTTTTCAACTGATTCGCTACATATTGTAAAACTCCCGTCAATTCAATGTTATATTTTAAAAATACATTTCCAACAAAAGTGGCAAGTGATTGCAACCATGGAGAAAGAGATCCATCTGATGCCTAAAAATCCAATCTATGAAAATCATAAATTTGACGTAACAAAGAAGCACACGCAAATGATTTGCGTGGTAGGAGCATTATAAACATTGCACTATGTATATTATTCCAATGTTGCGGATGAAGCGAAAAGACGGTGGAGAAATCAGACTTTGAGTAGAGAAGATTACATAGGAATGGGAAGTCGAATTAATCAATTCGATGTACATTAACATTTCATCAATATCGACAATTACGACAACTGACCTTAGCGATATTCTACAAATAACTGAGATTTGTGTGATCACGCCAGATAAAGTTACTAACCTTAAGTTGTTGCTTATCCGGAGCTGCTAGATGCTCGATGATACAGAACGAAAGCACGTCAAATTCCAGATCACTCAAAAAACGTATCGATTCAACTACCGGCTCAATAAGATTTTCGAATGTTTGAATCTGTAATATATAGCACAAATTTACATGAAAATTTTGTTTAATTTATTAAAGAAGAATAAATTCTGTAAAAACTATCGGTTTTCTATATTAAAAAAAATTACCATAAAGAATCTTATAGTTTGAAAACGTTGTGGAAGAGCATTACTCAATTAAACGAGCTAAATATCCAACCCTTACAATCATTTTTATTCAAGAACTTTGCAGAAACATAACATGGACTATTACCTGATCTAAAATGTAATCGAAAACAACTGCAGGATGTACGTGGCACAGCTTTCCTAACTGACGGCCCATCATGCGCACCGTTTCCTTCGATAAACGTCTGTAAATACTCCGAATAAATTGTAGAAAAAGCAATCCAAATAAATTAAAGAAATAAGTGGGATGGCTTTTTATAAAACTTATAAACAAATATGAAATGAATTGAAGATTGAACTGCCAACTCTGTACAAAAGAAAAAAAACAAACTTCAGCACATATCTCGTCATACCAAAAGTGCTTCCTCGACAAATGTTAATTTGAGGATGACGCAAGGTATGCACTGTTTTCCACCGTGCATATGTCCGATACCGTACCGTATATGATAAATGGCTTAGTAACTTCCACAGCTCTTGTGAATATGCAAAATTGCCATTTGCCAAGGACAATGCTGGTACTAGAGTTTCATCGATTGCATCGATCAGCGCATTGCATACTGCAAGTTTAGGTGAATGTCAAAAAAAATCTCTGATTTCAAATAATTGATTGAGGAATTGCTTAAGAATATATATAAGAAACAGAAATAAAATAAACTAATACAGGGAGAGATCATTGTCATCATTGCATTTCTTTTTTTTATTAAACAATTCAAAAATAGTAAAAAAAAGCGAAATTTTCACAAACCACTATCTGTATGGGCTGTTTGTGCCCAAGTAGGATCTTTCTCTCGTTCTTCAAAAAACAGTGCCATCAACCGTACTAGTTTTACAGCTGCTTTGGGCCGATAAGCAATATGCGGGCCAAGATATGCCAAAACAGGAAGAACAACAGAGACCAGCTCTGACCAGCTACCAACCTGAATTAAATGATAAATGAGTTAAAAACACTGATATTGTAGAAACTTTACAAATTAACTTTTCTTTTCCAACATTTTTTCCCCCATAATTGAAGGTAGTTTTCTTACAGCGCTGCGAAATTTTAACATCTCTTTCATATTTAATAACTAAATCAAAAAAATTAAAAAAGAACTGCATAACGTACAATCTCGAGAGAATGAGTTTGGGCCAATGATGAACCTAAACTGAATGTACCGGTGTCACCCAAAGCAAATCTGGATTTTCTGAAAATAGTAAACTCATCAAAACTGAGCAAAAATAATCATCCAAATTACTTCCTTAAAGTAATATTTATGGTATTGGTGCCTTGTGACTTGTGATACTATCAATTTCTAATTAATTGCAAAAATAACGAACTCTTGATAAAAGTCATCAGTAGATCGTTCCAATAGATCAGCAATAGAGAGGGCTATAGAACGTCTGAAAGAGAAATCTATTATAGAGTTGAAACCAAACTGTGATGGTATAGAAGTGAGAAAGGGGTTTTTCAAATCAGCTTTTCATCCCGACGAATTAAGAAAAAGAAGATATTTCAATCTGTGATGAATGTAAAAAGCTGTTAAGATAGGCAGGAACGAGTACCTGCTTCATACAAGAAACATTCACACGTGCAAGTATAAGGAAAGTAAAAGTAAAACGAAGATCAAACAATTCAACAAAAAAATACGAGGCATTGACAGCGTAGAATTCGGGAAATCTGTCGAGCATCTGTTTAGCAAACTGCCAAGCACTTCCTTCTAATAAAGCAAACGTCAAGCCAAGCTTCTGATTTTTTGCAAGTACAGCATCCTGAATTTTAATATTGTAGAAAAACAGAGAAATACAGCAACTTTTACGGATGAATTATAATTATTATAGCTTGCTGCCTTTTTCCTTTTTTCAAAAAGCTTATACAGAATCTCAGGTAAGCAGCATCGTACTTTCAAATATTTGAAATCCACTCTGAGAGATAGAAAATAATACAAAAAGCTCAGAAAACAACACAAACATCGCTGTCTTTTTCATCGATTAGTTTTACATCATCTGTATTTTGCATGGCTAATACGGAAGCAAACGATACGCCTGCAATGGTAGTGTTATCGTCTGCATATCCAGCTGCCGTTGCTGAAGAAACTCGTGGGTCTACTGATACCATACCAGTAGAGATGATTTCACTTTTTTTAGCTAATTTTCCGTCTCGCTCGACACGAATTTTGTGATCATTCATCAAGTCTTCTAGTTTTGGGGACAACTAAAACATACATTTTAGTAAAAAGCACTCATTTTATAATAATGTAGTAAGAATTATGTTACAACAAAACCAAAAATGATATTTCAATAAAGAAACAGATTTGAGATTCCTTCAGGAAGCAACCAGCTATATAAATGAGATAATTTTTAATCTTTCAAAATCATAAAATACCTACAAATGTGCATAGTGACAACAAATCGATAACTCTTTCGTCACACAAAGCAGCTGCTACTCTGTAAAGCGATGCCGGAGTACTACCGGAACGCTGAAACTTCAAGTATATAAAGATATGAATTTAATAAATTTATCCAATCATCTGATTTAACTCTTAAATCATCTAGATTTAACCGGTGAATAAAACAATGTGAAGAAGTCAAAGAAATGAAAAGAATATAGAGAATAAGAACAGAACCTGATAAAAGGTAAATTTAAATCCTAGAATGCTGCATATATCATCACCACTCGCTTTGAATTCGGTTAACAAATCAACAAAAAACTTGCGTCGCTCCAATGTCGATTCAAAACATTCAAGAATGATATCAATTACTCGGTTTGGATCCAAGTTAAATTGCCCTAGAATAAAGAGAAAACTAAATCAAAATCCAACTTTTCACAAACAACCTTACTCTTTAATTTGACGCTGCGTAGAATAAAAAAATGAAATAAGTACCAGTTAAGTGGTAAAGTCGACTTAAGGCCTTTGACACAGTGAGGGAAGGATTATCAAGAAGCTCTGTTATTAGCTTCGCATAACCTTCGCTTTCCTCACGTAATAAATTGAATTTCACTTGCTTGAAACTGAAAAAAAATTATTAACATCCACAAAAGTTTTTTCTGAGTTCCTCCTCAGTAGTTGTGAGAACTGAACCGCACAGAACAATGAAGCGGAAAGTAATATGAAACCATTTTTACAGTAAAAACTAGCAGCGGACCCTGCTCATAACATAATTTTGGAATGACTAACAAAAGCCTGGTTTTTGTTTTTACAACTCGTGATCGTGTCGTCTGCTCATTGGCACCCAATATATCCAACTCACATTTCAGCACGTCGTCAACAACAATCTGAAAATTTAAAACAAAATATTTCGTTCACTCAATGAAATGAAATGAAATGTAACCAGAAAAGGATTTCAAAGATAGAAAAATGGAACAGAAAAAATGAGATCATCAAAACCATCACAAAGTGAATTTGGTCAGAAATATTACGCTGTTTGACGACAAAATTCTAATATTACAACCTTTAAGTTATTCAAGTTAATAAAGAATTAAATGTATTGTGGCATTGTGCAGAAGTAATGCAGTAATTCAATGTTTTACTTGCCCGGTCAGTCAGATGTGATATGAATTCCAAGAAACATTTCCGACATTCTTCACTCTTTTTCTCGGTGCTCAATTCCAGATCCACAACTGCCAAAACATCCACTAGCAAACTAGGAATGTTATCAACAGTTTTCTGCAAATGTAATGCATTGAAATGGATACTCATTCAAATCTATTGTAAACCATTACATTAGCAGTATTCAAGTTGAGAGCTTGTGATATTACAAATGTAGTTTTGAAAGAGGAAGCCTGGTTGTATCACGCAAATCAAACCATGTGAAACGCTCTGGGACAATCTAACATGATTCCAATTAGAGTAATGTAAATGATAATGACATCTAAATAGTGAAATAGAAAAAGAAAATATAAAACATCTAAATGTATTGGAAATATATGTACCATAAGTGTTCGAATAATGTTATGGGCAGCATCTGGTGCTAGCTGTCCCTCGGTAACTCGTCGACATATTCTGAGCAGTTCCGTCTGTGGGGTGAGTATTTCTGACGTAGAACTCATCCAATATTTTATCCTTTAACACTTGACCTTCCTGAATGAAATTATTTACTTATCCAGTCTAACATATAGAACAATCTTCATTTCGTATATATTAACACACGCCTAAATAACATCATAAGATTGACAAATATGTCACCATATTGTCGTGAAAGTGAAGGAAAAGAAGTGATTTATATGCCCGAACAATGCAAATAATGTGTTAAAAGATTTTACATTACTGAGATGTCTCACTTGACTGTTACTGCACTATTAATATCAGTTTATGCTATTGTTACACAGTAAGTACTGCCAACTATTGGGATATATTAACTAAAAAGAGATTTTCAATTTATTGTATTGCCATGGATGATTGCCTATCGAGATTTATTGGAAAGATGAGAGCAAGACTGGTTACCTACTTGTTCTGTTACTAAACAATTATGTATTCCTGATTTTGATTTCTTTGTAGAACTTCGATTCTACACAGAGGATTTAAGACTTCCCTCCACATAAATCGAGTCCAATTGTAAAATTAGCCGCTACATAGTCGAAATTTGCGGAGCGCACGTGTCAGAAAAATAAGAGCACTGCAGAATTTTTACGAACGACCATGTAATCTAATATGATATATTCCGCTAACAACCAACAACATGAGCCGCAGCAGTATAAAATCCACATATCCAACGCCTTTTATCATTCGGTCTCAAAACCACTCTCTTTATGACGCTCAAAAGTTCACAAGGAGATAGCAGAAGATGGTTTAAACTGGTTTGTGACCAGCGTAGAAAGAAGGGTTTGACTGCAGAGTGGTTTCAGGTCAGTTAGTCAGTTAGTGAAAGAGTGGACAGTGCTGTTAGGTCACTTAACACGGAATGCCGTTAGCCTTTGAACCATTAGATGACATATCTGTGATGCAAGATTTACATATCGCAAGTGTTACCTGGCAGAGTATGAGGAGTTAATGGTTGAAGATACTCTCAGTTTCATGTATTACTTGTACCCTTATCTTCGTGTTTGCCATAAGGAACATTCTTGAAGTGTAGTTTGGTGATGCATGATACATTGTTAAAAACCGCATTTAGGATGCTCCCCAAATACATTCGTATCCGGTGGATTTTATTGGCATTCTTTGAACAACTATAAACTGCCTTGTTGAATGAATTGATAATGAATGAATTGGCCTTGTCGGATTGCTGCGAAGTCTCTAAAATTTGTTGTTTCGTTTATTGTTTTTGTTATTGGTGCCACACTTTCTCATTACATTGAAAAAAGTTTTTTTCAAGTGTTTTAAGACCACTTATTTTCAATTAGTTACACGTGCAATATTCTCGAGGTTATTTAGGCTTGTTCAAGTCAAGCACTGATTGCCACTACAACCAGAAGAGCAAATATTGCCATTAAACTGATATTGAAGACTGGTTTCATAATTCTCCCAATTTTTGCAAATATCCATCTCATATTTTTTCTCTGTCCACACTTTTATGATGCAAAATCTGATATCACTTGTGCTGATTTATAACTATTACGTTACGGATTCTCACTTTTATGACTATTATTCAGTTAAGATCAAATAGTTTCCCTATCAATCTCAAAGCATCTTTTTTTTTCTGTGGCCGTAGAGAAATGTATAACAAAATCCAATCTTATGTTATAAATCATTTTTTTTGAAACAAATTTTGTTCAAAAATGAGAATATCTGTATTGAAACCCAAGAATTAAAGTATTGAGAGATTCAAAAGATCATTGGATAAGTTTCGAGAACGTGTTTATTATAATTATAAATATAACTATATCTTTGAAAATTTGAATCTGTGAATATGCAAATATGCAAGGCTATGCCTGCTGTGTCTTGCCATTTTCTCGTGTATAATTCTCGGATGTAATGAAGGAATCAAACTGCTTGCATCCAACGACAGTGTTTGTTGCAAGCAATATAGGTCGTATGTAATTTGCAAACAGATAAAAAACGCATGATTGACTAATGAGTCAATGTATCCATTGTTGAAATGAACAATTTCAATTTAACGCTGCAACATCAGGACCCAATCTTATCTGTCTGCAGAATAGAAGAAATATTTTAAAAAAATTGCGAAATAATTTCTGATTTATGCTGGCATCGATAGGTCAGTTTTATTGATAAAAACGCATGATTGACCAATGGAAGTTTCTAAATTTTGTGACAGTTATTTATTTTGCTTAATCGTTGCTTAGATTTATAGATTATTCATGTTAATTGATTTTACAAATTAATTAATAATATGTGGAATATCCGAATATCACCACAGTAAGTAATCATTGTAACCGATCTTTAATTGCTATACAAATGATTTTATCAACAGCTCTATACAGTTTCATGATTCTGTTGTAAAATGAAAAGAATGAAAAGAAATGAGCAGAAGGATTTTGTTAATTATTCGTTTTCTGAATATCTTGTTTTGAATTTTATTGAGAAACAATTCTGCTCCTTCTCACCGTTATTACTCTACCTTTTCTTTATTTGATATAATCAAAATTGTTTCAATACATTCAGAAAAAATCAGCCACAAATATCAGAATAATTTGTAGCATAAAAATGGTAGAAAATATTTCAAATGTTGGATAAGATCCTGTAGAAGTAAATAAAGCTACCTTCCAGGGCCTTCCTTTATTTATTCATCCATCTGTAATTTCGATTAGTATACCCGTGCACATCTATAGAAAAAAATCACAAATCGCTGGAGAAATTTTTTGACTCGCTTCGTCATTCAGTTAATTATGTGGCTTTTCACAGAAATGATATATTAAAAAGAGAGATGGATGATTTTAAAATTAGCCTCAATTTAGGATATTTATTAAGATTCAGACCCAGTACATCTCTTTCAAACAATAAATGAAAATGCAGTACACTGATGTATCCAGTGACAGATATTTTTGATTGAAAGATATGATGCTGGTTTGGGATTGTTGTCACGACGATGGTATCTTCTAATACTACTTATTATCATCGAGAATATCATGTTGAAAATTGCGATTATTTAAAATTATGAAAGTAATCTATCCATGGATGAGAAATAAAATTTAAGTGAAATGTTAATAGATTGCAGGTTCATTTTGTCTACATTATTAGATCAATGCTGAACTAAGTATATTTCACTGCAGTATACACGCTGCATGATAATTTATGTTGCTCTTTACATTAATTAGAATTAAATGCTATCAAATAAATTGAATGTGAATTTATTTTATATTATAGCGGCATGTATATAAGGTGAAAGCAAACTATAAAATACTGAAGAATTGTAATCTGTAAAATGATGAAAAAATTTTATAAACAGTCAATTGCACAGAGGATATATTCTATAATGTGTAATACTTTAATTTTCTTTGAAATAAAATTTTGCTATACTTGAAAATTCAAAAAAAACTATTCGAAGATTCTCAAAGTTTCCGTATGAAGAGAAATGAAATGGCAAAAAGAATAAATACATAAATATATATATATATATATATATGTAACAAAACTATTCATGCAAAACACTTTGTAGATGTGCAGCAAAGGCAAAACGCTATGTTAGATAATAGATCACGTATCATGGGATTTATTGAAATCAATGGAATGCTTGGAAGTATGATTTCATAAGTTTAATTTCAAATTTTCTTAAGTGTTAATTTGCTCTTTACAAACGTCCTAAATGTTGCATTCTCGATGTTTGCTTCGGATGATATTCAGCAGGAAATTTTACTATGATTGTCTTGTGTTTATTTTACTTATCTAACTTGCTGAAACATATCAATAGACTAATTCCGTAGATAATTTCAGATTTTGTGCGATCGCTACAATTATTAGTAGCAGTTGGGTGGCGTTTCCTGAGATGTATAAGAGATTGCATAGATTGATCTGGCAGATATTACTACGATCGCCTAGAGTTTGTTTTATTCATTGATATCAATAGTTTAATTCGTAGATGAATTAAGTGGAAACACTAATTGATAATTTTGGCGATGAATTTCAACTGAAATATATGATTTAATTCATTGTTTCTCAAAGAAAAACTTTTGGAATTACTTTTATCCACTATATTATTGTAAGATTTAAATTTAAGATGTGATCTCAAATTACCAGTTAATTCGATAATAATGCGAAAGCTTAAACATTGTGTTATCTTTATTAGCTTTGATAATAAAACCATACAACAGACACATTCTTGTACTGTATCTGCCGGTATCGAGTACATTTATGCATCTTGTTTGTTAGCAATTTAATTGAAATCAATAATCTTGAAAGAGTAAAATATATCACAATCTGCTACTAATGCATGATTTTGCTTTCAGATCATGTTTACAGGTTTTATAAGCTATAACAAATATCGTTAGATTATCATTATTTTGTATTCATCCTTTAATTAATCTTAGCTAATGAATGTTTCACCTTTTTATTAATTAGTAAAAGAATAAATAAAAAAGAGACATTTCAATGAAATGACCGCAAATTGCTAAAATGATACTTATTTCTCTCCAAATGTCATCTTACAAACAGTTCATTCCTTAATTGTATCACTCTTTCAAAAAATTCCATTGGTGTAGAGAAATGAAAAAAGAAAAATACGATCGTTCTTTCCTCAAATAATAATATCAATGTATCGTTCTTTCATCAAATGATAATATCAATGCGGGATATTTTTAAAAAAATAAAAATAAATGATGCCAAAAGTTCAGCGCCAAGACCTCGCTCAAATAAACATCGCCTAGAGATTAAGATCAATTTGCGTACAGCGCGGTGGCGCTAACTTCTACTGATAACCTGTCATAAATGCCATCATATTCAACTCATCCATTACTATTTGTCACGTCGATCATGATTTATCTCTTCTTTTTCAATTATTTCTATTATAATAACTTCTTTTCTTTAGATTTCTGAATCAGGTTTTTATTCAAAAGAAAAGAATGTTCTATCTCTATTCCAGAATTGCAATATCGTAGGATGTAAACTTGCTTGATCCCTTTTCATATCTTATTTCCATTCTCACCTATAATTCCTTCCCTATCCGATAATCAATTAACTGATCAAAAATTCTATTCTCTTCGAAGTATTGTAACTGAGGTTATTATATAAGGACCAAACGACAATGAAAAATGTTGACAGTCAGTTGCTGTTTTGATAGCAATACTTACAACTCTTTCCTCTCCTCCTTTCTCCTCATTTATGCTTCAATCCTAAAGTGTGAAATGCTTAAAGTACAAACTCTCTTTTGTTTTTACACTGACATAAACATATACACACATATATATATATACAGACACAGACACACACACATTATATATATGTATATATATATACTTACACATACACGGACAGAAATGCTGGGTGTGTTGTGCTATTTTACTATGGCTCTTTGAAACGATCAATTTTTCAATTTGATTTCAATAACCATTACTGCTATTTAAATTTAGTGAAGAAAATGCAAGAATAGTTTATAGTAGAAAATAGTATCAATAATAGAGAGATTTAGCTTTGGCGCATTCGTCCAAACTTTTCTGTGATAGTGACCTTTATTGCCATTAAGTAATGATAATAATTATAATTGTTATCATTTATAAATAAGTCAGGAAATAATATCATTGCTTAATTTATATTTTAGAGAATAATTTTTTGAGACATTTATCGATTACTTCGATGTCAATTGATAGTAGAAGACAGCAGCAACTATTTTGTAAGATCGAAAAACAAGAAATAAAAATTGCTATTGCCATCAGATGATTCACTACCAATATTGATTTGCTATTAAATGTGCACATTTTATCCGTTTCAGCAATAGCAAAATTGATTTTTTGATGATAAATTTCTTCTCTTTGTCAAATTATTTGTGTTGTCAGTTTTGTATTTCATTTATTAATCTCTCCTTTAATGGTTAGGAAAAGTCTCAATTTTTGTATTTTATAGTATGCATGCTATGGAGTTTTATATTTGTTGCAAATTTACCAATTTCCGTTCTTCATTTAATAGTTGTATGATAGAATTCATTTAAAGGTGAGAAACCTGAAGACAATGACTGATTGGATGTCTGAATTACCAGCTGCTGCCCGGGATAAACCAATTATGACGCTTGCTATCCCAGGTTTTCAAGTTGCTTTTGTAGGCATTGTTTTAGTTTAACTTAATTATCTTATATAAATTGTTTGATTGAATTTGTTAAATAACATGATAGTTAATAGGAGGAAACTCTGTGTTGAGAAAATAAAGAGCTCAATTCTTGAACAGCTGTTCATTTGCAAATTATTATTAGAAGAAAAAATTAAAAAATAAAAATGAACTTTGAAATTTTTAGTATTTCTTTTTGCAATTCCTTCAGGCTCCCATTTAAGTGGTACTTGTGGTTTGAAAGAAGATAGTGAAATAACACCGGATCAAACATGGTGTGTTCGGGTACTTGATTCTAATGATATGATCCGGAAAGCAGTCTACAATTGGTCGAAAGTACAAACGTTGTCTATTAAACAGCAGGTATCACCAAATATAATTTAGTTTTATTTACAATAAAACATACGTCTTCAATATCTTTTAATGAGTAATTAACCTAAGGAATATTTAAATTTGAAAATACTTCCAGCTAGAAGCAGGTATTCGATTTCTAGATGTACAAGTGGCTTATCTAAATGAAGGCATTTATATAGTACATGGTCTTCGATCCATGGAAATCAGTGGTATACTTTAAAACTCTTTTCTTTGCAACATCTCACCGATTTGCTTCTCAAACTGATGCAATAGTTTTGTTCACTTACTTTGATCACCTTTTGTAGCCTTTATCAATTAGACCGTATAAAGATGACCTAATAACGATTATCAAGATATATTTTTATTAAATGGGTTCAATTTTTAGTAATTGGTGCTAATATTCTGCCGGTTATAAATTTCCTGAACTATGATTCTCGTAGCAAAATCATAAGCCATGATTCTAAATGGAATATCTCAGATAGATCTTAATTTATTCGGCGATTGTATTAATTTTGATTAGTATTTTTGTTCATTTAATTTTAGATTTATTTAAACGAGTGGATGACTTCTTATCACTTCATCCAAAGGAAGTTATACTAATTGATATCAATCACTTCTATGAATTTTGTGAACAGCATCATGATAAGCTTCTCGACATGATTAATAATTTGTTCGGCGATCGATTGATTAATCGGCCGGCAACAATACGAACAGCAATGAGCTATACATTAAACAAAATTTGGAACAGCACCGGAAGAGTTTGTTTCATAAATTTCATATTTAAAGGAGCTTTTTTATTTCACAAATTAACGAAGCCACTGTTAGTGTTTTATTTCATATCGCCTTAGGGTTCTTTAAATATCTTTTTAGGGAAGCAATGATGCCTTAACAATTCGAAAGCTGATTCTGGAATAGTCGATCTAATCCGTAAAACTTTAGTACCTTAGTAAGGTAATTTAAAATTTAAAAACCTAACTTCTCATTCTTAAGACCCAACACTTGTGAATACGGTTAGGTATATCTGAAGAGAAATAAGTCCTAAATCTCTATAATTTTACTCACTTCGACACAGGTGATAATCTTCTATCAGCCACCGTTACCTTCACTCAAAGCAAGTGATATCAATGGACATGCCGGACCATCAGATATCATCAAATTACCTAATTATGTGTGGAGTCGGCAGTTCATCAAAAGTCCATGGCCAAAAACTGATGATGCTAGGCGCATGGTTGATGATGTGGGAAATATTATACAGACTCGGATGCTTGAGGATGGTTTTCAGGTACTTCTTTGTTGTCCCACGGAGTATTATTGAAATATGTAGTTTTATTTCGATACACTTCGGTCAAATGATATCTATTTCTATCACAAAAGCGCACATTTCACTCCATCCTAATAAACCATTACTCTAATTTTAATATATTTCAACTTTTAGGAAATTTTTTTTTATTTTAAGGTATGCCAGGCAATAGTAACGTTAACTGTAAATTCGATCATTCGCCAACCAACCGGAACATTTGAAGCACGGTTCGGACGACGTGCGACTAGAGCGCTGGTCGATTGGCTGCGACAGGTATGGATCTATCAACTTTCAAACTTGTGTATTCTAATAGAAGATTATTTTAAGATCAATAGTTTTATTTCATGTTCATTGTTGTATGTCCCACCCTTCCCGGGTAAAGAGGAAAAAACTCTTGTTGAAAAAATATTCAATTGACAGCCTCCATGGGAACAAGAAAATTCGTTACGGTCATTTGCACGTTATTGCATGGATGGAGCCATCTGACCTCCTTACTGGCCAAGTAATTGTTTTCTTCCCCAACACATTCAAGTTTAAAAACACAAAAATATATCACAATGAGGTATCCTAGTAACAATGGACATCAGAATTTCGGAATTGATCAATTCCAACTGCTTTACTTTTAAGGATCAAATTTAATTTAAATGTTCAAATCGTCTGAAAGGCTTTTTTAGAATGGGTATAGTTATCGATCTAATATTAACGTGATTGTGGCAGATTTCGTAGATGAAGACGGTTTTTGCAACACTATAATTGATCTGAACAAATAATGAAAAAAGTTTACTGATGTGACATTAACATATATATGTATATCTACGTGTAATATAATGTATTTCGTATAACAACTGTTACTAAATTGTTTATAAACCCTTTCAAATTAAACACTATTGAAACTTTTAAAACTAACTGCTCAGGCCTTCTCTTTCTCCTCCCATCTTTTTTCTCCAAAATCCAGGAGGCATAATCAATTTTTCAACTCAAATTTCCATATTGTTTTGATAGAAAAATAAAATTTCTCTTTGAGTTGAAAAATTGATTAGGCCTCCTGGATATTGGAGAAAAAAGACACATGTTAAAAATAAAATTTCGAACAATAAAAAAATTCCAAAATATGCTAGGTAAATAAGTTTCTACTAAGTAGCATAGCCGTGTCATAGGCGCCAAAAAAAACGAAGCCGCCGATACCTGTCGAAGCGGAACGAGGCAAGACACCAACACAAAGTCCTCGGTATCCAGATGTTGTCCATATTTTTGCCAATGTTGCTGCTATCCCTGGACGTGAAGTGCTCTCATTCAACATTATATGCGTTTTTACTACATCAAAAGGTGTCGTCACGGCTGCAGCTATACTTCCTGATATACTGCCACATGCTGCTGATTCCAGCGGCGTGCACTGTCTTCTCCACACCCTAAAACAGTTTGAACCCAATCAGTCAGTACAAAGCAAGCTTATCTTAGAATGGTTTTAGAAGGGCAATAGAAGTGCAAGTGTCCAAACTGAATAGTTTATAGACAAAGACTTCTGTAAGGTCTATCTCTTTTAAGCTCTACGTTGTAACTAAACATTATGTTATAAACATAATCGATATTTATTTTGCATATCCTAAACTGATGACTTTAAAATAGGAAAATAACCTGGCGAGAATTCTTGAAATTATTAGTAATCAGAGCTTTAGTTGGTGTTAATTTATTGCCCTAAACAATACAAGAATCGCAAAAATAAATGATGAGTGAATGTTGAATGAATATGATAGTGTAGAGGAAATCAGCCCATCGTAGTCCAGAGTTCTAAATTTCTTTGTCGAAATCAAATGACACTATAAGAATGCAGAAATTTATGACAAGGAATTGAACATCTAGTTTTAACATAAGCTCTTCACAGCGTGTTCCATACTAAGGTTAAGACTAAAATAGCAATAAGAAGGTACTACGCATAAATGAAATGATTTAAAGCCTACAACATGTGCATATCTTTCACTATAGCTTTTAATGACAAAAACTCCAGAAATATCGTTCTGAAGAGTCTATTTATCCAATATGATATTTTAATAACTCGGATGAGTTTGTACTGATCCAAGAGTTCACTTTGATGTATAGATTGTCACGGAGCTTCATGATTAAAATTAGTTCGTTTGTGGAATACAAATGTTTTAAGATGTTTTACATGAAGTCAAACACATATTTAGTGGGATAATTTAGCTAAAGTTTTTACCATGACGGAAAATACACTGAATTAGTATCAAAGTCAAAAGACTTTTATCACCAAATGCCAATGGAATGGACGGTATTGTTATTCACCATTTGTTCAAGTGTTACTGTTTGCCTGACAATAGCGATAAATATGAAATAACAGTTACGGATCACAGATCAAACAGCAAGTTGGTGTAGACAAATAAATTAATATCTAGAATCAAGGGTCAGTCATAATCGATTCAACCAAGCTACACATGCCAGTAACATAATTTGATCAGGTAGCTATTATAATGAATAAGTTATTATCGTCAAGAAACTATGGTAAAGAAAAGCAACTTTACATAACAACACTGCAGTCCCTGATATATGATAAATGAATAAAAAACGAAATCCAATTCAGTCTATTTCAATATCAAATCTTTCTCAAAAAGCCCCCCGCTTTAATTAAAACTTTAGTTCCATCAGTTGTATTTTCTGAATTTATATCATGCCAAAGTAATCGCGTTTGACATAACGTTCCATTCTTTCTTCATGCATTAGTTTAGTTTACTATCAACTGAAGCTAACATTTAACACACACACGCAATGGCCTTATGATCTTGTAAACAACATTAAAATAATTTCAAAATTCCAAGAACATATATTAAACAATTAATTAAAACAAACCCTGCCACCTTTTGCTTTAAAACTTCCCAAAGAGGGTATTCAATAAGCGAAAATGGAATTTCGCGGAACACAGTAATGAAGAAACCCTGATAAAATCCGAGAAGTCCTGAAAAAAACTGGAAAAATGTTACTCAAATACAACAACGCTGGATTTAAAAGATTCTATAAACAATTAAAAATTATTGTATTTTCAAAGAAAGCAATATCTGAGCCTCATGTATTTAGTATAATGATAGAATATCGTCAGTAACAGATGAATTTTCAACGCATTTGATAAAAAAGAATCACTGTAAGGAGCAGTCTTTTAGCTAAAATGAATATCACTTGGACTTTTACAAATACGAAGGATTTAGCACTGATTTGCTGGATAATCAGAGAATGCAATTTATTTAGAAGTTCAAAGTGGTCCCTAAGTGAAATGCGCCATGGAGGCGGATAAATCAAGAGATCCCAGAAATAATCATTACAGATGTGGCCATTGCATTTAAGATTTCACGACTTTAAGGATTTCAACTATTAATTTCATGTTGTGTAACTAATTTTGTCAAACTGCAGACTATAATATATTTTTTTGGCCACCTTGTGAAGAAATCATTTAGATCATGGGTTTCGCATTGACTATTGTCAAACAATTAAAAAATATACCACTTTGATTATAAATCATTCGGCAAATTATGCCCAAATTATTGACGTGCTTTGTCTGCGCACGCTGTTTCACCAGTTCGGTGGGTACCCGTATAACGCAAGCAACAACTTCCGAAACACAAGCTGCACCTGCGTTCACAGCCACTGCTGAAAAGTTTTTCATTCTATCGAAAACTAACACTTATGAACAAGAAATGTATAGTGGAGAAAAGCTCAAAAGCATTAATTGATATTTTATTAATTTATCAAGAATTTTCTTGTAGCTGAAGGAAGTGAAAAAGAGCGTACTTATTTAGTAAGAGTATTTATTTAGGATGTTCGATTTATGTTTTTAACATTTATAATTAAAAAAAGTAAGTCTCCGAAGAGTTTATTATGCATCAGTGGCTTATCTCAACTAGTTATAGTTCTGTCGTACAACAGCAGCACCCAGCAAATGACATTTCAAGATAATTATTTACTTGCATTCTTTGCCGGCTACTCGCTTGAGCGCATTATACGTAGAAAAGAATAGCGCAGCACTCGGCGCAGAACCAATGATCACCGATCCCATACCACGATAAATATTTCGCATTCCACCTGCAGCAGTAAATCCCTGAAACAGCACAGGAAGTTAAAGGTATTCGCAACAACAATGTTTGCATCATATATTCCCTCCTTCATACTACAAACACAAAATTTCTACCAGCCAATATAAAAATGCATAAATTTTTGAATTTCTTTAGGATGAGTGAGACAAAGTGATAGTTGTCAATGTCTTTCAATTTTACTACATTCAAAATCTTATTAAACACATATAAATAGTATGTAGACCAAAGATATATAATATGTATAGCATAGTATATGGACGCAGCTACAATTACCTCAGAACTCTGTAGTCTAGTCTTAATAGTATCCAGTGGATATAATGTTAAGTCTGCAACCAATCCAGCAGCAGCACCACAAAATAGCGGTTGACCAAACCAATCCATGATAATCCGTCGCTATTAATGCAAATCATGAACTGATTTCCCACTAAACAGTTCAACTAAATGCAGAAAAATATACGGTAACTGTTTAACCTTATCAAGGAGCTTTGTTTTCAACGTATGAAGACTATTATATACATTTAATGTAATAGTTTTGCATAGCAGTAAGAATCAAAATAATTATCCGGGTGAATTGTTCCTGCAAAGGAAATTGAGATCTTTCTTAGAGTTATTTTAAAGTTTTTATTGCCATTAAAAATAGGAAAAACGGATGAAGAAGGCACATATATATCATGAGAACATTAACAGAAAAAGGAGTGAAATAACAAAACAAAGGCAATAAATCAAATACAACACTAAGAAAGCAACTTGTTTAAATTGATTTACAAATAAATATATAAACAAATCAGTTAATGATTGAGTAAGAGAAAGTTTTTCAAAAACAATTTTCTTATAAGAAATTTTTGAAACAAAAAAGAATATCAAGAAAATTCTGGCTATGAAACACAGCATGATTTGCTATATTTTAGTAATAATTAGAACTCCAATATCTTTTTCGAAAATCAAAGATTTAAGTTTTAATTCCGAATTTTCCACACATCGAAAGCCAATATTTTGGGAAATTCTAGATAACTTTCTATTAAAAATATTTCAAACTATTTTTTTTGCAAACTAAGAAATTTAATATCGACAGATTACTTTAGAAACCAATTCATGCAGTGCTGAAATTATAAATAGTCAGAAATATCACTAGATAAATAAAACAATATGAATCACTGAAGTGATACACCACAGCAATGTCAATATATCATTATGCATTATTCACATTAACCTACTCCATACACATGAAAGGGTTCGACATTGAAATAAGAAAAAATTGGAAAAGTGAAAAAAGCGAGGAAAACTGCAGCATTATTTTCACTTAAAGACTAAAGATCTTTTCGATTTTGTCATAAGAAACAACAAGACCCGACTCACTATTCTCCGTAAGTTGTGCTGTATAGCTGCTTGGAACGTGCAAGAAAATTTACCACTTTCTTTTTTCAATATGATGTCTAAAATTTCCAATCTAAGTATCAAAAGGAGAGAATTTGGAATGAGTAAATCAAAGAATGAATAAATAAAGCTCGATAAAAAGAAGTGAAAACACCGGAAACAGAAATAAGTGATAAAAAAGTAAAGGTAAAAGCATGATATCACAGTCGTCAAAAGGTAGATAGAACAAATAACAGGATATGCATAATTGTTATTTGTCCAATTATGACATGAATGGAGCATTACTTTCTTTTTTATTATTAGTTTGTCATAACTTTTGCAGCATTGCGAAAGCTCTACAAAAGAAACATTTTTCATTTTGTTATCTGCAAAATTTCCGGAAATTCAATTTGTCTGATAAATCTTGCATGGAAATCTCATTCTTGACTTTACATAAGTAATCAAGAATAACTAATAATGTAAAGTAAGTAATCCTACTCTCCACTGCAGTATGTAAAAAGAAAATGGACGAACAAATCAATGAACTTTTAAGCATTATTGATTAAACTACTAAAAAAATGCATAACTGAATGACAGCAAATAAAAGGAAGTGAAAAAGCAATGTGATATGTTGAAATGCTAGACATAGAGAAAATAACATGGAATTATTCGAAAAGCACGAAACAAGCATAGAACATTTGTCGATGAAAAGCAAAAAGATAAACAAGCATATAAACAATACTATTACCTTATATAACAAAGGAATTTGATTCAATGTTTTGATTCAATGTCAAAGGAGTAATTTGAGAATTTTCCTCTAAAGTTAAACGGAATTCTATATTATATTTAACAAAATAGCGGATAAAAATAAGTGAATTCAGTGGAATTAAAATCACGTGTTCCTGCTGCTACAATAAGGGAAAAAAAGCTTTTCCTTACTAAGGGTATTGAAATGGCAAGTAACTAAAATATTGGGAGAAACATTCTTCAAATAGTAGTAAGAGACCATCTATGTATATATAATACATATATTGATTAGGTCGAAAAATAAAATTTGCCCGGTATTACAATGACTTCTGCTTGCTCTTTTTCGCTTTTTTGATTCTTTATTTAATCCATCTTTACTTTGGTCTTTTTCCAGTTCATAAAAAGAATTGCCATACTCATAATAATTTGTACTGCCTAGCTAACGTTAGATTGAATTCCTGAACCAACCAGTGCTGATATGGATTTTTTTGATCACAAACATTTATCAACAATTTGGCACCATCCCTCGACATTTCCAAACACTCGTTCGTAGCGACGTGAAGAATTTGAAGAATTTGATTTTTCTATAGAATTTCGAATTTAGAGAGCTTTGATTCCTTGCCAAAGAAGAAAACTATACAGGATATTAAAAAAAATTGAATAAATGAACAACCACATCCTTCTGCTAATAGTACTGTTAAATATTTAATCAAAAATTTAAATATTTAATCAAAAATTTTGTAGTAAAAAGCTGAACTCACATAGGGAAGATATTTCCATTCTTGATTACCTTTCAATCCATGACACGGATAAACCATAACATCGACACCAGCATAATCAATACATGAATCATCTCTTCGTATTTCGCCGTCCTTCGTTATCATCCAGTACTGATAAATAAGTTTATAAAAGAACTTCGAATATCGAAAAATACGTACATTTTTACAACTTAGAAACGCCTTTTTAGGAATCTGCGCAAATGAGAGCCATTTAAACATTAGGTTTCTAGAATCAAAATGTTTAGCTTTAAATTTTTTTCTCAATTTTGCTTTTTTTCGAGAGCCATAAGAATTGGTTTTGCTTGCAGCATTCTTAGTGAAAGCTATTCAGGAAGCTAGAAGTCATTCTACAAGTGGGAACAATCCAAACACTAAATAAAAATAAGAGTGAAAGAATATCAAACGGAGTCAAATTGTATTTGGTTTTCGAAAATAGGTTCCATATACTAAAAAAAAGCGAAGGAAGAAAAATTTTATCTGAAAAATTTCCAATTACTTCATGATGAATTGGCTTTTAACAGTCAGTAAATACTTTTATACTTTTACTAGTATAAATCTAATAACTCGAAGTAAATACTTTTACTAGTATAAATCTAAGAACTCGAACTGTAATAATTAGCACACACATACTTTTGTTTTATGCATCAAGATTTTAAAAAATTCAAACAATAGAAATCACTACTGAAAATCATTTTCCTTTTGCTTTTCGCGCGTAATTCAGTATTATTACCTTACAAACAAGACACACACAACTACTTTTCAAAACACTAGGTCAGTAAAAAATATATTGAGAGTATGAACCTATCAGAGTCCTCAGGAGGAAAGTAAAAATACATTGCAGTCACATCAAAGTTACGAAGTATACCTGATTACCGCCTTTCTTATGACACCAGTATAAACCCGCATTTGCCGATTTTTGCTTTCCTCGCGACGCCCAATCTAAACAATTCTTCGATCCTCCTCCTCTGTTGCGAATCTATAGAGATCTATGTTATACCCTCATGAAGCAAATACTTCATGAATTTTCCGTATGACCATTACCCACCCAAAAAACAAAAAATGAGCGATAATTTTCATAGGATATTGCTGCAGTACTGCTTGATGTAAAAGAAAGGCAAACATGGACAAAAAGTGAAACATGAAATATTAACAGAAGCTGCAAGCAATAATAATCACACCGAAAAACTGCACTCAACACCACTTTTCTATTCAAAGGGGATCATGCGCAGATTCCAATAAGCATGTGCCACCTTAATACAGTTTTTGGAACATCTTAACGAACGATTCGTAGCTATAATACTCAAACAGGAATAAACATGCAGCAAACTGGTCGTTAAAGATCAAACGGAATATTGCACAGAAAGCCTGTCAATAAGTAGATTGGATTTAATAATGTCTTGTATAGTGAGTTTCTATTGAGTGCTCAGTAGCGCTACAACGCAAGAAATAGACAAGTTGACCAAGTAGTTTGGTGATAAAAAATTATTCAGTGCTTGAATTAAGGAACCTGGTTACCACCATTCTTGTGACATGGAAACGCAATAACGACTTTTTGAATCTCATCGCCCACCTCACTATCCAAGCAATGTTGGACAACATCCCCTTTCACTTCGCCTCTATTACGAATCTGAAACTTACTACCACTGTTTTTTTACCATTCTATGAAATATTTGTTAATGAATCAATAACCTATATACAAACATTGAAAACTTTAAAGTACTGCAACACTTAAGTGAAAATTCATGTCTGCTTCAATTACCTGACGACGTATGTAAAATTATCTGTCACATAAATGTTCAAATTAAAAATTATGGTAACTCCTGCCACTTCGAGAAATCTAGTAAGTTCAGTATTTCACTTAATGCACACATAGAAATACGAACTTCATCGTCTTCTCAAAGTATTCTCTTCTCGAGACTAAAAATTTCATGAAATAAAAAAATTTGTCCCTCAGGCCAACATCACCACAGCAAAACTCTGTACCAACTTGAAGATATTTCATCAGCAAACACACTTGATGGTTAATTATCAAGAATGTAAATTGATTCGGACTAACTCGAAACATCCGATAATAAGATGTAAGATATTAATGTAATATAAACAAAAGGATTTAACTACTACAAACTAAAAAGTGCATGTAAAATGAAGTGCACGCATATACTCTTCTATCGTTAAAAAATTAATAGATTAGTACTCAAACTGTTCGTACATCCACATATTACTACAAATTTGATGGATAACGCCAAAATAAGAAGAGCATTAGCACAACTAAGACAAGAAACGAAGCATCAGCAAATTGCAGCATCCAAAAATAGGACAAAGGAATATTCAAAAAAACCTAAATAATACTAAGGACTTTTGCCGAAGCAAAAGTCTAAAATCTCCATATATAGTATAATAATCAACAACTTCATGCTGAAAAAATACCTCTCCTTTTCCAATAGCATCTCCTGGAATAAACAATTCCGGATACACATTATCCAGATACCACTTGAAAGACTTACATTGCAGTCTCTCACGTAATGCCTTTCTGCTGCTTACATCACCAAAATCACCCTAATTATTAATAATCAGTAGCTTTTTACAATTAATGGTATGAGAATTTCAAACTTTAAGAGGCAAGTAACAAATAACACTAATGTAAGAAAATAAGGAAAATTTTCAGGAGCACTAGTAAAATTCGTAATTTATTTCCATAGGTGATACTAGAAGGAAACTGATAAGCGTGATATAACAAACGCTTGCTTTTCCACTTTTTTTGCCTGTACTATAAAAAAAGAAAAACTTTACCAAGTCATTGTTAATTCTCTCATAGTAGTACTTCTTGTATTCATCCATCCATACCTGCAACATATTTTCTCACCTTTTCATTAGGCAGATAAAAACATAATCTTATGCAATCTTCAGAAGGTATCTTAAGAGTTTTCAAAAAGAAAAAATTGCTGCTGCGCTATTAATCAATTCCCGAATGTACAGAAGACAACTTCCAAGATCCGTGAACTCACTTCAGCTAATCGAACAGAGTTTCTCTTCAAAACATTCACACCAGTACGCCATTTATAAGGTGATCGTTTGCGAAATACATGACCAACATGACTGCAGGGAACAATTTCCAGTCTTCCGCCACACATCCATGTCTAAAGCAAATGTTTGTTTTAGAGGATAAAAGTGAAAAAAAATGAAGGTGGTGATTGAAAATCATTCCCAAATCATCAGCGATATCAATTATAGTTTCATAAAATGATATTGACTTCATTTACGCTTCATTAGCTACAGCATAGAAAAACTTTCTAGCTTATAATTTGTTATAGCAGTTAACACGCTCAGTGACAAACCCTCTAAAAAAGGTGAAACTTTTCTTTCTACATTGATAATCCCATAAATATTTTCCAGTAACATGATAATGAACTAACTTTGAAAGAAAGCTCCAAATTTTCCCCACCCCAAATATCGAAACCGGGATCATAAGATCCTAATTCTCCGAAGAAAGAACGATCGATGGAAAAAAGACCACCAGCCATAGTTGGAGACCTGAAAAGAAATAAAGAATTTCAGAGTCTGCGCGTATCATACAATCGATGTTAATCACATTTTCCTAATACTATCCGCCCTCTTTCTTCCTTCTTCCAATGTGAATGAAAAGTTTCAAGTAATTGTATTCTTTCAATTTATAACTTCACATCCTTCAAAAATAGTGGGGTCTGATACTAAATTATTTAAGACAAAATTTTTAAGGTCAAAATTCGTACTTTACAGGATCAATGTTCCTTCTACCTTTACGATCCTTCTCAGGAATGGCATGCCAATTGAATTGCAAAGACCAATCAAAACCACCCACATTAGTGAAGTAAGCCTTTGAGTAGTGGTACTCAAACGTGTTATCATCAATTACATCAATAACGGGGCATACCACTGTTTTCGGATCCTTTTTGATTCGATCCAAAAGAGGTTCCATCCAACCTAAAACGAAACAGAACTTTGATTGTGCATCAACGTTGAAAATCTTCCGCTAAATTATTATTTACCAAAAGTGATTCTTTTCAATATATACAGGCTTATAAACCAATATATACAAAACAAAATGTGATTTAAAGTTTTGCTCAAAGTTCTACAGGAAAGAAGAATAAGAGATAAATGAAATGCGAAATCAAATTACCTTCTACACATTCGCAATGAGAATCAAGATATGTGATCACAGGGCTTTTTGAAATAGCAGCTCCTCTTATGCGAGCTCTTATTAGACCCTCACGTTTTTCCAAGCGTAAAATACGAACTTTCGGATACTGCCGCATATAAATTTCCAAATCAGCCTACATACAACCTTAGTTCTGTGAATATCTTTTAGAAATACAAAAAATCTCATATTTTCAATACGTCCAAATTATATTAATTTGTGTGGACATTCGCTGAAATTTAGGATGTATTTTGCAAAAAACTCAAGAGTCTCTCAAATTTAAAATATAATTTTGTGAACTTCGGGAAAGAAAACACCTTGAGATGTGCCATGTCCGAAAAATCATCAACCAAGATAATTTCGGCAAGTAAATTTTCCGGTGTTCTTTCAAGTACACTATGTACCGTGCGGAGTAAAGCTGACCAAGCTTCGTTATGAAAACATATGATAACTGAAGTATTCGGAAGATCGCTAGCATATTTTTCCGTTTTGCATCTGGAATTATGTATAAGAAAATTTTCAACAAAAGAAATTTAAACAAAAAAATGAAGTTGATCTTAATAATGCTAAAGGACCGACATCGATTGAAAGATCAGTAGGGAAATATCCCAATGAGAGAATGAGTGATTTTAGGTCAAGTTTACTTTTCAGTTTTTTTTCCCACTGCTGAGTGCTCTAATCGCCATGCAATAAAAATTCGATGTTCCGACAAATACAGGATAGCATAATGAATCATAAAGAAGGCACAATGTTTTTATCATTTTTCATTACATTATCCATATTGTCAAAAGAAAGTCTAGCTCACTTCCAAAAAGTGATAAGTAAAACGAAGCACGAGAGGCCCAATTTTCATCTTTTTTAAAATATTTCCTTAAAAATAAAAACTGTTGAAGGTAACTCACTCTTCATCGATATAACTAGGCAAACTTCTATGTATCGAAATTATATCTGAGACGTACTGATTAAAAGCATTCTTGCTAAATCCATCATCGTAAACCTTTTTTTCACTGACAGTCAATTTCTGAAAAATAATATGCATATATTACGATACACGTCTATTTCATTTAAATTTTTAATAAATTAAACGAAAATGAAACCAGAAACACTAACGTTTTTATCGATTATCACTGCCTTTCCACCTTCACCAGGCTGATGTTTATCACCCCATTTGTAGATAGGAGAATCCCGGTTGAACAGCGCTTTGTTTAGCTTAGGAATATTTCCCTATAATTTACAGTAATTTGTGATAACAGAATTTCTGTTTCGTAAACTAAACCTTCTCTTCACCCTATCTCATGCCAGTCCACAAATTAAAACACTGTAATAGTAATATATAACTATGTAACATATAACCACAACTATTTTCCACATTTATCAACTCGCAACGTTGCAGAAAATTTTCCATTCTTGTAAAAATTGTCCGATAGCGAATTACGTAGTAAACCTCTTCAATCCTCGCATCGATACCTTCTGCAGGAAGCTTTTCCTCGATTTCAACTGCAGGTTTGATTGAAATAGGAGGACCGAAGCCTTCTAATTTATGCAATTTTGGTAAATCAATTTTTGGACGCTTCATGGAAGGGACCTGAAATCTTGCATATCGTTTATTTTTTTTCATATTCAGTTGAATTTCAATTATTTTACACAGAATTCGAAGTATTAAAAGGCGAATTCCATATCTCAAAATGGAATAACTCAACTTATCGAACAAGTGAAGAGCAAGAGGACACGTAAATTTTTGGATTCCCAGACTGGTACAAATTTCCACATAACAGTGGAAAACATGTAAACAAATAACTCAATATGTTAACTTGACCGCGAATCTGTGCTTCATTCTTAACCAATCGTTTAGTACAATAAAGGTATGTTAGCATATACACCACTGTTTATCCGTAATACAAATCCATTAACCATGTTATTTTACCTTGCCCGATGCTTTCGTAGAAGTGGAAAAATACAGCATAGTACATAACCAAACTGCTGGTAACAAAAGCAATAATTTAAATACAAATGACCGTCTCCTTGGGAACACCAAAGTGCCCATATCACTACTAAATACGGCAGCAATTAATCGATGGATAGGTTGCAATCCCCAAAGACGTAACCGCCGTTTTTTGCTTTCTGAAATGCCAGCAACCGCCGTTTTTACCTGAAACGAATTTTAACGATGAAAGGTAGCAAATGCGATACTTGAAGTGGCAACACAGAATTAGACATCTCAGAGAGCAAAACATGAACAAAACAAAGAAGCAATTCGAAACTGAAGTACTGATTGAAACTAAAAGTTTGGAACAACAATCACATGCAAGATTAATTTTTTTTTAATATGCCAGGTGTTTTGTGTCATCGAGAAAGTGATTATTCAGTCCAAAGAAAAATGGTTCTTGCTATTTTTATCACTTTTTCAAACCAATTAATTTTACTCATCATGTTTGAAGGGCTTGAAGGAAAAAGGAGTAATTAAACGGTTAAAATATATGAAGGATAGTAAAACAACCAAAGTGAGATAATGCTGGATTCAAAGATAAAGTATGGTCAGCACGGTTAACTAAAGCTGATTACCAACCAAAAGAAGAGGAGATGATGTTTTCTATAAAAGAGATACATTGTAATGAGACAGTTGTATAAGAATGATCTTTTCAGAACTAGATATGAAAAAAAAAGAACTATAAAATGAAATTCTATCAGTTAGACTGATCAGACATAATTGTGGAGCTCATTTGCTGTCAACGAGCTTCCTTGTATATTTACTTTGTGTAAATATATCAGACCTTCCTTTCAATTTCCAGTTAGCATTTCAATATTTCTTCGATACTAATGTGTCCGTGCTTTGCATACTAATAAAAAATCAGTCATTTCTAACCAGCAAAACTAAAATATTTCAGTTCATTAAAGATGCATTGTTCAGCGACTTTTGGTGGCTACTTACTAGACACATTCCAATATATATATATCAAAGTGTATCCAAAATATAAAATTAATTTTAGCACTTTTCTATATTTCATTACTCTTCCCCACAACTTACCACGCAATAATCTGTAAGAAAAAAAATTGAACGTGTTCTGGATAGGTAAAATCCACTTAAAGTGGACGACTACACACAAAAGAAAAAATATATGTACACACCCCACAGATAAAAAAGTAGGCTATTACAGGACACTTGAATGATTTGAACTGTGAGATTTGCAAACTAAGATTTGTTGAAGCTTAGATCCCAATGATTGCAGTGATGAGATTAATTGCATATATAACAGTATAGGGAATGAGGTGAATGAAATGATAACAAAAGATATTTGATAAAGACAATAAAGATGACAAAAATTTGAGAAATCAGCGTAAGTGAAGTTGAAACGGGCAGGTATAATCGTTAAAAGTAAGGGTAGTAGAACAGACGATTACTCATAGTGTTTCCTCATGGACAGATAACTTTCAGTAATGACTTAGCGTGTGCCACTCCTTTCCGTTTTATTTGTTCTTCAAAATCGCTTCACCATAAAACGCTATTGAAGGAAGAAAATGCAATGTTTCTTCAAGCTTCTAGCTTAACATCCATTCCAGACTACCTCGATATTCCGTAAATTTATGGAATGCGCAGATATATACTACCAACACCGCCACCTCAGCGGAGCAGTCTTCCCGACCGCACCGATAGATAGTCTATCTCATGCAAACTGTTCGTCCCACGTAGCAAAGGCCATGTGGACATTATTGTCTAAGCCAAGCCGCTGTGTTGTCTGGTTTCATCGCTGGACGGCTGTGATAAGTATGCGAAGCAGTGAAAGGAATTATTTCGGGAAATGCGATGTTCCGGAGGGAGGAGGGAAGATGGAGGCGGTTGGATAAATGATATTGCAGGATATTCCCTTTGTAAATACATGGCTAATAATGTCTCGTATATGCAACTTGACCTGCTCTGTTTACTCGTTGAGTTTTAATTTTCACATATAAAGTGCATTTCTTTAAAGGTGCCTAAAATGGAGGAGCATAAGAGTTTTTTTGCAAGGTAACCAAGTTTAGGATTCATTGGTGGCTTCTCGAAGTATCGGATGATATCTTTCAGGTAATATCCCGAAAAAGATGTCACTGCGGAAGGAAGATGTTTACGAGACCGAAGATTTGCCAGAGGATGATCAACAAATGGTTGAAGATGAGATCACTGAATCGGAAGGTTATCCCACTGCTATATACAACTGAAATTTCCATAATCATTCCGAAGTTTTGTTATTTACTCTGACAATAAATCACAACAGATTGTGAACTCGTTGTTGAAAATAGCCTGTGAACAAAACTTAATAAAAAAACAGTGATCTACGATTGAGATTTCACATACGGAATCTTTTTTACTCCGCACATTAACCTTTCAATTGGCATCTTAGGCGCTTTTCCAATACGAACACACTCGTTTTTCATCCACTTATCGGAATGAGTAATGTACTTCTGAACTAAAACTTTTCAACTTTATTCTTTCCGTTGACCTTAATTATGTTCCAGAAGTAGAGCGTATACATATCGACGTTGATAGCGCTATGAAACGATTCAAAGGTCGCATATTGAGCACAGAAAATGTCGGTGAGCATTTTACTTGAATTTCAATTCTTTCATTATCATGTATTTGACTTTCGGTATTAAGCTTACATATCCATTTAATTGCATGAAACGAATTGTTGTTTTGGTTGTTTCTTATTAGTCGATCCACATAAGTAGAAAATATTTTATCAGATTTCTCAATATACATTTTTTTGAACCGAATAATGAATGTCCTCTAATAAGTTTATCAGTACAGATTTTTCGGATTCTATTGCACAGAGAAGGCGCCGTGGATATGGTGGTGGTTCATATGTACTTGAAGTCGTTGGGCCTTATGCAGATGAAGCGGAAACGTTGGAGCAGAAGTTTACTCGTTTAAATTGTGAGATAAACGATCTAGCAGAAGCGATACAAGCACAGGTTTGATATGATCGCTGTATTTATTTTTAAAATTAAATTTCACAGCATCTTGAATATCAATGGACGTTTAAGATCTTTCGTTTATTGCACTTCATCTGTTTTAACAGCGGTATCAACTAAAAGTTTCAATTTTCAATAAAACAATGATAACTTCTGTTCTTCTAAATTATGATTCTGTACGACATGGTTAAATTTAATGAGACTTTGCTTGTTTTCGCCTTTTCAGAAAGTATCTGAGAAACCGGATACATGTATTGTACACGAAGAAGATTTAATTGCTATGCTGGAAACATTGAAAGCTTTACAAATCAATAGAGATACCATTACAACTTCTGTTCAACATGAAAAAAAGTAAGCCACTGTTTTAGAGCAAATTAAAAAACTCGAGATTCTGAAAACTGTGTCTTATCTTTTATTGTCAATAGTTAAAATCATTGCTAATTCTAATTAATTAATTATTTTTCAAGTCGTCATATAACGTTTATAATAACGGTTCTTAAAAACCCAGAGCTTCTTCACGTTACACATCAGTTGTACTTCGTAGGAGCAGAGTTAGATTTCGGAATTTAAATAGTCTTCTCTGGAATTCACAATCTAGTTTTCGTGTAAATGTGTAGAGAAAAAGTCTCGATAAGACGGCTGGAGTAAAGAAGTGAAAAACTCTTTGGTTTAAAAAGAAAAATATTACTTCAAATTTTTTCATGGAAAATTTACAGAGATAACAAAACGGAAGGTGGAACCTTTTTCGTCGAAAATAACGTTGTGAATGGACGTCTAGCAGTTTTGGAGAATCGAATCAACCGTTTAGAGCAGATGATTGATGGTGTTGGTGCTGGTTGTAATGAATCCATGAAAGTTTGCAAAATTCCAGTTGCCGAAGCAGTTGAAGATTTACGTATGCGTGTACAATTGTTACATCCTGCTCATGTTGATGGTCTTCATTCACGTATCACGCAGCTTCTTTCTAAGCTACAACAAGTTTCTTTTATGTTCACATTGCTGTTGATGTGTTTGTTATTTCTTGTAGGCCGTTTTTTGGCTGGAACGTATTATTTTTTGCCTTTCTCATTATGGCATCCTTTAGTCCAAATATAAAATGCTGCAAGTTGCAGGTAGAGGAAAAAAAGAAGGAGAAGGGTGATTCGGAGTTCGAGGATAAGGTTGATAAGCTATATGAGATGATGAGTCGATGGGATGTAGCTTGCACTGGCTTATCTTCTGCAGTTAAAAGAATGTATGATTTAAGGAAACTTCATGAACAAGGTAACAGAACTTTTAACTTTTTCTTATTTTTCCATTTTTTTTTTTTATTTTTTTGGCTTATTTTTTTTTAAGGGCTTATTTTTGTATATTTAAATGATTCTTGCGAAATTCGATCTATTATTATTGTTTTAGTAGAAAGGTTAATTGAGCAGTGTCGGAGCGCTTTAGGAAATATCATCTCAGAAGCTCAAGCAAGTTTAGAAGATGCTCTAAGTGGTTAAAATTATGGGCATAAAAAATTTGATGAATTAAATAGAGTAGTTGTCGCAAGCCTTTTCTACGATTGATGCCAACGTTGTATGACAAGCAACCGTATAATCACTAGATATTTAATGGCAGGACAAGTTATGTGAAAATTGTTTTAGTTGAGCCAGATGAAGGAAAAAATGAAAAGACCCAAGTTAGCAATATTGAAATACTCTACAGGAAATATTGAGATAGAAATTAGTGATGACAATTATCATAATTATTATACTAAGAATGTGAATGTTTTTTTAATTTATTAGGACTTAATAAATTTTCAGCAGAACAGTTCAGTAAAAAATTGAGTCAGTTGACGGGTATCCGTTCGCAGTTAGCCAAAACGATGGAAAGAGAAGAAATGATGTTATTTGATTTCCGTCAACAAACGCATGCAGCTTTAGAGAAGCTTGGTGTTGATATCGCTAGGCTAGAAGAACGAATCAGTAAACTAAATTCCTAACGTCCCTTGGTTATTTATTCATGTGCATTTTCTACAACTGTAGAGAGTTATCGGTGAATGGAGTGGAGAATAATTGTTATTCAGCATTTGAGATTTTGATCCTGAATATCAAAATCTTAGTCATTTATTCATAAAAATGAATTCCTTACAGAGCTTATATTTATGTTTAATTGGCATTGTAAGGGTGAACTAATTCTTTATGGCAGAAAAGTGAAATCTGGCAACTGACAACTTAAAAAAGGTTTCTTTGGAGTATCTTTTTGCACAAAATCGTTTGAACTTGACCTTATAATTCTAAAATTAGTTTATGTTGTGGATTTAAAAATTGAAAGATTGTATTCGATTTTTTTTAATCTACAGGTTATTATTAGTTTCATGACTTTTTCTTTCTGCTCTTCTCATTTTTGTATAATATTCTTTTTTACGAAAACACTGGCTTCATCAGAAACGTTATCAAGATTTGCGTCAGAAAACAGTTCAGTAATTGTTTGTAAATTTGCATAAATGTTGTGATTGTAACCGTGTTTGATACCGTTTCTTACGAAAAAGAAAGCAAAATTTTTTATTGATATCTTATAGAGAAAGTAACAAGACTAGTCATATCCAACATCTATCATGCGATTAAAAGCGGTACTGTGTGTTATGGTTACAGGAATTTGAATATTGGCAATTTAAATTTGGTACATAACTTCAAGTTGCGAAGCTTTCCTGACCTTGTTAGTCGGGAAATCACTCGTATTTTCAGTTCAGGTAGTGACCATGGATGGTGCTTTTTTTAATTTTGATTATAATGGGTTAGAAACAAGAACATGCAAATTTTCGATTAATGCTATAATTTTTTATTCACATATGTAATTATTTGGCTGATATATTAAAAATCAGATATATTATGCCGAAATTTGCTCTATTCCGTTCGATGGTGTTTGGAATCGTTTGTTAAGTAATGATTTCTAATTGATTAAAATGATGCTAAAACGGTTGTCAGCAAGTTGACGAAATTACATGCTGCTAACTGTTAATTACGATGATAGTTATGGGCAAGTTGAGGTTACCTTTGCAATCAACCAATTATTAAAATTCAATCAATATGCCACACTAAACTTTACACATTTACACAATAGCAGTAATATATTCTTTGTTACAGTGAATTGGAAATGTCAAATTAAATTTTCCCTTTTCTTTTCTATCTTCCTCTTTTTATCTTTTTCATTCTTCTTCAATCCTTCCGCTTTACTACCTTTATTTCTTTATTCACATTGTTTTTTATATTCTCAAAAATTTTTCATATCTTTTTAAAAATTTACCTCTTGGATTTTTTCATTTTCTGATCCACTCTTTTTTCCACTCAACATTATAATTGATCGCTGAAGATTTTCTGAATTATTTATGATTTTTGTGCAATACTATTGGCGCTAATAGAAATGGCATTAGAGATTAAAGCCTTTTAAATCTATCAGTTTTCAACTTCGATCTATGTCCTATATATGTATCAATTTTCTAATTAATCACTTTCTTTTTCGTAACATATATTTGATTATACTTTTCATTAGGTGAAGAGTTTAAGTGAAGCAAAATGAAATTACATCTCTTCTCTTTGAAATGATTTTGATTTGTTATCAAATATTTCTAAAAATGAATTGCATTTGTTGGTAATCCCGCATAGTGCTATTTATGTTCAAAAATGGTTACAGCCACTAAATTATAAATAAAAATTATACAATTTTAAAAGTTAAATTTTAAAAAATAGAAAATTAAGAATGGATCCTTTTCATTTTCATTCAAATAAACTAATCTTTTTGATTAAAATTAAAACTTTAATTATATCTCAACTATCTGATAGGCATTAATTTTGCTCCGATATCATTTGCATTTTAATATTATCAAAGAATAGTAAGCGAAAAGTTGTACAACGAAAAGTTTATGTCGTATGTATAATATCATCCATCTGAGAAATGTTTCCTCGTCGTTCTCATTGCGTCAACTTTTCACAACAATGTTATTTATTAGGAATGCGTGAAAATTTTAGAAAAAGACTTCAAATTTATAAGAATAAATGGAAACCTAATAGTAATTTATTTCCTTGCAATTCATTTTTAAATTAGACTGAAATTATATAATTGCTATCTGAATAAAACCGCTGTAGGATTAATGAGGTAATTGTATTCCAAATATTTTTGAACAAATTCTTATAAGGTTAACAAATTTGATGAGCTTAGAATGTAGGTATGACCTGAACTTTCCCTGTTTCATCACTAATTCAATGGTCGAAAAGAAAAAAAACCCGAGTTCAAAAGTCCATTACTCTAAAATTATTTTAAGTAAGAGTAGCAACAGGCGTATTTATTATCTTTTCATTCACTCAATATTTGGTAATACTTATCCAACTGATATTTCTGTGTTATCAGTCTTTCTTTCCATCGCTTACCGCTTGTATTTTGTATTTTGTGTTTTATGAAAATATATGCAAAATATATTTACGTATTTTCTAAAACTTAACTTTCTCGATATTTCGATAATTGTGAAATTTGAATGAGGCAGTTGCAAAGAAGTTGCAAATTTTGATAAATCTTACAAAATGTTTTTGTTAGCATAGGATGAAAGCTTTCCTTAGAATTTCACCTATGAATTTTAATTAAAACCTCGTGATTTTAATTGAACAATTAATGAAATGATGATATCGTAAGTGAATTGTCTGCATTAAAAAATGTTACACAGAATGATTAATAACAAATTACACACTTGTTCTTATTCATTTTATATCGTCCATCGGAACACGTAAAAATTTACGAAAACATTTTATTGAACAGAGCATTAAGAAAGAAATGAATGATTTAAATTTTATTGGCAGATTGAATTGAATTTTCATCTACACTATACGAAGAAACACGTCGTAATTTTAAAATTCTGCCTATTTAGAAACATGTAATTTTCAAGTTTTCAATAAATCAAAGAAAAAATTGGGATAAAGTATCATTTTCTGAAATATTATTATTTTGCTTAATGAGTTATTATTTTTGCTTAATAATGAATTGAACGGTCAGAAAGAGTTGAAAGTTTTTGAAATGCTATTGAAATTATAATCAAATATGATACACATCAAATAGTTCAATTTTATCTTTCCATCTGAGGTCGAAGCAATAAATGTTAGAGAAATAATTTTAGGCTCTTATTTTTAATCTTAGGATATTTGATAGATCAAAATTGCTAAATTGTAAAGCACAGAAAATTTGCAGAATAACTTTTATTTTAGTGATTTCATTTTTACTTGCACTCAAAGTTTTTTCTTTAAAAGTACTTTTCTCATTTCTAAAAGTTAAATTAAATTATTGTAAAATCAATGCATATCAAAATGTTCTACCTCCCTATGCATTCGATGTCAAATGAAATTTCAACTCTCAGCAACAAATGGTTTCAATCCATTGTCATTTCTTTTATGGATTCTATTATGCTTCCATTACGCACGCATACGACTAATGCATTATTATTGAAATTAAATTTTTGAATTTTATTTTATATTCTTTAAAAAAAAAAATGATCCAATCGAATTTTAACGTATTACAAAATAACTGCATATAATAATCAATGAGGATTGAATGCTTTAACTGGCAACATATGGAATCATTGAAACGGAAATGTATACAACCGCAGATCTCTTCTAATGAGAAACATTCAGTAGAGAGTTACTTCTCTTTTACATCTTTCTGAGATTCAAAATGTTACTTTTATTCCGAGATTTTCTCAATCATATCAAATTGATAGATTTCAGTGAATTTTGGAGAAGTGAAAGAAAAAGAGAAGAATTATGGAAGATGGTAAGTAATGTAATAAGTTTTATACATTGGCCATTTATTACTGAATCGTAACTTTATAATATAAAAATAATATTCTTAACTTAACAGTTGCAAAATGAAGTATTTTAAGTTAGTCGGTTTTTTCACTCTTTTGAAATATCCAATTTAAGACTGTTGTGAATGCGAACTTTTATTGGTACCAATTTGTCGAAGAATGAATTAACAACGGCTTTTCACAGTATTAAATATAATTTTTTTTTTATCTAATTCTATATTTGATTAAAATAAGAAAGACTGAAAATCAAAATAATATTAAAGTGTTTTCTAACATCTTAAAAATTGCATTGTATGATAATATGGAAGTTGTAATCAACAATTTGAATAAAATATTAGCTTTGTGACAATTTAGATTCTGTAAAAGGACAAATGATACATTTGAAAATTTAAAATTAAATCCAGCTTCCTTCTTCATATTATTTTTTTTTCGCTTTGTTATATATATATATATATATGAATATGAGGTATATAAAAGCTTTGCCTCTTACTGAATTTAGGCTTGTTGATAAATTTCAAATGTATGATTCTAATGGTGAATAATGATATATAACAAACTGGAAGAGTGTATACTTCCTTCTTTCCTTCTAACCTACTTATTCCTATTTCCCTTCTATGAAATTTCTGACCGGTACTTGACTCGAAAGAATTTGCAAATCCATTCACCTCCAATGCGTCTCACTTCTCTTCCTCTTTTTTATTGACAGTAATGCATTTTCATTGGAAATTTCTTTTGTTTATAATATATTTTTATGATGAAGTTTGGTTATTATTGAAGTTAATGTCGCAATTTTATACGAACTGTTTAAAATAGTTTATCTGTTTGCATGTTTCCTTATCCATCTATAGCAGCAGGACATTACTGTTGCTAATCTCTCTGGTTATTACTGATAATTCTGGGAATTACTACTGATAATTCTTGACATTGAAATTGAAAGATCTTTTAAAATTTATGATTTGATCACATATGAAATGTTTCTGCGGTGAATTTTTTCAATATTGCAGACAGATATTATCATTATCAGTATACACCACGTTCACATAGTATCACATTCAAAGAGTTCGAGGTAATGTCATATTTACATGGTACTCACTTTCATATTACATAAGCAATAGATGATTAGCATATTATTTAATATTTCATCGTTATGCGTTGAAATTTGTTGTATGAAGAATATGATGGAAATTTATGGAAATGCTTCTGGAATAAATTGACTATATGATCTATCTATATGATCCATTTATCCATTCATGCCATTCGAGGATCGTTATCATTAATTAATAAGTTAGTGGTAACTTTAGTTACAATACATTTATAAATTTGCTGATTGCTTGAACAGGACGATATGCTTCATTTACGGTTAATGTTAAAAGGTTTTCGACGAAAAATGGAAAAATGGGTCTTCATTGGAAAATTTTTTAAATGAAGGCGTGGTCAGTCTTTACAATCATCGTCTTTCTAAGAGTATCGAGGCGTAGATGTGAAAAGGTAGGTAGAAGGAGATGATAGTAGTATGGTTTGGAGAAGAAATCAGGGTTTGACAAGATGTTTTACTTAGGGTGGGGCCAGGGGAGAAGAGGAAGAAGGAGAAGGGTGTGAGATAAATTTTGTCAAGTTGTCGTACAGAGAGAGTGCTGGAGACGGGAGAGCTCCCTGTACAGAAAATGCGGGATACCTTTCCTAATACTACCGCCAGTACCAACAACGCCACGGTCACTTTAATCTCAAAAGCATCTCGAAGGCAGTAGCAATACATTGTCCTCATCTCCATCTCCAGCCTTTGCTATTAGTACGAGAAAGCGGATGAGAAAGGAGAAATTATTCAGGTAATAAACAAATAAAAAAGAACAATTGAAGAGTCAGACAAAATTGAAAATTTTCACTTCATCTGCAACTTTTGGAAGTTCTGAAATTCGGGAAACAAGCAGATAAAAAAAGAGAAGAGGGAAAAATTCACACCACCATTCTATCTCTAGCACTAATGCTTGAAGTATTAATGGAAATGGATCACATCATTTGTCGATCCTTTATTGGTAATCAAACCACTCTGTGCGTCTCATTGTATTATCGCTGGATTTTCACTGTATCGCATATAATACGTCTCAAATTTTACTGGCCGAAAAACGAATTATTGCCAGATAACTTCAAGGCATTTAATAAATATTACTGCTGCTATTACTGCTGTCGACATTACTGCAATTATTTCCAACGATATATTCTTGTATTTTTATTCTTTTTGGCCACTACTGCAAAATCGTATCCATTATCGAAGCCAACTACGGTTAGCATCTTTTTTTTTCTTATAGTTATCATCAAATCGTCTGATGAATTTCTGTTGGAAGTTAATTTTTTTTAAAGAATAATTTCTTTAAGCTTTAATACCTTAAAAATTAATTTTAATTTTTTTGTTCCTTTGAAAGGAAAAGGTATAATTAATTACGGTCCTTGAGATTTTATTGTACGTCAACACTCGTCGTTTTCTTTTTATAACTTATCCAAAATTTAATTTTTCTTTGATAATTTTTGATGATAAAAATATATGATTAGTTAATAATTTGATATTAAAAAATAAATAAATTTTCTTTAAGGAAGGATTTTTTAAAAAATTTATTTATTTAGTTGGCTGCATTGCCAGCCAACCTTTGTGTAATAAAGTTTGATATCTCCCGCAAATGTTCCTTTTTATTTCTTATCAATTAATCTTTTTCCATTAATTTCTTCTCCTTTTCCATGATGTTAATTTGCTCAACTTATTCTATGTGACACTTTTGCGCTCAATCTATTACCTATCATATCACTATCCTCTTTATTCTATTTTCTGCTTTCTAACTTCGAACAAAAAGAAAGACAATGAAAAAGAAATTTGCCAATTCATTCATTTATTCATTAATATCATTGAATTTAAATTTCAATAAATTATCAAAAATTCATTGCTAGAAAACTATATGTTTTTGTTGTAAGAACAAAAATTACTGATCGAAAAAAAGGAAAGAAAGGAAAGTTCAAGAAATATTTTTATTAATGGCGAGGGAATCGTTATATTCACCAATCAATGATGATTTATTATGAGCCAAGCAAAAACAGAATTTTAGATTAATTATGATCGTAGACTTAGTTGAATTACCTCGGGATCATTAGACTATCTTTTTATCGTTGAAAAACAGGAAATTGATCATTATTTTCATTATCTTAATTAGAGATATCATATCACTTTCATTGATTTTCCATTTCCATTGAAATGAAGAGAAATTGCAGAAATTCTATTTTCAGCTATTCCAACAAATTATTTTCTTTTATTTTGAATTAGAGATATTAAAGAAAAAGAAAAATCTTTGTGAAGCAATTTATGAAATAGCTGCCATATGTAGCACTCATTAATGGAATATAATTATTATCTGACAGTGTAAAAGTGACTTTTAGAAAGTGTAAAAAAATTGACTTTAAGAAAGTGAAATTTTTTAATTATTATCACTTATTAATTAACAAAAAAAAGTATGGAAATAATTGTAGGAAGAGAAGATTGTCGTCGATTGTAAATATGCGTTAAAAAGTTGCAAAGTACTTCAATGAACGTAAGAGAATAAATGAGTAATGGTGCCTATCTATTATTGTGGTCATTATAAGGCTATTTCTTATGATAACAGCCTAATGATAAAAATAATGAATGAAATGTAAATGAGAAATGAGAGAAGTTTAATTGATGAAATAATTGCATTCTAAGGGGTAAGAAATGAGAAAAAGCTTAAAGTAAGCTATCAGCTTTTTTTTCTTTCATGTTTTTAATCATTTAGAAATCATTTTTCAAATGTTTGATCATTCTTGAAATTTCATATCTGATAAAAAGAAATGGAAGAGATAAGCGGAAATTTGATGCACTATATGATTTAATTTTGATTTAATTTTTGAATATTTCTATTTCTATAGAGAAATATGATAGTTAGATTAAAGTGATAATCATTTACCTTCAATAATTGTTATCCCAAATATTAAGCCATAGTATGAACTGTATTAATATAATCAATTTTATCAATGCCTACATCAAAGTTGTAAGCTTAAATCATTTTGAAAATAATTCTTTTCATCTTCTTTTTTTCTCCTATTATCACAGCAATGGATGATAGAAACATTAATTAAACTATTTATCGGCGAAAAAAAAGTGCTATAAATTATGTTAAAACGATTATTTATATAATATACATATGCGTGTGTGTCGCTAGGAATATATCATTTCATTTCTATCAATGATTCGAATTGAATTCTTTAATATTGCAAATAGTTAAATGAGTTGATATTATTGTCAGTGTCAAAAATTATTTGATAACATTAGATTGACTGTATATGTATGATGCAAAATTAGACTAAAATTATTCTCCACATGAAAATTAAACTTGATTTCAATGCACTATTTATTATGCTGCAATACTTGCATTTCTTTCTACAAATTTGTAAATTTTTAATTTGCAATTTTATAGGCTATAGATAATTTCGAGAAGTTTCCAACGCTTTCAGCATTATACTAAAAAAAATTAAGAATTTATGTTAAAGATGAAAATATTTCGAACATTATAATATCGAAAAACATTAAAGCTTCAATTATTCAGCTTATCCAGTTTACTTATTATCAATCAAAAAAATGTTAAGAGAATTTACGACCATATAACTAATTATTTCAGTCTTACTTTTGCCTATTCGTAGTCATTACAACTACCGGTGATTAAGAATATGCCTAATCTTTTCTTTCCGTGATCCGATCATAATGTTACCAGAAAATCGCTGGTTCTAAGTTTAGAATTATGCATTTTAATCCCTGTACAGCTTTAAGCGCATATGTTGAATTTCAAAATTCAAAAATTTATAATCCATTTTTGCAGACCAGACAGTCACAAACGCTAATTTATGACTCAAATTTGTATCATAAATTTTGCTATCTTTCTTTTTTGTCCAAACGAATTCATGTTTCCCACATTCCACGACTTCACCATCAAGCCAATTCAATTAATTCACCATTTCATCTAGCAATGTTCCTTTTCTGACCTTTGGCCTCACTATACGTAATTTTTTTTGATGAGCTGAAATAAATGATACACACATACACACACAGGGTGATCATTGCTACTCAAGTATTCGTCACTCATTACTTCTTGATAGATTAATTACTTAATGAATTGCTAAAGGCATATAATTTGAAATTTAGTATGTAAAACTTTTAAAATAGATTTTAAAATAGGCAATCGAATGCCTGTAGTACTAATTAATTATTACCTCAGCTATTACTTGCATATATGACAGTATTGGTGGTGGATGATCGGGAGATTAATCAAGAAACAGGCAATATTATAACAAATATATTTCTGATTCTTATAAACATTATATGTTAAAACTTTATCAATCATTCTTTTCACAGTGTATATTCAAAAATAATGAATAAAAGACTTATCATTAAATGTGAAATTTATCATTGGCATTTTTTTTTTTAATGATTTCAAAAATATTACTAAAATATTTTCGATGATATTTCTATTAGCTCCAGACGGTTGTTGAAATTCCAATGATAAATTTATATATTTCAATTAATTTTAATATATGGATAAAAGAAGTGTTTTATGATTATTGTATGAAAGATATTAAATTGATGAAATTGAGAAAATTGTATGTGTTCAGGCATAGGTATACAATTTTGAAGGTCCTCTGATTTTTTAGAAAATTTAACGCAAAAAACGCCGCAAATGTGATTTCAAATTGGTATTTTCCTCACAAATTTATTACCACCACCACTACCACCACTACCACCACTACCACCACTACCACCACTACCACCACTACCACCACTACCACCACTATCACTACTACCACCACTACCACCACTACCACCACTACCACCACTACCACCACTACCACCACTACCACCACTACCACTACTACCACCACTACCACCACTACCACCACTACCACTACTACCACCACTATCACCAAACGATTCTCAAAAACCATCAAAAGGAGATCGATCTATTGGACATATCCAAAAATTTAAATTATTACATTATTCAATGGTTTATCTTAATTTCGTTTTTACGGAACAGTTATTTTTCTATGGAAAAAAGGATGAAATTAAAATTGAAAAATTTTCATTGACTTTTATAAATACTTGTGGTGAAATATGAAGAAAAAAGGATTTTAAAAATTGATGAAATTATATTATTTTTGATATATATAGATGTCATCAGTATTATTATAATAGTTAGATATGGTTATGTCAGAAATTAATTTTATACTAATTTAAATCCATCATTTCTAAAGAATAATGTTGGCCAGAAATACATTGTGTTGCTTCTGGCTCATTTCAAGCTAGAATTATTCGTTACCATTTTAAATAAAAATTATATCAAAACTTGATTACTTGTGAATTACTGATATTGAAGGTTAATGTAATTAATGATAAATAAAATGATGAAATGAATTAAATGTGAAAAATCAAATATCTAACAAAAGAAAACTGAAAGTTATGAAGAAATAAAAGTAAGTAAATATGAATGGATGGATAAAGAAGAAGGTAAGTAAAATTAAAAAATATTTCAGTTAATGTTGAATGGAGACGATTTACACATGGCAATTGATGTTGTCAACGATCAGCAATTGATGCCAATGCTCTCAAACTATCATACCACTCAACATTTCACGGACACGTTGAGTTACACCGCTAGTAACAATAATACTAACAGTGACAATATTGATGGTGTTAATAATGATAACAATAATGATGATGATTTGAGTAATATATACAGGCATCATAGAACAATACGATTTGTCAGAAGGAGGAAGCGTTTTGGTAATTTGTATTAATCATTTTGATAATTTCTCATCACTTGTCATACTACATCTGAATATCTCATTTTCGTCCGCGGAAATGATAGGGATTAAGAAAGCATCGCGATATGACGGGAAGAATTTTATGGGGAGAAGTTTCATGCTTGTCAAGCAAAGATAACGGTATTAAAGTAAAGCACCAATAGAACAGTTAAGATTGTATATATTATTCATAAAATCTAATGTTATTAGAAAAGATGAGTAGCATGATGCTAATGGATGGATCCGATAGTGCAGATGACTTTTGTTGAAATTTTGATAAAAAATGTGACTTCTAGGGATATTCCAAATGGCACTCAAAGGCGAAATTTATATGAATGAGAAAAAATTATTAATTATTGATAATTGTTGAATTTTTGAAAAACCAATGAACAAATCAAACTGCTCAATAGCAATTAAATCTTTTGGAATTTAATTTTAGCTACAGCTCAAACATCACGATGGGATAAGATGACATCGGATAATGTCCTCAAATTGAAATGGTACATCAGCAGGTACACACGTGATATGCCTCGTTCTGAAATCAGGTATTTTATTTATTAACTGAAATTGCGTAAAATTTGAGTACTTTGAGAGTTCCTGAAAAAATCTTTTGTTTTAAAATGAATATCGATTTGTTTTTTTTTTTTTGAATGAGAGATGCTGATAGATATGCTGAAATGAACTAATTAGTTTAATTAAAAAGATATAATTCATGAAAAAAATTTTCCAATCTCTTAATTTATTTTTTTTAATTTTTAAAATGAATTATAAAGTTAGGCCTGAAAAGTCAATGATATGATTTACTTGTCAGCTTCATAAACCGCTTTTTCTTGCAAAGATAAAACTAGTTCTTCTGATACATACTTCACTTTTTTCCTTTAGATTCATCCCTCAGGTATTAATGAAAGGAATAAAAATTTAACTTTTCCACACCAATATGGGATTAATTTAGGTCAACGAAACATATACATTCTAAATACTCGAAAATTAGAAAATTGGGCCAAATATTTGAATTAATTCGAATTAGGAGCAGTGTTATATGTATGACCTCGACGCTATCGCCTCACCGAAATAATACGTGGCCAGCAAATTTCTCAAAAGGGATGTTAAAAAAAATATTTCTACAATTTATGAAAACTTCTTAAAAATTTTGTTTGAATTTGCAAAAATTATTTAAATATGTAATGAATACTTTGAAATTACTAAACCATTGATGAAAACAGCAATTAATACTATCATATATTGAATAATTAAGATAATTGATATTGACTTATCTGTCTTATATATACTATTATGTTCATTATATATTACTTATCTGACTTATAGTTGGTAATAAATACCATCATATAATTATGATGATTGATACTGACTTATCTGACTTATATATACTGTTATGTGGTAGTAATAAATACCATCATATAATTAAGATGATTGATACTGACTTATCTGACTTATATATACTGTTATGTGTTGGTAATAAATACCATCATATAATTATGATGATTGATACTGACTTATCTGACTTATATATACTGTTATGTGGTGGTAATAAATACCATCATATAATTATGATGATTGATACTGACTTATCTGACTTATATATACTGTTATGTGGTGGTAGTAAATACCATCATATAATTATGATGATTGATACTGACTTATCTGACTTATATATACTGTTATGTGGTGGTAATAAATACCATCATATAATTATGATGATTGATACTGACTTATCTGACTTATATATACTGTTATGTGGTNGGTAATAAATACCATCATATAATTAAGATGATTGATACTGACTTCTCTGGCATATATATACTATTATTATGTGCTGGTAATAAATACCATTATATATTGAACAATTAAGATGATTGATACTGACTTATCTGACTTATATATACTGTTATGTGTTGGTAATAAATGCTAAATTAATTATTAATTAAAAGCAAAATTTTCAAAAATTTTCTCGTTAAAAGCACTAAAACTACAGTAGTCATTTGTTCACAACGTTTTACATTTCCATATAATTCTTCCACATTATTCTCCAGATCACACTATCAAAATATCTCAAATCACAAATTCCTTTGTTCCGCTTTGCAGAAAAATAATTTTCAAATTATCAATAATGTGCTAAATTTTATCTGATATTAAAATACTAGGTTATTTAGTAGGTGATAACTTCAGACTATTTGCTTATCTGATACTTGTATGAGATGTTCTGTAGTAAAAATAATTATTCAACTTAGTAGTCTTCAGGCTTATGCCTATTTGCAAAGTGAAGTACAGCAGTATATATAATATCAGTAAATTGTTATAGCAGTAAATGTCGTATCAGTAAATTTATTAACTAACCTTCTTCACTCACAAATAAACCTTACACAAATCGTATTAGGTTATTTAATTAGAATTAAAATTTGGATTTACATATGATATCTTTAAGTTAGCAGCTATTTTTTACACGATTGATTTTGTCGATTACAGAATCTATTGTGATCTATCGTAAGGTGAAAATATGTTTGATTTAAATGATATATCAACTAATCTAATCTTACCAATACAAACATCAATTCATAATAGCCATATTAAATATTCACACACTGATAAGCTTCTTTAGATATTTTTTATCGTTTATATAATTTGCATAAATATCTATTCAAAAAAAAATATGCTTTACACAGCGATTTACAATAGCAATCATTTTACGACGAATGCGCTCATTCTTCTTGGAGTGAAAGAAAAAATTGATAAATAAAAATAATTTTATGCGTCAATCGATGTATTAAATGGATATGAATAAATAATTCCTTTCTAAAATGGAATAAATTTGTAAATGGACAACAAGCGAATAAGAAATGTCGAAATTTTTTGACCAGTTAAAATTTCAACAATTTAATAATTTGCAATACTGGAAATAGTCATATAGAGTGAAAAAAGTTGGTAAGTTAAGATGTGACAGATGCGCTAATTCTTTTTATTCACAGGTTCGTAATCCGAAAATCGTTTACAATGTGGTCCACGCAGACGATCATTAATTCAATGCCATCTGTAAAGCTTCAGTTTGAGGAAGCAGCATACGAAGATGATGCTGATATTGTAATTCTCTGGGCAGAAGGCGATCATGGTGATGCTTACAAATTTGATGGTACCGGTAATCATACCAATATTTTGGCTCATACATTTTATCCAACATATCAAGAAGATGGTCGTTTGAATGGCGATATTCATCTCGGTCAGTATTTCTGCGAATTTTGATTTGTCAAAGTATTTGTCATTCTATCTGACAAATTTTATCTAAGAGTACTTAAAGTATTTTTGTAGAAAGTATACAACTACTACCAAACGATTTTAAATTCTTTATTTCTAGTAATAAATGACAGAGAAATTTTCATCTAAAAATTGTACACAAATTATTGCAGCTTATTGGATGAGTAATACGCTAAATTTTATTTCATTTATAAGATGAATAAGAATGACAGTTATCCATATGATAATCATACTTTTATTGCCATTAAATTACTAAACATCGAGAAATTTCGAATTAATTTGCTTACATGATCTGTTCAATCATTTAATTTGCTACAATACGAAATGTACACAGTCTCAACAACAATAAGCAACAGGATGCTATTTCAACAATTATTCTATATAGGATGTTTATATGACCTCAAAACTCAGAGCCAATGCAAACATAGCAGGAGATTTATAAGGACAGCAGAGAACAACAAACTTTATTTGTATAATTCACTTTATGCTACGATAAAGTTTAATATAAATGGGGAGCATATCATAAAAGATAAACTCATAATTTCAATATTTATATAATTATTAAATTATTTGTTCAAAAAAAATCATTTTACTCTCGTATTCGGAGACTTTTTTGCTACTTTTTGCTAAATAATTAACTAAAAATTCCCTAATTTTAGCTATTTTTTGCTGTTATTAATTATTTTAGATTCACTTAGGTCTCGTTATTATTATTTTTTTAAATGAACTGATCTTTCTCATATATTTCTTACGAATCAATACGACGTAGTATGTATGACACGTACTTTTAAACGTCTTGTCAAATATCTTAGCTCACTATCGGTATTCCTATCAATCCTAACTTAATGATCACTGATGCTTATTGGAGGAAATTACAAGTCTTTCGTAGGAACGTGTCTTAGTGCGCCGTATTAATTCGTAAGAATATCATGAAAAATAGTTTATAATTGATGTTACCTGAATTTCTTGAGAAATATGATAAAGGATAAAATAAAGGTATCATTGCAGATGATGCGGAAAAATGGATCAGTAGTAGTAAAGGTGATGGTACCTCATTCCCCAATGTATTCATCCATGAAATTGGCCACTCATTAGGATTGGGTCATAGTAAACGTTCAGATGCTATTATGTATCCAATTTATAAGAAGGATATGATCGATAATGCATCCTTTGACTTGGACGACAAATGCGCATTGAATTGGAACTACAGTTAGTAGTTGAGTGATAGATGAAAATTGCGCTTCCGTAACGGAACAGAGATATTTTTGGAAGACAAATTTGAGAGCCATTCTTCGAAATAACTTTCCACACATTTTGCTTGTTGAAAATTTGAGGTGTGAAAATCTGTTGACTAAATTTGGACATCATAATTTTAATTTAAATTAGCCTTGAATCTTGTCTCGAGCGTCGTTGATGGTATCCGAACCTAATAATTTTATTATATTTATACCTAAGTTCGTTTGTTAGAAATCTTCGAAACTCTGAAATTGCTATTGTGAGAGATGTTGTTGTCATTGTTGCTGTTTGTAATTTACATTACTTTAAACTGCACATTTAAAATGTTTCAGTCGGTCCTACCAATCTATGTCTATTTGTATGGTTAATGTCTGAAGTACTACCAAGACAAATCGGGCACAAAGTGAATGATTATGCTTCGGGAGTGAATTTTAATAGTAAGTCAATTAAGTAACATTTCATTCTTGCTTAATTATTATAACAATAATAGAGTGTTTATATCATATCAAATATCTAATGATAAGAATATTTTCCAGTTATTCAAAGGATGACCGAAGATGGAGATTCTCAATCTAAAATAAGTACACTTAAAGAGCAATTACAAGGTAAACTTATCATTATGGTTTGATCTTTGGTCTATTAAAATATGCAATATTAAAAGATAGCAATATTAATTGATTTTAAATTAATTTTAGAAATTAGCATTCATATACGTCTTTTTTGTTTCATTTATTTAATTCTCTTCTTTTCAATTCTCATTTCATTTATTTCCTTACGAATAATCTTTATTCTTTCAATCATAACCTATCTTTCTTCTATCCTTTACCCAATCGTTGAAAACTTTACAGCTATTGGAGTACCATTGTCACTTGAAAAATCTCATCCATGTTGTGGTACTAAGTAATTTCTCATAATTTTCAGTCACTTTAGAAAAGAAGAAAAGAAAGAAAAATTTAAATTTCTTTATTGACATCGTTGAATGATTTTTATGAAGCTTTTTTGTATATTTTATCAAAAGACTGGTTTCATATAAAAATAGTACAAAACAATTTTTACAGTTTAAAAAAATCGAATCGTTAAAGAAATGACAATGAATTTAAATTGAAAAAGATCAAAAGAAAGGGTAAGCCTTTACTTCTTATTACGATCATTTCAATATTATGAAAATATTTCAGAAATGGGTATACCGTTATGCCACGATAATAATAATGTAAGGGAAAAATTCGAGCGTCTTCTAGAAAAGAAACTTAATTTCCCTATTCGATATGCTTCTGAATACGGTAAAGATTTTATTCAGTTTGAAACACTGCATGATTTTTTTTCGTTACAGCTTTTACAGATATCAATCACTCCATGTATAAGGAATTCGAATATTTTTAGGCGATGTGATGTGTAACTTTCTGGCTGGTCTACGAAAACGATTGGATGAATATGGAGCTGATAAGCTCTTTGATCAAGAAACTTTACAGGTTTCATCTGTCGATTATCTAAAAATTTTATCGCAACCGTTGCGATTTCCTTTGCGACGGAAGCAGCGACATCTTCATTCGGAGCGATCTTCCAATCGGCACCACCGTCATCAGCAACAATCTGCGGTTGCGAATTCCATTTTTAATTCGGAATTTTTTACTGATGACTTCTACAAACAATTTTTAATGATTTATGTGCAATAGAAAAAAATCTATGAGAACTTTGTGACCCTTTTTCCTTAATTTCTTTCGGATATCTGATTCCTGCATGACAGATATCAATCGATATTACTGGTACTGACTGATTATCTTATCAGTATGCGCTATAAAAAATTAATAATTTATCAGCATGCCAAGTAATATTATTTCTTTTTATTTTCTGAAAATCATTCACGGTGCTCTATAAATGTTCTTTCGCTTCTTCATTTTCATTCCTTTTGATTTTAGAAAAAATTTTATGTCTTCTATTAAAATGCAATATCGTATTTGAATTTCGAACTACTCATATAATCTTCCACCCTATCCAAACAATCCTAAAATATGCAACTTCAATTTCCTCATCTCTATATTGATCCAATTAAAAAAAATTTATGGTAATATTATCAAGTACAGATATGTTCTAATAATACATTTCAAAACTTTTTGCAAAATTATTTTTTATAAAAATTGAATTTTTTATTTGATCTAACTAAATTCACCTAGTATTCTTTCTCTTGTTGATCAGATCAGGATCTAGTTTTTTGTTATTTGCTTCTTATCTGGTCGAGTAATAATGCGGTACATCTTATTATTGCTTTTTGTTTCATTTGATTTTTGAAAGAACTGAACAATTTAGAGGAATTGTTTTTGTTTGGCTAACTTATTAGGAATGAAAAGTTTGTTTAAACTTTTTGTATTAAATTCTGACTAAGCTATCCGAATTTGATCTCTTCAACCTCCAACCAATTCCTAATCTATCGCGATGTTACGAGACTTTTTTAATTCATTTCTATTCTTTTCACTTAAGTTTATATATAAAATATTTTAGTGTTAGTCATTTGTTTTAAGAATGATTGGCGAATTTTACAACTTGTTAGTCACTAACAAATTTAAAGGAAACTAGTGATAATTATATTTTCAAATTTGAGTGATAGAAATTAAAATTCTTTGGATAATATTTTCAATACTAAATTAATTTCTTGCTTTTCTTTTGTAAAACATTACTTGATTAATCTGATAGGATGTTTAGTTTAGAATGAATTAAATTTCAATTACATTCTTGTCATATTTTCTGCTATTTAAATTAAAGAGAAAATTTATCAAAACAATCAGACTTTCTATTTCAACTACACTTGATGAATACTTTCTTACTATTCGTTTGCATAGTTTACTCTTAGCTTTAGGAATTGCCAGATATAATTCAATTAATTTTAGTTTGTCTTTATCTGTCAAAACTATTCATCTATTTATAATTAGTATTCTTCTACCTATAATTTTCAAAATACTTTGTTTTCCAATACTTACAAACTTTTATTGTAGTCACATAAAACACCAAATAATTGTTAGCCGTACAATTAGAAATTAAAGATTCTTTTTTTTTTCTTTTTTCTTATATATCATTTGAAGTTTGTTGTCATCACTGTTATCACCAGCGCATTACTATAATCATTATATTATAATTTAGCGTGCAAAATGTATTTTGCATTGATAGTAATGGTAAATGCTACGTTTGGGAAGGAATAATTCGAAATGCTTAATGTTATATCTATTTTACATCCATCCCAGAAATGATTTCCATTCCAAAAATGACATCCATCCCAGAAATGATATCCATTCCAAAAATGACATCCATTCCTCAAATTTAGCTTTTGAATTCTAATAAATTAATTTGTAGTTTTGAGATGATTTTGAGGCAAACGATTGATTCTTCCATTTCGTTGCCGCTACTATCAAAAATGTATGTTAATGATTTGTTTCCAATGAATTACCAATGAAAATAAGTGCAATTTTATCTATTTTTGTGCAATAGTGAAATTTATATAGTTGTTTGTTGACTTTGAACTTTAACCTTTTATTCTTTTCAACGATAATTATTTAACTATCCGAGAATGCGAATTCGTGGACTTTCTCTTCTGTTCGACGATTATTATTTGGGAAATGTTAGTAACAGTTTTATGACTTTTATTAGTGACAATTAGTTAATTAATACAACATTCATAAAATCAGCTATGATGATAATCTATCGAATGATATGATTAGCAGAAGGAAGCGATCATTTGTTCTATCTTTAAAAAGTGATAAGTTCACGTAGTGAAGGAGATAAATGAAAGCCTAAAGAAGAAGCTGATAATTGGGCATATAACTGTATATTGTTTATATGTAAAATCTAGGGTTAGGTGAAGTAAAGTAACGCAGTGATAATTCAAGGTATCTTATGGAATAAGAATTAATTATTAATCTTGCGATAGATAGATTGTATTTTGAAAATTAGTTTGAAGTAGTCATTTGAAAGAATTACAAGAAAAAAATTTAACATTCCATAAATAATCATCAGAACTAATAATTCTTATTGATTATCAAAGGGAAACATTATTAAAGTAATTATTAAATCATATTAATATTGTAATTCAAAATTAACCAAATAAATATTTTTTGGTGAAATTTGAAACTGACACTTACAAAGATAAAAGTTGTAAGTTTGTAAATTTTAGTTCAAGTCTCATTAAGATACAATAAATTTTTTAAAAAGTATAAAAATGTATATCATAATTCGCTATTATAAGAATCCATCTCGTAAATGAAAGAATTGGAATGTTACGATATCATTGGACGGAGTTGGATAAAGTTTCGTTGAAAATTGTCGTAGACGAATGAAAATAAAAGTTTTGCAAATATTTCTTTTTCTATCATTTTCGGATAGAGCTTTTTTCAAGTTTTTAATTAAACTTCTTTATAAAAATTACCAATTTATTAGCAAAATATTAATTAGTGCTATTCCAAATCAAATAAATTTTTACATAAATTTAATTCATATATTAATTTCAGGAAAGTGGTAGAACTAATAAAACATTTAGCATAATTTATTATAGTAATTTTTCAAATTATACAATGCATGCAAATAAATATTCGAATAATTATAATAACAACTGCTTGTCAATTAACTTTAGTGCTATTTATTAGTTTAAATTGTCAATAATTAATGATTAGCCTAATTTCTGCAATTTACAATTATGCAAATTGATGATGAAATATTTCAAAATTTTGGAAAAAGTGAATAGAATTCTTTTTTTAATTTCTTCATTATACTATCATTATAAATATGTTTGATTAATACTATTATAACGCAAGAGGAATATAGTTTCAATGAATAAATATTTTATTAAATTGTTCAGATTTATTGAAAAAAAAACAAATTAATTAGCATTCGAATTAATTATCATTAATTACCAGTTTTCTTCAAATAGAATAACAAAGAGCATTTTTCACATATTTTAGAAAGTCTTTGGATAGAAGTGATATCAATTCACTTTTTTGACATTTCTCATATCACACAATAATACATATACAATAATAATATATTGCATTTAAATTGGAAATGATAAAACTATAAATTATATGAAATTGAAAATTGAAAACAGATCATTGTAACTGTTCACACTTAAGATATTCTGCATTTTCTCATAATCATATCATTGATTTTATTTATTATCCTTCATTTATTTTAGATAAGATATGATAATTCCTGAATATGCTAATCAGAAAAATTCTTCGTTTTGCTCTTTTTGTTTTATTTAATTTATAATGTTAAAACCTTGTTTTCACCGCCTATTCCTATTTCTAAGTAATTTTTCTTGCAAAATTTTCTCATCATCAATTCATTCCTATCCTGAATTTCTCAATTAAAATACTTATTATCATCTTTTTTGCATAATTCAAAAATTCTTTATTTCTCTTTATGTAACTTATCTTGATTGATTAATTATGCAAATTTTTTGATATAAAATGATATCAATTTTACTACTTTGTCGAGGAATTTAAATTTCAAACTTTTTCAAACAAAATATTTTGCATGAAAAAAAGTAACTTTTTTTTAAATCTAAAATGCATTATGTTCTTTTAGGGGAAATTTTTTTATCGTTGAATAAATTGTATTGATGAGTGAGCGACCTTCACGCTTTTCTTGAATTCAAGAAATTCCGGGTGGCGCTATCTTTTAACAATTCTGAAATTTTATTTCAATCAATATTTATCATGTTTAAGCATTATTTATCATATCTAATCAATATTTATCATGCTTTCAAATAATCAAAAAACTAAAAAATTATGGAAAATTTTTTGCATATATTTGAAAGAAATGAAAAATTTTGCTTAGCCAAATTATCAACTGATAATGCAATGGTACTTCTCATATTAAATTCACTTATTCGAATAAATATCAATAAAGTGAAAACTTAAAAATAAGAATAGAGGCTATTTTGAAATTGTGGTAAAACTGTGATAATAGTAGAAATACAACAAAATAAGATGATAAGTACAACTTCAATGATAAGTGCAACCGGTAAGTACAACCTTAATGGTAAGTACAACCGTGTTTTTCATTCAACTTTTTTTCTTCACCGTATGATTTTGCAATCTCTTTAGTTTTGCAATTAATTGCAATCAAATTCTATGAAAATTTATTCAATACTACTTTACGCATAAATTAATAAGTACATAATATTATATCCTAAAATTAAGCTATTCATTTCTTCAAAAAAAGATAGTTATCATTTTTTAAATGAAAAATTAGCTTACTGTAACACTGAATCATTTATTATCTAAGAAAAAAAGATTAATCTGAGAGAGTTAGAAAAATTAAAATTGAAAATTATTATCTTCTGAAAATTCTTTAAAAAGCCAACAACAACTTAAAATGAAAAAAAGGCGATCTATGGTTTATGAGATTTGTTATGATTTTTGGGTCAACTGATAAGGTATTAAAGGATTCTGATAGCAAATGACCTTATAAATCTAGTGTATATTTGTAATTTTACACTAAATTTTACATCATTTCAAGTCTCTTGAAATGAACAATATTTAATAATTTTTATACAGTAGATGATTAAAATTGATTTGCTCATAAAAGTTATTTGCTGATATAGTGACCTTGAAGAGTTCCTGATAGATGATAAGTTAACTTTGTCAATCTTTTCTTAAACACTAAATTTCTTCTCCTTTGTAATTGTAATGAATTTCTTATCACTCATATAAACAATGTGATAATGTTGATAATAAAATTGGAAGAAATTAGTAAAAGAAAAATATAAGCAAATATGAATGCATAATTATTATTCATCCAATTTTTTTATTCTTTCCTTCGTTAATTTTCCATTTTCATTTCGTTTCGTTCATTGTCATTTTACACCAAATTTAATTTCTGCCATTTACTCTAAATATTTTACTGATTTGATCTATCAGCGATTTATAATAAGTTCATTGCATTGAATTGAAATTATTTAAATTTTGGAATGAAGAGAAGGTAGCAAAATTTTTTCTCAAATTCAATTCCAATCAGTGTAGTTTTGACATGTCCTGATTTTCATTTAAAGATTTTAATAAGAAATCAATGAATTATATTTTAAACATAAATTAAATAAAATACAGCACAACAATAGAAGCATGAAACATTAATCAATATATTAAGATTTAATTAATTCCAATTATTTATAGCAAATAAGATGTCAAGTGGAAAGTTATCGTTCACTAAGCTATTATGTATTGTTTGTATCAGTAGTCTGACATGTTTCTCATGTTTATTTGCAATCACCGCTCTTATCAATGGTCTAAGGGTACCAAATATCTGAATAGATGAATAAAGTATGATTAGTTGACAATATCACCATCTAGAAGAAATAATTTTCTTTTGAATATTACAACATTAATCATTACTACGCTTTATAGCCAACCATCCGGCGGATTCCATCCATACATAGTAATCGTCCGATTCGTTAATTTTATAAATTCTTTCTGGCAATCAATTTTCGTTTTGCCTATAAAATATATTCAGATAAGAAAAAAGGAATAAATATTATTATTTGAATTTTTGCTCAAAATTTACTGATATGTAGAAAATTAATTAAAGTGAAACAAAAATTTTTTGGGCTCAAAGAGCTTTTTTCGAGGTGATTCAAGAACTTTTATAAGTTCTATATTTATAATGAAGATTTCCTCATCTGAATGTCTTCATTTGCATTACAGGATAAAACTTTTTATTGTTCTAGCAAATATCATGTTTAATGATAATAAATACTGATAAATTAGAAAGAAGAAAATAAAATTAGGAATGAAAGAAAATTTTGAATAGATCACGAATAAAACAACAGATTACTAAACTAAAGGTAGTAGTAATAAGATAACCTCTCCAGAAAAATGAAGGAATGGGCAGGCATAGTTAACTAATAAAGAATAAAATAGATAAAACACCTTGAAGTTTCTTCCATTCTTCTGCACATTTCAAACGTTTGTTTCCATCTGAAAATATGCATTATATAAAATACTGTATAGTTGTTTATCAGCTTTATTTAAAGCTGAATCCTTCTAGTTAACAAATCGTCTGTCATAGTTTTTCATGAACCGATATTATCAGGATTAGTTTTGAGTCATATTCCGGATAATTCTCATCATTTTAATTTTAACTATTAGATATTTTATTTCATTTACTTTAATTTCTGGTTATTGCTTTACAACATTTCATGAAAAAAAATCTTTTTGAATTGATGAATAAATTAAATTCAGTGATTTCTCTAAAAAAAAGAACATACGAAGCAGCCTACACTTTTGATTTAAAGCTTTTGCATTTTTATCACTGAACATTGAAACTATTTTTGAATTGTCGTATCGCAGCAATAGGACTTTTCAACAGTTGTTTTAAAATCTAAATTTTTGTGTAACCCAACAACTATTTTTGAATAACTTACCGTAATCGCCTACAGTAATTTGCATGTAAAGTGCATCCATCTGTTGTACAATTTCGTCGGGCACATCAAAATGACCATGTTTTCCTTTATAACCAGCTCGGGACATTTTATAAATTGCATTTGCAAAATCCTAAAAGTTAAATATATTTTATTTTTCAAAATCGCCTTTTTGCTTTTATAGACAGAGCATTCTCACAATTCAAGGAAGCAATAAATGATATATTACCGTAGTCTGCCATAGCATTTATAAAAATTGATATAAAATGGAAATAATTAGGATAATAATGTTTATAATCTCTTAATAGTAGTATATTCCTATACTCTATTTGATCGATGAATAGTATTAAATTTCAGTTTCCCGATACTAATTTATCAAATCAATATATCCCGAAAAGAAGGATACATGAAGAACAAATAGGAAAGTTACAAGAAAATATCATTTATTTGGAAGATTTCAGGATTACTGAAATTTTATAAGAAAATGAAGAAAGAAAAAACGTAGGCAATTAATCATTCCCAAAATGAATTTCACATATTGTAAAAGAAGTCAAAATTCACATTGACGTAAGAAACATAATGAAACAGCGTTTTTTTCCTACGTGACAATTTATTGCATTTCATTAGGAAATTTCAGCGATCGTTTTTCATACTGTTGAAATCTTTTTTGTCATTTCTTTTTCTCTCATAAATTTTCCACTAAAATCATTTCTTTAATTGAAGTAATATGAAAGAGTACGCAAAGAAATCTTTTCTTTCCACCCTTTACTTTTTTCATTCTATGCCTTTTATTCCTTTTTTTCCTTCGATAAAAAAATTTGATGTTTTGCAAAAAAAAAGAAGAAATGAAATTAGACAAAGCAATTATGAAGGTTTGATAAATATTAATATTGATTTTATTCTATTCTGATAAATTCAAGCTTAAATTATAGTCTTCTAATGAAATAGTGATAAGATTCAGTATCATGATAATGTTGAAAATACATATTTGTATTGATAGGACAGAAAAAAAAAAGGATATTTGCTTGAAAAACCATAGGGAAAATTGAAAGGATACAATTGTTATCAATTGTAAAAGATAATTAGCAAATTTTTTCGAAAATAACATTTGCATCAGTTAATTTATTATTAAACATTAGCATACTATATAAATTAAAAATTATGGTAAACGTTTTAATTTAAATTTGCATAATTTAAAAAGGAATAAAGGCTGTTACCTTATCTCTCCATAAATCCTTATCTTCCTGATGTCTTCTTTCCCAATATGCTTCAAATTGTTTCGCTTCTTCTTCCGCTTCTACCTGTTCCCGTAAAAATGTCAACCATCTGAATGAAAATATGAGCATTTCATATAATTAATTTATTAAAAGACTTAAAGAGATGTTATTCAATCTTTCACGATCAGAATAATAATGCCCAAAAATTATTAAAACACGTCTCCTGTTTATCAGATTAGATGGTGAATAATTATCATTCGTGACAGCTCGATCTTTGATCTTTCTAACTTCTCAGTGATTGTGCTAAATAGTATTAATATTGAAATTAAAATGCAAGTAAAAGTATAATTGAACAAATTATTGATAATACGAGCATTATCGAAAGCTTTTTTTATTCTTTTAATATTTTCTGCAAGATTTTTGTGTGTGCAAACAATACAAACAATATTTTTAATATTGAAACAATTATTGGAATGAGAAGTAGGATAAAATAAGCTTTGATTATCTCAACGTCGGATAAGTTCTGATCAAGCAGATTATTAGTAACTGAAGTTAATCTCTAAGATCGAAATATTATAGCTATAAAATGAATTAAGTTGCGGAAGTGACGATTTTCCTCATAGCACTAACTGTATTGCATTTATTTTTTATAATATATAATTTTGCAAAATAACCTCAAACGAGCCTCATTGTTCTTCTTGTTTCGACGAATAATCAATTTTTCAAGTTGCTTCATAATAAATTCGTCATCGACTTCATTCGGCAGCTCTTCTGACTTTCTATTATCAGAAATTGCTATATCATCTGTAAAATCATCACTCACCAAACTAGGAATTTCGTCAACTTCGCTACCTAGTTTGTTGGCATTTTGTTCATCGGCTATTATATCGTCCCGGGAATCAGCAGAATGAATGTTGGACGCAAAGTTTAATTCCGAATCTGATCCAGACAGTTCCAATTCCCTTTGATTATATTTCGCATCCGCTGCAACATTTAACTCGACGTCGCTACTTTCATCATCCATTTCATCCGAAGAATCCTCACTGGACATTTTTGGGAAGGAACGTTCACTATCACTCGATGCCCAGTGGTTATTAAAGTAATCAGTTTCATCGCAATTACTTGTATAACTCATGTCTTTGAAAACTCCGAAATTTGTGACAACCTTCCACTAAAATCTTGAGCTTGCGGAAAGATAGTGCAGCAGATCTGCAACCAAGAATGATGGTGAGGCCAACAGCACGTTAATCACTAACAAATCGGTTGATGATCCAACTTATGTCAGCTTATTATCCCTTCCATTGACTCCTCTAACTGAACCATTTCCTCTCCCTTATCTGAAAATGTGAAATAATTCTGAGACAAAAAACATATTTATGCATAAATTTTTAAAAGATGAACAACTTTAAACAAGAAAGTTTAAAGATAAAAGGTCAGAAAGGAAAGCACTGCATGACAGAAATCGTGAGGGACAAAATCTCTAATTTACAGAGAATTGAAGCCAATAATGTGCATTCCACTTCATGAGAGCAGAAAATTAGCAAAGATTTGGTTCAACTTGAATTATTTTTCAAGCCCAATAAGAAATATTTAATCCATTTTTCACACTAAGCTGTCATTTATGATTGAAAATCTTTCTGCCTAATAAGATCATATTATACCTATTATACCCTCGCTGGATAACATTATTTTCAACTCGAATACTTTTTTTTTTGGTCTTTTTTGACGCTGCAAAAATTGACTAATCAATTAATTATTGAGATTTTATGCTATCCGCATTGAGAATTCGAAATATATCTTGACTCTCAAATACCCTCCCATAGTACATAATTTTGTCTTTGGTAATCTACAGAAACGATAAATCATGGAAGACAAGCTTGGCCCTGAGAGAAATATTCCTTTACTGAAGTTGCTAAAATGAAGATTTCTCAGAAAATAAAATATTTTTTTCTATTTCCTTTACTTATCACAATATGAAGACGAAATTTGCACAATATCAAGCAATGAAAGTTCCACAGCTTCTATCATAAAATATACATTTTAATACTCGTACATGTCTAAAACGACGTGGCACTGAATAAAACGACAAATATTAAAATAATTAAAACTAGACATAGAACAAAGTAATACGGTACAACTGTTTTTTAAAAAAAAAGTATATATTCCAAATACCATTCGTCATGTCACAGAGGATTTCTTTCACTGATTATTTTTCAAGCAGCACTTCTGATGCTGTAGATAATTTTTTTTGCATCTCGAGCTTAAAAAAATAATCAATAGTCATGCCTGCCGCCATAAAGCGTTATGGAATTAATAACTATCAATATTTTCAAAAGTGATTTGAAAATATAAAAAAAAATATGTTTAATTCTGCCATCACTTTCATCATTTTCTTACTGTTTTATCTGCTCATTTTCATTACAAATATTTTAAACCTGTCTCAACCTGTCTTGATCATATACTTTTACTTTTCTTGAAGGTAATTTTATAATCTCAACAAAAATTACCTTTTCCAGCGCAATATCGCATGCCTTCGACTCTTCTCTCCTTCCTCTCCGTCTTGCAGTTCTTATTTCTCGAGCAGCAGCCTTCTGCAAACTGCATACTTTTTCCTGAAAGGTAAAAAACTTCAACCTACACACTCAGGGCAACTTCCCACAAAAAATAGGAGATAAAAAAATAAAAATTTTAATCAAGAGAATTTCTAACGTTGCTTGATTAATTAACAGGCCCAGCTCTAGTAATACATTTCTTTTTTCTTTTATCAAATGTACGGAAGAGACCATTCTTCGTGTCAAAGGAAACATCAACACTACCAATTATTCAGTTGCACATTTTCAACATAAAAGGGACTTATCTTCATAATAAAGCAACTTTCATTATCATATTTTCGTAATCACATAATATAAAATAAAAAATTATAAAGTCATTTTCCATTTTCTTCGAAAATCAAAATCAGAATCTAACCTTCAGTATGGGTAAGACATCTGGATCTGTCTTGAACAAAGTCATGAAGACACCACCTGGAGTTCGTCGACGTGTACCGTCAGCAATCATCATACCACCAGATGCTTCTATTCCGCGTGTTGCTTCAAACAATTCTAAGGCTTTCTCTTCTCCTATTTCGAGTATTACGCTGTAATAACTTTCAATCAAGGACCAACTTTTACTTTAAAAAAGCAAAGAGTTTGATGCATGTGAATAATGAATAATCTGTAAAAATTAAATAGCCTATAAAAATTATTAAGTGAACCTTACATAGCAAATCAAAAAGTTGAAGACGTGAATCGCTGAACTAATCTCTTGAAACATTTATAGCTATCTCATAAAGTGTTTCAAGGTTTGTCAAGAATGAAGAAGGCTGCTTATCAGAGAAGTCCAGTAGCGTCTAATTATCCTCCATTTCCCAAATAACCAGAACCGCGTTCCAGATTAAAATTTAAATATATATCCCCTCATGAAAAAATTTCAAGACACTAGCCTCCGCAAAAACTTTCCATTCCGTTCGCCTAATGCTGTAACAATTTGTTCAGCCAATTCGACAATACTAATATTTTCTGGAAAATCCGCTGCCAACAGCGCCTCCAATGAATAATTATCACTCGGCACTGAACTTAGATTTTGGTCATCTCTTCGACGCTTTAAAGAGTTATTTCCAATGTGCCTGGTGACTCGACCACTGTCCTCTGAAATTGGGCAAAACCTTAAAACGCACTTATTATGTTCTGCATGTCAACTTATAACAATTTCTCTATAAGCAAAAAAAATTCCTAGTTAATATTGGTTAGACTAATAAATATGTCTAGCTGTAAGTGCAAAAAAACTTCTGGGCGAAGATTAACATAATGTAATGAAGCTTATAATCTAAAATTATATTATTCTCCAACTGGCATTGTTGAGAATCTCCAGTCTTAACACATAAAACAAACTCTTATTTGGGTTGTAGTTATTTCGTCTCCGTTTTCCACTGCTCCGCGAGGTGCTTCGTGATATGGAAGCAAAATGTTTCCACGATTCCCTGGTGTTTTTTTCCTGATTAATAGAACTTACTGGCCCTTGCCTATTGCGACTTCTTGACTCACGACCGCATCTATGTGGACATTTTTCGTGCTGAAAGTACTGTTAGCTTTCTAACATAACTAATTGCATTTACTGCCAATACCCATTTAGGCCTCTCTCATTCAACGCCATGATAATATGAAATACTGATAACAAGAAGAAATTTATACATTACTAAAAAATATCGCACCCAGTCTGAAAAGTTTTTGACTTTTTCTGTCAGAGATAAAATCAAATATCATTCGCAGCTGATGAGATTGGATGATTCTACAATTGAGTTTTCTTGATGAATGCTTCAAAGTCTTTATCTTTAAGAATCAAATATGCCTCTACCTCTGGCAAAATATTATGCGGTGTGAAGTTAAGACATTTTTGAATAAGTTTTATCACATTTCACATCAAAACATTGACTATGACTTTTGTAAGAATCAATGCGTTCCAACTTCATGCCACTAATCTAATTTGTTCCCTCAATACATTGAAACTGCAAAAGAAACGCCATTACCTTTTGGTATCCCATTTCTTCATCACTGATACATCGTGCATCAGGAAGAATATAACTTTCAACACCACGTTCCACCACGTCATTCTCACCTCTATACACTCCAACTTTGTCCGAAAATGTTTCTGAGAGACTTTGCTCAGCCAACAAATCAGTCCACATCTGTGCAGCCTTGCTGAAAATAGGTGTTCCTTCATTCTTCCCAAAAAACTCTGAAGTACTTTCATACAGACCAGTCCCAATATCTGAAATTTTACCTTCCTGCTTTACAGTTTTTCATCGTGTCATCGGCACTGTCTAACTTTTGTTCTTTGCGCAGAGAGGGCCCTTCATCATCACTCGATGACTCATCGCAACTTCTATTCACACGATACATATTCTGAAATACATTGCGATTGAACTCTAAAATCAGCGCGATTTTAACAAATAATAAAAATCACGTTTCTACATTGAAAAAAAGAAAAATGTTTATATATCAACCATATATCAACTAACCGTTTATGTATCAACTATATATCAACCCGTTTATATATCAACTAAAAATATTCTAAATATTAAGTAAAAATATTGAAATATAACAACAATATCAATGAAAGCAAACGTCTTGACACTTTATTAAAGGTCGATTAATATAATACAATGGTCGGTTCCCGCAATTCAATTCAACCAAACACGAGCCCTGCTTTATATTTCAGTTTTCTGCTGAGCATTCAGTTTGTCGTTTCCGATGCAAAAAGAAAAGAAAAACTAAAAAAGATATAGTTCCAGCTTTCAAAGCTGCATTTGCATCAAATAATTATAAATACTGCAAATGGATTTAGATAATTTATAACAGTAAAAGAAAAAGTAATGAATTATTTTATATCAGCAATTATTTTAAGAATATAAATAGCAGATTCTCTAATTTTTTATACATAGCACCATATGAATACAATACCGTGAAAATTTATCAAAGAAAAAAACTAAAACTGATATTGGAGGCAAATTATTCCTCATATAAATATTTTTTTATGAAGCGAACAAAAGAAAAATAAATAATATCAGGAAAAAGTTTTTCATACGACAAAAAGTTTACATGAAATCTCCCACACAAAAATCCATAACGTTTGTAAAGATGGAAATTGGACAAAAATGACGCATAAAAGGAGCAGTCTAACTTTTACTGAAATTTCGTTGAAGAAGTTGAGACGAACTACAAAATTCAATCTATAGCATACAAAACACTGAAAAGTAGAAAACCGTAGAATCTAAAAATATGAATACAGAGGTGCGAAAATTTACTCTAATATCATAAAAAATTCATGAAACAATACAACTGCTTTAATATTAACATCGAATTAATAATTTCTTTTAGCCTTTATTATGCATATTTCCCCAACCACGACGATGATCTGAAACAAATTCTCTGATAAAGTTATGATGAATGCAATTTCTTTCATGTGATTTCATTACTACGTGCTCGATCGCCATCTGCACTTGTTCTAGAAGATAAATCACTTGTGAAACATGAAGTGAGACCTAACATGATATCAAGTAACACACATACTTATTAAAATGCAATACTACTTACGATCCTTATATTCATCCCATCTTTGGAGACGAGCCCGCTCCTGCTCCTCCCTTGTTTCTTCATCCATAACATTTGAATCGGAGTTGTCTTCTGATGAGCCTGGATTCATAGCACCGAATCTGGAAAACTTATTTTAACAAGAATTTTATAAACTCTGCAGATGATTTTTAAAAGTAGATTCGAAATTTAATACTGCATAGACACTTTCTTTGACTTGACATCTTGAAAAACCGATATCCGAGATGCTCAAAAAGATGTCATTACCTTCCATTTTTCATCATGTCATCATACCATTCGCTTACAGTTACCGTCGGTATGCTTGGATATCCCAGACCAAAAACTTCCTTCTGCATTTGATCTCGAGCTATTATGTATGGAGTTGGCCCAAAGCGGTTCACTACAAAACAAATTTTAAATATCTATTAAATTTCAATTCACAACTTCACCACTTAATATCAATATTTTTCCACTTTTCCACTGATTGTTTTTGGAATGGAAAAAAAAGTAAAAAATGAAAAAATCTTTGAATGAATAAAAGTAAAATGAATAAAAATGAAAAGATTCATCCCACTCAGCATTCCGGAACATGATGCAGTAGAGCGGGAAGAAAGGCTCAATGTCTCAAACTACATTACGCCTGGAGTAGTAAACATGAAGTGCCTCATTTATCATATAGCAGTTTATTTTCTCTTTACATATTGATCCTTTCACTTACCTGAGCTCAAAGCCGAAAATAAAAAAAGAAAAACATACTCGGTCGTTTCGGTAAAGCTTCAGCTTGTCCTGTTCGGATTTTCAACATGTGCTCTACCACTGACCTTTCTTGATTAATTTGTCCTATCTCATCAAGACTTTTCATTGCAGCAAGATGCAAACGATTTACAATCAATTCGCGCTAACAAAGAAAAAAGTTTTAAGTGTACAAATTTAAAAACTGACGATACATTATTGAACTAACATACACAATTAATTCCTCTCTTCAACATCTATTATTTACTATTGTTTCTGAAAAAGCTTTTCTAGTCCTATTCAAATCCTATTTCATTAAGGTAATTAAATATCTATTCAGCAAATAAGTAATTCGGTTAGTGTTGGCATAATATTCCCTTTCTACCTAATTTCATATAAATTAAATCTGAACTAGTACATCAAACAAATCCATAAATATAACCCTCACCTTTAACCCGTCGTCATCTGCATTTGAATACAACTGCAACTCGGATTCCGAATTCTTCACTAATTCTTCCAATTCCTTTTCTCGTTGAAATCGTCGCAATTTTAATTCTCTCTGTTTAGAGAGATTGATATTATGCCCGGACTTTTCTGTTTTCATTCCTCCATTGCCTTCGACTGCTTCTGACAAGTCGAAATCAATAATGTTGTATGCCTTTAATCTTCCCAAAAAGTCTTGTAAATATATCTGGAAAAGTAGCTCATCTACACAAGTCATATATTTTCAAATATAACTTGGCATGAAGAAAATGGGAATACTATGTTGCTACATACAAGATTTCCACTTGTTCAAGCCTATGTGTAAAAAGGAACAGACGAAAAGAGTACAAAAAGAAACCTTGAAATGTCTAAAAAGAAGCAATAAAATGTGGAATTCAAGGGCTGACACTTTTTGATGGTTACATCGATTTTCTAAATGCTGCTCAAAATTACAGTCGGAAGTATATATATCCAGAAAAGTTTTCCATTTTTCCCGATCCAAACGTTATCTTGGATTTAAAGAAAACCGGAAATGAACCTTGCATTGATTTAAGAGAAAAAGGCAACCTTTGCGCGGTCCAGAATTAAAAGACGTTCCTCTGGTTTAACGATAATATTTTGTGTAACTGTAGCCAAATAATACGGTAGGAATAGATAATTCAAAGAGTTAGTCGGCAATTCGTCAACACTTTCGTTATTACTGAATAACGAAAGAGCGGATACTTCCTTCGTTAAAAGTTTTAATTTCTCTTCACATTGCTTCAACTGATCCTGCAATATCCGTCTTACTGATAATTTCGTCGGATACGAAGATTTCATAGTTTTTTTGTTTATGGTTATACTGAGTCACTTGAGTTAATAAAAATTAATCAGGTTTGACCAAATTTTTGACTTCACCTGTAAATCCTTTGTACTTTGCTTTCCATTTTCCAACTGCTTGATAATATCTTCGCAAAATTCAAATTTGTGCTGCAGTGAAATATCGTTTCGTTCGATATCATCCATGATAGAACGGTTTTTATAAATTGACCTTAAACATTAACAATCCGACAGAAATATATATGAGATAAGAGCTAAATCTCCTAACTAATGCTATCTTTCCGCATTGCCGTACGCATGGATACTTCCATATGTTTAACTCACACACCACCTTAGGAGTGTATCACATTATCTTACCTTCTAATTTATACGCCTATTTTGAAGCCTCACCACTCTTTTCTCACCTATTGGTCTATTCGCGGTTCACCACGATGACAGCTTTTTCTATACGCTCGGTTTGAAGTAACAAATGGAAGCAATTGTAGTAGGGGTGGCTTATTTATTGTAAAATAGATGAGGCGTGGTTTATGTCCATCCAGATTAATTTCAGGTCAAACGATGTCAAAGTGGGAGAAGTACGCGTTGCAGGCAGCTGCCATTGTCGGCATAAGCGTATATCCTAGTGTTTTGATAGCATTTCATAATGGCATGTAAGTCTTATTAATGCTGATAAAGGATATGGAATGATGACAATTTCGATAGGTCAAGCATGTTTAGAACTGTCAGAAGCAATCTTTGGTATCCTTAGTTTAGTGTATGGTTTAATTTTATATCCGAAAGAATTTAGACATGTGCAATTCGTGAACTTACTATTGTTTTACTTATATTGAATTTTCCATTTTTAAACTATTTTGCCGTATGGAAAGGTTTTGTAAACAAAGCACATCAAGAAATCTACTGTTTCATCTTACTGGTAACTTCCAATTAAGGATTAACTTCGGAAGGAGGGTTATCGCTTACAATGTTCCTGATGAAATTGTGGATATGGTAGAAAGTGAACTGGACAAATTAAAGAACTTGTTAATGAAAGCAAGTGTAAGCAGTTCTCATTCTGTTTTATTCCACTCATAGCAATGATCCCTACACGTATATGCGATCTGTGATAATTTCAACTTGTTCGATGTCAATAAATTAGTTCTCATTTATTGGTCCTTTTATTTCTGCTTGATTTTATTGACTTTCTTCAATAGGCTGGATAATGATTTGATAATTCAATTATTATTGGCCATTGTCAACATCTTATCCAAATTTCATTTGATTTGAGGCGCGACATTTCTATTCAATACGAAAAATTTATTATCAAAGAAACTGAATTAAATTAAAGAAGTCAAGTTTGGTCTTGCAAATGAACTTACATATTTGTCGGCTATATGTTTAGTCGAAGTAATCTACTTAGTTTTTCTCTAGGCCAACGTTGCCGTGACCGATTCACTGAACCCAGAATGGCGTGGAGGTTTTTATTTTAGAAATGGTTTGGAACTATTATTACCTTTACGTGCTGTAGCAAAGAATTTATCCGAATTGCCAAAAATGAAACGTATTGTTAGTATCAAAACGAATGATTTCTTTTCAAGGTTTGTGCATATTTATAAAGTTTTTCCTTCGATGCAGAGATGGGCAATTACTTATTTGAATTTATCTTTTTTCCATGAATGACAAACTTTTTTGCATTATTTAAAGTGTCTTGTGAGCTTTGTGTAGTATAGGGTAAGGATCAGCAGAGCAGTTTTTATTTAATCTGTATATATAAATGAAATTAATCTTGGTTATTAAAGATTATAACTGCTTCAATTTATAGCAAGAGGAAATTTTTGGATACTACAACAGATATTGGGAAGCATATATTTGATGGCTACTTTCTTTCGGACGCAGCTCGGCGCTTTCTTATCCGGCGCGAGTTACTTAGAGCTAATAGGTATTAAATGATTATCATTCGGCATTCATATTCTTGACACTCATATTTATGTTTCTAAATTAGAATGTTCAATATTTTCATTTTTTTAATTCAACACATTAAGTCCAAGATTATACTTTTAATAATTCTTAAAATTTTATTTCGAATCATGTAAACAAAATTTAATCTAATTATCTCAAAATAATTAAATTCAAGTTTCATAAGCACATTTTCAGCCGCCGATTTATTTTGGTGCCCTTTTCCATGTGGGTTTTATTGTCAGGTGTTGTATGTTTATCCTTCATTTCTTTGATGCGTTATGGTCGCATCGTTTCGTATGGTTCTTTAGCAATGTTGATACCGTTGGCAGCTATTTGTTTTCGGAATGTCATAAGAAACTTCTTCTCATATAGTGAAATGTTGCTAGACTACGATGCTTGTGCGGAGTAATTTTTCCTTTCATTCCTTTTTGCAAAAATTGCAGGTGTTATAGAGGTGCATCCTAGAATTTTATGTTGAACCATCCATATACTTTTACATTTTTTCGTCATACATTTTCCACATTGTCGGGAAATCGAGGAAATTAATTGTGCAAGTTTAATAATGGCAGATCTCTTCGAATCATTCCTATCACTATTTGATGAATGATGGATATATTAAAATAGTTAATCTCACTTTATATTTTTCTTTGCTGCGATATAAATTCCAAAATCCAGTAAGGTCAGCATACTCGCAGCAACGAGAAAGTAATTCAGCGAAGGACTCAGTTCGAAAAAATTGATACGCTGAGAAATTAAATCAATTCACTAAATGTTAGGTTTCAGTTCTCCGGAATATATGGAAGGTGCACGTCAATATCTGAACTCATCAATTGCAACAAATTTAAGGATACGCAATGCTCTAGGTGATTTGCAGTCGGAATTTATTGCACCGAACGGTGATAGTGTCGGCGATCCATGGCCTTATTCGAAGCGATTGAAAGCTATTGAAAAATTAGCCACAGAGAAGTTCCAGAAAAAGCAAAATCATCAGTAATTCGCATGAGTGGATTTAACGCACCAGCGGTTATCCCTCTTTCAGTTGCCTGTGGAAGGTTAGCGAAATAAATATCTTGAAGACATTGAACATGAAGAGACTGCTGTATAACTTCACTTCTTCAGAAATTTTTGCATCTAATGAATTAGTTACTTTTTAGGCTTTATTTCCTGTACGTCACAGGGTTTCCCCCTCATCTTGCTCAATATGTACCCGTTCAATTGTTTTTACGACAGTAATATTTCAATAGGTTAGCAGTATAATGCGAAATCTTGCCCTTCTTTCAGTAATGTCATTTGTATAAATAAACACTTCATCATTTATCGTTTAATTATTAATTTTTCTTTGCTTTTATTTTTTGATCTTTTTAATGTTGGATGTATAATTATGTTATTAGTCTTTTATTTATTGCAGTCTTCAGTTCTGAGGACTTATGATCTTTGTTAAATATAAAATAAAAAGAAATATATGTCATTAAAATTTTAATGATTGAGAAGTGTTAATGCTGTAATTTATCAGTTCATAAATTATTTTTCTTTTTAAAAATTTTTTTCTAAAAAGTTACATCCATTTGCAATAGCTTTTGTTCATTGTGCGCAACGTTTGGGTTTTCAGAGCAGTAAATTATAGCTAATGAAATTACCAGCGCATATAGATTTAGTTGCAGTTCCTGTTTCGATCAATGAGTGCAGAGTTTCTATGGAAGATAAATAGACGGTGGGCACGACCTGTACGTGTTGGTATAATCGTATCAACGGTAATAGCAGTTCCGTCCATATATTTATTAGCAAATGGACCATATTTAAAGGAATATTTTGAGAAACGATACTATGTCTCGAGTGTACTACCTCGTCATCTGCAGCAAATCATTGATTCAGTAAGTTCAATGATTTTAAATAGGTCACTTAAACTGATTTCATGTGAATTCAGTTTTATGTTTGAATCATTTTCATATGATTATGATTTCATTGTGTTGATTAATCTAATATCCATCCTTCGCTTTTATCTTTTGTTTTATGTGATTTATCTAATGAAATATTCTGTAATAGCTGCTTATTGCTTCGCTGTTGCTGTTTCGACTACATATTATTGTTAATGCTAGCCACATGATTAATTTCACTTTTTTCTTGGTCCTTAGTTTCACATTACTTTTCGAACTCAAGAATATCACATTTTAGTTCCACCTACATTTAGTTTCCTTAAATTGCTTATTGTACTGATTAATATCGCAATAAAGGAATAAATATTGCAGGAATATGAAAACTTTTTGATGTCGGATGACCGAGTACAAAAAAAAAAGCGAATCACTTTTTATTGTTCAACTTCAGAAAGTAAGTCATGATCTAGTATTAATATATGAAAATAAGTTTATTTTCAGTAACGCCTCTCTTGAATAGCAGCCCCGTTTTAATGCTTCCGATATTTTTGAATGGTTCAATTTTATATATTCAAGTTTACTTTCTGATCTTCCAACTTTGCTTTTCCAAGTCGAGAATACTAGAAGTAGTATTTGCAATTAGAATGAAGTAATATTTATAGTTAGAATGAAATAAAATTTGTAGTTGGAATGAATCGAAGATGCTTTGCATAATCCAAACGTGTAATCATTTACTGTCGTGTTGCTATTGAATTGAAATCTGTGGATGTTTTCAGTGCATTTGGATTCAGTAACACATGGAGCTCTGAATAGCCCTTGGGGTGCCCGGACAGCTCTACCATTTTATGCGCAATTTCAAACATTCAACGAGGCTTATAATTACTGCAAGAAGAAACTTGAACCGATGTTGTTCATGGATGAGCAAGCATGCGTCATTTGGGAATCAGACGTTGGTCGACAGATAATTGAAACATTTGTTCTCAGCGAAAATGTTAGTGCATTTTGTTTGCTGTTAGTTATCTTCATCGCTATCTTTTTGAGATAACTATAACATGAGGATTAGGAATAAATTTTTGTTCGATAAATCTATTATAATAACTTTTGATAGCGGTTTTAAGGACTGTCATTAATTTTTGTTTGTTCTTTATTTTATCAATGAAAATGATTAAGATATATTTCTTTGTAATTGTATACTTTTTATGTGTTTGTTTATGTTTTTACACACGTGTATACATGCGTGCATATATGTAAGATGGATGCGTGTGCATTATTTTTCATCTTTTAATAAGTAGTAAAGAGTAATGTAATTTTTTTAAGGAGAAAAGTTAAAACAAACAAACGGAGGATCGTATAATTTATAATTTATCTTTATAAGAAAATTTAAAAAAGATGTATGTAAAGATATAAAAAAGGGATGGAAAGTGACCAAATAGGGATCTAAAGAAATTTCAGTTTAAAAATATTATCGCTTTATTATTTGCTTCATTGCTATGCGAATGGACTAAGTTCGTAATTTTTCAGGCCTTAAGATTCCTGATACGGCGCGACTTGACAGCACATGAATCTTTAAAAAGAACGACTTTATTGGCATTTTACTGGTTCTGTTATACGAGTATTGCTTTTATGCTAACTCAAATCATAGTACATTATTATTTTGCTAGCAATGTGCTGTGGTTTTGTGGATTATCTTTTGCTCTGAATACACCGGCATGCTGGGGCAGTATACAGAATGCTAAACTTGATTGGTGAGTTTATGAAGCAGTTATTAGCATTTCATCTCTTCCAAGCCTTTCCGAGCATTTCATTCCTTGTTTATGTTGACCCGATTCGAAGTCACTCAATTTTTAGACAGCTTAGCATTGTAATAAGATTTATTCAACTAAACATTTAAGCACTTCGCTCATCACGTCGTATTCCTTTCCATCCATAGTAAGAAAAACGTACTAGTCCAAATTTTTAAGGCATGCTACCGACCAATCTGCTGATGCCGATGTTGCTCGTGTTTCGTTGGTACATAGCAGAGGTGGTAAAGAATATTATCAAAAAATCCTGAAGCGAAATCGGTAGTGTTAATAATCATTATTGAATGAAAAATAAGTGCTGTTCTTTTCTTTAACTCTCTCATCAAAAAAAAAAAAAAAAACACGTGGGCAATTTTCGTCTCCTGTACTTCTTCCTTACTTGATGAGACATATATATGCATATATATATAGACAAATATATATACATATATATATGCATATATATGTCTCATATATATGCCGCAACTTGCATCGCTCCTGTCGGAAGACATATATATATATATGTCATATATAGACATATATATATGTCTTCCGACAGGAGCGGTGCACGTTTCTCATCAAGCAAGGAATGTATTTATTTATGATGCAAATATTTTCAACGAATGCATATGAGCCTTCTAGTGACTTATTAATAGAATTGGAAAATGTTAACTGCATTGTTAAAAGGCCAAAGCAAAACCAATCATTCTTGCTTGCAAAAGCACTGAGAATAAATTTCTTCCGTGGCAAAGATCCGTAGTAGCAATTAAGTGAATTAACTAATAAATTAATAAATAGCAAATTAGTTAAGTAAATTAGTAAATTAATTTAAATGGTCAAATGTATATGAATTCTTTGTAAGCAGTAGTTAATTTTATTGCAGTTGCATTGAAATACCAACTGCAAAAATAAATGGCCTAATTAGTATTGATAAAATTAGCAGGTAATAAAGGGTTTTTCTTTTAATGCAAATAAATTTGCAGACTGTTACGCGAGATAATTCGCGATGGTGTGAAGAAAGTGTCAGCTATAGGCAATCCAAATAATTCTAATACGTCGTACTGGTCACGATATGTAACACTATCAGATTTGGATGCGGAAAATAAGTTGATGGATAAAATAAGTACTGCTGGTGATTCATGATTATGATTACGTTAAAATTTTTAAGTAACAGGCATCACGTAATTGGTGAGAGAAGAAATATAGTAGAAATATCCCTTGAGAATCTTTGTTTAATCTTTATGAGAATCTTGCATATTCATTCACACATTGTTATGTAATATCGCATCAACGTCGAACACTACGTTACAGTTAAAAATCAACCTCATATTTTTTTGAAGCGCTTTTCATACCCTATGGAATGTTGTGCATCTTCCAGATTGTTCTAGCAGGTCACCATTTACTTGAATTTATCAAGAATGTTAAGCATGTTACTGATTAATTGATCATCCTCATGCGTTGTTCTAATTGTACATGCATAATTCTAATTGCTTTCATGCATTAATTGATGTTTCAATCTTTATATTATGCTGCAGTTTTCTTTAAATCTTTCGAACATTTTGTTTATCTTGTATTTTCAATTTCGAAAATATTTTTCTTTCAACCAATTTTGGAATTCTTTTTGTCATAAAATAGAGATAAATATTTTGCTGTCCTTTGAGTATCATTCTCTGAGTTACTAACGTTTGTTCCGATGGATTTTTCCTTTTTGTGAAATCGTTTTACAACGCAATTAAATTACTTTGTTGCCTTCTAGGTGATCCGCTGCTATTGTAGGATAAAGTTATTTCTCGAGAACTCGATTAGGCATAACAAGTTCTCAGATTTCAGGATTTACTGGGGATGGATTTGCAAAAGATGTCTAATACGGATAAGGTCTTACTTTGTAAGCGTTATTTTTATATTGGTTTTGCTTTGTTACCTTTAGTTTGGATCGTCAATGCAGTATGGTTTTTCGAGTCTGCATTCCTCGATAGACCATCACCGGCTCAAAAAACTATCAAACAATGTGAGTTTTTCATTTAATATTTAAGGCTTTCTTTTTAAAAAAGATATACAGCTGAGTATCTAATTCATGAGAAGAATCGTTCACATAACATCAAATGTTACAGATTGAATGTATCCAGGATTTAAATTGAGTCAAATATTTTTAAAGCAGAGAGAAAAAGGAGGAAGAAACGGAATGGTTTTTTCATTGCATGTTTCTAGTCGAAATTTTAGAGCCCATCTACTCCTAAAACTTGACAGAAAATTAAGGCTTACCGTTTTCATCTATTTCTATTTATTGGAGGATTGATCATTCCACGCGGTATTATGATTCACTAGATTACTTACGAAAATTATCTGAATTCTAAATTTATTATTTGTTTTTTAGATGTGTTATATTCAATAATTGGTGCGTCAGTGTGGGTGTTAGCACTTATCGCCTGGGAAATATTTTTTCAGTTGGAAAGAGCCAAAGGACTGGAATGGACTGATCGACTGTCTTTTGTATTTCCTGTAGGATATGTTTAGAAAGGTGCTTATGATCACTATTTAATATATTTGTGCATTTTTCACATTATCGTTCGTTTATCCTTTTTATTATGTTGAAGCTAATTTCATGATTAATAGTCGTAATATTTCTTTTTTTCGTAACCATACAAAAATAATTGTTCGGTATATTTTTGTAAATGTTAGTAAACATTGACAAAAAGCATCAACTAAAGCCGAACTACTTTATTGCTACTATATAATAGAAAGATTTTCAAATTGAAATTTTATCTTTCCGTGTTCATTTATGGAAAATAACAGTTGTGGCTTCTGATAACGATGCTTATAAGCAACGATCTCTCGTCATGCGGAGAAGCCTTTTCAATTGATAAAATTTTGAAGGTTTGAAGAAACTAGCAAATAGTCACTAAACAGTGCTTTCTATTGTACCAATCAAATGCTTTGTTTGAAAACATTTGAAATTTTGAAATGGCGGTGACTGTGCTGTGTTTTCTCCCTTATTTTATTTTCAGCTGGTCGTACACCTTTTTCAATTCATTATTTCATCTAACTTTTCAACCAAAAATTAGCCCATGAATTGTTCTCGCGTACTGAAAAGTATTTTCATTTCACATATTATCATTTGTTAGCGCTAACGGCCTCCAGTGAATCTGATATCTTTATATCAAAATAAATTAGATTTAATAATAAAGTTTTTGTTGCAATTACCTTAAACATCATGCTTTGAAGCACCAAATCATAGTAAAGAATATGAATGGACGAAAAATGAGTCGCACTGATATCAGTGTTGACGTGCTGAACGAATATTTTAAAATATTCATGAAGATTGCTATTACTGATTAGTTATCATCTCATCAAATATCAATTTAGCATTATCTCTCTCTTACTCAGACAGAGAGAGAGAGAGAGAGAGACTCTTCTCATTACTTATTGGAGCAACTTACAGTGTTGCCCTTCAAATCATTTCTCTATTCATTTGCAGTAAACAAGTGTTTTGCACAAAAAAAATTGCATTTTTCCCACAACAATAATAAGCCATAGCATTGATTTATATAACTTATAAAATAAATATTTTGTTTAATCACCGATCATATCAAATTCGAATATTTTACAGATAGATAAAAGATTTAGCATTCGATTATCAATGATAATTATCACAAAGTTATAATTTTCTATGTATTAAATAAGCGAATTCTTTTTTTTATTGAACGGAAAATAATATTTGGTTTACTATTTAATAGAAATATATCTAAATTTTGCAAATATAATTTATCATCAAACATATCTGTAAACTTTCCAAAAATTTCTATGATTGATTGTGTTCCGACCATTCTCTCTTAATTATAATAATTTTTAAGATAACTAAAAAGCTTTCTCAAAATTATACCTTTTCATATTTGCTTATTGCTATCTTATTAAAAGTTTCCTTTCTTTCCACTCCCAACTTTTCTCTATAAGATTATAGTTTAGCAGCCATATATATCCAATGGCTAAGATCAAAATAAGATGAGTTGTATGTTCTCGAAATTCGAAACATTGTCATAATTTTGATCTCTCAATATCAATGAAAGATAAACGACAGCTGAATGTCTTAAATAAAAGAATGAAATTATTTGTGTGAAATTAATATGTAGCTGTGGCAGGCGTATAAATCTGTTTTAAGGACAGAACATGCTGGAACACTCGAGATAATATCGGGATATCCGCGATAATACTTATTTGCTTTTTGCAGTTTTCTTTTTAGAACATACATTCTACCAAAATAATTCTTATGAGCTTGTCATTTGTTTGCATATTGAATTTTGTGTTTTCACTATTTTTTAAAACTATTATATAGGTTATATGGGCTGAACGAAGATGCTGACACAAAATTAGAATAGTTTTAAATAAATTATTCTTCGGCGAAGAAAAAAGAGAAGAAAGAGATATTACTTTTTCTTATTTTATAAAACTGATAATGATATTATAGTAATAACAAACTTTAAAACTTAACTCTCAAAAAAGTATGATTTCTTCTTCATTACTATTCAATCTATTGCATCAAATTTCTGCAGGTTATAAAGAATGCAGGTTATTTCTGCAAGCTTATAAATTACACCCGCAGAAATTTGATGCAAAAGATTGAATAGTAATGAAGAAGAAATCATTCTTTAGATTCTTTTAATCACAATTCATTTTTGTTTTCTTTCTTTTTTAAAGAGAAGTATGAAATTAACTTTTACTTTTATTTTGGCATCAAATTGACAGTTAATCAATCAAAATAAATACTAAGGATTTCGTTGGATTAAAAACTTTTCCAATTTATTTATTTATAAGAAAACGAAACATAAATTGTATGATTTTAAATTTTATAAAAATTTAAATTAAAAAAGTTTTATTTATTGGAATCAAAATTTTGATTGATATTTTCTGCGAATGTTATTTCCTTTTCTTACAAATATAAATGGGTATTATTTTATATTGAGAATCTCCTCCCCTAAATAATAAATATATCACCGTCATTTGTTGCATAGAGATGTTAATAGAAATAGACCCATATCGTAGTAGCTCTTTAATCATTCGACTTAACTTACTTGCTAAATAGGCTGCTATTTCGTCAATATGCAACAACAATTTGAATTTCTGGAAACTCTTCGTAGCTATTGATGATCGTATTTATTTTAAGTTAAATTTCGTAGAATTTTCAACTATGCCATCTCATTTCGAAAATGTTTGAATATTGTTAATGCTAATAATTGAAATAATCCTATTGTTTATCTTTTCTTTTCAAATGCATTCGTTTGACAATATTTTTTTCTCTTATTTTGTTATATGCTTTTGCTATATTTAATCGAATTTTAAAATTATACTTTTTATTTTAGATCGTATATATATAATATATAATATAATGTCATTAGGCAATACATTGAAAGGATTAGCTGCTTGTGGTGTTTCAACTTGTTTGTTTGGATCTTTATTCGTACCTATCAAACGATTTAATCCCGGTGACGGTCAGCTTTTTTTGTTAAAGTTTTAAAATTCAATCCGCAGATATTTAATTATTTGCTAGCACTCTATTATTTCTTCTCATTTAGTTTGTTTACACGAAATAAATGCACAATATTTTCAACTTCAATAATTTCTCCTCAATCAATAAATACGTATTCATTGTTTCTTATAACTCAAAGACATTTACACAAGGGAATAATTTTAGGTTTCTTCTCGCAATGGATAATGGTTACAGCGATATTTCTGGTTGGCATGATAATTAATGCCTATGAAGGTTTCCCTCAATTTTATCCACTTGTAATGCTTGGTGGTGCATTTTGGGCATTTGGTAAGTTTTCAATAAAATATTTCTTCGTGAAAGAAAATTCAAAAATAATGTAAGATATTACAAGAATTATTTCTAAACATTGAATAAAATAAATTTGGATCATTTCAAGACATAAAATACTGGGCATGTTTAAGATATCTTGACTATATATAGATTAGTCTTTGAGACTTTTTATAATTTTGATATTTATTGCATATCTTTTAGGGTTTTCATAAAGCGCAATTATTTTAATTTCAGGAAATGCAATGGCAATACCAATTTTCCAATTAATTGGTATGGGTATGGCTCTATTGATATGGGGTATTGCTAGTTGTTTGATGGGTTGGGCAAGTAGTCGTTTTGGTTTATTTGGCCTAAAAGAAAATGTCCCAAATAGTGTCATTTTGAATTATGCTGGCTTATTGTTTATTCTTTTCGGGTAAGTTTCTCATAATTTCTTTTGAAATTTTTAACAATTTTGTTGCAAATTGTCGTGCTGTATTTTTTGTTGTAATTCTTGAAAAAAATTAAATCATTTTTTAGTGGAGTGCTATTTTCACTGGTAAAACCAATTTCGAAAACTAATGATAACCTGAATGAAATTCATGAAGAACGAAAAAATGAATCGGTATTGGATGTGGAATCGCCCGATTTGCTATTCAAATCACATGAGAATGGCTATGAAGAAACGAAACTGTTTAAAATTGATGATAAAGAGAAGAAAAGTTTAACGAAGAAGCGAATGTTGTAAGTTATTTTCAATAATTTCATTACGGATTGTTTCGGATCGTTTAATTTCTATAGTGTCACATTTTGTTCATATTAGAAAATATATCCTTATGTAAGAATTTAATTATTAAACCGATTCGAATCATCTCATTCGAATGGCTTGATTTGTCTGACATTGATCTCTTTCGTGATATGTGATTGCATCTTTTCCACCCTATAACCTCTATGCCTTGATATTATTAAGCACCTCGATGAAATTGTTGATTTGGGTTTATATATGTATATCAATTGTAACTCTCCAAGAATAATGACCCAATGACGGTATGATGAAAGAAAAGCATTTCATATTAGTAATAATTGATATGATAAACTGAAATTCTCCTTGATAAAAAATTTTTTAAAAAATTCTTAAAAATTTTCAGCGGAACAAAAATAATTATTTCAGCGGTGTAGCATTGTCGCTGTTTGCAGGTCTATTTTATGGGTTAACATTCGTCCCTGTTACTTATGTTCAAGAACATCCCGATCAGGTCATTCTTTTCTTTCATTACTATAATTTAAATGCAACGTTGCAATCATAAAAGTAATTTACTTATACTATTGATGCCTTTAAAATCTTAATTTGATAACAGCCTTATCTGTATCAATGCGCTGAGTGCTTTTATCATTGTAGTTTGCTGGTGCCCCATCAGAAACGCTGCCATATGTTTTTGCTCAGTTTACTGGGATCTTTGTCACTAGTACAATTATTTTTATTATATATGTTGTCACCAAACGTAATAAGCCAATGATCAATCATCAAATTATCTTACCTGCGTTTGCTTCAGGTGTTATGTGGGCTATTGCACAGATTTCATGGTAATCGTTATATTTTTTCATCACAAATAATAAGATTTCAATAATTTGAATAAGTGATAATAGGAATAATAATATGTCTTCAAGCCACCAACGAGACATTTCTTTGTTTATTTCTTTGCTAAAAAGCGGCGAGCATAAGATCTCTTAGCATTTAACTGATTTTTGTAAAGAAGCAATCAAATAAAATAATGCATGATAAATTTTAGGTTTGTTGCAAATAATTATATTGCTCAATCAATATCATTCCCCATCAATAGTATGGTACCAGGTGTCATTGGAGCTCTTTGGAGTGTAATCTATTTCAAAGAAATTCGTGGTATTCAAAATTTGAAAACTTTATCCGCAGCTATAATAATTACTTTAGCGGGTGCTATAATAATTGGATTGTCAAAGGATTTCTAAAGGAAATCATTCGGATTAATTTAACAATGCTTCTTGAATGTCACTTCACATGTTACCTTACTCTGTGATCATTTGTCGCCAATTCAATATTTCATCACAGATTTTTTGTTGGGAAATATATGTTGAAATATTTATCTCAAATTTGAATGGAAAACTATTCTCACAAATTTTCGCAACATTTTCAAATCCAACGCTTTTTCAAACTCTCTGAATCATCAATGTTGGGAAAGGACGGAAATGTATTCCAGCTGATTAATTAATAAATCATGCAATTTCATTAATTATAATTTTAATTGCAAAAAAATGAAATATACATGCAAATGTATTTCATAATGAAATAATAAATATAAACATTGATGAAATAATTTATTAGCATAAACAAATAAATAAGAAAATTGTTTTTTGTGAATTTTTTCATGCCTGAAAAGTTTTTGAGAAATTTTAATTGTTGCTATTCTTATAATAGTTTACAAAAACTTTTTTTTATAGCACAAATCATTAAACGTATAAGAATTATCAGAAATAGTTAAAATACATATTTTTATAATTATTCGATTCGCCATGTGCTCCCAATGTCATATTATCGGTAGGTTTCCTGAAAACGAAAAAGCAATTCGCATTATAGACAAATTTCTACTTCTGAAAAACGGTAATTCTCATTATGATACAAATTTACGGATTTAAGATCTCTATTTTAATTAGACGATAAGAGATGAAATAGACGTGAATTAATTAATACAATTTTTTCTCTTCATATTTTCAGACAAAATTATTTGTATCCATTTTGGCATAACTAAAATATCACTACTAATTTAAAAGTTCAGAATTTGTAAAATTTTAGACTATAACTGTTAGGCTACCATATAACTCAAAAAATTAGATATAATTTCTTCCTCTTTCAAATATAACCATAAACTTTCAAACTTGTAAGGAAGCAATTGATAATTGAATACCGATTTCTTATTTTTCAAATGAAAATACTTTTAAGACAATTCGCCTATTTAAACAAGCAATGAATTAATTCCAGCTGTCTAATTGGTTGTCATTAGATAGCTGGAAACTTCCATCATCTGAAAGATAAAAAAGCAAATTAAAATGATTTTTTATAATGATTTATGATGTAATGACCTTTTCGCTGTTTTTTTTACACTAATTTTTTTGCTCGCATATTCAAGTTTATACTACTACTATTTGTTAGTGATGAAGAAAGCTAAGAGTTTAATCTTGCTCTAAACATTAAACATTACTAACTATAATTTTACAGCATTATGACATAGTCTCAAATAATTATGCAAAATACGGAAAATTTTAGCTTACTAAATGACGGAAACAATGATACAAGCAATTTCGTCATCGCTTGGCTGCATTTCTTTCTGTTCTACTTCGCATCAACCAGTAATTCTTCCCCTTCTCCCCCATTAGCTTTTATAATTTATTTATATTTCATTAAGTATTGAAATAAACAGCGATAAGTTACAATGTTATTATATGTAACGAGGGGTTTTGGGATAAACAGGAAAACTTGGAATAACATGCTTGTTAATTGAAAAATATTCGCTTCTAGTGTATGAACAATAAATTGAATAAGGCGTAAATATCTATCACAAATGAATTGCGCTTCTGTCACTAAAAAATAAATGAAACTTTGTGATGTAAAAATATGAAGAAAATATATCGAATGACTGAAATGGCAAAATTTTGCTTTATTTTTTACTTTACCAAATTAGACTTCAAATAATATAATTTAAATTTTTCACATTAATAAACATCAGTGAATCCTTTTTTAACTATCCTTTTGTTTATTGGTATTTGTTATGGTTGGCCACAGAAATAAGATTAAAATCGATTTTAAATGTTTTGAGAATATGAGCTAAACAGTAATCCTAATAAGTTTGTATGAGATCGACTTCTTTTCTATTACTTGTCTCAAGCGTTTATTCTAATTCCATGGTAAAATCTCGCAACTTTAAATCTCTTTAGATAGCTCCAAATATTTAAATTACACAACGACTACTTTATTCTTATTTATTTATAATTATTATATGAACAATGAAATGATATATTAATAATAATATGAAATTAAATTTTGTGAAAAATGCATTACTGTAGAAATTCTTGGATTTTTCAGCACTTTTGCATGTATCAAAATGATATAATTCGATTAATTTAGCCAAGAAATGTTATTGGCACTGTAAAATATATTATAAAATTTGCCAATCACAAATTAATCAAATTGTTTCTAAATGTACGGAATAATTCTTTACAGATAAACATTTATCATCATATTCATTTTCGATCGTAGCGAATGTGCATGAAAAATATATCTGGTATTAAGGTTCCAATTATACGAATGATCAAATAGAACATACATTGTATCAATGTTATCTTATATGCATAGATGTATATCGTATCCAAGAAATACGTATCGTATTGATATCATCTAAAAAATGAAACTACGATAAAATTTGAATCCATTTAAATAAGTAACAAAAATCACCTCAATTAAGTTGGTGTTATGATAGTCGAGAATTATTAATTAAACGAAATGACATCAATTTTTGACGTTCATTTTTTTTTGTTTATTATCCCTACTGATTCAATAAAAGAAACATATTTTTCAAACTTAGTTCGCCCCTCGCAAGTTCGTTCCATTTCGGTCAGACAATCTCAGATTGCCATTCTGAATTGTTGAAAATTTAAAATATCCGAGATTACAATTCCTCCAATGTTTCAGTTTAACTGTAATAGAAATATAAATTAATTTTCACATTTGTTCTCGTGTTGTCCACCACAGACTGATACTCTTTTTCTTTTTTTTCATTCTGTGGGTGGAATGAAGTATAAAAGAGGTCAATGCGCGACTGGAGAGAATTTCGCAGAAGGAATGGACAGGAAATTGCTCCGTGTTATTTCTCACATCTCAGATAACACACGACCAATGAGGTAAATGTCACGAAGGTTGAGGCAAAGCTTTGCACACTATTGCACTGCCTCATCATCCGCTGGATTTTATTCAATTCTAAAATCCAACAGAGAGTTTTCATTTCTTTTAATTTTTAAATTTGATCTATTGAAGAATGAGTCCTTTTATTCTAATATTGTTGCGACTTCCGATGTAGATCCTACCATGTTTCCACAGGGTATAATCGAAGTGCCAAATTAATGACTAAAGATGGCATTCACTTGCAAAAATACAAACACAACCAAATTTACATTTGCATCAAGTAAATTTATACAAAACTATATGAAGCGCCTAGAAACACGAATAACATTGAAAATAAGTAGAAATTTACAAGAGAATATTTAGCATAAATGTGGTAGCAATTAAAATAGATATGCGAAGTAAGGAAATAATTCAGTTCAAAGAACTTTGCAAATAAACGCTCGGACAAAGACTGAAATCTGAAAACCTTCTTCAAAAAAATTCCTACAAGAGGAAATTAAAAACAAATAAACAATTACAGCAGTTGATTGGGCTCAGTTTTTCTCAAACATCAGTTCTAAGCAAGATCACAAAGAAAGTCATCAAAATAAAATAAATCATGATAAATGAATGTGGATTGGAAATGGTGAGATTCAAGAGCAATTATTAATCTGGAGAGAAAGTCGAACATAAGTCACATAGGTAGCGACATTTCGAGAAAAAATAAAAAAGTAGAAAAAACAAAGGATAAAAATGAATGGCATTCAAAAAAGATGAATTTACAAGAAAACGGAATCTGATAAGAAACCATACAGTAACAGAGCTAAATGCTTGAGTGCGGAACATACACAATAAAGATGTCATATAAAACAAAAATAAGTTATAAAATTCCTTACTTTACTCAGCCCATAATCTCAAAACCCAAGGACATTCTTGGATCAATAAATAAATGCAACAAGGCAAAAATGACCTATCAGATGCGAATTAAATACAGAGCATATAAGACCAGAGACACAAGGCACAATTGGACAAAAAACCAGCCAATATAATCAGTTTTCTTCTCATTGATTAGATTATTGAGAAATAAAGGAACAATGGTAGCTTAAGAATTACAAATCAAGTTTCAGTAAGGAACAGCTTCCACAAATCTTCCACAGGTCTCAAAAAAACGCAGATAAGCGTTAAATTATCTGTTGCTCCTGTTTCTCTGGCTCGATCAACAACGAACTCTGCCAGATTACTGTAATCTGTAATAAAGTAAACCGAACTCTCGCAAGTAAAAAATACCAAATATAAAAAATATAACAGATGTCACCAATTATGTCTTTGACCTAATTTCAATATCATCTCGTATACTTAAGCTTTTTCACAACTAGTTCCGAAAAATCAGTTGCCTAAAAAATTTTCTTTAATAAAAGGAAGTTCTTTTTATAACTCTCCTGTTAAACCACCAAATATTAAAATCTGCTTGAAGAATGAAATATTACAAAAACTTTAGGCGATTAGAGAAAGGTGAGTTTTGCTCAAGCCATATTATTCTGCTTCCTAAATTAATTGTCCATTTCGCCTTTTAAGACTTTCAAACACCTTATCTTGTTTTTCACCTTCTTACCAAAAAAAGTAAACTATGATTGATGAAATCTAAAGGCGGCACAAATTGTTTAAACTATCGCCGGTCAAATACTACTAGAAATGGCAGACTATGAGTTCAGAAAACTTCAAACGTGAAGACGTAGCATCATGAAAATGTATTCCATTGTGACTAAAAATTTTGGAGTAACACTTTAAAGCTTTGGGGTTGAAGGATAATAATAGTATTTATAGGTTGAACTAACCGACTTTGATTTTTATTTTCCTATCATTAACATATATATAGTGATATCATTATTTGATTAAAACAGTGATAATAATGAAGAGAAAAGCATATGAAGTAAAATTAAGAAATAATTGAGCTGTATAGTCGAACGAGGCAGAAACAATTGGATCTATTAGTACTAAGTAACTAAGCATATAAGCAGACTTACTTTCTTGTGAATTCTTACAAACAAACTGTGCAACATGAGAATATACTGCTTGTTCATTTAATGAATCCCAAACACCATCGCAAGATAACAATAAAAGGTATTCAGAATTATCAAGCTCAAATGACAAAATATCTGGCTCAGGTGATATCATCGGTCTGCCATCAATATCGCCTGCAAGTATGAGATGATCTGTGATCTTCTTAATATTTATCATTGCAGCATCATTTTAAAATTAAAAACTTCGAGAAAGGCTTCTTTTTAAAAAATCAATTTGCGAAAAATTTTCATATAAGACCAGAGGATCTACGTTACGAGCATATTACATTTAGAGTTTGAAAGTGAAAGGTAGCACGCTATTCTCATTATTACTTGCTGATTTAAATTATACTGTGTCCTAATCCGCGAGATTCCGTTAACGATTCTTGTGGAAATTGGGAGAAGAGGGAAGAGAAGCTAAATCCTTGAGTTTCATCAAAATAACAAGAATTAGACAGTGGAAAATGATTCTTTCCATATTAAAAAAAAATCTTTACGAAAATCTTCGTTTTACAATCTCTGCAAACTCAATAATACAAACCGAGAGAGCGTGTTAAATTTAAAATTCCGTTAACTCTGAGCTCGCCTTGTACTGGCACAACCATACCGCCAGCTTCTTCTATTCGACGTACTTCTTCCTGAACAAAATTTTATCCAATGGAAAGTGAAGGGTGTAACAGTCTCTCAACTATCCTTATATTAATCTCTGCCATCATTCTAATCAATATTACTTATCTCTTGCTTTTTTTTATACTCGCTTTACAATTTTTTCATTTCTTTCTAATTTATTTTATTTCTTCACTTCGTTTTTTTTTACTGACAAACTTGTAGTATCAGAAATAAAATTAACAATTAAAGTCCTTTCTTTCAATATCCTTATTTCATTTGAAAAACAAGCAGCAGTTTCTCTGATAGGAAACGTTTCAGAAAACAATTTTGGTACCCACTATTCAAGACGTTCCTTGTTCAGATCTATAAATAGACAAGAAACTATTATTCAGCCAGACATAAGTAAGAGAAGTAACAAATAGAGCAAGAAAAAGAAAAAGTGACAAAAAAGGACAATAACAACTGCTAAGACATACCGTTTGTATAGTTTGCCATATTTTATATAGTTTTGCCCGATGGAGCTTAAAATTGCGGATTACAAAATTGAAATCCGACTCAAGTATCAGTAGCTTCTCTCCTTCACTTTTTTTAAATCAAAATAGCATATTAAAAGATTTTTCTTACAAAGTACAGTGAATGCTTTGCACACGAGTTTTAAATTCCAATTTTAGGTTCTAGTGCAGAAGCGAATCATCAAGGTATCTTAGTGACGTACAAACGAGAAATAACTACAAGATATGAGGTGAAAAATGAAGGCAAAAGAATAATAAGAAGCGAAGATCGTTATTACCAAATCCATATAACAATTCTAATATCTTTATTTAAGCTCTGCATTTTATTGATTAACTTCTAAACCTAAACTAGGACCTCTAGTCTTAGTGCGCATTCTCACTCCGTTATTATCTGTTTGTTGCCATTACCATTCAACCCGTTCTTTTTGTTTAAGCTTATTATAATTAGTCTTATTCGATTGCTTTGAATGCTTTTGAATTTTTTCTGCCTTATACTAAAACTTTGCAAATTCAGCATACATTCCCTCATTTTTATTTGAAACCAACAATATTTAAAGGATATAGACACAACACTTAATTTTGTAACCTAAAAAAAAAAATACCACTTTTAATGTCTCATTTTGAATTTGGATCTAATTTATTATCACTGTTAGAGCAATTAAGTTTGAGAAGATTACGCCTCAGCAATTAACCAATCTGTTCAAAGAATAAGTTTTTAAACTCAACGTAAAAAACTATGCATTTACCGGAACGTTTGGTGAGTGAGCTGAAGATAATGTCCGCACTCCACCTTTTCGTAAAACAGCTACAGCTGAGTCACCGCACCAACCGACACATAAATGCCTCCGAGCTCGAAGAAAAGCGCAAACAGCAGTAGTGCCACCTTTTATGTGCTAAAGTAATAGGAAAAAATATTTAGATTATCTGAAGGAATAGCTATTATCTGAAGGTAGTAAGTCCTCTTATTTTACTCCCTTCAGATCGTATAATAGCTTAATCCGAATTCTCAATGTAACAAGATGCCGTCGGTGTTACATAATTTCAAGGTTTTCAGTGGTTAACTGCACAAAAGACACAACTATGCATACCTCATTTTTGCATCGTGCAGTGAGTCTTTTATCAAGCTCAGCAAAAGCATTTCTCATGATATGGTCAATTTGACCAACAGCGTATTGAGTATTTTCAATAAGGCATCGTGCAAAATGGGAGCTTGCATAATTTGCACAATCGACTCCATTATGTCCATCAAATACGGCAAAAAACGAATCACGATCACGGCAAGTGCCCTGCAAATCACCTTTTTCTAACTAAACACATGTAACTAAGACAAGAATGCATAAAATGTTATAGTCTCGAACTTATTATTAAGACTCCAAATAACTTCTCCATTCAACATCCATGAGAATACAATAAAAACGTGTGTCCAATTAGTGCACTGGGCATAATACAAAAGGCATAATACATAATAATGAAGTTTGCAATAAGTCTAAAGTGTTCATTTTCTAGTAAATGATAGCATAATCGTTTTATACATTGCAATATACATTTCATAAATACTCCCATGAAAATTCTAGGAAAACTCTACGTATTTTTTGAAATATACATGCAAATTAAAACATAAACTCTGATTTACTGATTTTCTTGCAACTTTAGAAAAATCAAGTTTAAATTCATAATACAATTTGTTTCCGTCAGTTAATCTTTCTCTAAATGTAATTATAATTTTGTGTATTTATTATCAACTATAATTTTGCAGTATAATTTCGAATAATTATGTCAAAATACTGAAAATAAAACCTTAGCTGGTTCAATGACGGAAAGCGAAGGTAGAAGAACTGCACGATCTTCCATTTTGGAACGTCGATTTTTCTGGGCACAATACGAATACAACAGCTGATCGGAAATCGATTGAATCTCTGAAGAAATTTAGGTAAAAAGTAAAAAGTGTAAGTGAAAAAGTCTCATGCAATGAAGGCTATTTCTTGAATTATGCATATACAGAAATGCTTCCTCACCTAAACGAAAAATCTTTGTTCATTTTTATTTAATTTAGACGAAAATTCACTCCAACAAGAATAATCGGAGAAAATTGCTACGACAAATTTATTCTCGCAGTTAAGAGTACAAAAAAGCGCACTAGAAAAAAAATTTTGCTAATTTCATCATTACTATATGTTACGAACATTAATACTGTTTAACTAATTCATTAATTCATCTTTGGTTCACATATTATCAGACATAATAATCTTGATAAATGAATTACTTGGTAGTGGAACGGAATTGTTTATCAAATTGTTGAGGTACATATTCAAATAATGTATAACTTCACGACACCAAACCGTGGCATCGATTGTACTATAATCATTCTCATCAAACGGTACCTCTGTTGTGTTTAGTTCTTTCGCATATACATCCACTAGAGAATATGCTATTGTATAAGCAGCCCAAGGAGGAAAACCTCTGAAAAATAATTGTGATGTCATTAATCAATTGCTTCATTGCATAAAGGTAATATGGCTCTTTTCTTGGATTGGGAAATAATTGTAGAAAGCATTTTTTTTAAATAAAAACTCAACATGTTACGTATAGAAAAGTTGGCACGAGAAACAGAGGTTGTCGGTCAGATTAGAAAAGAGATGTAAATCAATTCGTGGGCCAAACAACGTTGCTATCAAAACAATTTGAAATAAAAAATTGAGAAAATATAAACCTTTGATGCAAATGCTCAACAATCAGCGCAACCGCATCGCCACGTGCATCATGTTTTGTTGTTTGCATGTAAGGTGAACGAAACCTAATAGTGGCTTCTTTATCAGTATCAGGTGCAGATCCTAGATAATTTCTCACTAGTGTTATTAGTATTTCGTTATCGTTTGCCTGCAGTTCTTTCGGTTCTACTTGGCACTCACCAGCCATTCTCAAAAATTTTCTAATTAAAGATAAAATGCATAACGCCTTCCAATCACAACATTATTACACACATAACAGTTTCGCTTATATCCACTAAATTCAGATCCAGTTCAAAAATCGATTGTTTAAGATTTAAGTCATTTGAGCGTATTCATATTAACCAAATGGGCAAAAAGGTCAGCCTAACAGTTAATATGATTGAAACATTCTTTTTACCGGATAATATTTGATGCTCTGAACCAAATTCAATAGAATTATATCATGCTGTACATTTCTCCTCAGCTTTTAAATATCAAAACTTCCTGAGAATTATCAGTTCTGTCCTCTCTTCTTATTCTTGAATTTTTCAATTTTCTAAATGACACGAAATAACTACACGAATTCAATCAAACCTTTGATGATAGAAAGATAGCAGTGCCTGGAGTCTATTAATAGACTTCAAATGCAAAAAAGAAATAAAAATAATACTTAACAAATTTTATTACATAAAATAAAAATAATGCATATCAATGATTAATTCAACAACACAGGGATTAATTAAGAGATGTCTCAACACACTAAGAAAAATAATATCCTGTGGAATTTCAGTCTAAAAATGTTATTTTAAAAGTTTCATAAGCAACAGTCATTTACTGACTTTTTTCATTTTGAAACAAATGATTGGATATCCGTCAATAGTTTAACATACTGCGAATGTTCATAGTGTGTAGCAAAATCCACCACTTCACGGCAAAATTTCTGATCGAAACCACGTTCTGCCAAATAATGATTAAACAAAAGATCATGAAGAGTCTGAAATTTCGATTACAATTAATTATTCAATTCCCTTATTTAATCCTATATCTTCTATATAATCTCATATCTTATTTCAAGGTTCCGATTATATGAATCATTTCTTCCATTAATAACAAACGTAATGACCACTCAAATTAACTCAACATTTGCCCATTACTAAAAAACATATGAGACGTACTGGGTCAATATATTTGCCGGATGACGAATACACTGATTCAGGTACATTTTCATCTTCTATTCCTTTGGATGCCGGAGCAATGTAAAATTCTGCCACACGAAAATCAACTGCAAGTAAAACACGTAAGACTGAAATCATTTAAAAAAACCTTTTTTTAATATATTCTGGTAAAAAAAATTTTTTGTAAATATTGGGTATATTTATTGCGATTTGTTTGATCCGGCAAAAAATAATCAAAGAGTAATTGTTACTTACACCGTTCATTTGCTTTCGTTGCATCTTCGTTCTCGCACAAGTCAAGATAAAAACATAACCGTTGCTGTGCTTTGATAATTTCTACCGTAAGTGAAGGCAAGGCGAGTGGAACTCCTTCTTCCTACAGAAAATGGCGACTAAGAGGAACTGATTTAAAAAATTGACGTAAAAGATGCAAAATTATGCAAAATTAATGTACTAGCTTGGCTACTTGCAGAAGAAAATTCTAAATTCTATGCGAGGAAAGTGGACTAAATAATCTAAATGAAAAGAAACAGAAAACAGACCTCATCTTCTTCGCCTTCCATGTCCACTGAGTGATTGACATTGAAGTAAACGTTAATTCTGAAAACTTATGCCAGTAATTAAATATGAAACTTCGGCGACAATGTAGAATTATTTAGACTTTGCGATTTAGAAAAGGAATCACTAAATTTGATTTTAAACTTCCCCGTGACAGCTACAGTCAAAGTGTTTTTTAGATTTACTAATTAGCCGAATAAACAAACATTTAGCTATTTATCATATGACATAATCATCTGCACCCGCTAACATAGACATATGTTTCATGTTAGCATCTTACACGCTTTAATACTACTCACTGTTACTATGTGCTACATCAGAACGAATTATATATCAACTATGAAAATCACTTTTCTTTGCCATGAAGCTTTGCCAATTGTACGTTAGCACCATCAGTTGTAATTTCGAAACCCGAAATTCTTGGAGCTTGTTCACCTCGAAGATTCTCCTTTTCGAGCTGTTTCTCAGCCGTAATTTCATTCTTTAAAGCGTCAATTAATTCATTATTCAATGCTGAAACAAAAAAATTATACTATAACATCTTTTCGAAAACCACAAAAATTTCGGATTATTTCTGAAGAATCCGAGAAAAAGAATACAGTTACTCAATCAATCCAAGACACTGTGCGTGTGAAAGACAACAATTCTTTACGAACAGAGTTTCCGGAAATTCAGGTAGAGACAACATTGCACATTGTTCTTTCCAAAGTCCAGCTTCAAGTAGAAATTTTCCCACCCTGTCCAAGATAAAATAATTTACGCAGCTCCCTGTCGGATTCGAAGCAGAAAGTCTCGGGTTCTCAAATAGCTGTTCTCAGTAATAATATATCGCCGTAAATTCTCTAGGAAGTCGAAAACATTTTGAAATAACTCGCTACTTTCAAATGTTGCAACATTCCTTTTTGATAATTTGCGAAAACATACGCCGAGTGGATGACATCTGTCGAGTTATCAAAACTGGATGAGGCATCCTGGTTCCAGAACAAATAGCCGCTGCCGACATATGCCTACGTACGACCTTTGATAATGCACGGCATATCGCAGTTGACCGCATCTTCACTATTTTCAACCTAAAAACTAAAGAAAATCCAGTATGATTACATTAAGACTGTGACCTTAACAATAGAGAAGCGGTTCTAGGAAAGAGAACAAACAAGAAGAAAACAAATATATAGAGCGAATAGATTGATAATCACAGACTCTAAACTCTATATTATCATCACTTTATGGCTATCATCTTGAAATAACATGAGTACATTTCACGAGAAATTTTACAAATCTCTAACTTGTTTTATCTGATTTTCTTCTAATAAGCCATTGGATTTATCTGATTTTCTAATAAGCCACATTTCATTATGAACATTGTAGAAAGGGATTTTGTTTGCCATTTTCAAGAATTAGAAAAGGTAAAAATAAGCGCTACCACACCCATCAACCATTTCTCATAGAAAAGAAACGTAATTACGCAACCCAATTCCCGAGATATGACCTACGTATTTATCAGAACATAAAGTTGCACAGTGATATATATTTGCCGCACAGTGTGTCTCACATATCACATAGCTTTATACCGTTATGCAACACTGCGCTTCGGGCAACTGTTGCGGGAATGTGGAATAAGAGGGGATTTGAATTGTTCAAGAATTGTTGAAATTTTTTTTTTTAAATCTTGCAAAATAATGATTAAAACGAAGCTTGTGCCAAGCTTCTCTTAATCTGGGAGACTTGGCACAGGTTTATCTGGAATAAAATATTTTCCTAAGTCCTAATTTAAAGCATTTTAATTGATCCTCTACATATATATATATAATTAATATAGAGATAATTAACTGTACTACTATAAAAATATATCAATAATTGAATTATGGGAAATGTATAAAAGAGATGTCATTAGACTGTAACATCCATTATATGTTTTTGGAATTACTCTGATCGGTTATTCACTTCTACTACCAGTTATTGTATTTCACAATGTTTTCTAACATAGTATTGGTGTAACTTTCGTAATTCTAGAATTTGTTATAATATACGCTGATGAATTATTTGCACATACTCATCAGCATAAGCAAATTATAATGTCATATATTTCCGGGAATTCGAAGTAGGCCAAAAAAGATACTTTTACACATTTGGTAACAATGGCCAAAAATATTGCTATGAATTAAATTTGAAATTTGGAATAAAAATGCCTGATAATGTCTAAATCAGCAAAAATATTGCAGCTAGAGATTTTATTGATAAGTTAAAATGTGGATTTTTATAACTATTGTTGGTTTATTTAAAACACTGATTATCTTCACCTATTTAATTATTTTATGCAAAGACAAAAAAGCGGTAAATTTTCCCTTGTTCTTCAATTTTTCAAAAATTTTTCCCTTTTTGATCGAGAAATTTCGAAAGTTAGAAAACTCGAGAGAGGAAGTGTATTTGCAGTTAAATCACTGTAGGCATTAGCATATGTTAAACCGAAGAAACCGACTTGAAATTTTTTTAGGGAGAGAAGAAAGTGGTAGACGAACAAGAAAAGCAAGAAGACGAAATAAAAAAGGTTATTTTTCGAGACCAAATATAGAGCAAAATGTCAAATGATTACTTTGATCATCAAGCGAACGATAACAGCTTCTCAGAAAAACCTAGGGATAGTCGGTAGTGACCTTGAATTGGACAAGCACACGATCTCCGAAGCAAGAGGATGATAGAATACTATCTCTTCTTTGACTAATATTTCGAAAAAAGTCAACTTATGCATAGTGAGATTTAAAACGAATGTAAAATTATTAATATAGCAATATATTTTAGACATCCTTAACGATGCTAAAGTTTGTTATTGAGAGTTGAAGTTTCACTTCCATGGAATGACTCCCAATTCGACGAAATTAATTGTTATCAACGAATTCAGGTTAAAAAGGAAGAAAAAAGTGGTTCGAAGGAGTTGAAGAAGTCAGAACGTAAAGAACAGGAAGATGGTGGGAAAACTCATCCTTCGGCTGAAGGCGAAGAAGTTGAACAAAACCTGAAAAATAAAGACAAGGACGAGAAGAAAGACAAACCGGAAAAAGAAGAGAAGAAAGACAAGCCGGAAAAGGAAGACGAGAAGAAAGACAAGCCGGAAAAAGAAGACGAGAAGAAAGACAAGCCGGAAAAAGAAGACGAGAGGAAAGAAAAAAGTGGAAAAAAGAGAGAGAAAAGTGGAAAGAAGGAAGAGAAAAGTCGGAAGAAAGAAGAAGATGGTGAAAAGAAGGAAGAAAAAGATATGAAGGAAGCCTCAGAGGTAGTTATGCTTGTCACTTAATACGATATAGTACTCCAGTGATTAGAAATAGTTTATTACTTGATATCGTGCTTATCGCTTTATCACTCCAGTGATTAAAGGAAGCATTTCAAGCAAATATGTGCAAGAAATATGGGGTAAAATGTTTTTCAGAAGGAAGGAGGTGACAAGAAGAAAGAAGAAGATAAGATGAAAGAGAAATCAAAAGGAAGCAGAAAAAGCGTATGGCTTCTGTTTTTTTTATTCCTTTCTCTTGTATTTTCTTTAATTTTTTCGCTTCTCTTTTTTCAGTGTTTTAAGTCGTCAGACCTAAATCCCAGACGTAGACAACGAACTATCGGATTCGTATGTACCTGAAATTTGAAGTACAGATTGAAATTTACTTCAAAATTATTTGGAAGTGGCAGTTGCTTTTCAATCATAGACCTCTGCTATATTTCTTACAAAAAGCATTTATTGGGATAGGAGTTTTTAGAAAAAAGAGCAAAAAGATGGCGACAAGAAGGGAAGCAAGGAGAGTGAAGGCGGTAAAGATAGTGCTGGGAAAGAAAGTGAAAAGGAAAGTTCAAAAAAGGAAGAAGAGGAAAAGGAGTCGGGACAAAATAGAGACGAAGGAGAGAAAGAGGATCAGAAGAAAGAGGAAGACAAGAAAGAAGAAAAGAAGGAGGAGCAGAAAAAAGAGGAAGAGAAGAAGGAAGAAATAACCTATGACCCGAAAGAACTCAAATTCACACAAAATGGCGGTTCAGTAAAGTTTACCGCTAAGAATACATCTACCAAACGACAAGCCCTCAAGGTTACTTTTGCATATCCATTTTTCTTACCATGGCCACGAAATCTGCCCCCAGATGTATGATCAATTGGTCAAATCATTAGAGGGTTCTGCAGCAATGTATAGGTGGGTAGGACTGGGTTAATTCGGTCAAAATTTCCCATTCATTTCGCAAAAAAGGACTCTAAAAAAGTTAGCATTGTGGGCGAAGGGAATAAAGATTTGATACAGATAAAATGTTCGGACAACGACATCTATCGAGTGTATCCGGTGTTTTCTTTTGTGGAACCAGGCGCAGAACAAACTATTGAGGTGGTAAGAAAACCTGGTAATCCGAAGGCTGATAAACTCGTACTCATATACACACCGGTACGTCGAACATCCAATAAGATATACCAAACAAATGATAAACATTCGGAGTGAAATTTTAGATGAAATGAGCCGTTATGTATTAGAATATATTTCAACTTCATTGAACATATTCTACTTTTCTTCCTTTTTAATTATGTCCCTTTAAATAAGCTGGTTTCGATGATTCATGGTGAAATTGGACAAGAAAGTTTGCTTCTCGGACATTCCAACATACATGACTAAAAGAAAAATTCTTTTGATTTTTTAATGGAAACATTAACTCTCAAATCATCAGTGTTATTCAGTCAATTTGATCACACTAATTAATGTGAAAGAAGCAAAATTTCCGTTGGATTGAATTTCAGGCAGAAGAAGGCGAAATAGATGCTCCACCTCTGTTCAAGAAACCGATTACCTATATAGATTTTACAATTCCATTGCAAGTGACATGAACTGACAACTGCAAGACTCTGAATCTGAGAATATTTCACAGTGTTCAGGGTGCACTTCTTCCAAAATTGCTCTATGATTCAAATAAAAACTGATAACAAAACAGATAGTTCCCAATCCTTTTCATTATTCCTTCAGCAAGAGTTCTTCTCATATGCAGAGGAGTCTCATTTAACATAATCTTTAGCATATTAAAATTATTCGGAATTATCCAATCTTTGTTATCATCTCCCATAATTCTGAACAAAGAAAAGGAGTAATATAATAGGATAGCTCTTAAATGTTATCCATTAGGAGAAAAATGTTAGGAAAAACTTCGTTTTTAAAATCTTAAAATTCAAAAAAAACAACCGTGTTTATGTTAACTTTCTTTATTGTTGTATAATCTCGTATAGCCAACTCTTGCACATATTCACACTTTCTTTCCTATTTTAAGAAAGAACGTAAATATAGAAATTTTATAGCTTACTTCCTTTCTTTTTATTTCATCGCGATGACACGCGCGACTCCCACACTACTTACTGACCAGTCAACGAATAAGATGATACCTTTCTAACAACTGCACGAAATGCTGGGTGACAAAGATTTAATGATTATAGAGAATCAACACTGTGCAGAGAGATATACATGCGACAAAGAGTGATGACACATAAATTAGAGAGAAGAGACATTGATAGTAAATTAAAAGGAAGACGCATGATATGGAGATAACTGCATAATAGAATGGTATTGTCAACTCGGGAAGTGTGCAATCTTCTTTACACAATAATGGCTTTACATGCTTACGTTATCACTTGATATGTAAATCTCTGTGACGACTTGTCCAATATTGATGTCATTTTCTGTTGTATCTGTTGCAAAATCATTTTTGTATTCCGAAAATTTAACTAGAATTCTAGTTAGCAAGAATGATGCAAAAAATTGGAGAAATGTATTTAATTTTTAGTATTACTGGGTAGTACTTACTAAGGAGAAATTCCATTTATGCATTTGATGTTGTCCGCATGTCGCATCTAAAGTTTCAATTGGAAACTTGGCTACTTACATGTTCCTTGTAGCGTTTCACGAAGAAATTTTTGCTGTTTGCCTATTCACACCTTCAGCAGTTGCATTTTATAGGAAGAAATATGGCAGATGAAAGTTCAGCAAATGTAACTGAGGATGAAATAATTTGCTCAAACCTTGCTACCAAAGAATAGTAAGATTTAAAATATTCTTTTTATTTCTTTATCTATATCATTTGCGTGCTAGTTCCGTGACTGTTCAAATATGAAGTGTTTAATGTTATGTCAGAAGTCAACTTCAAGTAGAAAAGATCAGTAGATTCTTTAAATGTGGTGAAATAAATAATAAATTAAAATTAAGATAATGTTACAGCTGGAGTGAGCACTACAAAAGAGAACTGAAAAATTTCGAAGAATTTGGAGATGAAGGTGAGATATGGTTTGGACGTATTGCTGAAAATCGTTTGGTGAAGTATGTTAATGGAAATGAACAATTATCAAAATCATGCAAATTGATTGATTTTGGTTGTGGCAATGGTTCATTGTTGAGAGCGCTGGTATGTGTAGCGTTGTCGTAGTTACTGCTAGAGTGGTGGTAGTATTGGATTTCAGAGGAATCAGGTAGTTCTGTACGAGAAATTGGCGAGAATAACGAGATCGAAGAATACATTAGCAAGCAAAGTTTTTTTGATATCAGTACTTTAACCATATTATTTGGTCAAAATACTTCTTCAAGCTTGCAAAATAAGATTAGCTTGATTTGTGGTTGAAAGAGAATAAACAAGGTTTTGACTATTTAGCTAATTAAAATCGGGATCTCAGTTAATTAGTTCAGTCTATACCACACATACCTCACTAAAATGATGCTGTTAGCTGCGTATATCTGAAGTTTGTTTATTTACATCTTTCTATATCCCTCTACTCCAGATCAAATCCTTTCTTCATTTTCTTATTATTACATGTTCAAAATTAAAGCCTTTATAGTGTAAATGAATTCATTGTAGTTCTCTTACGCTCATTTTCATTGCAATGATTTGATACACTGCTTCCTTTGTAACTGTTAAATTTATAATTTGAAAAGTGACTAGAAAGTATCGCAAATTTCAACATACTCTGGTGATAGAAGTGAACTTAGTGTAATTGTCCATATTTCGTTTCATTTTAGCGACAAGAAGGCTATTCTTTCTTATGCGGTGTTGATTATTCCGAAGAAGCAATATTGCTAGCCAGGGAACTTACAGAAAGACAATGCGCAGAAAGCAGTATCCAAATTGATTTTCGGGTAATTCTTGATCTCTATTCTAGTGTAATCAATAATATATTCTTCGCTTTAAAATCATATAGATAGCCATTTCTAGATAGTCGATCTGTTGAGTGAAACCATTAATTTGGGGAAATTCGATGCTGTTCTTGATAAGGGCACTTGGGATGCGTTATCTCTATCAGTCGATCGTGACTTTCGTTTGAGGAAGTACAAGGCGAATGTTTGCAAAACTCTGAGATCTTGTGGACTTTTCATCATTTGTTCCTGTAACTATTTAAGGTACTACCTTATCATTTCACTTCTGTATTTGTTGTGAATTACTAAGAGGATAGTATTCCGTTATCATGAGTCGTTTCGCTAAGCCTTTGTTCAGCCTTATCTGGTTCAATCAGCCTTAGCAAATTCAAAACATTCATGTGAAAGAACCTCCCATTAAAAAAAATTTGGATCCTTTAACCATTCAATGGAAGTTTAAAATTATCAACTTACACGGTGCATTCTTTTCTAAAATGAAATATTTTTTTAATATAGAATAATTTAAATTACAGCAATGAGTTAAAAAAGCAGTTTAACGATGAAGAGCTGGGATTTCTTGAAGAAATCCCACCTAAAAATATTTTCGAGTTCGGTGGTCGAGCGGGTTCAACGACGACATGCATGGTATTTCAAAGAGTGTAAATTCGCTAGGAAAATAGCCGTATTTCGCGATCTCCTTTTGAGCACTTGTTATTTGAATTATACTTCAGGACAGTGGAATAACTCCTGCTTGCAGATGTTACTCGCTGATTTTTGCTTATGCAGAAAATAGGTTTCTTAATCTCTGCATCATACTAAATCTACTATCGCAAGGAAGTAATATGTCCAGCTTCTTGAAGTATTATACTTAAATGTTTTATTGGAATCTGTTGCACCTTGGTTAATAGACAAGAAATAAATGAAAACAAAAAGAGAAATTTTCAATAAAGACTAAAGGTAATAAGTTGGTAAAAGGTCCAGGCAAGATATAGAGTGTCGAAAAATCTCCATGAAAGTGTTCAATAAAAATCAGAAACTAGTACTTCGGAACTTTTTTGAAGTTCTTGTAAAAGTAAAAAGAGAGACTTGATGAAAATCTGTAAAGGAAACAAGTCTTCAGAAAGGAGGTATTGCGCTTACATGGTCAATGTTTGGTAAAATGCAATAATGATATGGGGTGCTTCTTCAATCAATCTTCAGTAAGTTCGTTTTCAATACGTAGAAAATTTTTCGTACCTCATTAATCACGACATTAATAAATTTAAAAAGTTAAGATGGCTGCTTATTTTAAACGAAGTAGGGTTGGGCAAGACATGAAATTCTTAGTAACATCAAGAACAATGCATTGGTGGTCTTGCCAAGAGCATAAGTTGAATAATTATAAACATAGTGCTCATACCAAAAGTTTTTGTTACGAAATGAAGAAATGGAAAAGCACAAACTAATAGTAACATAAACAAACTAAATTTAAAACAGCATAGATACAGTTGTGTAGCGTCGCAAAATGCAGGAGAGCGAGATGTGTGCTGACGAATTGCGACCTGATAATCAATTGCATTTGAGATCATACCAGAAGCTCGAGAACTCTTCCGTTATTCCCACACTATCTAACCTTACTTGCACCTAGAAAAATATGGGAAGAAGGTAGTTTGGGGGATAGAAATTAAATTTACTTTTCGAAAATCTTATAGTCAAACGAACCATTCCAAGAACGGGAGCTTTGCTGAAGGGTCCATAATTGGTAGCATCCTTTACAGTGAAGATAAGCATGTGATTCTCGATGTCGCTAAAGTGCAGATCAAACTCGAACCTGAATAATTTAATGTCAAGAAATAGAAATATGAAGAAATATCATGAAACAAAATTTGATTCTCTGAATAAGAAGTTTAGTTTGACATGCTAAGCTTTAAAAAATGTCACATTATTTTGGGATTCATGACAGACAAAAATTATTAGCATATCAAATTAGACTTTTTTATTAAGAGAAACTGCCTCTGTGAATAGGGTTACTGTTGAGAAGTATGAAAAATCAATGATCGGAAAAGAATATTAGGTCACATCTATTACGGGTTTTTGAAAGAGAGCGATTTAAGAAAGACGTATCACTGATGAAAACTGACTGATTGTCGAAAAGCGGATCAAGAGATTTCCTAACTATTGCTGTTCTTCGTTTTTCACCACCGCGCTTATCGTTCGAAGGTGTTAGACGTACGGTTAAATACGGATCAGCAGAGCCCTGACTATCAAGTGGATATAATTCTCTGAAATTACATAAGTGAGGTACATAAATAATAATTATATAAGTTAAGATGAAAGCTAAAAATGATTACAACTCCAGTCGGGATACGTTGGAGAGTGTCGAAGCACGGTATGAACATAATTTTTTCGTTCGATCGAAACTCTCGAGATCCTTAAGTACATCGGAACATACTGCACCAAGCCCTGGTTAGTAATCAACATAACCGAAAAATGGTACATGGAAAAGGACTCATAATGAATAGGTTTGTAATAACTGAGATCGACGCAACAGATATATGGATGGCCCACATTATATTTAAAAAAAAATTTGCAGTGGAAGCGGTTTAGAAATGCTTAATGTTACATAACACGTACATTACACGAATGATCCGAACTATAAGCTTATTTGATTCTTTCAAATGCTGAAGACCAAACTGCAAACGACCATTTTGACCAGTGCTAAAAAAATAAGCAGTAGTTTATGATTAATCATATTTCTGTAGTGGTTGGATCTGCATTGAAAGCATTAGAAGAAAACAATGAACATGGAAAGGATTCAATAGAAAATTGATAAAAAAGATGAATATGTAGTAGTTCCACTAAAACCAGTAGACTTGCTATTTTCAATGCCTAAACGATTGAATCAAATACTGGAACTTAGAAAGAGTATAATTCCTAGTCAATGTTCGCTTTTCTTGAAGATAATGCTTACTATTTGCTGAGAAAATTATAGTCAACCTTAGTAATCTTTATTTCCTAGAAGTGCTGAAACACGTTTCAAAGAACATACGGATTTCCTTTGCCTTGCGTATGCTTCCTTAGGAACAATTTTTCACCGAAAGTACGACGACGTTTATATGCACTTGTAGCTGATTCACTGCTGTTCCTTCGCATTTTTATCTGCTCGTTGATTGGTAATTTCGAATCAAAGATCAGTGCTTTTCCGCTACTATTTGTTTCATTTGGTTTTTGAGGATTCACCTCGTATTGCGTGGAATTTCGACCTCGTTTATTAGTTTCATCAACTGTTGCTAATTTTTCAGCTCTCTCAATGAACACTTCTAAAAAATGGATTCCGAAGTATATCACGCATTTACTGGACAACCAGAATAGCAAGCTTAGCCTTAATTATAAGAAAAATAACTCAATAGAGTTACAATGCGATTATTCAGTCCATCTGCAAGAAAGTACTTGTAATAATCTACTTGTAATCTTGTAATAATCTTCACTATCTAATGACAATTTCACTGAATTTTCCAACCCATGTTGTGGGTGCAGAAAATAAGAATTATAGCTTTATCATATACAAAGCGAAGCGAGCTTAATATTTCGTACCATTGTATTTTTCAGCAAATGAGGATACGATAATTGAACGAAACGAAAATAATCAGACTTCAAAATCTGACAAATGCAAACGAATCTCACCGATAAAAGTTAATAATTATAAAAGATCCCTCCTACCGAATGTGGAAATAAGTTCATCACAAAAGATGAAAACTGTGTGAAAAACAGGAAACATCTGATCATTTAAATAAAATCTTACCATTGCCATAAATTGCTTCTCTATTACCTTCAGAAGCAAAATTCCTTTCCTGCTGATCGGTAACCAAAGCCTATAAAACAGTGAACTAAAAGCAATAACTTAACTACATATATTAGGATAAATTTAATTAAGACTGGATATATACCAGGAAGTCTTTTTGGTCCTGAACAAATAAAAAAATCCAAATTATACGTTATATCGTATAATGATATCTTACACTTACACGTTATATAAAACCTCCTAATATTTCACAAATAATAAGATTTAAAAACCAAATCAAAGACACTTAACATAATAGACCCATATTTACATAGAGACATTTTTCACCCTAAACAATTTACCCTGATGCGCGCTGTGATAACCATTGAACTTTGATGAACTCCTTGTGTTAATGGGAAAGTTTGTTCAAAAAACTCCAAATTTGGTTCTTGCAAAATTGTCTTCAAAGGCAAAACCAATTCACCGAGGGAGCGTTTTGTTGCATGATCAATAGCCTTAAAAATTTTAATAAAGTTGTTTAATATGAATCTTCCTATAATAAACATTGTCAGAGTGTAGTGGAGATTAAAAATGCTTTATCACATAAATCAGGATTTAACCTCGTAATAGTTCTCCATATATGGAAAACAGACAACTGTGTGTTACTTATTCTACTTTCGTAATGTAGCTAAGCACTTATTTTGGAAACTTGGAAAAAGCACCTTTTACGAGTATTTTGAAATGTTATTAGATAGAATTACCAATTAATCGAGCAGATTATCTAGGCCATACCTCGAATTTCAGTTCCTGTCTTTCGGGATGACGAATAAAAAACATAATCTTGCTCTGGAATAATGGATTAACAGTTTTTCTTTTTATTGGCGTTTGCTGGAAATCTTTGCCAAGATTTACCATAATATAAGGCGACGGTTCCAATTTTGCTTTTGGATACTAAAACAATCAAAAATGAAAAATGTAATTGCGAACTAGAAATTTAAAGCTGTTAAACGAAATAAAAAAATGAAGTGTTCTTTTTTGCTTTCAAGTTTCTATCAGAATTCTTGATTCGCTAGAATCATTAGAAGAATTGCAAGCATTTGAATTTCGGTTAACTGCTTCTCAGTATAACATCGACTAAACCTTTTCATTTAACTTACAGTTACTTGAGTTGAAAGAAACTGGAACCATCTGGTTTCTTAAGGTAGAATGCAACTAATACAGCCTACATTGCATGTATAACATGTAAAAAGGCATCATCCGTTTGGCCATCCTTTAAAGTTTTTATTTAGCTGCAATGAAGTAACTAACTCTAGCAAATCAGCATCATAGTATTTCTTTCTCATCCTACGAAATTATAAGTTTACCGGCAAATCAGATACACTATCAATAAAGATCATAAGCAATGCAGAATGAACTGGTTTATCAGTATTGAACCAAGAGCTTCCAAATTCCTGACAAGTAAGATCGAGAGGTGAAGATGACAAATTTATCCAAGCAGCCTTAAAGCAAAATCCATAAGAAAAGCAAATTTTTTTTGGAAATGTAAATCGTTATAACTGTTCCAATTTGTGTTATGCAAAATCGGACTGAATAAGCTGATCAAACGCATTTTAAATTGATAAATAAAGTGAGAGAAAATTTTTACGAAAATTCTGGTCTGCTCATTTATCTGGTGCTATTTTTTCAGTATTGAACCCACTTTTGAATGTTTCATTGTGGGTATGAAAAGAGAAATTCCAACACTTTAGAAAAAATAAAGGAAAGTGATTTCGTTACTGAAACTAAATCACTCTTCATCAAAACAGTAGTCAGCAAATTGTGATGTCCAAAAACTTATGCATAATTTTTAAAATATAATACCTGAATGTGTATGTCGCCATGTTTACATGCATCTAATGGAAACCAATCATCAAGATTTCTTTTTTCTTTGACATTATTTAGATCGATTGTTAATCTTCCCAATTCTTCATCACTGCTTGCTTTATCATAATCAAACAATTCTATACGCAATTTTTGTCCATTAGCTTGATCAACAACAAATTCAAAACATTCATTCCAAACTGGATTCAGATCATTATCAATCGTTTTGGTTCTGTAGAACTGCGAACCAACTGAAAATTCTCGAAAAAATATGCGCAAGAAATCAAAACAATCCAGTAAATATATCGAGCGTTAACAGACGGCTCAATATTATGGATATGAATTAGAAAAATATGAATATGAATATGAATGATTTATAGATATGAATGAATTAGAAAAAGATGGGTAGTACGCCTTTTTTATCAGCCATATCCTTTGAAAAAAGTAGACTTGTATAAGTAACGTAGTATGTATACGAAACTAAGGGACAAAAGAGTATCATCCTGTCAAGTTATAAAAATAACAAAGATTTGCTCAAAGTTAAAAAATGATACCTTGTATCTGGCAATATGGATCACTTGCCATATTCTTTGTGAATTTTATATCTCTATTTTCCAGATTTTTAGCTTCGACAATTTTCAAACGAAGTACACCATCAGGATCTGCTAAGCGCAACTTCGTGAGATCGACATTTGGAGCCAAAGGAATAACAATTTCATTCGGAATCACACATAAAGCCGAGACCTAAAAAATTTTTTGTATTCCAAAAATTTCATTAGTTTTTTTAAATAAACCAAGAGAAAATTTGTATAAGTTATGAGGAAAGAGTAAAACATATTCTCGAAAATACCATCATTTTTCTTTAGAAAATGAAAGGAAGACTGTAATACTATGGGAAAAAATTGTGGAATTTTCATGGCAGAAATAAAAAAAATGTCGAAATTATCCACCTGAGAATTAATTATTGCACGAATTGCATTTAACAAACCAGGCACTTCCACAAATTCACCCATGCCAGTCAAATTGAAATCGATTTTCTGAAATCTGAAAAAATCAAAATGCAACATAAAATGCAAGAACTTTTATAAAAAAAGCTCGTAAATGGAGTGGCTGAAAACAAGGTATCATTTAAATAACTTCCAGTTGATTTTGCAATACAACACCTGTCCGTAGAACTAACCGGTTCTTCTAAGAAGAATCCAGAAACGCCGCCAACCATTGGTGGGTGTGGTAATAACGGCTTCAAGACAGCTCTTAACTTTCCAGAAAACTGGAACATATTACTTAATTATATCGGAATCATGTGAAATTCAGCTCCAAACTCATATCTTGTTTTCAACAAAAATTTTCAAACTGCTTAATTTTTTTATTAGATAGTAGTCTAAACTGAGTAAGAAGCCAATAAATATTTTTTAAATGTATTCTAAATCTTTAGAAACATTATAAAATACTACACCTGTAGCTGATTTAAACCGCCAGTGAAACCTGCAACACTAACACTAAAGTCGGCGTCTCCAGCATAAGCGATGTCCATGTCAACTATAATGCGATCTCGACCAACATTATGTGTATAAACCTAACCGGAAAGAAAAAACGGAAATTAATTAACAATGCCAGCTAGCAATTTCAGATTCAGTAAGGTTCGACAATAAGGCTCTAAACAACCTCTCCCAAAAATTCTTCAAGTGCTTATTTAATTAAAAAATCAGTTTTGCGTTGAAGATATTTTTGCTAAAATTAAAAAAAATGTTTTATAACAGTTACTTTGATGCCACCGACACGACAAGGGATATCACCCATATCCATTTTTGTAAATTTGAATGACTTGAAGATAGCTGGCAGCTGCAATTTAACCTCAGGTTCGATGTGTTCACGCATAAAGTGCTTGGCATATTCGGTAATGTATGGCCAAAGTTGAAATATAACCTAAAGAAGTACCATTTTTTCAAAGAAAAATTTCTCAGTAAATCTTGACAATTCGAAATTAAAAACAATCAAATCTTTTGCATCATCGCAATATACTTCATATTCGGAAGGATCACACGGTGTTACTGATAAAAATATTTTATAGCTATAAGTACGAGAATTACTAAAGATTAATAGCGCCTAAACATTGATTGGGAACAAACTTTATTAAGCCACTCGACTCGTTCAGTGTCCGGAAATTGAACCCAAGCTGGAAGATCCTGCAGCTGTGCTAATATAACCTGCAATCGAACACAAAGATCTCTTGTAATTTTAAAGAGATGTGAAGTATTTGTTTACAAAATGTTAACTTGCACACAATAAACAAACATTACTTTAACAACTGAAATCAACCTCTTGTTCCTTCAGAGCGGCCTGTCTTAAACCTAAGAGTCGTTTCTCGCGCTGTCGCCACATGTAAGATTTCAAACCATGCAAAACGACAAGAATCAAGATCCATCCAAACGAAAATTGATAGTATCCAAGCAGGAAACAGGACTGCAAGTCAGATTCAGATTTAACGAACAAGAGTTGATCTAATTAACCTAAATGCTTAATTAGCTAGCAAATGAATTCAGAAGATGTATTAAAGTATCACTATTAAATGACAAAAAAGAAGGTAAAATAATGCCGACAGTTCGAGTCTCTTCAATTAAATCTAATTAAATGCTTGATCTCTTGATGCCGGAGTTTTTCAGGAAAATAGGAAACCGGATGTAACCATAATACGGTCGCACAGTTATTGTGAAATACAATATATTGAAAATTTAATTCTTGGATGATAATTGAAGAATTTTTAAAAACTACGAGCTCTAAAATGAATACCTAATTAAATACAGTCGAACTCGAATTTAAAATTGAAAATTGTAATTCCAATTCTATGTCATTGCTAGAATTGAAGAATCTATCACCTCGCTCGAAGAATGCTTGTAATACTAACTGTAATACTTATCGTACTGATTTATTATCCATCTGGCTTTCTGTATTTAGTCGTTCATATTTTTCTATCCATCTCAGTTAGTAATGATATTAAATGATTAAAATTAAGTATTCCGTTAAGTAGCAGCTTGTATAGGCTAATTAATACACTTTGTGTTAAGTAGTACCTTGTAAACTGCGCTTTTAAAATTAAACAAATATACCCCTAAAATGATAAAATTGCCGATTACTGGTATCACATAATTTTGCCATGTCATTTCCACTTTTTTACATCAGTCTTTGAATCCTACGGCAGCAGCAATAGCAACAGAATCAATTTCAGTAAAATACTCTGAAATGAATGTGTAGAAAGAATCGTTAAATATCTACACATTTCACAGAATAAATCAACAATTTCTAGTTAATTAACCAACTACTTAACCAACTTAATTATACCTGGAAAACATACAACCAATTACTCTTTTTCCTAACTAAGAAACTATTTAACACCTATAATTTACAATTTTGAATTAACTGCAACACTTTGATAATAACTATTAATGATAATCAATTCCTGAAGGACCAGATGCTACCATCTCAGCAGATATCAAGATTTTCAGAAATTACGATTACGAAATTTATTGCTCAGTGTCTTCTGATATCTTTCTATCTACCCTCACTACAACTGTTTATGTAGCGTAAAAGCATTGCATTATTTCTGCAAAACCTTCAATGGTATATAAACAATGCATAGCGCAACAAACGACCTTTAATTGAAAAAGAAAATAGTAACGAGGGAAACTAGAATAATGTAAGAAAAAAGGTGTAAGATCAAAAAAAAGATGTACATAGACCGCAGAATCGATGGGACTAACTCTACCACCTTTTAGCCAACCAATAGCCATTATATTTTCATTTTCTTCAACGCAGGTGCCATTACACAGCAGAATCAGGATAGAGCCATACACAGCACACATAAAATGCCAATATCAAGGAAGGAACATCTGTATTCCTCCTATTCAAAAAAATACTGGAGAAAATCGTCTCCAAAAGTTTAAATCTTCCCAAGTCTGTACTACCCATATGTTATCTTTTGTTTGTTTTTCATAATTATCTTTTGTTTTTACAACTACTTTTTCGAAGAACAGCTATCAAATTGAATACTTTCTCGTATTTTTGAAACTAAAAATATAATGCAAAACAATCAAGAAGCGTTTATTCGTACTTGGAAAAGTTCTAAAAAATTTAAAATTATATTACAAATTTTAATTTTTGCTGATCCAACAGAAAGTAAAGTATCGGACAACATGAAAACTTCCAACTCCTGAAAAAGTTCCTCTTTGGAAAAGGCCAAAAAATATTTAGATTGAACTGTTATGGAAAATGGTCACTGTAGACAACAAACAGCATCAAATACACCACTCCAAGAAAATTCGAAATTTATAAACAACAGATATATACTGAATCTTCATACGATCAATTATATAACATAATGATAAAGAAAAACAAATCCTAGAAAACTAATACAGTGACTTCATAGGTTCAAATTACTCCTTCTCTTCGTAGGTTCAGATTAATAACAAACACCACTGTCAACAACATACTAAAGCGTAAAAAAAGAATTCTATGAAATTAATTTCGCTTTCTTGGCCAATACCTCATTATCTGCTGCTAGCTCCTGGCAAGCAAGCTCCATTTTATAATTTTTGGTGACCATTTGCACCCAGTTTTGCTCCAGATCTTTTAGTTTTAATCCCGCTTCCAACTGACTTTTTCGCCTTCTCGAATGAATTTCCATTACCTCTTCTCGGAGCTGAAATCTTTGTGACCTTAAATTTGAATGAAAATAAGAAAACATGAGAAAACCTTCATAAAGGTCTAGGTGGAGTCTACACATAAATGCCTATGTGTGCTTATTTATTTGCTCGTAGTATATTTTATTTCCACAAAGGCTGGAAATAAAATACTACGAGCAAATAAATAAGCAAGGTGCACAAAACGAGGCAGCAGATATGTAGGAAACTAATACAAAAATCGATGCACAGTTCACAACCGTAAAAGCAAAGTGCTTCTAGATTACCGAACGGATTAAAATATGAACAATGCAGTTAAAAACATGTGAGACTCATGACAAACAAAAAATGATATTCGAGGTTTCGAAAATAATTTAAAATTGCTACCTTCCTTAATTCTTTCTCTTCACAGTGCAGCATAGCTTCCAATTCTTTGTTATATCGCAGGTAAACAGGTGGTGCATGCTCGTCCATCAGTTGTAAATTGATATTACGAAGTAATAAATGCTCATTTTGAGCAGCTGCATTACGAATAGCCTGAACCACTATTGTTGCTGTTAGTATTATTATTATCACCGATGTGGCATTATTCAGCAACACAAAGAAATTGAAAATGAGATTAGAACAAGGTTAAAAATTAGGAAAAAATTTGTTTAAAAACGTGCTTTTCTCCATGAGGTTTTATCACCCTGCCGTCCTGTTGTTGATGGACACGATAATTCATATCGTGACATATCTAGTTTTGGCATTTCCTGAAAAGAAAACTACAACCACCGAAAAGAACGAATAGATAACATAAATGATATGAAGAAAAATGCAAAACTAGGGATTCCTATTTCTTAAATCTGAATTTCCAATTTACCATAATCCTTTTGTCGTTGTTCTTTCTGCTGTCCACATAAAATAAAAAATCCTAAAGTCTTATAAGCCTTAGTGCAGTGAATCAGAGTTAAAGCCTTTCAAATTTCATTAACTACAAATCGTATAATCTTAACGAAATAAGAAAGGTGAAACTTACTTGCTTTTTGGACATCCTGATATGTTCTTTAATCAAACAAGGTGTCAGAAACACATCAAAATCAGGAGGTGACATATTTTGCAAATAATTTTTAACTGGACGCAAAACTCGGCATTCATCTTCTATCAGCTGCATTGCCATTTGTCGGTCGGATTCTGTATAATCCGAATCAAGATAAGGCAAAGCATCCACTAAAACTGTTGCATCTTCCGATTTACTCACCACAGCCACAACATGTCGTACATCAACCACAGACATTTCCACTTCTACAAATAGAAATTTATTAAAATTAAGCTAAAAATGTACTTCAAAATTGTATCAGATCTTAGAAGTAATGTGGACAACTTCCGCAATGGAAAATTTTTCCAAACCAAATTCATACCGTTCCATCTTAAAACTTAACCGACATATGCCACTTTCTTGCGGAAAAGATTATTATGGACTTATAATGATCTTTTATTTTACAGCTAATCCTAATGCGCACGTCTAGTACATCTTACTGCTACTTTTTTACGAATTATCAAAAATTTCTTTAAATTCTCTCATTCCTACATTATGACTATTACATTTCAATGAAATGTCATATCATCAATATCACTCTGGAAATATGTATATTAAGGGAGATGATTAGTTTCCTCCTTGTACATAAGCAAAATCAACAGTATCAACAATATAATTAAAGCTCCTCTTATTCTTTTACCAATAATAATAAACGACAAAATATATAACAGAAGAGGAAAAAAGGATATCAGGGCTTCGAGACACAAGTAGCTTTTTACGAAGAGCATAATTAACAACATTCACAAGCACAAAGAAATGGGATGGGAAAGAGAAAACATTAAGCATAACCTAGAAAAAAACTAATTGAAAAAAAAACATCACTTCTTCCACATGCATCATTTTATTATACTACGGTTTAAAACAAACAAAAAATATGTTTAGTATGAGCAAATGGTTCCCTTGATTGAGGGATTCATAAAAAAATATATGCAAACGATGTGATACAGATAACGTACAAAACAAACGTACAAAACAATTATTTTTCGCACAACGAAATTGTAAGATAGAAATTGGAAAGTGGAACAAAGTAAATTACGATTATTAACTGTATGTGAAAAACTGTATACTTGTATTCTATTTTTTTAGAGACTAATTACTTCGCTCGAGTTCTTTCCAATTTTTATTCCTAAAAGTGTAGCTCATGAAGAATGATGAAAGAAATAAGAATTGCTTATACCTGCTCTCCACCTGCACTACAATGGACGAATTTAGAGAGCAGTACCCATTTGAAAGAAATGAAAGCTATTGGACAACCGAATATCACAAAGGATTCCCACCTTTCTCCGCATTCGAAAAAGGTTGAAACTAAATGGTCTGAACAAAAAAATTACGAAATTCAAAGATCAAACAAACAATAATTTAAATGTTCCAGTTGACACGGTGCTGAATACAATAGCATTCAATGTAACGGCTCCAGAGGATACTTGATGTTACCTACGACTCCTATAAGTGCTCTAAGAAACGTACTTCTTCAAATTCCAAATCTTTCACACGATTCAAGTGCACTTATATGAAAAACAACCACTCCAATACTCAAATACAAAATCTTCAATATCCTAATGATTTCAATGAGCGAAAAATTCATTTTGGTCAACAATACGTTTCTTCAGCATTGTGAAAACATGTTGAAAATATGAAAATTTGATCAAAATCAAAAAAGACATGCTGCTCCGAGGGAGCTCCAGTGAATAACTGAAGATAAGCAGAGCAAACTTATCCGACAAATATATCAAACTTGTATAACAAAAAATCATATAATAAAATTAAATCGAAAAATAAAAGTAATACTAGAAATACACAAACAAAAAATTCATCACCGGCTAAGCTTAGTACTGATGCAGATTCGAAGAGAAAGGAAGAGCTAAGAGGGAGATTATGTAGTATGGTGAAAATAGAATTAGGGAGAGAAGTAAAGGCAAAAAGAGAGTGAAAGACCATTGCTTTCAATCTGATAAAAGCAAAATGTAAAAAAGGTTCTAGTAATATTGATGCCGTATTTTTCGATAGCCCGTAAGAACCACAGTAATTCAATTCGTCATCTTCATATAATCGAAAAATTATGCCCTCGACTGAATTATCTGCAAATTTAGCAACAGATTACTCCGTTAGCAGTGTTTATATTGCTTGAGCAATATCAACTTATGAAAGAAAATGTAAGATTTAGTTACTGTATAAGCATTACCTTAAATTTGGCTGCTCAAACTAGCAATGAATCAAAAACCTCAACACTTTGCATTCCTAACACATCTGTTCATTCAGCATCGAGTTACTGCATATTCTCTCACTATTTACACCATGCAACAATAAGGTAAAAGAAGAGTATTTTCCTATAAAATCTTATAAAGTTCCCGTGCTAAACTCCGTACAATGAGATGTAGTCTTTGTGACAATGAGATGCAGTTTTTAATCGTAGATTTTATCGCGAAAAGATTATAAGATTTCTCTTCTCTACCCATTCCTCTTCAAAAGCTTCCCATGCCTTTTTCTTCAAGTTTGTTGACAAAACACTTTGTAATTTCACCACATGAAAAATTGACTGACTTGGGAGCTGTAACACTTAAGCTAGTCGTCAAAGAAAAATGGCATAGCAAATCTTGTCAACGATAACTATTTTAAACTGTCATTTACTTTCAGCGAGAGTAAGGGTTAGTTGCGAGAGAAAAAGGCTAGCCAGAAAAGAAGCAGGTACGAATAAATGAAGTCGGATTAGGAATGGATTTACACTGATGTCAGTAAAACCTGACTAAAAATTCAATTATTTAAAAGATCAAAAGTAGAGACAATATAAGAGATTTTACTTTAAAAACGAGGCAATTATACTGTGAAGACCTGCAATGCATTGGTGCGACTGACATCTTCGACGATGAGAAGCTCAGTGGCAGCTGAATTTTGCTCCTCAATGTTGATCTGCTCATTCTGTCCCGATGCTGGTTTTACCTGTACCTGATTTATATTAGAAGCATTCACTTTTGTAACAAAACCATCTTTTCGAGGGATTTTGTTAGGCGGTGGTTGCTGCAACTCAAGATTTCCCTTTTTTCGTCCACTTCGTTGAACTGCATCTCGTTGTGATGAAATAATTACACCGCTACTTTCACCATTCAACTGATTCACATCTTCTGAAGTTGATGGTACTGAGATCACTTCTATCACCTGTAATAACCTAATCATAAATTTAAATCTGTAACTTCTGTATCTTAGCTCATATGAAATTTGTGCTCGCTAACATCTAAATACCAGTACTATACCTAATAAACTTACAGGAATATGTTTGTAAAGCAAAGCGTTCACACGCAGTCGTTCCATGGCAACTCGTTCACGTTTTGAGCAAGCAATACGTCCTCCTTTGTTTAGCGTTGTACAATTCTAAATCATTCATGAGATTTGTGAGAAATAAATGCAGAATGACTACTCCAGTTAATAGATGAGTAGAAAGAAATAATTTTGTCTATGTCCTAAAAACACCATAAATTATCATTGTCAAACTACCAATTGGATAAAAATTTGGAAGAAATTAATAACTGAAAGTGCAACTTGCCTCAACTCTCTCTGCGTCTGGTTGTATCTTCTGCGTACAGTTAACACCATTTGGCTTCCAATTGCATTCACGCATTAGTATTTCCTTTAAATTAAAAAGCGATATGGAGCATTCATTCCAACATATTATATTTATCTGCTGCGGAAGAGACAAGCAAAATTTCATACTGTACATGAAATCAGTCAGCAAAATGAGCTGATTATCTAACAGCTAGTACTTTTTTGAAATTCTTTCAAAAAAGTCCGAATATGGCTACATTCAGTATGTAATCGTGCAGCCATCTTAAAACGCACTGCATAAAATGATCCAACTACTTTCGTGGTCATAGCAATGGATATAAGGTTCATAATGCGTTCTATAATTTAGAAATATTGAAAAGACTGCTGCAAATTTCGGAAACATACTTCAGTTTTTTGCATATTGGGTTGCAATTTTTTGGGTAATTGTGTACGAGAATACTCAATAACAAGCGGCATCATATAAATGTTGATCGCATTAGACATAGCATCTGAGTTTGGATTGAAATTTCGCAAATCTATGGAATTTCTATTAACGCTAAGTCGTAATTTCCGTTTGACATTGCTGTCATAATCGCGCACAGGAAGCATTTCTGTTGTATAAGATCTGAAGTGTTATTAGTAAATATGAAACAAACTGAAGAATATTACTGTTTATTTCATGCATATTATGGAGTCACCGACTGTATTAAAATTTTGGAAAAGTTGTTTCAGGAAATGTTGTTTTTACTGAACATAAAATCTATACGAATATTAATTAGAAAACAGAAATGAAAGCAAAACGTACTTAAATCTATCCAAAATGACTTGAGGATGATCATGCTTCATGAGATAAAATTCAGAAACAATTTCCAACGCTGTAACTAAACCAACACCAGGAATTCCTTTTTGCGCATAATCACAACCAATCATGATTGTCATTGCGATAAGACAAGACCTAAAACAACTGTATGCTGACTTGCTTTAATTTGTATGATTATCATTTTTTCTTAACTTCTCTGCTGAAAATCTTACTTTGTACAAAGGGAAGAAAATTCTCTTCGAAAGCCTTAATCAACATATTCAAACTTGAGATGATATACAGTTCTTTAAACTAAGCATTTTTTTTATTGTAAGATACATAAACTTAACATTTTTTATTATAAGAAGCAATAAAGTCGGCTGCAACATAATAAGATTCGAAATTCCTTTAATGCTTCTCTTTTATTGCTATTAAAAACCTCCGTAAGCACTCTTAAATGGTTTTACCTGCTCAAGCACAAGGTTTCATCCAGATAATCCATGGAAAGATGAAGAATATTGTTCTGTACCTTGCCACTAAAACCAAATTCGACCTTAAATTGAAACAATTTTTTAAAGGAATGAAGAATACTGTTTACTTTATTTTCAACGCGAGATTTTGAAAATGACTCCCCCTCCCCGCAGAAATTTAAGAGAAAAAATTATCTTTCACAAAGAAACACAGACTCCGCGGGAGTGCATAACCTATGAGCACTTTCATGATATGAGGGGTTAAACCTGCAGATAGACAGTCTAAGTTACGAACTCAAGTCTAAACTTGCGAATTGTTGCAATCAATAACCGCATCAGAGCACAACAGTAAAGTTAAAAAAAACATAAAAACAGAGATTTTAAAAAGTATTTTGAATTAGAATTAAAAAGCCATCCCTACTTGATAGAGATTATTCCCTCCAAAAAGAATATAGTCGAAATCTCGAGTGATGCAACCATGCACTAAGCCTCGTTGCTCAAGTTGTGCGCATTGTGCTTCACCTTCCAATTTACTTTCCATCCAGCGAACTCCCATCGAATTTAATAACATCTTCAAATAACCTCTCCTTAATGCTCTTTATCCTGTGTTATTATATATTTAATTTAAGTACGAAAACCAGCCCTAAAATTATGTGCATCTTCTTTATGCTAGACCTTCAGACAATTTATTGCAAGCGCCCTATATCTGCGTCGGACAAACAAATCAAGCGACCTATACAGCCAATAACCTGTATATTTGCTGCAGCCATTGGCAAACTTTAACAATTACTTCAACTTATTGACTGGTTAACACGCTACTGTGACTTTTAAACTTGGCCGAATCCAAGATATATGTCAGAGTACTCGACATCCCGATTTACTGCCGTCCGTCAGCACTTCAACGCATATACTGCGTTTTGTTCAAGGATGAACAACAATTTTTGCGAATTGTACAGAAATTTCTAATTTCCCACCTTGATTTCTTCAATTTTTGGCACCATTTCTTGTTTTAGTTCTGATGTCCAGTACTTGCTTCCACGCTTTCTTGATTTCCTCATCGTAGAAACCGCATAATCTACCTGAAATCATTCATATTTTAAAAACAAAGTGAAAGTGTTTTAGTCCTCAGTCTACGAAAATGTGGCTAAGGTTCCTATGGAGAACAAATGGAAACAAACATTTGTCCGCTCTCCCTCATCAATTCCATCGAAAACAACAATGGGTTCAACACCTTCTTCCATTAAACTTCGACATCGTGTATAAAATGTACTTAAATACGGCTTTCGAGCAGTTGAGCAGTGTGCTACCGAGCCACGCAGTACTTCATACAGCCAAGTGTGACCATCTAAAGTGAAAAAATAGAAAATCATAACCGATCAATTAAACTTTTTTCTTTCCCTACCATGATCCTCCTTGTCTTCATTTTCGATATTTTGATTCCAAATTTTTCATTCCTGGGTTTAAATGTTTGTCTGTAACTAAAACACTCTTAGTTCTGCGTACTTAAACTAAAAGCAATTTAAGCTGTGCAGAAATTCTAACTGTTCTTTGAAAAACATATATAATTAACCTATAGCAATCCGCTTGTTCCGCAGTGCAGATATATTCACAGGTTGTACAAACTTTTGCGCGTATTCCCACATGCTTGTAACGCCCATTGCACTGGCGTTTCTTGAAGATTATTAAAATTCTGAAATTAAGCTTTAAACTAAATTGTACAAAAAATCACGAAGCTTCCAACCTCGTACATAACAGCGAAGGAAGTGTCAAAGTGTTCGGAAAACAGCGAGTAATAATATGATGATAAAAGCTCCTCGTATTTTATTAAAGTAGTGTTTCAAATGTTCCACTATTTTATTTTGATCTTATCTCCGTAAGATCAGATATGTCAGTTTTGGATACAGCTAAATATAGGATAAATAGTTGATCAGATTGGTCCATAAAAGCTTAAGAATATGAAAATGGACTATAAAATTCATATTTTCATTGAAAATCAAGACAAACTGACTAGTTTTTCTAATCGTATTCATAATCAAAAGCTGGTAACACTGTTGATAGGTTTATTGGATGACCACTAAGGCTGCATATAATAAGTTAGATATGTGTACCTTAAGAACGTAGATGTACGCAACGTCAGTGGAGAGCTATGCACGATCGTAAACGATATAACATAAGTCTAGCGTTATATGTGGCCGATAAAAATTAATGAAAATCCGCATGGCAAAAACGAGTCGCATTAAGAAATAAAAAAAAAACCCTTGAATTCCAGTATAACGTTTCCAAACTTCGGTCGTTAAAACCAGCTTCCAACTGTAGATATATTATGAACTCATCTGCAACACATCCGCAAGCGTTTATATAGCATTTATACTGAAGGAAATTTCCAGTCGAGAAAAGCCTCGACCGGCGAAACTTGAAGTATCTCTTTGAACAGTGAACTAACAGGATCCTGAATCCATCTGAATCGCCCGAAAGTATCACTGACAAGTGGGAGTCGTTGCTGTTACATTCAGCTGCTGGATTAAGTTCATGTCTCATCGTCTGAGGTACCACACGTGCACAGCCGTTTCTGTCTTTAAAGTCGAACCTTGAATAAACCGAAAGACGTTAACCATCCTTCAAAAGTAAGCGTTCATATATCTTTCATGTGCAAGCAAGTTTTACACGCCCTATACCATCAAGTATTAAGCACGTCTGTTGATCTGTTTGTCTGCCATCAACAGATTAACCACGATCGTTGACCTGTTCGACAGGATTGGCCCGTATGGCAAGATCTCCGTTTTTCACATATTTGATAGTGACTGTCCCTTCACGAATATCAAATTTTGTGATAGTTGCTTCGATGACCAAGGAAGATCCTTTATTTTATAATATGTCAAAGGTCGCTGTAATTCGAGTGGTACTTTCGAGGCAACTGCAAGTTCACATAAAGTTTTTTCAGCTACAGAAGATGACAGTTTCATGCACTTTTCCATCTTGTAATAGTTGGAAGGCCCATATGATAACAGTCAAAGACAAATGATTACAAGTTACCCAGTGTCCTCATAACTAGGAAAAACGAAGAACAATGCAGATAGAAGATTTCTGCTTGAAGCGAATAACATGACAAATTAGCTAAGAAATACCACCAATCAAAGGAACAACATGAAGAAAAAGAAATATATAAGTATTTCTGCTTAAAAATTTTCTTTTAGATAACAGTATCTTTACCGCTAGTTTCGAAAACAGAAACCCAAAATTCAGCCAACTAAACTGAAAAATCAATAGTTGGTGATGTTATTAATGTGAAGCTTTTTATGCAAATCGAACTTAACCTTTACTTCAATGTTAAGAAAGCGAGAAAGTATAATGAAACTGTAAGGAAAAGATTCACTCTCTTTTAATCCACAAAGTATGAGCTTTGGAGAAGGAATTACTCAATATTTCAACGTCAAAAGGCATTGGACCTAAACCTAGTGGAATGTGCCTAAAACTAGTTTTCTGAAGTAAGTCCTCATCTCTTACTTCCTATCTAGATTCCTCCCTAAAAGAGAAAACCGACTGAGTCAAGAAACTCTGGAATTCGAACAACTGGAATTCAATGATGTTCGCTGAATGCTAGAACAGCAAGTGTTCTAAAGGAGAAAAGGCATGAATGTGAACGATTCGATCGGGAGAAATGGCCCGAGATTTCCTTTTTACTGCTAACCGACGATGCTATTAGTGGTGGAATTATGCCATCTTCTCACAGCATGTTCGCAGATAGTACGTGATAATTTCGAACAGATATTTTCTCTTAGCTTATAAGTTACTTTTAACATAGATCAGGAAGATGAGAGCGTAAATAAAGCTAACTTGTCGTCACTTATTTTTGGGGACTGTTCTCACTACAATTCTGCCAAACATTCCCATCAATCCAAGGTAAATTGCATTTCATAGGGAAAAACACCGAGTAACGGAATAGCTGTATGGTTAATTTGTTATATGAAAGTTGAATTGATGAGTGTCTGGCTGTGATAAGGAGAGGTCAGACTGTGACCTCTGAGTTGAGATTGAGTCGGAATGAGTCAGAATGAGCTAAACTAGATCGAATCAAATTTAATCAAATCAAACTGAATTTAAATAGATTGAAATGCATTGATTTAACTGATTAATCTAAATGAATGCAAATAAGCAAAATTAAACTAAAACAATCGGTTGAACATGAAATGTTTATTGATATCAATTATATATTTAAAGGATTTATTGCAGTTACTTAATTTCAATTTTAATATCAAGAAATATAAGTACGTGTACATTGAGAGATAACTTCGAATATCTCCTGATAGTTATAAATATGTATTTTAATTTTGTATTTTTCTTGATAGTATCCGATAATATTCATTAAAAAATGCCAACATGTTTAGCAGGTTTAGATGACAACTATTCGAATTAATAATATTAATAATATTAATATTAATAATATTAATAATACTGCCATACACTGGATATACATAAGGTCGTTAGCATAATTTCAAAATTACTTTATAAGTAGTAGGGCCTTTAAAATTCCCAGGCCTTTAAAGGTATTGACCTGATCAAATATCTGCAGCATACATTGTTGACGATTAATTGAAAGAAAGCAGAGTGTGTAAGAAATGCATAGGATTTGTTTTTGTTCCGCATATAGAGCTAGCAAATGTAAGTAGAGGGTTTTGTAGCGGTTAAAGGTCATCGATATATTCTTCCCCTCCATTCAAAAATTTTCGCAATTCATTATTGGTGAGCAAAGAAAAAATTTCTTACCTAAGATGTCCAATATGATTGCTCTGCTGGTTCTTTATATAGCAACATTCATGATAACGATCGATAGCTGTCCTAGTGATGGTTGGATGCGACCGATGGAGAAAGATACCAATCCTAGTAGGAATTTTCAATATTTTTATTTTTCATATAGTCTCAATTATTTCCGGAAACAATTCCTGAGTTGGTGTTAAATGTATTTGTGAGTCTGTTAAAAATCGAAGTAGAAAAAAATGATGAGTAGATGGAATATCCGATGAAGAAGACATACCTTAAAAAGTAAAATAGATGGTGATAGTATTGTTGATTAGTTTAATTATTGTGGTCAAGAAATGATATTTGAGTATATTTTCACCTGATCTAATTAACTTTTCTAGATTGTTGGAAATGTGAGCCATCACCTGAGGAATTGAATGCATGTGATAAAAATTTCCTAATTCATGGAAGGAAATGCGGTAAATTGCAATCAAGATTTGTAGAACGTGATAATCACTGCATTGTCGAAATATTGCATTGTTATTCGAAATTTCATAATACATATCAAGCTAAAGCGAACTTTATCGTTGCACGTGGTCGACTAATCGATCAACCTGGCAATGATACGTAAGTTCGTGTAGCAATGTTGTTTAATTATTCAGCTAACGGATCTGCAAAATGTTAGACAAGAGAGATACATAATATCAGTCAGTTATTAGATATCATTTCAAACCGATGTTGATTGTTACTTGCCCACCACATTATGATGATTGATAATCATTGATTGCAGTTCGATGCGCTACTTCCTGTTGAACAACCCTGTTGAAATGAAAGAAGTCATAATAACATGTACCCTAAATGGTATATGGGAAGCAATACTATCAACTGGTAATCGAGTGGAAGTCAATGAGCTACAATGTATCACATCCGATCATCAAATAATGAATCATATCTCTCCGTATATTTCCTCGACATTGATTAAAGAAGAAGAGTAATTCCTGTTCTTTCAATTCCATTAAACAACACTGTTGCATTTCTCGAAAAATAATCTCTAGCATGTTTTTTTCCAATACTCGATTATATGAACTCTAAAAGGTAAACTCCAGATGGGCATATTTAGTGTTTTCACATAAATAAAGTTTTCTGTATGAAAAATAAAACATCTTTGAATATAAGCCCTAAACTTTCCTAAAGTTTATTTTCGGGAAAGTACGGTAATATATCCTACAAATGAATCGACGATAAGAGGAATGAAAAATCTAACAATTGAGCTACAAATTTTTTTTTTGCTTCCAAATACATAAATGAGATAAAAGATTGTTTGTATATTAAAATGATATTGAGAAGATCAATTATCTATCACTTTCCATTTCTTTATATCATTCAATCTAAGCTAAGATGACAGCCGTTCTTCAATGAGATAAAAGTGAGGAAAAAAATTGAAAATCAGAATGTTCCATAGGAATATTATTAAAATCAATGATTACTTTCAAATTATTGTAAATGTTATCAAAGGTGAACATTACATTTAGACTGAAAATGTTTTTTGCGTTTTCCCTTTTCTCAATCAAAATTTATGAAAGAATTTTGGAACATTTCTATATTTAACTAAATCTTCTATTTTACTAGTGAAAAATAATTTTGTCTTCTTTCTACACAGTACTTTTATACAGTACTTAATATCGAATCTTATATGAAATCACATAATTTAATGGATTTACTATAGAGTGTATAGTTCGCTGTACTGAAATAGGAATTGATTGAACATTTGATCACAATGCCATCAATCAAATACTGAAACAATTGTTTGTTCTATTTATTTACTCGGAAATTGGAGCTGATTTGTTGAAAATTTTCATTCTTTTTATCATCGATCTATGAATAGATTTTTTTTGACATGGTTAAAGTATTGTTGATTTCTTATCATTATAAAAACTTCATTTCACTTTTTATCATTTCCATTTCTTTATTCCTTCGTTGTTATTCTTTACTTTATTCTAACAATTTATGAGTAATAACTTTATAAGTCTATTGAATTTAATTTTTTCCAATAAAATTCTCTATCATTGCAGAAAATTCATAAAGAGGCTAAATATAATTGACGCACGTATGATTGATGAAACTATCATAGTATGAGATTGAAGTTGGTCTTGAGATCGAAGAGATGAGCTCTTCGATACATTTAAATTTGGAAGATGATAAATCAATATCCTAAATAACATTTGGACAAGCCATTTTGATCTGTTTCAATTAAAAAAGAAAGTGGAGCAAATAATCCTCAAAGTATTATCGACGAATTTCACTTTTCAAACCTCATAGTATGAGATTGAAGTTGGTCTTCAGATCGGAATTTCTATAAGGGGATTTTCAAGTCGGAATTTCGTACATAGCTCAGACATGGACAAAGACTCGTACCAATGATCGGATCGAACATGGATAACATTTGTATCAGTGATCGGTACAAGAATTAGCATACTGTTGTAATGGAAGATGTGAAAGAGCTTTTATTAAATTTCAATAGGAAATTAAAAAGGAGTTTCTAGTGAATGTCAGTAATTTTTTTGACACTTTGATACTCTGCTTTATCATCTTTTTTTCAATTATGTGGTAAACAGCCTTGGATTAAATCGTAGTATCCATCTGTTTGTTTGGAAATATGCTGGTCTGAAGTGAAGAGAAATGCATTTCAAACATCAAAAATTTAAACCAAATTTGCAAATTTCAAGTAAAATTTGTTGATCATAAATGCACTCAACGACAAATTCATTTATTTTTGTGACAGTTACTACATTGCGCTGATTTCGTTTCTGCAGTTATGAAATGAACGTGTGAGTTGATTAGATCTTCCGGTTTTTCATCGGCATATTCCGTATGAGTCCTAAAATGATCGAATAGTGTAATTGAACCAACTGAATTAGTTCATTTCATTATCAATCAATTCATTAGATTTAACATTTTTTATGGATAAAATTTATACATAGATTTATTTAAACCTGATAGATCGTTACCACTTATCAAATTTCACAAACTAAATGAAAGTTACATATTGTACAATAGAAATAAGTTAAATTTTAACTATCCATACCAATTGTATATCACTTTATATTGTTATAAAATGTTTTATTGAATATTAATTTCTGAAATTTAAAATTTGAAATTCTCTGAAGTTAATGAATGAGGAAACTGATGTATTTCTAGACAGAACGAAAGTAATCTCATCAATGTGATTCCGTTTTAGTCTTTCAAATGTAATCATTGTCAAACAAACCAATCGCTTTGTAATTTTTCCTATTACAGAGCTTACCTAAGATGTGATCGAATACCTCGTTGTGAATAACCTTTGTAACCACAAATTTGACAAACATAAGCCTGAATTGGAGCATGATTTACCCGAACATGTTGAGCTAATTGACTAGCGCTTACTGGTAGGAAGTCACATTGTTGACAGTGATATGCTATCTAAAATGATAAATGTTAACGATACAATAAAATGATCAATATCCTATTCCTTTAATGATTATTTACAAAAAATTAAAAAGTATAAATAAAAAAAAAGAAGAAATGAAAGATGCAAAAATATGATAGAAATGAAGCATACGCTACTTTTCGTTGTGGTTCCCGGAATGGCGCTGTTTGATTAGCATTATTATGACAATAATATTTCTTATGTCCATTCAATGTTATTTCACTACTGAATGACACACCACAATCACAACGATATTTCTTATCCGGTTCGGAAGGTAACAATTTTTCCTATAATTCTTTTCACAATAACTTCTAACTTTTATCATTACCTTGTGATAGAGGTAAGAGAAGAAAAAGAAAAAATAAGAAACAAAAAGAAAAGATGAAACGTACACCTGTAGAATTATTATCTTCTTCAGTGCTATCACAATTACTGCTACCACTATGAGCATTTTGTTGTTGTTTAAATTGTTTTATGCGTACTGTTAAATCTAATGGTTTTAAATCATTGGACGATTTACGCTTTTTTCTTATACCATTCGATACCATTCCTTTCCTTAATGCTTTTTAAACTGTTATTTTCCATTATCAATTATTAATTAATCTTTTTAAAATTAACCACAAACTTGCTATTATAATAATCAATCAATTGATAATTTTATTATTGCTTTATAATTTATTTGCTGATATCATTTGGAAAGTTTATAGCATTTTTTATATAATTGATAATGGCGTTTATTCTACTGTTAAAAAGATATATCCAATTGTATTATGTTATCATGCTATGTTTACCTCATGTTATCGTGCTATGTTTACTTTATGCTATCTGTTCTATTTAGCTTTGACCAACGATGAATTGACTATAATAAGATGTCCATAAGGGTTATATTATTCGATCAGAGATGTTATTTAAAGAGACATATTCATTTATATATATTTAAAAAGTAAATAATATTTTTGAGATATGTTCATTTCATGTATACCTTTTCTCACAATTATTATTATGAAAAAGAGTGCTGGATGTTGATGGATTTTGTGAATATGGCTGTTGCTGTATGGCAGTGACATTTATAAGACATCGTGTCTCACCGAAACAGATCTGATTTGGAATTGTGATATTGCGAGCCATAAATTCATCGATAAATAAACATGGCTTAAGAATATTTTGGGCATGAGGATGTATCGCAACTGGAATTAACGTTTGTGGATAACCCAATACCTATAATAATTTTCATGCAATAATTAAAATTAATTAAATTAAATTAAATTCTTCATTAATTGTAGAGTGATTGAGTTATTCTGCTAAGAATAGATATTCGAATGATCGATTTAGAAGATAAATACAATAAAATGAAACTTTCATCATTGCAATAATAAAATTGAAATGAGCCAAGTAATAAAATTAAAATGAGCCAAGTAAATATCATTAATCTCTCGATAAGAGTTATAAAATATGAAAATAAATATGTAAATTAAATATTTTTCAATTGAATAAACGGTTTTTTTATATTATATATTATTACTTGGCTATAATATAATCAATTATATAATTATTTCAAAGATTGGTAATTAACTTTTATTTTAAAGGAGTATTTTAAATTTTAATTAATCTTTTTTAGATGTCTAATTTTTATGACTAAAATTTAATCACTGATCATAATTTAAATTGAATTATACAATTTATACATCGAATTTTCTCGAACTTATTGTTAATGTTATTTTACAATTTTGTTAAATACAATTAGGCAATGATTTTCCTTCAGTGAAAAGCAAAAACTTTTATTGATTCTTTGCTTGTCAATTTATACTTCTCTAGAAGTTTGTATTCTCTTAGAACTTCAGGCTATCTCTCTTATCTTATCAGAGTATATTATGTATATTACTACTACAGTTTTCTTCCCCTCTTAAAGAAATGATTATTATGAGAGCAACAAGTGGTTATTAGTCATTGAATGCGGAACCATCTCTACCAATGCTACGACTGTTTCGCTCTATCAGATTTATCATTTTCTGCATAGATGTAAAAGCATTCCGTTTAATTCTTACTGTTGCTTAAATTATTGACAATTAAAAATGATAAACTGTATGATGAATATAAGCTTTTCCGGATCTAATATATGCAAGATGAATTTTAAGAAAATATTTTTCTATACAGCAAAATTTTACTTTTTCCGAAATTGTTAAATATCACTTATCAGTTCAGATTAGCGATTATGTTATACACAAAAGCTGACCAATAAAAAAAGATGCCTTTATGTCCTGTTTTCTGGAAGAAATCATATTTTCATTTTGTAATAAATAATTATTCAACTTTTGATGAGTCACCTGAACGCTGTTGACGGAATGATTATGGAATGCAACAGGAAGATATAATGCATGCGTCGGATTGATGCATTGATCGGTTAACATTTCTTTACGATAAGCATCAAATGATAGACTATTGCTATCAACAGATGTTGATAAGGATGATGTTGAAGATGCTAGAAATTTTGTGATTATTTCAAATTTAAAAACAAAAGAATGTAAATAGAAGGTAAATTCCCAAAGAAAATTTCGACTTAAAAATGGAAGATACAATTATAAAATTTTGGATTTAAAATATTTTAAACATTACGATTGAATTTAATACCTGTAGAGGGAGATAATCGCTGTATTAGATCGGTGCCCGGCCGCTGCAAATATTGTTCGCATTCAAGCAAACCTGCGCTATCACTCTCTTCTTGACTACTTTTTCGACACTTAAATATGAAATTTAAAATTGATAAAACTAAAATACACTTCAAAATTTTTCCTGATATGCTGGTCTACAAAGAGGTCAATATTAACGACAGTGCTGCAGTATTATTGATGACTTTCTGTCGACTAATTCAACCTTTTTCCGGTTATGTCAATTAGCGGAGGCCTTAATTGTTGTTTGGACTGTAATCTTTACGCCTAATAAAATACGGTTCTACAAAATTGAAAATGAGATTCCTCAGAGAGTACTGCCCAATTAGAGTGACCTTCAAGATATTTTCAAATATTATATGAGATTGCGGATTGCTGCATGTCATTGATTGTCTTTTTGTGTAATTTATTTCTCGTAAATTAGTTCACAAGAAATGATACTAAAATAGGTGAAGATAGGAATGAAATAATTTACACAAATGTAGTATTGCTTGATGGAATGGAAGGAGCACGGCAACAATAATAAACTTTAAAAAAGTCAATTACTGCTCAAATCAATACTACTAAGATTTCATTTGTTATTTTGTTTCTTAATCAATTATCTCTACTTACTTGTAGTAGCGTTATAGTTCCATTACCGGTCGTTCCACTCTCAACGATCCTATCATTGTTATCATCCGTAATTAAAGTTACAATAGCATTAGAATGACGGGATGGAGTGCATTGCTTCCGTCGTGATTTTCTTGTATCGCTTATGTCACACATTTTTTTTTTAACAACCAATTTTATGACAATCCTGTTGCTCAAAATAATTCGAATTTTTTTCTGTCACCTGAATTTTTTGAAAGGATTTAACAACTTATATATTGTAATTAATTTTGCTTAATATACCTGTGTATATGTATGTATGTGTGTAAATAACTATTATGTGTATATTGCTGCGATAATATTACCTCAGATGGAGAAGATAAGCGTAATAATATTGTTGTAACTATCCGAATAAAAAATAACCCGAAAAGAAAATATTTTGGTAAATTAAAAAGTATACTTACTTATAAATTTGAGGTGTGCTTTGAATAATGCCTATGATGAGTAAGGAGAAGAGAAATGATGTTAGGAATTATCTTCATCATTATCATCATCGTCATCATCAACAACGACAACAACAGCCAGGCCTAAGAGTTATAGTGATCATGGAAAAATAAAATAAATGAAGTATTTTTGATTTATTACATTAAGTATACATAATGAAAAGGTTCACAGAAGTGATACTTAAATGGAAGAAAGCTGAAAAATGGGAAAAAGGGAAAATGATTGAAAGAAAGCGATAAGCAAAGGCATCATCTCTTTCCTCTCAACAACTATCATTATTTGGTTGCCCCATGAAAGTGATGCAGTCGGGGTGGAATGAATAGAAACTGGGGGAGAAATGAGGCGATCGGGAGAGGGGTAGAAGTAAGAGTGGGTCAGGGAGAATAGAAAAGCTTCACAAAACTCAATCTATCTACGCAAGCAAAAGGGAAGGAAGCCAAGCTAGTCCCTTATCTGATCAAATCACCTACAAGCACATCCGCTATTCCTTATCTCAACCAAGCTATCATATCAATTCCATTTCTTATATTATCCTCATTCATCGTCCCTCTCTTCAACTCTCAAGGATCATCCTTCATTCTCGACACTATCTATTTTGCATAGCTCAAATACATATCAAATATGATGTCAGATTCCAATTCACTGTTCTCATTCTTCAAAATAATAAATGGCCTTTTAGAGACATAACGGGATGATTTTACAAGGAATGGAATATTTGAAGATTTTTAAGATAGTAAAAATACCGGAAAAAAATGCTTCATCAGAAGAAATAACTTTCAGAAGTTTTATATAAAATGAGACTAAGTCATTTAGATTAGTTTTAACTCAAACAAAATAATTTATTGTTTCCAAATTTAATGAATGAATCGTTAATTTCTAGCATCGGATTATTAAAATTCAGGAATAACACTTTGGTGTTGTTTATCTGATATAAAAAAGTATCCAAAAACTCATATTTTTTTCTTCACTATGAACAACAATTATCATATTTCCTCACTATGAACATCAATCATATCATTGTGATAATCTTAATAACATTCAGGAATAATCTTCAAGCCTAAGTTACTATCAAACTCTGATTTACATGATAACTTTAAAATATACCCAAGGCTGATTGAATTAGCAATGAATTCAACTAAATATCAATGATACATACAAGCAGATCAGTTCGATCATTCATTAACTGATCAGTGCCGGAAGAAGAAATTCACTAATCTTTTCATTTGACCACTGAAACGATATTTCTATTTGACCTAATTAGAGAAGAGATGAAAAAAATAAACAAGAGGAAATGTTGTGACAAAATGTTTCATTTAATAGGAAGAAAGATAAAAATGTGAGAGAGAGAAAAAAGGTGGAAAGAATTGGTTGAAGTGATTGAAAAGGAAGGGAAATTGGGTGTGTTATGTGATGCATCGAAATTTATTGACAATATGCATTCTGTCCTGATGCTGCTGGCTGCAATGGTTGATGGGATGATTGTTGTCGACTTGATTGTTTGCCATATTATCAATAAACCACATCTTTAACAGAGATATCAATCTTTTTGTGATGCCTGAGAGAGACAAATTTTGAATGATAGAGAAAAATTATAGTTGTTATGATTTGTTCAATTATTTCTAATTATAATATTTATTTAAATTAATTTAAGATAAGAGAGATTTAATGACAGTTGTCAAATGAAATAAATTCCTTTTAAGTTTGATATAAATGAATTAAACCGGAAATGTACCTATCATTTATTGTTGAAAATTGCTAAGACATTTAAACATGGCGATTATATTTTTATTATTACTTATCATTCCTTCCTTTTCACTATCACTTCATTCTATCGTTTTCATTTTTCGCTTTTTCACTTCAAAAAAACTGAATGAAAAATTCATACTTTAACGATCGAATAAAATTCTTTAAAGAAAATTCATACTCAAATAATCGAATGAAAATTTATGTGGAAGATTTATTATCACATGAACACAGATCATTTCCCTTGACCTATCCAATTTTTTTGAGTTTCAGGAAGTTATCAAAATCAATGATAAGAAACATTTAAACCTATAAATGTTATCTTTTCTTAACTAAATTAAAACTTCCAATTCAATGGAAAAGAACAATGTGATATTTTTCTTTTCAAAATATTTAAAAAAGGAAAAATTTGTCTGATATATATTTATTTAAATATTAAAGAAAAAATACCTTATAGGTTTTAAATATTAAAAAAATGATTTTCACTCAGCATTTTAAATTATTTTTAAACCCGAATGAAATTATAATATATTAAAGCAAAACTACCGAAGATGTCAAAGTGCAAATATTATGATCTTAAATGATTCATTCATTGAAATCATGCATTCATACATTATCTTACAATGTTTTATTGCAGTTTCATTGTTTTATGTTTGTGAAATAATTTTCACCTCAAACTAATAATACCATTTGTAATTTTTTAATTGTTCGATATGGAAATTCTGAACAAAAATTCATATCATTCATAATTTATATTCATTCAAGTAAAGTACAACTTATTCCAAATATAGAAGCAATTTTTAGTCCGTTGGTCATCGTGCCAGCTCATTTTCTACCACGAATTTAATTTTACCTTAATCAAATAGCTTAACCAAATTTTACCTTAACCAAAATTTCATCATTTGGTTTACTTCTTACTACAAATTTTTATATACTTCAATTTCTTCTTTTTTTTGCTAAAAATTTTAGATATATTTCAAATTCAAAAGATTAATTATAATGCTGTTATATTTAAAACGAGTTCAGGGTTGAGATGGAGAAAGTTCAAAGGTTACCAAAGGTGTATAATCAAAAACAAAACAGAAAAGAAATAATTAGCGCTATTTCAATTATTATGTCAAATTTTAATAATATTATAAAATCCATAAAAAAATATATATAATGTATATAAATATATATTTTGCAAATTTAGAAGGGAAAAATGGAAGAGAAACTGAGAGCGAATTGATTAATTGGTATATCTTAGAGAAAATTCGAGACTTCTATGGGTTACAGAAAAGCCAAAAATCAATTGGACTGCCACTAAATGATTATAAAATTAATTTAATCGTTAGATTGCAAATTTCACATACAACAAACATTATGTGAAATTTTATAGGAATAATTTTATATTGCTTTCGAATTTAATACTCGATGAAGTTGACAGCTGTCTTCTTCTATTTAGTTATTATTCAAAATTGAAAGTGAGTGTACAATATCTAATTTTGATATTTTCCGCATTCTACAATGATCACATTTTTGAATTATCTGAAACTATTCGTTTTATAATTTATGATTTTATACTTTTATGAATTTATGTAAACTTTTTTAAAAATAAAATGAAATTTGGCAACATTGAAAGAATCCATCGAATTTAATAATTATTATTTTCAACTGTTATGGAAGTGATTTTGTATACTTCAAAATAATCGGCTTTGATTTAAGTTTGTTAGCTTTCTGCTGATGACATTATGGATAGGGTCAAATTGGCATGTTGCTACTATTATATTACGACAAAATAAAAATTACGACTAAATAAAGATCCATTATAATAAAATAGAATGTTCGAAGAACAGCCCAATTATTTTTGACCTTTACTTTCTTTCAAATATCTGTCAAAAATGAAGATGATGATTTTTTTTGATTAATCAAACTATTTTCTATATTTTATAACTTACCTTATTGTTAGGTAAGTATTTTCCATTAGTTACTCCGTTGGGATTCATTTTAGACAGTTTGGTATTATAGACAGATTAATTTATTTGTGAGAAGAAAAAGGCAAATGACTTTTTAATTACTTCTGAAGCGCTGTTAATAATAATTTACCTGTAAAGAGTATATGAGTGATTTTGTTTGTGTTGTTTATTCTTTGTTTCATTTTTTTAAGATTCTTTCTATCATCTTAAATTCGAAATTTAATGGGACAATTTTTGGAACTAAATCTAATCTCATTTTAATTGCTGCAAAAATACAAGTTTTTGAAAACTGCTAGTTTGTAATCTCTTCTCTATTAAAATATTATGGTTATATATGGATAGTGATCATGAATAATTAATAATAATAATAAATTTAAAGCTAAAATAAATTCTTCATTCAATTAAAATGTGATAACAATTTATAAAAGGTATTAAATGAACTGTTATCTATCTCTGTTAAAGAATTTATTGTCCTCTCAATTCTACTACGGTTGTGTTATCAGATAATAATTTCGTATGATATTTGTGGTGTAAAATTTCTTGTTCAAAAATTACTATCTTGAAAATCACTATATTCTTTTATATTTATTCTTTAAAAGTCTCAAATGAGATTTTCAAGCAAACAAACTTTTATCTAACAAACATAACTGCTAACTTTTGGTTATCAATTAAAAGAAACACAAAGAACCGATAAATGATATCAATTTTAGCTTTTCATAAATATCACTTATTTAATAATCTTATATTTTTAACTGTCAACATTCAATTTTCAAATGTATATATTACTATACAATAGATGTGGCAATGATGACCAGACAGTAAAGTGGGCAATAATCGTTAGTCAATGATCGATCTGTGCAAATAATACATCCTATTTGATGATATAATGTGTATTTAGCATAGTATACATTAATACATTGCTATCTAACTATTCTAAACTAATTCATTTCAGCTTTTTTTCTCTTTTAAAATTTA